GTTGTCATTCTTGGATCTTTCAATAAATTCAACTATTCCTTCTTTTTTTGATTATTAAAAAAATGTTAATATATTATCATCCTTATTACTAATGATTAATTATTTTATCTCATCTGTTCTAGCCTCATCTGAAGGATAATTATTATAATGATTTTTGATATTGTTGTTGTCTCCATAACTAATTAATAATTGAGTCACATTTTTATGACCATAAAAACTGGCTACATGTAAAGGGGTACTATTAGTGTCTTATTGTTATTCAATATCGCAACCATAATGTAGCAACAACTCTACACAATCATAGAATCCTGATCTACAACAAGTATATAATAAAGTTCTCTTGTGTTCTTATTATTGATTTTTGGCATTTTTCAAATTTTGTTTTAAGTATTCAATATCAGAAATTAGAGCTGCCTCATACACTCCATATTTTTGCATATTTAATTTATAATAACCTTTTTTCTAATAAACTTCAAGATATCTATTAGATTATTTTGTAGAAATTTAATCAAAGGCCAAGGTTGCTACAATTCTTTTGGTGATCTTCTTAGATGTTATTTTATTTATAAAACTAGCACGTGCATCTTTTGATTATTCAATGCCCAAAATTTCTAAAGGGTTAAAGTAAAAAATTCCCTCTTTTATCTATTTAATGAGTTCCTCAGGTCCTCTACCACTTAAAGTAATTTTCATACCACCTTTATTCTAAATTTTTAAATAAAATGTTTTGGTTTATTAAAAAAATTATTATAGAATTGATTTTGTTTTTAAAATTCTATTAAATGAAATATATTATAAATTATAGAAACTACAATGGTTTTCTTTATTAAAATAGTATATTGATTTTCAAATGCAATTGTAAATAAGAATGAATCCAAATATATACCCTAATTAAAATCATATTGAACTTAAATATGCGGTGCATCTTAATCTAAATAATTATCCTGGTTATGTATTTAATTTCTCATTAATCTGAATTATTCAACTAATATTGAATTGAAAATAAATCAAAGTTTTTGATTTCATATCTTATTCATCAATTATTTATAAGACTGCTCTGAAAATTATTAAGTCAACTATTTATTTAATAATAACTAATGGAAGTATCTATTAAAGATTATAAAAGTACTTATATTGGAATAAATTTTAATCTTAGATAAGCAAATAATCTAATATTTATTCATTTAACATATATATTTTTAATAATAAAATATAATTCATTTCTTTTATAATATATTTTCCAACTTTTATATTTCATTTTTAATTTCTTTGTAAAGTTTATATTCTTTTTCAACAGGAGCAATATCTTTATGAAATCTAATTCTTCTATTGTGAGTAGTTGTAAATTCATTTTAAAAGTTATTTAATTTTTCTCTCAATTCTGCTCTTGTTTTTTTTAAATCTTCTATTCTCTTTTGAATTTCTCCTTAAGTATTATTTGTTGATTGTTTATAAGTTGGTATTTAAATTCCTGGATTTTGAGTAAGTTTATCAATTTGTTATTTCAATTTTTTATAGTATATGTATAAAGGTCTCATTGGTTCTTTTTCATTTCTTAATGGAAATCTATTAAAAATGGATTAAAAATTAGCATCATAAAATTTAAGTTCATTTTTTACTCTTTTCTTTTCATTTTAAAGTTAATCCATAGACATCATTTCTAAATCTCTTTTTGTTAATTTATTTAAATCTATATTCAATCTATAATATATTAAACATCATACTTATTTAATGATTCTTATAATTTTTATGGGCCAATTACACTTACCCATTATTCAATAGTTGGAGGATTAGATAATTTTTATTATGGTTATTCAAATTTTGGTTGATCAGATTACATAGATGATATAGATGTTGAAGATGTGTTATTTGAATTCTTTTAGTAATTATCATAAACTGGATTAGGTTTCTTAAAATTATATACAGCTCTTGGATTGAATAGTTTAGCAACTGATTCTGTTAATAATTCATTTAGAATATCAATTTCCATTTTTTTTAATTATTATTTTTATATAATGAGACGAAGACCTCAAAGTGCTATTATTCCAATTATAAACAAAGATAAACATGAAATTAATATCAATACGTAAACTTATTTATTAATTATAGTTCATAAACTATTTCTAAGTAATAACATCAATCCTTTGTTGCACCAAAAGAACATTTTGAAGATTAAGAATAATTGTATTACTCCAATCTGTAATTAAAATAAACAACTAATGAATTACGATATTAAAATTAAAAATTGAAAGCTTAAGTTTCATAATTACAAGTTTAGTCTCATCCTAAATTAGTCACATTTATCTAAGATTGAAAAAGTAGGTATACCTATTTCATAGAATGGAGAATGTAGTATTGTTCCTATTTTAAAAGAAAAAGTAAAACAATAAAGAAATTTAATTGAAGAATTATAAACAGACATGCAGTATTAATAGAAATCTATTAAATTTACTAAAATGTCAGAATTACAAGCTGAAATTAGTAATTTGCAAAATGAAATATAAAAATTGAAATTAATCATTAAAACTCTTCTGAAAGTCTAGGATCAAGAGTATATCAATCAAATTTTAAAATAGATTTATTAAGGATCCAAATATAATTGAAAAACTTTCCAAATTTTCAATATTATTGAATTAATAATAAAATTACATATCTGAATTAGCAACTGAGAATGAAAAACTTAAAAAAGAATATCAAGAAGTTTCAAATAATAATTCTTAATTGATGGATGAAAATAAAATACTTACATTTGAAAGAATTAATTATAAAAAATAATTCAATCAATAAACTACTAATACAGAAAATGATACAAAAAGAAGTGATTATTTAGAAAAAAGATTAGTGTATAAATAAATTATTAATAATTAGAGCTACTTTATAATAAATTGATTCCTTAAAAGGTGAATTAGTATTATATCAAAATAAATAAAAATTACTTAATAAATAAATCAAAGAATAAGAAAAAGAATTAAAATCAAATATATTGGAATTATAAAAATAAAAATAGTAATTAGAAGAACAATCTTAAAAGAAAGATTAAATTATGTATATAATTAATTTCTTATTTTAGATAAGATTTAAATGATAGAATAAATATAACTGAATTGCTAAAGTAAAAATCACCTTAAAGTGCAACTTCTATTACATAATATATGAAAAAATCATTCTTTCCAATTTTAAATTATTAAGATCAAATTACATAATTTCCTGAGAAATAAGATAATAATCTTTTAATTTATCCTATTGATGAATTTAAATTGTAAATACTATTATAATAATTAAAATACAAAATCATATCTTTAAAATTAACAAAGGAAAGAATTTAGATGTGTTTTAATTATAAATAATATGTGTAATTAGGAGAAGCAATTGAAATATTTATGAAATCTCCTTTCAATTTTTAAAATTAAGATTCTATTATAATTTGCAGATATTTGATTGGAGAAGACTAGGGTACCAGTTAAAAAATGTAATTAGAAGACACTTAAGAGGTGAAGGAAATAATAAAAAAATTTCATACTCATCCAAAAATATTTTCAGAATATGTAATTATTTAAATAAATATTATTAGTTAACTTTTAAAAAAATCAATTATTAAAGCTATTTTATTAAATTAATATATTATTAAATAAATAAAACTATTATTCCAAGAAAAATATATAATTCATCTGAATTTATACTATTATTAAGTTAAAAATACAATTTTTCATATGAATTAATAGAATACATTTTAATGATGAATTATATATATCTAAATGAGATTGAAATAATTGATTGGAATAAAATGACAAAAATTTTAGAAGAAGAATATTCATTATATAGAGATAATCATAATTTAACATATTATAGTAATGATTGTATTAGATATATACCAAATAATTATTAAAAGAAAACTTATTCTGATGATGAAGATTTTAATTATTAAGTAATAGAAAGTAGAAATTCTAAATCTATTTCATAACAACAATAAAATGATGAAATTATTATAAACAAAAAAACAGAATTATAAAGTAAAGTATAAGAAATAATATCAAATGAATAAATATTAACATTATCATGTAAAATATATATTAAATAATTTTAGAATTCAAATATATTGATTAACAATTAAAGAGTTCTGAGTCTAGAAAACCAAATATTACAAGCGATTAATTTACATATAGTTAATCTGAACATCCAAAAGCAACTGTAAAAAAATAAATAGAATCACAATAAGTGAGTTCTGAATACTCTTTGTAATTTAATATAACTAACTAATATTAATCACCTTAAGTTTTTAATACAAAGATGAGTCCAATTTCTGAATTTGAGTCAGGCAATATTAAAAATGTGTTAAGGAATCTCAAATATAATGAAACAGATATGTAAGAAAATAATGAAGAATATGTTGAGGAATATATTGAAGAATATGTTGAAGAATTATGATAATAAAATTATTATAAAATTGTTAATTTTATATAAAATTAATATATATTCTTAATTAGAACAATATCATCAATATATATAAGATGAACTATTAAAATTATAATATAAATTAATTCAGAGTGCATTTCTATAAAAATATTTATGAATTGTTTGATATTTCATGTAAATCACACATCTTTATTAACACTTTATTAATCTAATTGAAGAATAGTTTATTATTTATATAATATTTCTTAATAGTTTACAAATTCTAGGAATCTACATTGTAATATGATTTTGTCTTTTGCAAATTGAAAAACATCATTAAAAATAAAACATTTAACAGATATAATGAATGATATGAATATCAAATAGAAAAGAAACTATTGTATTACAAATTAATTTAGTTATATTTTTAAATATATCTAAATTTAATTTACTATATCTGTTAGATTCAAATGAATATATGAAACTTCAACATTTTTAGATTTAAAAAGATTAGAAGATTTGTGTGATATTGTATTAAAATATTATGAATACCATTTAAATGTATATTAAAATATTAAATAATACATACTGAATAAATTATAAAATTAATGAATTATGAATAATTTTAGGATGATGGTGATGATAAAATTCAGTGTGATTAATCTTCATTAAATATAGATTAATAAGAACTCTAATTAATAATAGATTTAAGTTAAACACAAGGATTTGATATTATTTAATCCATATATGCCATACATTTTAAAGGATTTAGAACAATATTTGATGCTATCATATATTTATAAAATAATGATAGTCACAGATAAGTTGAATAAACTAAAGATTCATCTGGAGTATGTAAATAAGTTAGTCAGTTTAATCCTATATTTGAATAGGATGATTAGAAATTTATAGCAGAATTATACAAAATAAAATATAATCTATAATCAACTTAATAATGCTGTGTTTGTTACATGATATTTTTGGATAAAGACTTACTCTATTTAAAATAAGAGAAACATAATATTTGTTTAGATTGTTTTATTAATTATTTAAGATAATAAATAAATGAAGGGAAAATTAACAATTTGAAATGTCCACATTGTAATATCTAAATTATGGATAATGATATCTTAGAACATTCATAAGAACTTTACACAAAATATTTAAAATGTTATCAAAATTTAGAAATTGCTCTAAATCCTAATAAAGCTTGGTGTCCAACAGTAAATTGCCAAAATGTTTTAGAATTTAAATAAGAATAAATGATTTCTACTTGTGCTTATTGTAAAATTGAAGTTTGTAAAGGATGTAAATAAAGAGCACATCCACTTTAAAGTTGTGAAGAGAATTTATAACATATTTTAAATGAATGGCAAGAAGATAGAGAAACATAATAATGTCCAAGATGTAAAATTATTGTTGAAAAAATAAGTGGTTGTAATCATATGACATGTTAATTTTGTTTACATGAATGGTGTTGGATTTGTAAAAGTGATTATACATCTCTTCATTTTGCAATATTCAACCCTTTTGGTTGTCCTGCATTATTACCAGGTAGGATTCAACAAAAGAATTTTTCATATGTTAAATTACTAATATGGAGATTAATTTGTTTAATACTATTAATAATATTAACTCCTATTGTAGTTGTAATGACAGCTCCTTTTTTATGTATAGCTCTACTAATCTAAATTAGGTGCTTTGAAAATCTAAATATTTTTATCTAAGCATTCTTATTGATGATCGCTTTATTATTAGGAATTGCACTTATACCCATAACTATTATTATCTTTATTATTAGTAAAAACTTTATAAATATTTTTTAGCTTTTTTACCTTCTATTATAGGACTTATTGTTTTTTATTATTATGAAAGAAGAAGACTAGAAATTCAACATTAGACTGCATTATCCAGACATTTTCAATTAAATCCTTGATTATATATATAATTTATTATTATGATTAACAATTACGATATTTCCTTCATCATAGAACCAGTCGATAAAAGAGGGGGACTTTTCCAAGGTTCCATTATTACTGCAACAAACATGAATGCATTAAATTAGCACAATATCACATGTGTTCTCTCTGTCTGTTCTGAATTTAGTAACCATTCATTTTAACTCAGAAATTTAATATGGCCCAGAGATCAACAATCTAATATTAGACTGCCATGATACTCCTCTCTTTGATATGACTCCACTTTTTGAATAAGCTCATGCTTATTTAGAATCATCCAGACAATACACTAATGTTTTAGTCCATTGTCATGCTGGCAAATCAAGATCCACTGCCATTGTTGTTTCTTATTTGATGAAGAAAAGAAACCTTAATCTAGAATAAGCCTTAATCTATGTTAAATACTAAAGACCTATTGCCTCTCCCAATCCAGGTTTCATCAAATAACTCTTATTATATGAGCAAAACCTTTATGGTAGAATTACCTCCAATTTAACAGAATCAATTACTCCCTATTTCTAAATATAACAATAATTATAAGCAATATCACCTACTAATACACCTTCAAAATAAAGAACTTCCATTTAAGTCTTAGATAACTATTCTGATACAAAAAGACAACCTTTAAATTCTCCAGTTAGATCTGTTCCTACTAGTTTCCCATTCATCGTTTAATCTCCTCCCTAATAAAAATCATAAATTAATCAAGAATAACAATAATTTACTACACCTTAAATCTAAAAAAATCCTAATTAAAATGCTTTTTCATTTCAACAACCCATTTCTATACCATTTACTGTACCAATATCTAAGGAAATTGTTTCAGCAGTTAAAAAAAATAATGAATAATAAAAAGTAGAGTGATAATATTTTAATTTTTAAAATGATTATTACTTCATTTATATGGTGACAATTATTTGGATATTCAAAATTATTTATTATCTTATACTGGTATTAATTAAAAATCTTTCTGCATACTTCAATGATACATTAATCTTCAAATAAAAAATACTTAGGCATATTAAATTTTATTGTATAATTTTAGCAAATCCATTCATTTTTTGGTTTTGGAATAAAGTATAAATTTATAGAAAATGTTTAAATCATTAATACATCATTATTCTTTTTAATTTATTTTGTGTTGATTATTAAACTTAATAAAAATATCATAATTTAATAGAAAATAAATAAAATTAAATACTCTTAAAAAATGGATAGATCATATATATGTGTATCTAAATAAATATAATTAGATTATTATTTGATTTTATATTGAATGTACAATAATAATAATTTATCATTCACCTCCTGCTGATTTAGATCCTGGGGCAATAAATTATTAGATTTCATCATAAAGGACTAAAACAAGTGATGCACCAATTCCTCTAAAGAAATTAGATAAAGCTCCTTTAAAGAAGGCTTTTGTTCCTTCATTCTTAGCAATTTTAACTGCACAATCAAGTGTATTTTTATAAAGAACATCAGCTCTTCCTATAATAAATATATATTATTAATTAATTACCTGATTACATCATCATTCTTCTTCTAATTGTATCTAATGGATATGAAATAACACCAGCTGTTCCAGTAATAAATTAAGCAACAATGAATTTTGCTAAAATATTACCCATCATTGGATGTCTAAAGATTGTTCCTTTTGCTGTGTCATATGTACCAAAATAGACTCCTCTATATACTACTATTCCTAAAACTGACACTCCAAATCCTCTATATAATCCAATGAAACCATCTGATTTATAAACTTTACTCAAACAATCTGTCAAACCATTAAATTGTCTATCAGCCTTCTTACCAATATCTGCGGCTAATCTTGTTCTTGCAAAATCAAGTGGATAAACAACCATCAAAGATGTTGCACCAGCTGCACCACCTGATGCCATATTTCCTAAAAAGAAAAGGAATTTCTCTTTCTTTGGGTCTTAATAATATTCAAATAATAAATACCAAATGGACAGAGAAGCTTCTTGTAAGCATCCTTGAATGCAAAGTTCAATGCTTATGTTGGGAAATATCTGATAACATTAGCCAAATTTCCTCTCCATAAGGCAGATAAACCCTTTATATATTTATTATATAATATACTTCTTCTTTTGGGACTCTGATGAAGCAATCAACAATACCATTGTATTTCTTGGCACCTCCTTCTTAGATTTTTTTATTGGCATCTTAGGTTTAGAGTAACAATTTGACTCTTTCAATTGGAGCAACAGCTGTCTTTGAAACAGCAGCAGAAACACCACCAATCATAAAATCTCTTAAGAAATCAGCCATTTATATGAAAAAAATAAATCTTTTTGAATTTTTGGAACAAATTTGTGCTTATATATATCACAAATAAATATATATTATATACTATTCATTTATTACCTTCTATTTTATTACACCATACTTAATATAATTTATTTAAAACCTGTTTTAAAAGCTAATTTCTTTTACATACTCTTACATTTATATTTATCAATATTACTATGTGTATTCTACTTAATTTCATCATATTATTATATATATCCTTTCATTCAAAAGATATTTTTATGANTATAATTAGATTATTATTTGATTTTATATTGAATGTACAATAATAATAATTTATCATTCACCTCCTGCTGATTTAGATCCTGGGGCAATAAATTATTAGATTTCATCATAAAGGACTAAAACAAGTGATGCACCAATTCCTCTAAAGAAATTAGATAAAGCTCCTTTAAAGAAGGCTTTTGTTCCTTCATTCTTAGCAATTTTAACTGCACAATCAAGTGTATTTTTATAAAGAACATCAGCTCTTCCTATAATAAATATATATTATTAATTAATTACCTGATTACATCATCATTCTTCTTCTAATTGTATCTAATGGATATGAAATAACACCAGCTGTTCCAGTAATAAATTAAGCAACAATGAATTTTGCTAAAATATTACCCATCATTGGATGTCTAAAGATTGTTCCTTTTGCTGTGTCATATGTACCAAAATAGACTCCTCTATATACTACTATTCCTAAAACTGACACTCCAAATCCTCTATATAATCCAATGAAACCATCTGATTTATAAACTTTACTCAAACAATCTGTCAAACCATTAAATTGTCTATCAGCCTTCTTACCAATATCTGCGGCTAATCTTGTTCTTGCAAAATCAAGTGGATAAACAACCATCAAAGATGTTGCACCAGCTGCACCACCTGATGCCATATTTCCTAAAAAGAAAAGGAATTTCTCTTTCTTTGGGTCTTAATAATATTCAAATAATAAATACCAAATGGACAGAGAAGCTTCTTGTAAGCATCCTTGAATGCAAAGTTCAATGCTTATGTTGGGAAATATCTGATAACATTAGCCAAATTTCCTCTCCATAAGGCAGATAAACCCTTTATATATTTATTATATAATATACTTCTTCTTTTGGGACTCTGATGAAGCAATCAACAATACCATTGTATTTCTTGGCACCTCCTTCTTAGATTTTTTTATTGGCATCTTAGGTTTAGAGTAACAATTTGACTCTTTCAATTGGAGCAACAGCTGTCTTTGAAACAGCAGCAGAAACACCACCAATCATAAAATCTCTTAAGAAATCAGCCATTTATATGAAAAAAATAAATCTTTTTGAATTTTTGGAACAAATTTGTGCTTATATATATCACAAATAAATATATATTATATACTATTCATTTATTACCTTCTATTTTATTACACCATACTTAATATAATTTATTTAAAACCTGTTTTAAAAGCTAATTTCTTTTACATACTCTTACATTTATATTTATCAATATTACTATGTGTATTCTACTTAATTTCATCATATTATTATATATATCCTTTCATTCAAAAGATATTTTTATGATATAAATGTTAATTTTTACAAACTTATTAATAAAGAAATTCTTCTTTTGATTTATTACAAGCAAAACATTAAATATTCCTACTAAGTAAGTATAATATTATTCTTTACATTTATTTTAGCGCTTATTTCTTTTTAATTCGTTATTTTTTAATTTTATGTTAAAATGGTTTATTTGAATAATGGTATAATACTGTCACTTGCATTTTGTTATCAAAAAACCGTTTTAAAACTTCATTAGTTTTAATTCCCAAAGAACAAACTTTGAGTAAATTTGCATGACATTTTTGTGTCTTTTCAATTTATTAATATTCCATCAATCTATTCTGGAAAATAGATTGAATCGATAATTTCACTTTTTATGCAATGGAACAAGATAAATTCTCATTAGAATTTTGGCATATGATACTTACTTAATGAAATATTCCAATTATTACAAAGAATTTAGGTATTTAAGTTTTAGTAAGAACAAAAACTAAAAATATTATTTTTATCGAATAATTTATTTTTAATGGTACATATAACATTAGAATTAAAAGTATGAGCAACCATCTAGTCATAGGTGAATCATACATACTTTAGAAATGATCTTTTATATAAATAATTATTTATGATAAATTTTAAATATCATCTTTCCCAAAGAAACTATATTCATAAATGATTTAAAATAATTTAACAACATAGAAATACTCAAATTTTATAATCCCAATTACAAAATAGTTAACATTATTAAGAATATAATTTAAATTATATTTAAATAAGTTTAATTAAAATTTGTAATAATCTACTTTTTAAGCTGCATAACAATAATAAACTCCTTATTAGACAACTGAACCTTTAAATCTTGATATATTTTTTCAATTAGAATAAGAAAAATAAGATTTTATTTTAAAAATATTAATTAGCTTTAATTGGAGATTTATATGTCAGAAATAAAAAATGAAATTTTACAATCAAAACTATAGATAGAGAAAAATTAATAAAAAGCAATAATTGAACATATTCCTAAAAATTATGGTTTTCTAAGAATCAAAATTAATTTCAATAGACTAAATATATCGCTAAAAATTTTGTATAAATTTCATTATAAATTGTTCTAGCATACTCTAGAAAATAGTATAGAAAAGAAAAAAATTTGAAAAAAAGTATCTAAAAGATTTTATATAAATTTTTATATTGAATATTTTTTTAATAGAAACAAAGAAATATATAAAATTTAGAATGACTGTTGAAATAAAAAATTTTCACTATTAATCAAGCAAAGTAAAAATCCTTTATTAATATAGAATGTTCGATGGATATTATGATTATTAAAAAGAATTAAATGATGGAGAGTAATTAATTACTTAATTGCTTAAAAAAGTTTGAAAATCTGCAATCCTTTTCAGAAAAAAAATATGTTCATAGTTACACTTCTATTTACTCGCCTACATTTTCTTTAGAAAATTTTGACCGATATTTAGAAAAGGGAACAATAATCATTACATTTATTTCACTCATTTTGAGATTGACGTAATTTTTGAAGCAGAATATGAATAAAAGGCTGTAGTAATATTGATAAATATAAATGTAAGAGTATGTAAAAGAAATTAGCTTTTAAAACAGGTTTTAAATAAATTATATTAAGTATGGTGTAATAAAATAGAAGGTAATAAATGAATAGTATATAATATATATTTATTTGTGATATATATAAGCACAAATTTGTTCCAAAAATTCAAAAAGATTTATTTTTTTCATATAAATGGCTGATTTCTTAAGAGATTTTATGATTGGTGGTGTTTCTGCTGCTGTTTCAAAGACAGCTGTTGCTCCAATTGAAAGAGTCAAATTGTTACTCTAAACCTAAGATGCCAATAAAAAAATCTAAGAAGGAGGTGCCAAGAAATACAATGGTATTGTTGATTGCTTCATCAGAGTCCCAAAAGAAGAAGTATATTATATAATAAATATATAAAGGGTTTATCTGCCTTATGGAGAGGAAATTTGGCTAATGTTATCAGATATTTCCCAACATAAGCATTGAACTTTGCATTCAAGGATGCTTACAAGAAGCTTCTCTGTCCATTTGGTATTTATTATTTGAATATTATTAAGACCCAAAGAAAGAGAAATTCCTTTTCTTTTTAGGAAATATGGCATCAGGTGGTGCAGCTGGTGCAACATCTTTGATGGTTGTTTATCCACTTGATTTTGCAAGAACAAGATTAGCCGCAGATATTGGTAAGAAGGCTGATAGACAATTTAATGGTTTGACAGATTGTTTGAGTAAAGTTTATAAATCAGATGGTTTCATTGGATTATATAGAGGATTTGGAGTGTCAGTTTTAGGAATAGTAGTATATAGAGGAGTCTATTTTNTGTGTATTCTACTTAATTTCATCATATTATTATATATATCCTTTCATTCAAAAGATATTTTTATGATATAAATGTTAATTTTTACAAACTTATTAATAAAGAAATTCTTCTTTTGATTTATTACAAGCAAAACATTAAATATTCCTACTAAGTAAGTATAATATTATTCTTTACATTTATTTTAGCGCTTATTTCTTTTTAATTCGTTATTTTTTAATTTTATGTTAAAATGGTTTATTTGAATAATGGTATAATACTGTCACTTGCATTTTGTTATCAAAAAACCGTTTTAAAACTTCATTAGTTTTAATTCCCAAAGAACAAACTTTGAGTAAATTTGCATGACATTTTTGTGTCTTTTCAATTTATTAATATTCCATCAATCTATTCTGGAAAATAGATTGAATCGATAATTTCACTTTTTATGCAATGGAACAAGATAAATTCTCATTAGAATTTTGGCATATGATACTTACTTAATGAAATATTCCAATTATTACAAAGAATTTAGGTATTTAAGTTTTAGTAAGAACAAAAACTAAAAATATTATTTTTATCGAATAATTTATTTTTAATGGTACATATAACATTAGAATTAAAAGTATGAGCAACCATCTAGTCATAGGTGAATCATACATACTTTAGAAATGATCTTTTATATAAATAATTATTTATGATAAATTTTAAATATCATCTTTCCCAAAGAAACTATATTCATAAATGATTTAAAATAATTTAACAACATAGAAATACTCAAATTTTATAATCCCAATTACAAAATAGTTAACATTATTAAGAATATAATTTAAATTATATTTAAATAAGTTTAATTAAAATTTGTAATAATCTACTTTTTAAGCTGCATAACAATAATAAACTCCTTATTAGACAACTGAACCTTTAAATCTTGATATATTTTTTCAATTAGAATAAGAAAAATAAGATTTTATTTTAAAAATATTAATTAGCTTTAATTGGAGATTTATATGTCAGAAATAAAAAATGAAATTTTACAATCAAAACTATAGATAGAGAAAAATTAATAAAAAGCAATAATTGAACATATTCCTAAAAATTATGGTTTTCTAAGAATCAAAATTAATTTCAATAGACTAAATATATCGCTAAAAATTTTGTATAAATTTCATTATAAATTGTTCTAGCATACTCTAGAAAATAGTATAGAAAAGAAAAAAATTTGAAAAAAAGTATCTAAAAGATTTTATATAAATTTTTATATTGAATATTTTTTTAATAGAAACAAAGAAATATATAAAATTTAGAATGACTGTTGAAATAAAAAATTTTCACTATTAATCAAGCAAAGTAAAAATCCTTTATTAATATAGAATGTTCGATGGATATTATGATTATTAAAAAGAATTAAATGATGGAGAGTAATTAATTACTTAATTGCTTAAAAAAGTTTGAAAATCTGCAATCCTTTTCAGAAAAAAAATATGTTCATAGTTACACTTCTATTTACTCGCCTACATTTTCTTTAGAAAATTTTGACCGATATTTAGAAAAGGGAACAATAATCATTACATTTATTTCACTCATTTTGAGATTGACGTAATTTTTGAAGCAGAATATGAATAAAAGGCTGTAGTAATATTGATAAATATAAATGTAAGAGTATGTAAAAGAAATTAGCTTTTAAAACAGGTTTTAAATAAATTATATTAAGTATGGTGTAATAAAATAGAAGGTAATAAATGAATAGTATATAATATATATTTATTTGTGATATATATAAGCACAAATTTGTTCCAAAAATTCAAAAAGATTTATTTTTTTCATATAAATGGCTGATTTCTTAAGAGATTTTATGATTGGTGGTGTTTCTGCTGCTGTTTCAAAGACAGCTGTTGCTCCAATTGAAAGAGTCAAATTGTTACTCTAAACCTAAGATGCCAATAAAAAAATCTAAGAAGGAGGTGCCAAGAAATACAATGGTATTGTTGATTGCTTCATCAGAGTCCCAAAAGAAGAAGTATATTATATAATAAATATATAAAGGGTTTATCTGCCTTATGGAGAGGAAATTTGGCTAATGTTATCAGATATTTCCCAACATAAGCATTGAACTTTGCATTCAAGGATGCTTACAAGAAGCTTCTCTGTCCATTTGGTATTTATTATTTGAATATTATTAAGACCCAAAGAAAGAGAAATTCCTTTTCTTTTTAGGAAATATGGCATCAGGTGGTGCAGCTGGTGCAACATCTTTGATGGTTGTTTATCCACTTGATTTTGCAAGAACAAGATTAGCCGCAGATATTGGTAAGAAGGCTGATAGACAATTTAATGGTTTGACAGATTGTTTGAGTAAAGTTTATAAATCAGATGGTTTCATTGGATTATATAGAGGATTTGGAGTGTCAGTTTTAGGAATAGTAGTATATAGAGGAGTCTATTTTGGTACATATGACACAGCAAAAGGAACAATCTTTAGACATCCAATGATGGGTAATATTTTAGCAAAATTCATTGTTGCTTAATTTATTACTGGAACAGCTGGTGTTATTTCATATCCATTAGATACAATTAGAAGAAGAATGATGATGTAATCAGGTAATTAATTAATAATATATATTTATTATAGGAAGAGCTGATGTTCTTTATAAAAATACACTTGATTGTGCAGTTAAAATTGCTAAGAATGAAGGAACAAAAGCCTTCTTTAAAGGAGCTTTATCTAATTTCTTTAGAGGAATTGGTGCATCACTTGTTTTAGTCCTTTATGATGAAATCTAATAATTTATTGCCCCAGGATCTAAATCAGCAGGAGGTGAATGATAAATTATTATTATTGTACATTCAATATAAAATCAAATAATAATCTAATTATATATATAAATTAACTTATTATTAGTATATTGAACCCGAGTATTTAGTAGTTTGATTTGCAAGAAGAATGAAATTTCCATTAACAGAATTAAAATAATCAAAAATTTTCTTCTATTTAGTTTTCTTTAATTTATTTGTTATTTCAATTGATACCTGTTTATTTATGCTTATCAATTTATCATTTAGCTTAGATAACTAAAATAGTTTCTTTTAGAATGTATGAATACTCTTCTGATAGAAATTCAATAAAAATTATAAAATCATAAATTATTTGAAGTAATTAAAGATAGATTCTTTTTAATAACTTTGCTGATATTTAGTTAATTTTCTTTGAAATTCTTCTCTTGTATTTCTGGTTATTCAAGTTATCTATTACTATAGATTTTTTGTATAATGGAATTAACTTTAAGTACATTACATTATTATAAAATAACTTTTAATGAGAGAATTTCATAATGAATGAATAGCTTATATTATTAATAAATTGTTGTTTTAGTAGAGTGATAAATGGAGTTATTTAAATAGTAGAGATTTCCTTCAATTAATTAAGTAAATAAATATATTATGAATTAAGATATTTAGACATAAGAATAATTGATTGAATACTTAATTTCAATCGACTAGTAACATTTAATCACTTATATTAACAACTACACTCAATAATAGATAACAGAATTCATTGATCAAATAAATCAACTTAACAAAAATTATCCAGGAGGAATCAAAGAGTATGCAAATAGAGCAAGAAAAGTATAATTTCATAAATATTTAAAGTTATTGCTTGATGCTTCTGAAGATGTCAACCCATTTGCTGAATACACTGCTCATGTACCATAAGGACAGAATGTAGATATTTATTCTGATGAATATTTCCGATTGGAATAATTAGGAATAGAGGAAATTAAAGATACATGTTTTGTATTAGTGGCAGGTGGTTTAGGTGAGCGATTAGGTTATGATGGAATAAAAGTTGCATTACCAATAGAATTAGTTACTAATACAACTTACTTAGAATATTATTGTTAATTTATACTGAATTTATAGAAAAAACATGGAAACAAATTGTTACCTTTTGCAATAATGACATCTGATGATACTCATAAATTAACATTATAATTATTAGAGAATAATTTGTATTTTGGATTAAAAAAGGAATAAGTCACTCTTATAAAATAAGAAAAAGTACCAGCAATGTTGGATAATCTTGCTCATTTTGCTCAAATTCCAGGAAAATTATTAATAGATACTAAACCTCATGGTCATGGTGATATTCATACATTGTTATATATGTCTGGTTTAGCATAGAAATGGAAAAATGAGGGAAGAAAATGGTTATTTATTTTTTAAGATACAAATGCATAAGCTTTTAGAGCATTACCAGTTGTTTTAGGAGTAAGTAAGGAAAATAAATTTGAATTAAATTCTATTGTTGTTAGTCGTAAACCTGGAGAAGCTGTTGGTGCAATTTGTTATTTGGTTGATAAAAATAATAAGGGATTGACATTAAATGTTGAATATAATTAATTAGATCCCTTAGTTAAAGCTTAAGGTGGAGAACCTGTAGATGAATAAGGTTTTTCTAAGTATCCTGGTAATATAAATTGTTTATTGTTTTCTTTAAATGAGTATGAAACAGTATTATAAGAAACTAAAGGATTGATAGCTGAATTTATTAATCCAAAATATGCTGATGCTACAAAAACTAAATTTAAATCATCATCCAGATTAGAATGCATGATGTAAGACTATCCTAAACTTTTGGGACCAGAAAATAAAGTAGGATTTACTGCTTTGAATAGAAGATTCTGTTTTTCTGCTTGTAAAAATGATCTTAATACTGCATTGACAAAATAAAAATCTAATTTGCCATTAGAATGTGCAGCTTCATCAGAAAATGACTTTTATTGGCTTAATGCAGAATTATTAAGAATTGCAGGTGTTTAAATTCCAGATTTAGTTTCAGATGAAGTAAATTATAACGGATTAGAATTTAAATTTGGACCTAAAATTGTATTGCATCCATCATTTGGTGTTACTCTTTCTGAAATCAAATAAAGAATTAAAGGAAGTAAGAAAATTTAATAATCTTTTTTTAGAAGTTGAAATTTCATCAAATTCAACAGTTATTTTAGGTGGATAAGCAGAATTACATTCAATAAAAATTGATGGTTATGCTTTATTATTTGGGAATGGTAATTTAATATTGTAATTATAATTTTAGGTTAATTTAATGTAGAAATAAAAGATTCCAATAGACCCAAATTAATGGCATTAGAACAATAAGATGGTATTCCAGGATATTTAAAAATTAGGGGTTATAGATTATAAAAATGAGTTATTATTATTAAAATTTACAATTTATTAATTATACATATGATATATTAATTTCATCATATTAATTAATTAGGTATGTTTGAATATGCCATAATATTTTCATTGTTAAAATCAACAAATTAATTCTAAAAATCTTAAAACATGAAAATACATTTGAGAAATTAAAATTTGGTAATTCTGGCATAAAATTAGATTTTGTTTGAGGTTTTATTGATTATTAAACTCTTTTAATAGTGTAATGTGATTATTTACGTCCTTTATTAAGTCCAAATTATTTATATTCTTCATATATTTTTAAAAGTAATTATTCAACCAATTGACAGGCCTAATTGAATTACAAATAGTTTTACTCTCAAAAATAGATGATTATGTTTGGATGATACACATAAATGTAAAGGTTCTTAAGATTCTCTTTTTTCAGGACCTTCTTTGTAACCTGAACCTCTTCCTCTTAATCTGAGTTTAACAAGATCTTATTCTTTTGTATCACAATCTATTAAGCATTAATCTATAATTTTTTTCATATTGCATCCTTTAGCTCCTATATTGGTTTGATGAATAAATTACCAATAATTTTGCGAGCAACTTAAAATTCTTTATCATTGTCAATTTAAACATCATATCGACAAGTAAATTTTTATTAATTGGAGTCCTATATTTCCATAATTTCCAATAGATCTTACTATGTTGTAAATTCAATCTTGATAGTAACATCCAACTCTTTAATTTAATGTTTGTTTAATAGTTTATAAACAATAAAAGCATCAAAAACAGTATTTAACTTAATTATTATTGCTCCATTTAGTTTAGTGTATACTTATTTGACTTCTCCAAAATTTTCACAAACCTATAATTTGAATATTAAAATTTCGTTACTTATTTTATATCATCTTAATCCAACTCAATTTCATAATTATCATCGCTAGATAATTCAACAGTTAAATATTAATGTGGATATTGTCTACTCTATTTTTAGGGTAACATAAATTACCTTCTATTTCAACATATTATTAATTCTCTATTTCACTTTATGATCATGGATGATAAGATTAATTTATTCTCGATTTGTAGGAGACGTGTTTACTAAATTTTCATCGCTTTATTCTAACTAAAAAGTTATTATTGAATCATACTAGGAAATTAGTCATCTCCTCTATTTGCTTAGAGATTTCTTAGAAACTCATTAATAAATTCGGTTAAAATAATATTATTTGTATTATTTATATCATCTCTAAACATTTTAATTCTTTTAACAATTAAATCCTAACATATTTAAAACAGAAAAGCATTGACAGATTCTTCACTAATAATAATATTATGGGATCTATAAGCCAAAGAAAGTTCAATAATTTTCAAACCATATTTTCTAAAAATATTCTTAATCTCTATTTTTATTAAACTAAACAATCTTTACGTTCTTTTTAATTTATCTGACTACTATTATTATCTCTAATAATATTTATATTAAATACAATCTAAAAAATATATTCATCCCTCCTAATATAAAATACTTTTGCTTGATTATGATTAAAATAGTATTCCACTGCATTAGTATAAATATTACTATTAGTGGTTAATGATATTTCTATTCATTTATCATGCATCATCAATAATATTTTATATTTATTTTATGATATAAACATATTACTTAATCATTCAACTCTACTTATACAATTTGAATATAATTAATTAGCTTTAACATATTAAGCTTTGTTTTTCTATACTTGTAGTCATTATTTATATATAATATATTCAATTATTATATTTATAATTGAATAAAATTAATACTCTTCTATTTCGTATGAGTAAATTCAAGCATTTCTTTGCTCTAATAAAATATAGATTGCCTTTGTACGATCAAAATGATAATCTAATATCGAAGTTAGCTTTAAAGTATTTATCTCAACATTTTTATATAAAATCTCCTCTACATATTATATTATCAACTCTCCCTTAAACAAATTACTTTTGATTTTTAGAGATGTCAAGAATGTCGATATTATCTGATTAATTTAAGCTACTTGATATTATTGACATTCAATTGATAGTTTTATATTAAACAAAGTGATACTTTAAAAAATTATTAACTTTCAAGTTTTAGGTTTCAAAGTTATCCTCCCTTATAAATTCCACCTATTTTAAGCTTAATTAGAATAAATATAATTAAAGGATATTTTAAAAATTAACCATATTACATTTATTCTCTTATTTTTGTATAGAAGAGAAATTTAAGAATATTTTGTGTCTTATATCCATAATATTTATCGAAAAGATAATTATAATATATAATTAAGAAAATTGTAAGATTATCTAAATGATTTTTGAAAGTATTTTGAATTATCGGACAAGATTGTTGGTTGATTTTAAATATATAATAGGGAAATTTGAAGATAGATAATTTTGTGATTATGTTTGGTTTAGACTCAATTTGCCTTATAAATATACATCAAAATGAACCACATAGACATTGATACTACCTCTTTTGGCAGTTATTGAACTAAACAAATCAATATTTTAGAATTTAAATTAAGATTTGATTAATTAAAAAAAGATAATTTTAATTGAAATCCTATATAAAATATATTTGGTAATAAAGATAAAATTTAACACAGAATTTATAATAGATATGTAAGTATGTTTTCCAGTTGAGTTAAATTGTGACAAATTTAAATAATGTGTTGGTATAACTGTAGTTGAAAAATTCTATTTTATAATCATCTCGAATTAATTGAGGAATATATGAAAAAAGTTATCAAGAAATTAAAAAATATTGTAAAAATAATCTTGTCAGTTTATAAGATCAACTAATAATGGTAAGTAGCAATTAATAATAGAATTCTTAGTTTCAATAATCCCAACATTTAATTAAAGTATATTTCAATTAAAAAAAGTAATAATAATTTATCTAATAATTAAAGATAACCCTGAATGAGAATTGGACATTCTGTATATTGAATTTTTATATAAAGATATTAACAATAAAACTAAAGATTTTTTGAACATTATAAAGAGATTAATCAAAATATTAATGAAGAGTTGTTTAGCTATTAATGTTAAGTAAAGTTATTAATAAATTATTTTTGATCCACAATTTAAATATTAATTTTTGAATCAATCAAAAATTTGAATAAAATTGTTTTGAATCAAATAAGACTATGAGAGATTCTTTAAAAAGAAATATAATCTAATTAAACTATATCAATATTTACAATATTATAAACATAATATATAAGAGAAAAATCAAGAATAAAGATGAAGTAATGAACTAAATAATAAAGTTTTATTAGATTGTAATTATCTTGAATTGTGAAAACATGTGGATGAGTTATAAAGAGATTTTGAAGTTCAAGAAGAAGAAGGGTTAGAAATAAACCTTTTTGAGATAGATAAATATCATCTAAAAGTTTATGAATTAAGAAAAATAGGTATTAAAATAAAATATAAAAATATAAATAATAATGTTTTATAAAATAATATATAAATTAATTTTGGATTGGAATTTGAATACATAAACAAATTGAATTCATTTTTGATTCATAATTTTTTGAAAAATTTGAAATCTGATTTTGTGTGTTGATGTAATTTAATTGAAGATTTAACAGAATCAGTAATTTTAAATTATTTAGATATTGAAATACTGGTTTTACATTTATTAGAATGTTAACTAAAATTAGTAATTATATTTAATACCTATTTGTATTAAATATCTGGATTTATAAAGGAGATAATAATTTTGATAGGGCGTTTTCTTTGACTGTTCTTTATGTAAACGAACCTATTTATTTTGGTAGTGATTTGATATTTATTCTTGGTGAAGATTGAATTTAAGATGGTTATTGATATAATGATTATTATTTGATTGATTTGTTTGAATTAATTGTTTACTAAGTAATTTATGTAGATTATTAAGTAATCATTTTTCTTGATAATACTTATTTGATTGTTTTTTATGATAATCCTATAGGCAATTTTAATGATACTGAGTTAGGCGTTTATATAATATGGATTTGTTTTTTTTATTTCTTTTCAGTAAGATATTTAAGAAATTTATCTAATTAATCTTATTCTCTATTAGAAGGCAATAATTGTAGATCTCCAACATTTAATTTAATTGAATTAAGTTTAGTTTGTATTTTATCAATTGTTCTTGATACTTCAGTAATATCATTTAAGACATTACTATATTGTCTGCCAGATTTTTATGTAGCTGTATCATCTGGTTCTTCTCCAACAATTTTCTTTTTAGGTTAATTTGGATTTGATTTATTCTCTTTTTCAATCATTCTCTTAATTCTAAAATATTCAATTCTTCTTTTCTTATCATGGTAACTATAATAATTAAACACTTATTTTTACTTGCTCATTATGTCAGCCAATTTAAGTAAGAAGCATCTTGGAATCTCATTATGGTACTTATAATATTCAGTTAATAATGTAAGTTTAGTAGCAATTTCATCTATAATAATGGAATAATAAATACGAATATCGTATGTTCTTCTTAAATATTCACTTTGTTCATTACAATTAGTTTCATAATGAAAATTAATTACATGTGGTAATCTAGCATTTTCAATGTATTCATTTAAAGACTTTGTATAATAATATGTATCCTATTGAGAATACTTGTAAGCCAAACTTTGTTATAGGTCTATCTTGGATAATAAATTATTGCTCATTTATATATTTAATACAAAAATATAAAATTAAACAAGTATTTCAGCATTATTATTGATTATCCTAAGATGACAGTAGATCCCATTCAATTATTGTTTCATCAATATTGTCTACTCTATCTTGAAGTTAATTATCCATAAAATTAGATAATGATACATATAAGGGACGTACAATAAATTTATAGAAACCTATCTCTGATTTTGACAATACAGACATCTATTTTTATATTATATTTTTACTTTATGTAAATCTTTCATAAATGATTATTATGGTAATCCTAATCTCCCTTCTTCTTCATATTATGATTGAAATTCTTAATTAACTCTTAAAGACCATTCTTTTGAAATTGGCCATTTTGCAGAACCTCCAGTAAAATCAGAAGTATGAATAATCATACCTGTTATAATTTTAATATCTTTTTCATTGTTTGCTTCAAAAAATTTAAGTAAATTAAAATGTTCAGCCTTATCAGTAAATATGATATTTTAAATGAATTTTTCTCTAAAAGATCGAAAATCAATATTCTTTAAAAAATTCATTCTTTCTCTCAATAATAATTTAAGTGCTGTAGCTGCATGATATTATTCTAATACATTTTTATCATGATATCTAATAGCTTTTTCAGATAAATTATTAATTTCAAAATAATTAGTTCTACCTGTATGACCAACATCATGACATAATCCACCTAAAATAAGTGCCAATTTTGTAATATAATCAAATATATCTTAATATTATTTAAGTGATAACATTTTATTCATGATAACATGACAACTATGCATTACATTAACTCCATGATTATAATTATGAAATGGATTTCTTCGTTTATCATATCTATATTCTAATTCACTTAAAAATTCACACATTCTATTTTTATCTATATCAAATATTTCAATAAAATTGTTTCTTTAAAATATTTAATAAACCATTCTTTATTTTTCTATTGAATTATTTTCTATTTTAAATATATTAAATTCAAAAGAATCTATGTGATTCATATAGATGGGTTCAATTTCAAGACTTTATGGATCCATTAAATTTATTTAAACAGTTTCAATAAAACCATTCATTCTACTTTTTTTTCTTTTTATAAGTACTTTTGGAGCTTAAATTGATGAAGGCATATAAAATGACAAAATTGTATTTTTTATTTCAGGATTATTATATTCAAGATTAGTTAAATATTATGTAGCTTCTTATCTTAATTTAATTTTCTTTGCTTCTAATTCTAAACTTCTTGTTTATAAGAATCCTTCAGAAAATATAATAGCAAATCCTTTAAATTTTTTATTTCTAGCTTTCAAAAATATTTCATATAATTATTCATTTTATTGAATAATCCATTAATTTTCTAAATGTTATTCTATTTCTTGAAGTAATTTCTCATTCTGAATTATTTAATAATAATAACCTCTATGAATATAATTTAATTGAAATTCATGACTCAATGAAGGTGGAATAGGTCGTGATAAAAAGGCCAATTTACCTTCTTTATCAAATTCAAGCATTATTGAATCTTTTGACTTTATAAAATACTTATAAAATGTAATTCTATCGTATGTTAATTCTATAAATTTTAAATATTTATTGTATAAATTCTAAATAGTTTTGTATATTTATAGATCCTCCTTTTTATTAAGATTTAAACCAATAACAGTAATTTCAATAGGTAAAGCATCTTTGAATTAAATTTTAGCAAACTTGACTTGTTTATTTGATGGAGAAGGATTTGTACTTTGAATAGAAGTATATGATCCTTAGATTTCACTTTCAGCTTTTTCAATATTATATTTAGTTCTCAACAAATTTATGATTTAATTAATAAATAAATACTTACTGCATCTAACAAATTCTACTCCTACATCCAAAATCATATTACCTATTTAAATAGGACTAAATTATTATACTCTAGACTCAATAATTGATTTAGAAATTAATTTAGTTAACATAAGAATTTCTTAAAAACAATTATATTCTAAAGTTAAATTCAAGAGACTATCCTTTTATATCTTTTAATGATAAAAAAAGAATTCATCCTAAACTCTTAATGTATATGTTCTACCATATTGTGAAAACATTTCAAATAGCTTACTCTAATTTTCTGTAAGTAAATTAATATTTGTTGTTATTGAAATTAAATCTTCAAGGTATTCATCATGATTAAAAATTTGAAAAGTATGTTTTACAGATTCATAAATCCCATGTTATGGATTTATAAAAGTAAATTCATCACAATTAAGCAAATTATTCACTAAATTAGAAGTTACTGACACAATGCTATCATTAATCAACAAAGAATGAGTATTCAAAAACTAATTCTTTAGTTATTTATAGTAACACTCAATATCATCAGCAATATTTGTTTCTTATAATAATATTAATGATGGTTAGGGACTCTTAGTAGGTAATTTACTAATAAATTATGTCAAAGACTTAAGATTGTCTTACACCAATAATGTTAATGCATTCGATCTTGATTGGTACACTTCTACTAAGGCCTCTCTAAGTTATTTTATGTAATTTAATAATTCCTCTTCAGTTACTTTGCTTTCCTTTGAGAATACGCTTCTTCTACCAATTAAAGGACTAGATTCAGAAAGTAAAGATTTTCTCCTAATTCCAGGAGAATTGGCTATTTTTAATACTTAATGTTTGGCTTTCACATAATCTATTAGATGTTATCTAAAATTTTAGTTGTCCATATCTATTTATTATAGATCATAGTACCTTCGATCAAATATAATAATTCTTCATTATTTGAGTTGAATTCTGATTTAAGTCTATTTTTCTCTTTGAAATTGATTTCACCTTAATCACAGAGTTCTTAGACTAATTTATGAAAGTTGATGCAACTTCTGAGTGTCTAACATATTTACATGACTTGTTATACTTACTGATTATAAATTTAATTAATGGGTAAACACAAATAGAGATCTACTTCTGGTTCAAGTAGTAATCATAAAAAACATAAGAGAAAGCATCATCATTAAAAAAAAGAGGTGAAATAAGAAGTGAAATAAGAAGTTAAAAAAGAAGAATTTCCATAACAACAATAACAAGAAATAATAAAAGAAAAACCATGTTTTGAAGCATCTGGAATATTAGCCTAATATGCAGAGAATGCATTAGGTAATGGTAAAGTTTTAAAGTTTACAATTCCTTTCGATGCTAAAATTCCAACAGCAAATTGGCAATTATTTCCTTTTAAAGGAACACAATCATTTCGTATATTTATGTAATTAATTATTTAAAGCTTCTATCCCTTTAAAAGGAAAATCAGTATTTTTGATTGGAAAGGATAAAGAGATCGTTGATATCTTAATAGAAAACATATCTGTTTCTAAATAGCATTGTGTTATTTAATTTAGAGAAATAAAGAAAGTGAATGGTCAAGGAGAAGTTTTATCTTATATCAAACCATATGCCATGGATTTAGAGAGTACAAATGGAACTTACTTAAATGAATAACAATTAGAGCCTGCAAGATATTATGAATTATTGGAAGAAGATGTACTAAGATTTGGAAAAAGCGATAGAGAATATGTACTTATAAAATCATGATGTTTATTATTATCAACTTATTCAAAATACACTATCCCTTTCAGCATCCTTCTTACTTAATACTACTTTCTTTTATCTTTCTATATTTAATTATAATCTGTAATCCCTAGTTATTGTGCACTCTATATTTAAGTTTGAGTCATAACCTTACCTGGCAATAATAGAGACTTTAAATTCTTATTCATAAAATAGAATATTATATATTATGAATACCCAATCATTAAAATCCTATCATGTAATATTTCAAAGATCTATTCTATACTACTTTCTTATGTTTTTTTTTTTATTGCAATAATAAATCGATTGTCTTAATATTTAGAGAAAAATAACTTAGGACTGATTGGATATTGAAAAAAAGATAAAAATTCATGAAAAAAACTATAAAACTCTAATTTAGATTAGATTTATAAATAATTATAATATAATAATAATAATAATAATAATAATAATAATAATAATAATAATAATAAAATTTAATAAATGAATATGTTTATATGATTTATAAATACATTCATTTTTTATATTATTAAAATGGATTAACATAAGCAGGAACAACAGAGTTTAATTTTGTAGTTGAACGAATAAAAGTAGTTTTCTTTTTTAATCTAAGAGTTTTCTTTAAATGATCTAAAGTACTCTTTACTTTTGCAACAACTTTCATAGGAGTTATAGATTTCATTTTAGCATTCCTTCTTGATCTTAGGAAGTTTTAAACATACAAAAAGGGATACAACATGAATTTCCTCATTTTTTAAAGTATACTAGTTTACCATCCAAAAACATCTTATTTTACATAGACTATCACATCTTCAGCATTTTATTTATTGAAATATTAATCAAATGATGCTTTAATTTCAAAATCATCAAATTTTTATTAATTAAATGACCAATAGAGTGGTTCCAATTATGATAATGCTTTCTTACTTATATTATCATTTTCATTCATTTCTAAATTTCTTTATAATTAATGATAGAGATTTGTTATATTATCTAACATATTATCATTAAAATCCTATATTGCTTCAACTATTTAATCTCTCTTTTTTTTAAAATCAATAGATGTATTCATTTCATTTTCATCACTTGAATTATTTTAAAATCCACTATCATATTCTTTAATTTCATCTACTAATGGTATAGGTTTTTAATCTTTACGATTTTTAGGACTTTTACTTAATCCTAATGCACCTGATAAAATAGATTATTTTCTATATTATAAAGCATTATTAAGATTTTATCTTAATTCATTTTTATTATTTTATTATTCATTTTTATTATTTTAATCACTAACTAATCTATTTACTCTAGAAGATCTAATATGTTAAGCTTAAAATATAGGAGCGGTTTATGGAATTTTAAATGCTGGAGAACTTGCATCATTATCAATTGAAGAATTTGAATCTGATCCACATTCTACATTTAATAAAATTCTAGTTTGATTTATTATTGATTATTAATTTTCATTCTAAAATACTGAAGCATATTATTAAGCCAAATCTTTCATTAATCTTGTATGCCATTCTATTTAAGATTTATCTAATCTTCTTTTATAAGGTTATTAAGTCTAAAAATTAGACATACAATGTCTTTTAATAACAGCCTCTCTATTAGGAACATATTAAACTTAAGGACAAGTATTAAGAGAATGTTTAAAATTTAAACAAGCAGGACAAAATACACCATTTTCTAATGCTGGTGGATGATAACTCAAAGTAATAGCTTCTTTCAATTAACAATATTTTTAAAAATCTTCAGGATAATCTTTTAATGTTTCCATAAAATCAGATTTTGATAATATCAATAAACTAACATATCCAATAGCTTTAAAATGATCAACTTATGGATTATTAGTAATGAAATCTTTAACACAAAAGAATTATCCCTAATTAATTACAGCATTCATTTTAGATCTTTATTTTCTTTCAGGATGCTAATATACTATAAATCCTTATTCAACAAAACATAAATGTTATTCATTCAAGAAATCTGTTGAAAAAGTATTCTAAGGAGGTATTATCTTTCTTTTAATAGACTTGAATAATGCATTACGTAATTCTTCACTAAAGTATTTCTATAGAAATTCTGATTTCTAAATGAATACTTTATGTGCCTATTTATCTAATTCTTCTTTTAATTCATCAGATAATTATTCTAATAATGTTTATTCCATCTCTAAATCTACTTCATCATCTTCCTTCCATCTAAATGTCAAATATTCCTTTACTCTAAAAATTAATAATTATATTAATACTAATGTTATAAACTATATGGTATCTTTCTTTAATCCATATATTTATTAATTACTCTCATTCTACGATTCCTTTCTACTTAATTCTATGTGATATCATCTATTATACTACCAATGAAATTAACACTATAAGATACCCATAAACCTATTCACATAATATCAATATGAATACATGCACCCAACACAAAAACTATAGTTACTATTTTCTCAATAGCATTTTTAGGTACCATATCACCATAACCTATAGTTAACATTGTGACTACAGCAAAATAAAGTGCTTATAAGTATTATTCTTCCCAATCTTTATTTTCTATTTCATTAAAACGAATCCATGAATCTTCAACTCTAATACTACTGAAATAAAACCATATGCAACTAAATAAATGTAAAATATAAAGCAATGTTAAAATAAATTTCAATAAACCAAATACACCTCTTTATGGTCTAGTTAAATAAGAAATTTAATCACTTTTTGCAAATGTTTCATATACATATTTATGTTATCCTAAAATAATTAATAAAAATAAATTAGCATTTGTATTCATATCTGGAATAATCATAAATATTATTAGAATTAAAGATGTTGAAAAATCTGTAAGAAATTCTTTTTTTAATTAATGAACTACTAAATCCCATTTATCTTTTATAGCATATCCATTTTTATAAGTTAATGTATTTATTCTAATTAAGAAATCAAGTTATAATATGAATAGAATTACATATGTAATACAAATAAGATTATTGAATAATATTTCTGGTTTAAAAGCTATTTCTAAAGGTACAAGAATTAAAAGTAAAATTCTAAAAATGGATGTAAAGAAATCCCAATACATTTTGAATAATGATTCTGGTTAGATTATAGGTATTTTATTGATAATAGCATTTAGACAATTAAAAAGTGGTTTACGAAGTTTCCTCAAATCTTCTTTCACTTATTCTAATGTTGTTGTATCTTTAATTTCAGTTTCTTTTTTCAATAATGTCTACATCTTTTTAATATTAAATCCAGCAGATTTCATACGTTTTGAATGCATAAATATGTTTTATCTATCATAATTATATTTATTTACGAATCTGATGCTTTATCTCCAATCAAATTGAAATGAGAATCATTAAGACTACCCAATTATTTTCTATTTAAAGAGAGTTTTTCAACAAATCTTCCAATAAAAAATAAAGACATAAAACTAGATTCAGCATTTGTTTAACTTCTCCTTCTATCTACTAATTTAGTATTAAATATTGGTTCCTTTGGTGTTTAGATATTGGAAGCTAGAAAGTTCTCATCATTATTTGATTCTGGTGATTTGGGACTATGTAAATATTTTGCTTCAAGACTTTTTGCACTTAATGTTCTGCTGGCTATTTGAGGTAAGATTAATGTAAATTCCTTTTTGGTTTCTCTTAAACATTAACCCAAATATTATTATTCAAAATCATCATTTTAGACTGCTCTTAATTCTACATCTTATTCAAAATCAAAAGCATTTTAGAGATTTAACATTTATTTAATAAATAGTTGATATAGTATAAATAATTTGAAAAATGAAAGAGCAAATTTGATATGAAATAAACTATAATTTTATAATATATAAATGATTAGAGAAGAAGAAAAATTAAATCGAGATGAACGGCGTCAAAGGAAATTTAATAATATCTTCAATATTATGAGCATTTATATTAAATATCTACTAGGGGATGAAGTGAATGAAGATGAACATAAGTAATTTTTAGAGTATAGCAAATTTAATATATACAAAATACAAGGAAATCAATCTGAACATTATAAAATGCCTGAATAAGATTATATAAAAATGGTAATGAATGATCCAAGTCAATATTTGACAGAAAAAGATTATTGTATGGGAGATGTAGTCTTATAATTTCCAAATCCAGATGAAATGCCATATGCAACAATTTCATATATGGAAGCATTAGAGTTTCTATAATAAGGGATAGGAACTAGATGTTCAATTGAATTCAAAACAGAATAATTAGATTATGAGATACTTTCAATGGCTTTTTAATATGCATATTCTTAATTAGCAGATTCAAAATAGGATGATTTAGGTCCTAACAAATTAGCATACTCTAATTAATTCTAAACTCAAAATCTAATTGCTGCAATCAAATTGTTCTTTAAAGAAGATGAACAATTAAATATTTAAGGAGAATATATAGAGTTTGTTGAGATGGTAAGAAATAAAGTAATGAATAGTTTAAATAAAAACTTTAAAGTTAGTAAGAATAGAGAAAAAAGAAAGGGATTTTCAACTATTCTTAAGAAAAAGATATTAACAAGAGGAAAGTTCATTATAAAAACAGCAGGAGGTTTATAACGTACTCATCATAAAGTTAAAGATTTCTATACATTAGTTCGTAATTTAATACTTTTAAGATTAAGTTAAAAGGGATTCAGAATGAGAACATTTGTATCTTCAAATAATAAATCAATTTTTGCTATTCTTTATTGTGCAGAAGCTAACATTTCTTTAGTTGCTTAATAAATAAAAATGAGAAAATTTCTTAATTTAGAATTTACAGATTTATTATCTCTTGAACCTATTGATTAAAATTATCGTCCTTTAAGATTGAATAATCGTCTTTGGAGAAATGATATGGATATGAATTAAAGTAGTTATTTTTAATACATTAAACCTAAGATTATAAATCTACTCAAAAAAATTAATTTTAAAAAAATGGCTAAAGAATTACATATATAAAATCTTAATGACTAAATGTTTGATTATGGATAAAGAGATTTAATAGGAGATGAGGAAGGACCTTCTGATGAATTATGGGAAGCATATTATGAATATTTAGTATATTTGGAATAAAGAGTAACTGAAGCAAGAGAAAAATTTTATTTTAAATTAGATTTTGCAGTATTAATGAATCCATCTATTGCAAAAAAAAAAGAGAAAAAATAAGAAACTAAAATTATTACTAAAGCATAATTAAGAAGAGTAACAAAGAAAAATGATAAAAGTAATATTGATATTAATTAATTAATTGATTTAAATGATTAAGATAGAACTATTAAATAAGAATAATAAATCAAAAGGTATTTCTCTTATCAAAGAAAAAAGTTTATTCCTAAAACTACTAAGAAAAATTAAAATATTAAATAATATAATGAAAATCCTCTCATTATTTGTGATACTTATTCAAAAGATTTTAATTCCATATTACTCAAAATCTTATAACATCTAGTTAGAAATTAATTAAATTTAGACATTAATGAAAAAGAAACTAATATTGAAATTTATTTAAAATAAATCTAACATTATTTTGATGATGAAGAAGATGCTGAAATTAAGCTAAAAAAATTAGTAGATTCTAATGAAGATTCTGCTGAAAAGAAAATAATAGATTAAATATGTATTTAGATGAAGGAAATACCAGAGAAAGTAGACTAAAAACAATTTACATTAACAAGAGATAAAAATCCAGTGTATTATGAATCGATGAAATAATAATTGATTGAATGTTTATTTTTGACATATATGGAAAAGGAAGAAGAAGTTTGGAAGGAGTAAATATAAGAGGAATAATAATAATTTTTGAATATGAAAAAAGTATTTCATCTTAAATGGAATTCTATATGCACAAAATTCTTGAAAGAAAGATAAAGGGGATTATTAGCATAGGCTTATGGTACAGCCATGAGAGATGGAATGTAGATTATAAATAATGCTAAGGGCAATTTATTAAAATGTATTTGGGACTTTTCATTTGGAGAATTATATAACATAGCCATTTCAAGTGAATATACTGTATCAGGGAGGAGATTTTCATATAAGAAAAAGAGTAGGATCAATACAATTTGGAAGAAATATCAAGTGAGTGAGAGTGGTAGAATATCTGTATTTTCAATAATGGAAAGAATTAAATTAGCTAATTATTTAGTTAATTAAGCTATAAATATACCATATGTATTTAATAAATAATATTTGGAATAAATATTTGGTTTAAATGATTAATATGAATTAAATGGATTAAGTAATAAAAGATTTTTTTAGAATGATCCTAAAGCATTTTCATAGACATTAAGTTCAGATGCTTAAGAATATATAAGATTATTATAAGAGAAATTTATGATTGCAGAGAGTTTATTTGTGAAACCTAAATTACATAATTTGGAAGAGATTTGGAAAGTTAGATTGGGTGAAATATGGCATGTACCATCAGATGAGGTTAGAGAATATTATGGAGAAAAGATTGCTCTTTATTTTACATTTTTAGGACATTATACAAAAAGTTTATTAATTCCAGGTATAATTGGATTAATTTGCACAATCATATAATCATTAACAGAACCTAGAGTGTCTATTATTATTGGAATGATGTTTGGAATATTACATTCATCATTTTTAACATTAATGTTGGGTTCTTGGAAATTAAAGGAGAAATAGATAGTGGCTTAATTTGCTTAGAATATTAAATAGGGAAATGAATAATAAGAGTAAAGACCTGCATTTCAAGGAGAATATAGACGTGATCCTTGTAATGATGAAGCTAATACTTTATATTATCCTTTGAGTAAATTACTTATTCATATGTTAAAAAATGGATTGATATTAGGATTAGTATTTAGTATATATATAGCAAGTGTAATAGGATTATTTTATATGACAAAATACTTTTATGAATATGATATATTTACTAGTTTGGAGAGATTAAACTTTTTAAAATTAGAAGTAAGTATTCCTTGTAGTATAAATGTTATAATATTAAATATCTTTGAATATATATATGAAAGATTAGCAGAGAGTATGACAGATTAAGAGAATCATTAAACAGTAGCTGATTTTGAAGCAAATTTTATAATAAAGAAATTCACTTTAATGTTATTATCTTATTTTGCACCTATTTTTATGATAGCATTTTTAAATGAAGAATTGGGTATTGATTGTGCTTATGGTGATTGTAATTTGAATGCTAAATATTTTTTCTCTAGTTTATTCATCATATTATTTGTATTCAATATCAAAGAAGTATTGACTCCAGTGATTAATAAAATAATGAATCGAACAAAAGAGGAGCCAGAATCAATGGAGGATTATGGAATTATTAATTATTATGTAGAGAAAGAGGCATAAAAGGATAGTTATTTTAAATCTGTAGATAGATATGGAACAGTAGATGATTATATGGAAATAATTATTTAATCTGGATTATTGGGATTGTTTGCACCTTTATTTCCTGCTTCCATGTTCATAGGTTTTGTTTGGAATGCTTTAGAAATGTAGACAGATAAGATAAAATTAATTAAATATTCATAAAGACCAGTTCCTTTAGATGAATAAAGTATTGGTATATGGAGTTTATTATTGGAATTCTTAGCAAATTTTAGTATAATCTTTAATACAGGTGTTGTATTTTTGATGGGTAAATTACATCCAGATAGAAATGGACCTACTCCTCCATTGATTAAGGATGTTACTATGTTTTTGATAATTATATTGATAGCATTTGCTCTTAGATTTATATTGGAAGGATTAATTCCTGAAGCAACTTATGAATTTATATCAATAATGAAAAGATAAACTTATTTATTGAAATCAACAATAGAACATTTTAAGAAGAAGACAAGTAAAATGAAGAGATTAAAATCTGATAGAAATACTCTATCAAGATATGTATTGTTTAAACCTTATGGAACTATTTTAAAAGTTGAAAAGAAATAAAAGTAATTGATATAAGAGGAGGAGGATGATGATGATGATGACGATGAATCATAAATAGAAGTAGCTAAGAAATAAAAGGAGGATGATTCATAAAGAGAAGCAGGAATGCCTGAAATAATATTGGTTAAGAGGAGATAAATAATAATGAGAAAGAATATTCATAATTTTGATTTTCCTTATAAGAAATTTGAGATTGCTCATGCTTAAAAAGAATTTGATGACAAAATAGCTAGACTAAAGAAATTATTAAGATTCTTTGAGAAATATTATACACTTAAATGGTGTGAATAAAGATTAATATATAGAAGATTATATTAAAAAAGAAGATATATTTTATATAAGTATTTAAATATAAGAAAATTGAAAGTATTCATTGAAAGTTATAGATAATTATTTAATAGATATAAACGTATATAAGAGGATAAGAGAGAAGCTGGTTTGATGGAAGATAATAATGATAGAGAGTAGAAAACTGCAAGGATTAATTAATTAGCTAAAAAGAAAGCATTATAATAAGTGAAAAATGTTGCAATATTGAAGAGTAAAGGAGTTTGGTTTGGATAATTTCGTAGATAAGTTCCTATTTTAAGAGCAAAAGATATGATTGAACATTTGAAAAGATTAGATTAAAAACTTAGTAAATTAAAATTGAATTAAAGACTTATTCCAATATAAATGATAAAAATTAATAAAGATAAACTTATTAAAGATAGACCTAGAATATTTGATGAAATATCTTGTTTAGATATTAGTAAAAGTAGTTCTTAAGAGATTTTAAAATTATTAATATAATCTAGAGATTAGTATGGATAAGTAAATCCATATAAATCAGAATTAGTTAGAAGTATAGAAGAATTATATTCATTAAAAACTAGAAAGATTGAATAAATATAAAGTTAATTATATCATTAAGAAGTTCCTAATTATTTATATTTAGATTAAGAAGAATTAAAATGTTTATTTATTTAAAATTAAAAGGCTTAAATGAGAAATCTTGATTTTAAGATGATAAAAATGATTGAGAAAGATAAATAGAAAGAAGTTTGGTTGATACTTTAATAATATTAATTAAAAATATTGGAGGTTATTGAAATTGATTTACAACATAAAAATGTTTTATTTGAAGATTTAATATTATAAGAATTTACAATGTTTGATCACTTTTATTTTCCATAAAGTAAAGGAGTTGTTGGTAAAATTTTAGATTCAAGATATGAATTATTAAATGGATGGACTTTGTTTGATACAATTAAATTTAGATAATCAGTAAATATGACTTATAAGAAAAAAGAATTGTTATTGTTTTTACTTAATTTATTAAATTCAATTCCTAATTGGAAAGATAAAAAAGTAATAACTCCTAAATCCATATATGCAAATAGAAATAAAAATTAAATTGGATATACTTTTCATTGGATGATGTGTGGAAATAGAGATATTGAAAAAGAGAAACTATTTCTACCAAATGAAGAATCAAATAATAATTTATCAAAAATGGTATATAATGCAGCCATGATTGTTGTATATATGATGACTTTAGGTAAGATTGAAACTAATAAAGATTATTTAATTGAACATTAAGCAAGATTAATGAACAAATATCCTATTGTATTTACTATCATTTAAGATATGTTATTATCTGAAAATTAAAGAAAACCATACAATTATTTTAAATAATTATGTAAAACAGAATGTGAAAATGAAGAATTATTTTTGGAAAATGAAAGATTATCATAATAATTAATTGAAGATTCTAAAATTACTGATATCAATTATTAAGATCTAAAATTATATGATTAAAATGAATTATCAAATTAATTAGAAACATAAAAATTACATCAAGTTTTATCTCAATAATTATTCAAAATGGATATGTTATATAAATTTAAATTATTTAAATAATTTTAATCAGAATTAACTGTTACTGAAACTATTGCTTAAAGTATTTATAATAATGAATATTATATGACTCATATAACTAAGAATTTTGCATTTTATTGTGATAAAGCACATCATTAAAAATTAATGTTAGATTTCATTTAATATGAATTTTATAAATAACTTTATTATTTCTTTAATAATTTGACATTACAAGGCATTTATTCTATATCTTATTAGCCAAATCTAAGTGATATCTATTAATTCATAAATAAGATTGAGAGATACTCATCTCCTAGTATTCTTGATGATTTTGATTAACAAAGTGATAAATTATTAATTAGAAAACGATTGAGAGTATAAAAAGACAATTATGAAGCTTTGCATAAGAAATTAGAATAAATTCGACTTAAATTTATATTTCTATAAGCTTATGGAGAAATGTTTAAATAGAATTCTTCTTATGCAATTGAATTATTTAATAAAGCTTTAAGATTCTGTAATAATCCCTTAAGATAATTAATTATACATATTAATATTGGTAGAATATAGAAAGATAGAGTATAATGTATTTAATATTTGAGTAAATTGGATTGTCAATATGAATATTATAATTTAAAAATACGTAATCTATTGATTAAATTATACCTTGAAAATGAATAATATCATGAAGCAATGAAGAAATGTATTATTATTAAACCTTCAGATTAGTAATGTTTATTTGAATAATTGGTTCATTAAGAAACATTAACATTACAATCTTAAACTTAATGGTGTTAAGATCATTATTAAAATAATTATGATTATTTAAATTATTGGATTCAAAAATATAAATAAACATAAAGTAAACATAAAGAATTAGTTTTGATTGGATTATAAAATTTGGAATGTTGTATCAATCTTTTATACTATAATTATAATATACATTTTGTTGAAGATTATTTATAAATTCTGTATGAATATAATGATAAAAATCTATTTCTAATTGATTATTTATAATTTAAATTGCTATAAATAATAAATTTATAATTAGGTATGATTAATTATGGAATGATAACATAATATGATAAGAATTCAGAAGTAGGAGAATAAAGACTTTTAAAGAAATCTTATTTACATTTACCAAAATCATTTTCAAGATAACATGATTATTTGAGTCAATTATATTTTGAATTAGAATGTAATTTATAAATGGATATGGATTATGAACTTTATTTAGAAATAAATGAATAATAATTAAGAAATAGATATCATTTTTTAATTGCTAAATAATTATTTACAAAATAGAAATATTCATAAGCAAAAGGTGTATTAGATAATACTAAATGTAATATAGAAAAATTAATAGATGCATGGTAAATGAAAAATAATAAAATGATTGAATTATAACATGATGTTAAATTTTAATTAAATGATTTATCATGGAAGAATCTATTTATAACATTTGTATTTGATCTAAATAATTTATATGCATAATTAGTATGTAAATTAGCATTTAAATTAATTGAAATTGCATCTTAAAAGTATGATTGTAGATAATTATTATAATAATTTAAGATCTTTTTTGTAAAATTATTATTGGAAGAATATAAAGATAAAGAAAGTAATGATTATATTGATAAGAATTTTGAAATAAAGTTTTTTATTTTGACTACATTGAATTAATATCTATAAGATTTATCTTTAAATCTACTTTCAGAAATATGTGATATTGAAGATAAAATAAAATAGAAAGAATTAATTGATTATAAAGATATTTCAATTCCAGTAGATAAAAGATAAATGGAAAAGAAATCAATTTGTTTAAATGATCTTTTTGTAGTATAATCTTAATTATTAGAAGAAAGTGGAGATCCTATTGCAGCTTTGAAATGTTTAGATGTTTAATATGCATTAATTTTATATGATGAGAGATTCAGTAGATAAGTATAATAAGTATTTTCTTAAAAAATGGAAAATGATGATCCAAATCTATTGGGAGCAAAATGTAAAGTTGCTATAATGAAATTATTTTTGAATATATTTTCATGTGGTCCATAATTATTAAAAACAAGAAAAGCAGCTTTAATGTCATGTGTTGATATAGTTACAAGTACTGCTGAATAATCTAAATTAAAAATGAATGAATTTCCTACTACTAAAATTATTTGGGATGATCATGCTTTAAATATATTAGATTATGCTAAACCAAAATAATTAGAAGCATTTTAAAAATATAAATTAATCTATTATTAATGTGAATGGAAACTATTAGAATATTATGCATTAGTTGGAATGTATAAAGAAGCACATAATTAATTTTAAATGCTATATAATCATTATGTTAAATTAACTAGTCAAGAAGATTATGCTAGAACATATTTTGAATATGCAATTGGCACCTATTTCTTATTTATTAGATAAACTAATCGTGCATCTCTATTCTTTGAAAGAGCTGCCAGAAGATATTTAGATTAATAAATCTTTTATGAAGATCTAAAATTACCAGTCTAAAATGTTACTGCATCTTTTCGTGATAAATTTACAAATGATAGTCTTATTTTAGATTTACTCAATTAATTCAATCATTATTTTACTTTAAGATCAAGATGCAGAATCTATAAATATTATAGTAGAATGTATGAAAAAGATACAGATTTACATAGATTATTCTAATCTATTATTAGAATACTAGAAAAGATTCGTAAAACTATGGGCAGAAAAAGTATACTCTATGTTGATGCTCTTATGATCTATGCTGAATTCATACTTATGCATAGAGAAAGAGGGTATAATGGATTCTAAACATTTAAAATGGCATTCAAAAGTCATTACTTCTTTACAAGAAGAGAAGCAGAATTCTTTGAACCTTATGTCTACAAATCTCATTTACCCTATAAATTCTATACTCCAGATGATATTGAAGAAAGATTAAGTGAAACACTTATTACTTAATGGGTTTTTGATTTGTTAGATTAATGTTATAGATTCTATAAAGATTACTTTAATTCAGTAAATGTAAGTGAACATTTTAGTATTGTTTATTGTGATATACTATAATATAGAATAGCATTTATAGCTAATAGATTGTATCAAGCATAAATCATGTTAGATAGATCATTATCTAATCTAGAAAAAGTATATATATATTTATTATTTATTTTTTAGTTGTGTCCCACATGTGAACATCCATATGGTGTAATGATTTATGAAGGTTATGCCTTACTCTGTGAAAATCTAGAAAGAGTATAAGAAGATAATATCAAAATCATTCTAGAATGTCCTACTCATAGTCTATTCAACTCTTTAACTTATGAACAGAGGTATAAGATTACTCTCCAAATTTATTTGCGTAATGAGTAATTGGGTAAGTATTTTGATGATTACAAAAACAATGGATTCGAAGTGTATTTGTTATAAAAATTATAAAAATTTACAGATAAAAAATAATAAGAGAGAACTTCTATGAAATAATAAAAATTAACTAGAAAATAAACATTTATTTTAGACTTTGATACTTAAATGCAAATTAAATAGGGAGCTAAGAGAGAAGCATTAATGAATTAAGATAAAATTACAGATGTCAAACTTAAAGTTGGAAACACTGGCTATTATAGAAAGGCATATAGAATTTGTAAAGTTATATTCAAAGAGTACAATGAACTCTACAAAAGAGTAGAAGATAAATTCATTGAACTTAGCAGACAAGAAGAAAGAGATAATAAAATAGACTGATAATTATATGTTATATTATAAACCTAAACATCTAAAATCTGTTGTTCCTTCAATTTTCACAACTGAACCTCCAAGTGCAGCAGATTCAATTATTTTGGATTCTCGTATATTAAGTGAGGAGAAGCTAAATCTAAATAACAAGTTTGCTTTACTTGATCAATTCAGCCATCGAGCCTTTGATATTAAAGAATATAATCTGACTTAAAGAGAATTACCTAGTAGAAAGAAACACTTCATTTAGAATAATAAATTAGATGTTTGGGGAGAAACAACCTTAACTCTCTACAGAAATCAATTCTTATATACATCTTTAGATATTCATGAAAAATATTCACCTGTTGTCTTATTCATCTATGTAAAAAAAGGTGATCCTAATACCAAAATGAGATTATTTTGTTCTGTGAAATTTTAATAACCTAATCGTTTCAATGCAGAAATCGAAACATATGGTCGTGTCCTCAAATATCACTCTAGAGAAGGCACAACTTTTTTTGATCCTACACTTTATGTTGCTATATTGGCACATAATGATGTTGTAATTACTATAAAAAATGAATTTGCTAAACCTCCATTACCTAGAAAAATGCCTTAAATAAAAAAAAAGGATGAATTATGTTCAGATATTGAAGAGTTAGCTGATTTAATAATTCGAAAAAGAAAATTGAGATAGAAATCTCTAAATTTTATCAATCTTAATAAATCATTACCTAGAAAATAAAGAATTGAATCTCCTTGTAATACTGAGAGATTAAAAGAAATAAAATTTAAATAAACAATCATATAAAAGGAATAATGCTTAAAAAGAATTGCTTAAATTGCATTACATGATGTTGCCAAAGAAATCAAATAAAAATAGATGAATATTCAACTTAAGTATTATATTTATTAATATAGATAAATGCATAAAGAATGGATTTGTAAGAAATGGATTTAGATTGTTATTTTAGTTAATTAAATAGTACCATCAATTAGTAATTATATTAAAGTACAAAAACGTATATCAGAAAAGAACATGAGGAAATAAATATTAACAATGTAATTCATCAACAAAATAAAAAATAACATTTTACATTTAGGACCAAAAATAAAATTAAGAACCTTATTACTTTGTAAAATGAGTATGTAGAATTGCATAAATAGTCAAAAAGATAAAGTTAAATAGAAGAGTTATAATATAATAATAGAAATTCTAAGATAAAATATTAGAAGTTATAATACAGTCACAAAAGGCTTACATACAGTTAATCTAAGTAATTGATGATTTGGATTTAGTTAAAAAATGTATAAACATGCTTGTTAGACATAAGAACAAAAGATTGGAATTCATGTAATAGATGAAGATAGCCATATCTCATTAATGTAAATAGATCTATGGGGATATTATGAAGATGAAATAATAATCAATCTAACAACTACCTCTATAATAATAGTAGTAGTAAGAAAAGAATAAAAATAAAAGAGATCCACTTCATTATTTAATTCATGATTAGTATAGAATTTATTATTATCATTTTAATAGATAATTTATAATGTTTATATATAAGAAATTATTTACTAATGTGTTACAGAAATGGAATTAAGATTTTGATGCTTTTCGAAAAGTATATCATGAAAGTTAGAAAAAAGGATTGGCTTTATTATTGAGACCATTACCCTTAGAAATACCATAGGAAGAGATTATTAATAACTATATTGTAGAGGAATTGGATCGTAGAGGATTGATAAATTATTAATATTATCCGTTAAATTAATGAATTCTCCAAGAGCAGAAACTCTTGATTAAGAATTAAGTAATACTATCAACAAGATCTATAGTAATTGTTAGAAGATTAATGATAAACATCTTAAAATAAGAATATTGTAATGGTTAGATAAAGTGAGAACACCAACTCACAATTTTATTTGGAAATAGAATTCTTTATTTTATGCACGTGTTTTATTAGAAATGACTATAAATTAATAATTAGATAAACCTTTTAGAGGAGTACCTCCAGATGGGCCATTACCTAGATTGGATAAATTTGATATTGTAATTGATTTTTTATTTAATAGAAAGTCTTAATAAGTTTTGTAAAAACTAAAACAGGTTCAGTAACCCTAATCTTCTAGAAAACCTTTGGGGATTATTTTGAATAGAAATTTAACTCCAAAATTAAAGACTGAACCTAATTTATATAAAAGCAATAAATTTCATAATAGTCAGAAATCTTAAAATTGGGATCAAATTAAGGAGACATTAGAAGGGGCTAATAAAAATATGCAAGAATTTAAACAATTTTTAGAAAATTTATAAACTTAATAAATATTTCTTTGAATTATTAATGTTATTTATTATTTTATAAATCCTATTGAGTTAAGCATAACAAAACTAAACTAATTTTCTTTACCTTTTCAACTAATCTGCACTCGAAATTCAAGTAACATTACATTCACACTTAAATCAACCATTTATTTTAGCATCATCTAATAAAAAATTTGAAAATATATATTATGTAGAAGGATAGGATTAAATATAGTCTATAAATTATGATCATGAATCATTCATTACAAATAATGATATTCATGTCATATTCACTGAGTCTGTTATGGATTTGTACATATATGCTGGGTACTTAAATCAATCATTTAATCAATATTCCAATTTCTCAATCACAATCAAAAATCAATCTGGAGAATGCTCTTCCTTTTGTATTCAACAAGGTAATACATGTAATTCAATTAACAAGTAGTGTTTATGCAAGTCTGGCTATTTTGGAAAGTTTTGTTAACTTTAAAGAAACATAGCAAATTTATAAATCTAATATGATATTATCATTAAACCTCTATAATGGATATACATTGGTTTTGAAACCAAATAATTGAATTTTAATGATACTTTAAAATTGAGAATACGTGATCAATCATCTGAAATGTTAATGGGATTGGGAATGTAAGGAATTTAAAATCATGAAGTTCCTAATGTTCATTATGATGCTTATATGATTCCAAAGAAAGTTCAGTCATAGATATATCAATTAAAGGGTGATTTAATCTATTATCAATAGATGTGTATGAATTGTTCATTTTTAACTATTGGATTTTACAATTAACATTCATATCCAATATTATTTTATTTTGAATTGTTTGATAAAGAATAAATAATAGATGATGATCCCTATCATTTTTAAATTATATTATAATCTATTTTCCTCACTTGTTTTATATTGATCACTTATCTCATATTTCGAAAAATTAGATAAAAATAACAAAGACAATAAGTAAGATTAATGCAAATTGAATCTAGAGGAAATAGAAGGAGAAGAAGAATATAATAATAATAAAGTGATGATATATAAAAAGGATTTAATTTAGATTTTATCTAAACATATTTCCCTTAATTTTATTACTTGGATCTAATAGATAAATATCCATAATTAAGTGAATTTGTTGAATGTGTAGTATGTTTAGAATCTATGGCTCCTCCATAATAAGGTAAATTAACAGAAAGAGATCACATAGATCATTGTTCATTAACTCCATGTTATCATCTATTTCATTAGCATTGTCTATTCAAATGGTTATAGACATAGAAATGTTGTCCTTTATGTCGAAAAGAATTTATAGAGTAAAATATAACAAGTAAACCATGGATTAGTTTCAATAATGATATAAGTTTAAGAGAAACTAGTAGAGCTAATCCATTTGTTTAGAGAATGAAAACAAGAAGTGAAAATACATAATAATCTGATATTCCTTTGATGGTAGATACTGAAAATGTAGAAACATAACCTAATAAAGATATTGCTATGAATATTGCCTAAAAGAGTGCAAGAGATTTGATTATAAGGTGATTTTATATTATAATTTCTTATAATATTTTTATATAATGTAAATTAACTATAACAGTATTTTTTGGAACTTCATATCTTAACAAATTTGAAATCATTTAAAATTGTTGAAAGATATATTTTAATAAATTCCATAAATTATGATTAAATCATCCAAATTTGATCGTAATTCACATAAATAAAGTGTAGATACTTTAATTTCAAAGAGAATTAATTAAAAATATGAATAACAAACAGATGAGAGTTTATTAGAGATTCATATAATTAAGTCTAAAATGGAATAGATGGCTAAGAATTTGATTAATAAGTTTGAAAAATTTAATAATCCTATAAAAATTGGGATATTAAAGGGATAGGATTATCATATTCTAATTTAAATTATTTCACCTCAATTTGACTTACTTAATATATTTAATGAATTGATTATTAAGCAATAATTATAACAGTCTTCATCATTTAATTAATGGGAACATGTTAATAATGCAAATCGCATATTGAAATAAGCAATCTCACAATCATTGACTAACTTAGCAATGATTTTATAGTAGTGTAAGATGATTATTAGCATCCTTTATATGGTTAAGTGAATTTACTTGAATATAAGGAACCTAAAAAATTTGATTTTAAATTAGTACATAAAATTATTACATTTGTAGAGAGAGAAGACTTTCAATAAGCATTACAATATTATGAAGCAAAATTTCATGGGTTCAATCATCCTAACCTTTTAATAATACATGGTATCTCATTTTAATCTTATTTTAGCAATGTAATATAGATAAATAGATCAATTCTTTAACACCTAATACAAATTGTCACTCTTTTTAGATTACTATGAAACCACACTTGCTTAAGAATTACTTTATAGAAAGAAAATATATTTTGAAGAAGGTGAAATATTATTCTTTCTTGATTCACTAATTGGTAGTTAAGCATTTCTCTAATCTAAAGGGCATGCATTACAATCATTAAAATTTGATAAAATCTATCTCTCTAATCTACTTAATGGAGCCATTGCATTAAAAGTCTAAAATCCATTATTTGATTCAAATGATTAGGAGATGGAATTCTAGAACTTATTTGATAAAATCTTAAAAGGTGAGTAAATCAAATTACAAGAATACACATACTTGAGTCCAGAATAATGGCAAATGATTCATAATAAAAAGTTGGAATCTTATGATGTATTTAAAAGCAATGTATTTGTTCTTGGTTTAGTAAAATATAATAAAATTAATTAGATGACCTTGGAATTATGTTCTGTTCGTTAAAGCATAAACTTATATAAAGATTATATGATAGATTAGAATCTTTTAAATGAATAAATAAAAAAAATATAAGATCGATATGGAGAAGCATTGCCTTTACTATTGGAGGCTATGTTACATTATGATCCTAAAGTGAGATGTGACTTTTTATAGCTAGATGATCTACTTAATTTATCATAATTATTAAATGGTAAAAGATTATTTCAAATTTGGACAAATGAAGATTTCTAATATAGTTTTGTTGAAAAGAAAGTATATCTAATTTATTATTAGGTTCATTTTACTACTAAATAACATTCACTTGTTCATCCTGAAGTTTAATCTCAATTGTCTAATTAATCTCTATTTCAAAAAGGTTCACACTTATCACTTAGATAAGTTTTATCAAAGAATTCAAAAGAATCTAAAGCATCAAGTGTATATTTATTATCTCATTATTAAAGTCAATTATATAAAAGAGAGAATCATATTCACCTTAAATGTAAAAAAAGAATTTATTTAAAAAATTTGAAACAGAATAAGCTTCTAAAGGAGGAAGTAAGAAACTCATTACTTAAGATGGATATGGAGTTGAATCATTATCCAATGGTTTAACATATGAAGGTTTATTTTAGGGTGGCAAAAAATAAGGTTTGGGTAAGTTGATTAATGATGATAATGAGATTATTTATGAAGGATACTTTTATGATAATCAGTAAATTTTATATAAAATATCAGATAAGATTTCATCGTACAGGAGTACTTAAAAATTAAAATCCATAATAATTATCAACGCCATTCAATTATAAAGATTTTAATTAGTTAGGAAATATGTGGATAAAATATGATGGAGATTTCAAATAAGGTAAATAGGATGGATATGGTTAATTGACATTATCTAATTAAGAAATCTATACTGGACTTTTTAAAAATGGATTAGTTAATGGATCTGGAGTATTCATAACTTAAAATGGTACAAAAATAATAGGAAAATGGATTAATAATATCTTTTAAGAAGAATGAGTATAAAAAGTATATAATGGTCATTACTATTAATTAATTATAATTTAATAATATTCATTATAATTAAACTATTTAATTAGACCCTCCATAATACCTGTTATTATATATATATTAATTATTTTTATGATAATTATAATATTTGTTATTTTAAAGAATGATTTTTTTAGTTATTGAATATATAATCAATGTTAAGAAAAATAATTTAAAATTTTATTTAAATTCTTTATATCATATACTAAGTCATTCAAATAATTATACGAAGTTTTTCCATTCTGACAACTCATTTGAACTTAATTAGTATTTTAATCTAATTTATTGTGAATCTAGATTATTTTTAAAATCAATAAAAAGTCTAAAAAATTAATTTAGATTTGAATCTTTAGAAAATTTAAGAGCCAAAATTGATAATTCCTATAAAGAAGTATATTATCTAAGAGTCAAATTAATAGATGGATCATTAGCCAATAAATATTTTGAAATTGTTTTAAAAACTTTTTGGTTCTCTTTTATATATTTTATTAAATATTAATTATTTATGGATTTTAAAATTGATTCATCATGTTAAGTTAATTATAATTAATTAAGGTTGAAATTAATATCCTTCTTTTTAATCCTATCCTAAAAATAATCAATAACATTTTAAAGAAACTATTTAACCTAATCATTTGATATATAATCTTAAATTTGAGAAACCTCACTAATAATGCTTTATGTTTCATTTCCATATTTTAAATCACTTAAAATACCTTCAAATTCTACGTTTTTTTCAATAGATTCAACAATCAAAGAAATCAATTCAGATGAAGTTAAAATAGTTTATTTTTTTTTTTAAAGATTTAATAATTAATTTTCTAATTCACATACACATTTGTATTGATATTCATTAACTAATTTTTATTTAATTAATTTTTTATTATTCTCTTGTAGAATTAATTTCAATTTATTTAATGTGTTAATTCCAAATTTAGATTAAAAACTCTCTTTGAATTTATTTAATATATATATGATTTATTAGAAGATTTTATTAATTGCAATAGTAATCTCTTAATTAATTGATGATGATTTATTCATTTCAGAAATGCTCTACTATATTTCTAATAATAATTAGTCTACAATTTAATAATTATTGTCAAAACCTCCTTGTTCATGAGGAAGAATTTATTGAAAAAGTAGGATTATTTTTTAATTCAATGATTATATCAATTCTTCTAATTATTATAGCTTTTAATTTTCAATTTAAAATTATTAATTAAATTTAGAACTTTGTAATAGTTCTTAAATCTTAGATTTATCTAATTTAACCCATTTTTATTATGTTAAAATTTTATTAGATTAAATTTAAAATTATGTGTTAAAATTACCTTTGATTATCTATTACATATCTAATTTGACAAATAATTTCACATATTCAGTTGAAAGTAATTGCATAAAGTTACTAAAGCTTAATTTCAAAACTGTATGATGGATTGATTTTAATTTATTTTTTGCCTATTAAAAATCCCCAATTAATCCTTCACTCTCTATATTGATATAAAGTGCGAGTATATATGGAATTATGGGTTCTACACTTTCTAATTTAGGAAATCTTAATTCGAGTTTTTTGATCATAGTTGATTTTCTATAGCTAAATAAAATAACAGTAAAATTTACTCAATTTTTTCTAGAATTACTGATTTTTTTGTGGGGATTTGATTAATGCTTAAAGATCTTCTCAAAAGAGATGATTCTTTGAGACTACACTTTCTTTAAATAAATTGGTTTTGGATTTGTTCATCTGAAGAAAACAAGTCTTAAAGCAACTCATTAGAATAAATATTGCATTATTCTAAATCAATCTAATTTAACTAATAGGGTATATTAAATTAGGCTAGATTTTTATCTATGTAATAGTTTAATGTTTATTGGATTTGTCTGTTGATGATTGACTTTTAAACTTCAAGTACAATTTTAATGGATTCACTTTTGGCTCCCTAAACTGATTGTTGAGTTGTAACTGTGGTTTCAGATTGTTATTTAATTTCTAGATGCATCAAGTTTGAATGGTTAAAATTAGTAAACAATTTATTTAAGCCTATATTAACAAGTTATGGTTGTGATCCTTGTAAATATTCAATTAAGCAATCGATTTCTTAAGCACATCCTATAATCGATTCTAAGTCCTTGTATATCTTTGTAGATAGTTCATTCTAATCATCAAAGATTTATGATGTTTACAAACTCATTTTAAGATATTTATATTTTAGTAAGAAATATAGATTTTGTTAATGATGTATTCAAAAAATTATTTATTTGGATTTTTTGATTTAATTAAGTGTAGTATTATTTTGAATTTCATCTTTCATCTTTCATCTTAATACTATCATCATATAGTAATTAATTTATGTTCTATATTATCCATAACATTTATTAGTAATATATAAAAGACTTAATATATAAAAGACTTAATATTTATATCGCATAAAATATATAATAAAATTCAAAAAGGTTTCAACTCTTTTTTCATTATATTTACATATAATCATCATAATTAATAATGTCATATTTAAATAATCTTAGTAAATTCTTAAGTATAATAGATAAAAAATTTATTAATTCAATTAAGAAAATAATTATTATAAATAATATTAAATTATATATAAAATAGTTTAGAATATAGTAAGAATTATAAGACGAAGCTTTTATGAAATACTTTTATTTATGTTATAAATTCGATTTTCTTCATCATTATTTATTTCCTCGCAAATTCTTAGATTTCTTGACTTATTGATTGACTGCCAAAAAACTTGTTTCGTATGAATCTAAAATAATAATAATACTAATATAAATACCTCCATTTTTCTTTAATTAATTTGGTTTATAATTTGAGAATAATTCTTATATTTCTTATTCAACTTCTTATTTTTTAGATACTCTTTCAACTTTATTTACTGGTTCTTATGAAATTTATGATTCCAATTAGACTTCTGAACCTGATACATGAGACAACATACTAGAAATAATATCATTTTTATTTTGAGTCCAATCTAAGTAGATTCTTTCGAATTCATAAGGAGATAAATTATCTGATTTCTAATTGTCCTATGAAAATCTACCTTTTTTAATTTATAAATCATTTTTAATCTTCTCCATAACTTCCTATTTTCTTTAATTCAACTCTTTTTCATAATCACTAACTGCTTAATTAACAGGTTTATCTAAATAATATCTTTCACCATCATTAATTGTATTCTTTGAAACAACTTATGTCTTTTAAGTTTTCAAAAGTTCTTCAATTTTCTATTAGAATTCTTTATCTTTAATTCTCTCTTCAGTATCTATATCTACATCTTATTCAACTACATCAATCCTCTTTTTTTAAATAACATCATCACTATTATGAATCTATCTAAGTTCTTCTACATTCTTTTTTATATCTTGATATATTTATTATTCTTATTCTCTAATTTCAACTCTTTTATTAGTTGTTGCTTCTAATTCATGAACTAATTCATTTACAATCTAATCAAATTACTCTTCATGACTCATCTATTGTTTCTCTTTTTATTTTTTGTTTTTAATTTATTAATGTAATTATTCTTCAAATTTAGTTTATTTCTCATTTTATTCAATCTTCAAAGATTTATCCTATTACTTATTTTATTTATTCTATTCCTTACTAACTTTTATAGAATGATGTTTCTCTTTCTTCTCCTTTACAATTTCATCCTTATTTCCAACTGTATGTTCATCCTCATCATTCTCAATACAATCTTATAAGTCTTCAAGATTCTCGATAACTTCTGGATCAGATTTAGCTGCTACCTCCTATTCAGCTTAAGGTATTTAGGAATCATTATAGAAAACTTCAATATTATCATCTTGTACTGTGCCTTCTCCATTGATATCATCATTAGTAATTATATTATCTGCTTCTTCCTTTAAAGTAATTTCTTTTTTCACCAATTATTTCTTCTTGATTTCAACCTTAGGTAAATCCTCAGATTTTAGTTCCTCAGTTGCAGTTACATTTTCTAAAGTAATCTCATTTTCTTATTCATCAACTTATTCTTCTATTTATTATTACACTTATTTTTCTGGTTATTAAGTAGAGACATTAGATTAAACATCTGTTTCTTATTTTGAAACACCCTCTACTTAAGTGTCTTCAGAATTAGATTAATTAACAACTATCTAATTATCTACTACTTAATTTTCTTATTAATTATCTACTACTTAATTTTCTTATTAATTAACAACTACTTAATTTTCAGTAATTTAATTTTATGATTACTCAACTACTTAATTTTAGACTTCTACTTTTTATTAATCTGGTTTATCTACATTTATTTAAGTTTTTGTTTCTTAATTTGTTTCAACATTCTAAGATGTTTAATCTTATGTTATATTTGAATCCTACTATTTAGTTGAATCATCAAATGAAAGATCATAATCATTATTAATATCAGATTCTTATTCATTATTACCATAAGAATCACCAGTATAAACCATAACTCCATCACTAACAACAGCTTCATCATTTGATTATACTTAGGTTTCGTATATTTCTTCATTTTCTTATTCTAAATCTTCTTATTATATATCTTCTTATTGAATTTCATATTATTCATTTTAATCTTATGATAAATCTTATTCATTTTAATCTTATGATAAATCTTAATCATTTTAATTATCAATCTAATAATAATCATTATCATTATAATTATTTAGGTTTTCATCATTATCTAAATTTTGATTAGATGTAATTTCATCATTAAATTAATTAGTTTATTATTATTATTATTATTAAATATCTTAATTATCTTATTAAATATCTTAATTATATTTAAATTCATCTTTCTATTCAACATTATTGTTTTATTAAATTACTTATTCTTATACAATAGGTTCTTATTAAACATTTGTCTATTATTATATAATTTAATCTAATTCATTATCTAAATCATCCAAATAATAATCATCATCCAAAACAGCATTGTCAATTGTAGAATCATTATTGGTTACAATTGTTAAATATTGTTAATCTTCTTTTGCAATTTCACTCTATTATGTGTCAATTACATTTGTCTCTTCTAAATTAGGTTATTACTCAACATTAGTTGGTTGCTCTAAACTAAGATTATCAAGTTCCATTGCTAATTCATCCAATTATGATTAGAATTAATCAAAAGTAGTTCCATCATTATTTAAACTCTTATTTAATATAACATCAGCTTCCATTTAATCATAATCCAAAGAATAATCATTTTAAACAATATTATTTTTATTAATTTGATTACCATTTATTTCTACTTAATCAGAAATTAAAGATTGAACATCAACTTTAGCTTCTCCTAATTTCTAATCTCCTATTATTTCAAGTTCCTTTTCAGTCACATCCTTAATTGCATCAGTAATGATTTCAGATTACATATAATTATCTATGTCTTCAACTATAATTGGAACTAAATCAGAACTATCATTAGCAAATATACTAAGATCAACTTTCTCAACTTCAGCTTAAACTTTTATTACCTCTCCAATTAATTATTACTCTAGATTCTTTGTTTCTTAAACTGCTATTTCAGCATCTGTATCAAAGTATGAAGTATCTTTTATTACAATCACATCATCTGGATCTAAATTTGAAACATTCAAACTATACAATTTGTTTTAAGGAGCTTTTTCTGATTCTTTCATATCATTTATAACTTCTTTCATTTTTTTAGTTAATTAATTCTTCTTAACCATAAAATCTGGTGCTTCAGCTTACTTTTATTTTTCTGCATTCTTATTTTACTTTTAATTAACTTATTATTATTATTATTATTATTATTATTATTATTATTATTATTATTATTATTATTATTATTATTATTATTATTATTATTATTAAATTACTTCTTCTTATTTTTAAACTACTTCCACTTATTTAACTTCTTCTTATTATTTAATTACTTCCACTTATTTAACTTCTTCTTATTATTAAACTGTTTCTTCTTATTTTTACACTATTTCCTCCTATTTAATTACTTCTTATTATTTAACTTCTTCTACTTATTTTTAAACTACTTCTTCTTATTTAACCTCTTCTACTTATTATTATTCAATTGTATTTTAAGTGTCTTTTTTCACTTAAGTTTCATTTTAATTTTCCTATACATGAACAGTGTCTAATTCTTCACCATCACATTATGTATTTTCCTCAATAGGTTAATTTTATTAATCATTTTGATTATCAATTGATTAGTTTTTATCATCTTAATTTTGTTTAGTTTCTGTATTATTTTAATTTTCCTCATCAACATCATCATCTGGAGTAGAATCTTCCTCTCCCTAATCTTAATTTTTAGAATCTGATTAGATTGGAACAACTTTGATTTCTTCGTCTGATTTGATTAAAATTTCTGTATCATCTACTTTATTAATATCTGTTTATTATTTGTCTTCTACTTATTGAATTGGTTAAGTTTCTATTTTAATATCTTAAATCACAACCTCATTTTAAGCATCATCATTTTTCAATTAATCAATTTCTTCTTTATTATTCTCAACAGATATTTTATTAATATTTTTATCATCTAATGTATTCAATTCTTATTATTAAGTATTTATTTCAGATGATTCTTTTTATACTACATTTTATTATTATTGTTCTGTCTCATTTTATGATGATACTGTAATTTAATCTTTTTATTCTTAAATTGATTCTGTTTAAGTCTTAACTGGAATATCATATAGATTGTCAATTGAAGACTCAACTGAATTTTAATCTTTATTTTATTCCAATTATTATTCTACTTTAATATCTTTAGATGATATACTAGATTCATCTTATATTATTGCATCTACATTCTAATTTTCAACTGTAGTATTACCAATCTCTTAATTATCAGTTGATACAACTGGTTCTTATATCTAAACACTATCTTTAGATTATTCTTCAGCATCTTTATTTGTTATTTAATTGTTTTATTAAACATCTTATTTTTCATTCTCATTATTAATATCTTAAAGTTATTCATTCTAAACATCTTATTATTACTCAGTAGCATTTTAATCCTCTGATTTTTGTTTTTTACTTACAGAAACTGAAAATTTCTTTTATTATATTGAGGCTTCTTTTTATTAATTAATTTAATTTGTATTATCTTTCGCTTGAACATCATTATTTTGATTGATAATAGGATCATTAGTTTATTAGTCAACTTATTTATTGTCTTTTTTTTGTACTTTAATTGAAATTTTCTTTTCTTAGATTTCTGATTCCTTATTTACTTAATCAGATTAGACTTGAGTATTTTATTAATTTTCATTTGATTGTTCTGCTTTCATATGGGGTTGCTATTCAATTTCTAATGATTTTTGTGACCAAATTTCAATGGATTTATCCTTTACTTCATTCACTTCTACAGACCTACCTGTTTCAAGAAAACTTCTAAACTGAATAGAATGCATTTATACATAGCAACATCTTTCATTACTGAATTCTCTAGTAATTCATTCTATCTATATGCATTATCAAGGTGTCCACTTGATTCTTATGTGTAAATTTAATTAGGTAATATAACTTTCACATTAATGGTTCCATGAATTTCCGTTGATTTCACTAACAACAATGTCAGCAGCAATATGCTAACTAATTTTAACATATTAAAAAAATAATAATAAAAACGGATATATGGCACTACTACATCTAATTCAATCATAATCTTTAATACTCTTTTTCAAAAGCATTCAAACCAATATCTAGACTGATTCCAATAGAATTTGAAAAAATGTTAAATAGATCATATATATAGTTCCCTATAAATACTATTTGATAAAAAAGTGAATACATATATTAATTACAAAATGAATTAATTAAATTTATAACATAAAAGAATAGGTAAACATCAATATCACTTCTTTGATTTTTTTAAATAATTTCTATTCCTTTCAACTTATGGAAACTCATCTGAATCATCACTATCGGTTTCATTCCTCCTTAACCTTTTTAGTTAAGTTTCTGCAAACAGTTTGTTAATGGAAATAATTCCTTTCTCAACAGATGACTATCTGGCAACATATGATAATTTACAACTTTAAAGATCTTATTTAATTTCTGATTTAGCTATTATTCTATCAATTTTAGACTCATTAATTCTCTGATCTTTTTAGATCTTAGGGTTTACTTGCTATTATTAAAAGTATTCTAAATTCTTTAATCTATTTTTTTATTCAAAATTTTATACTCTTGATTTATCCTTATTCTATTATTATATGGCTTTTTATTTTCTCTTTTATTCTTCTTCCTTTAATTATTATTATTTTTGTTCAATTTCAATCTCATTCAATAATTATAAAAAATCTTACTTCTTTTTCTCTTTTCTTTTATTATAAATTTTCTCCTTTTTCTTTATTTCATCATTTGTTTCTAATCTACTCAATGGTTATTCTTTATATTTATAATTTCTATGTTTTTTCTATTTTATTTTATTTTAATTATTAATCCCTTAACCTGATATATTTACTGGAAGATATAAATTATCTTTTTATTCCTATTAAATCTAAGGATATTATTCTTCTTTTTGAAAATGCTCATTTTATTAATCTATTCTTTATCTCACTATTACACCATCATCAGGTTATTTATATTCATCTGAAGGTTAAATAAGTTGATTTTATTATTATAACTATTATCTATTATTATATTTTCGTTTATCAATAACTATCTTTAAAATCTAGATTCTGTCTGCATCCAATAAATCAAAATCTTCATCATCACTATTAGATTAAATACCTTTTTCTTTGTTAATTATAGATTATTTATTTTAATCTTCCTCCAATAATTCAACACAATCAGATGAATCCTATTTTGTTAATTTCTTTTACTTTGATTATTTCTTTTCTTTTTGTATTTTACACTCACTATTAATTTTATTACTAATAATCTTTTAATCCTAATCTTATTTAATTTATTTTTCTTTTTCAAGAGATGTATTCTCTTAATGATTCTCTTTTGTTTTAACATAATGTAATGTTATAGGATCAAACATATATTATTTAGTGATTATAATTGATTTCATATTCTATTTATGGATCTATAGAAACATTTGATCTGATAATCTTTTCTCAAATCTATATATCTCTTTTTCACCTTCATTTATTAATGCAATTTCTGAAAATCTTAACCATTTAATAAAATCTTTCTATTTTTATCTTAATAAACATCTATATAAAGGCAATCCTTAATTAATCAATTTTTTAGTTAAAATCTTGTAAACCTACTTTTATTCTTATTATTTTTTAATTTCCTTCTCTTATTACTATATTTCTTTTCTTATTTATCTAGCCAATGCAGCTTCTTATTAAAGTTATTATTTTTAAGCAGATTCTATCTATCTCTATAATTATTATTTTTAAGCAGATTCTAATTATTTCTATACTTATAATTTTTATATTTCTAACTAATTTTCTTATTATTTTTATTCTTTAATTTATACTATTTTAATACTTTTTTTTTCTGTATTATTTACACTATTTTAATCTACTCTATGTTTTTGTATTTGTAATGGAACTTATTTGTTCTTATCAACTTCATTCTTTTTTTTTTCCTTAACATTTGATAAATCTATAAGTAAATTATTTATGCAATCTAATCCTTCAAGCAATTGATCGACTTCCTATGGTTTTTATGTTTCATCAACTACAATCTCATTTCTCTTATATAGATCTTCTCGACCTCTCAATCTTAAATATATTAAAGAGTTCTTTGGATTATAAAATTTCTACTTGACAATCTATTTACACTTGGATATTTGAATATCTTAATTGATATCCTTTTTTGGAGTAATAGTATTACAATCATTTAAGTATTCCTTTTATGATAAATTGATAGGATTTGTCAATATATTAGCATTTAATTTATCTTTTAATTAAAATTCTTATTTCATTATTAGAGTTTATTTCTAAACATCTTTAGGTCTTTCTAAGATCAATTAATCTTGATCTATTTCTACTTCATCTATTATTTATTGATCTTCAAAAAATTACTCTATATATTGAGGTTCTTCTACTGGAGGACTGGATTCTTTCTACAATTAAATAGATTCTGGAGTAGATTCTGGCTCTTCATATTCTGATAATTCATCAAAATTCACTTCCCATCTTTAAATAAGATTATTATCAATTTTTCTTCTTGGAATTTAATCTTCTTCATGTTAAATTATTAGAGAAGGTATTTCTACTGTTTCTTTTTTAACAGGTTGAAGTGATGAGCCTTATTGTAATGATTTAATGTCAGATCTAGGAGGTGAGACAGGAGGTTGATTATGTTAATATGAGGAAGACTCAGATATATTGTCAGAAATGTCTTCAATGTCAGAAAAGTCAAGTACATAATGTGTTTACTTGATATTGGATCTCATTTAAAATAATATCAAGTCTCATTGATTAAGTGTTTAATTAGGTAAAAGAAAAAGAATGATTTTTTATCCATTTGCTAATAAATCTAAGTTAAATATAAAAGTTTATAAATTGAAAATTTATTAAATTCAAATTAAGTTTCTACATTTCATTAATGACAGCTAAATTAACATGAGATTATTTATTATTATTTGTAATTTTCATGATTCTTGGAACAGAAGTCAATGAATTCGTTTCAAATCGACAATAATCTAAAATACATTATCTTTCTGAAGAGAACAGATCCTTATAAGAATATATTCAAGATTTAGAAAGTGCCTTAAAATTAAATAAATAAGCCATGACTCTTACATTGGAAGGTCTAAATAAAAGACCATAAGTATTATCAATAGATTACATAGTTGACAACAGATAATAGCACAATGTCAACTGGTTATAATTATCCAAATTCATAATTAGAAAGAGTCATTTAGTTATTGAATGAAGAGAATCAAAAATTAATCAAAGGATTATCTAAATAATAAGCAATTACTTAATAATTATAAACTAAAATTTTATTACAAGAATAGATATCAGAGGAATAATAAGATTATTATAAAGACTTGATAGGAGATTTGGAATACAAATTAATAGAATTGAAGAGAAATGTTCATGATAAAGAATATGCAATCTAAGAATTGGAAAGAATGAAACCAATCCAAGAGAGAGAAGGTCAATTCTATAAGATGATTGAAATAGTCTCTCCTTCAGAATAGAATCTTAGATTACATGAAGAACTTGTTAATGTCAGAAATTTATTGAATAAAATTACTTAAGAAGCTTAAACCTTAAGTGATACCAATATTGCCTTAAAAGAAGGCAATTATGTAAGTATATTTATATTTTAGTTTCTTAAAAGGGAAATGTTCAAAATAAGAATTGTTTTGAGGAGTTAAATTAATTTTTAGACAATGAAAAGTAAATTTGTTTAAAATTTTTACTAGATTTCGTTTATGATGAATATTTAGATAAAACTGATGAAAATCTTTAAATCAATAGGGAAGTTTAAAATTAGAGAGGCAAATTGGAACAAATGCAATAGGATTTATGTGGAACATCTTGTTTAGGATATGGTTTCTCTCCAGAACCTTAATAACTTAAATATTTGAGCAAAAATGAACGCATGATTTATTAAGAAAAATTGCATAAGATGGAAATGATGGTAAAAGGATTTAAGGAATTATTCGAAAAAGAGAAAAATGCTAATTTACATATTAGACAATTATACAATGATTTATTGACTAAGTATGATTATGTTATAGATACAAATCAATTGATAATAAAATCTAACAATTTAAAAGATGAAAGAAATGAAAAATAATAAATAGAACTCTAATTCTACAAAAAATAAAGTTAAAGTCTTATGGAATAATTGAGAAATAGAAAGGTTTTTAATTCTATTCCCTTAAATTAAGAATAAGATATAGCTGTAGGAATATTTAGTCCGAGATATCAATAAAAATAATTAAATAATAATCAATCATAATCATCTTCATCTAAAGTATAATAAATTGGATTTGATGATTTAGAAATTAAGAACTCTAATAAATAGTTAATAAATCTTAATAATCAATTAAAAACTAAAGAAATTAATTTAATATAGAGTAATTAACCAAAAAAATAGATTTAACAATTAGACATTGAAGATGACAGTTTATCAATTGAACAAGAGAGATACATTTGCCAAACTGCAAGAGGTAATAATCAAATAACTTCTAAATTAAACTAAATATAATAAGAGGGACATATTTATTAGTATTTAGATATGAGTAAAGAAGAGTGCATTGAATTCTTAATGTCGATGTTTAATGATTATTTTAAGAAATTTGATGTAAATGAATTTATTATGTAGTTAAGCAATGTCAAGAAATAATAATTGATGAATTAAATTTAAAATAGACAATCCAACAAAAGATCCATTAAAAGATCTTATAGTAATCCTTATCTTTATTTTTCTAATGTTAATGCAATCACTTTTAATAAACCACCAAAATAATCTGTTATTGCTCTCGTATATAATAGTTATATTTTAGGCAAAAAATGAAATTTAGTTACTAGTAGCTGAAATCTAAACCAAAAAGTAGAAATAAATATAAAATGGTGTCTTTAGTGTAGATGTCTCTAAAATAGATATGAAATAAAATAAAAGATAAATGTTTGAAAACGATTTAAGTTTTATTTCTAATTTAGATGGTCAAGAATGATTTATTATTATTATTATTATATTAATACAATTAATTAATTTGAAATTAGATATCAAAAACTATTTTAATAAAGTATTGCTAATTCAAATTATATAGAAGCCTCAAAAACATTTATTGATATGATTATATTATATTTTTGAAATATACAAAAGATAATAAATATTTATATTAAAATCATTATATTAATATACTAAATGATTCATAAAATCAATAGATTATAAAGATTTTACATTGAAATACTAAGAAAAGGGTAACTATATTAAAGAAAACTTAAATTTTCATATATTTAAGTTCTATTACTAAGTGATTAATATAATAATAAATAGAAAACATTACATTTTTCTTTTTTAAAAGCCCATTTAAATTCTTATTTTTAAAAACACTAAAAATAATGAATACCCTTCAAAAATATCTAGATTATCTTTACAATACAGTTTCCTATATGTTAAACATTAAATTAATTTTACTTGCAAATCAAAAAGACTTTTTTTTATGTTTTTTCTAATTTGTTATTTTTCTAAAATTATAAACAAATAATATTAAAATGCTCTAAGATAGTAAAAGGCACGGTCCTTCTATAGAAATATAAAACTTAGGACCACTACACAAATCTATAAGCAAGATAACGGATCCTGATATTCAAAGTATTGAGTGTTAGAAAAATACCTATATTACTTCTCCTAGAGCATAACGATTTGACAAACTGGGAAATTTGATTCAAAAAAATTAAAAAACAAAATATTAGATAACATTTCGAGATGAAGTAACAGCCAAAGCTAAATTGTATGACATCATAATAGTGGACAATTGGAAAAATTTTAATATTATAGATGAAGATAAAGAGAAAGTGAGCTGTTGCTAGTCCAAAAGTTGTTAATTATTTTGATATCACACTATTTTACAATCTCTATCAATAGTATATAATCAATTTTATCATAAAATATCTTAATGTTGATTATCTCTTTCTTATTCAACAATTTTCATGTTCAGTATTGATGGACAATGACTATTCTTAAACTTAAATTATTAAATAAAATAATGTATTTATATACTAAAACATGTGGCATCCTTTTATTTCAATATTTATTGATTCTATATACCTTTAATACACTAAATAAACATTATAATTTCTAAAAATTATTAGAGATACCTAAAAATTATACAGGCTTTCTTAAGCTCTAAAATAATTTATTATTATTAACTCTTCTAATTATTACTGTAATATTAATACGTAGCAGTAGATATTAACCTAATTTTTAGTCTAAGCTATTAGTATTGATATTTAATCAAAATTCAATTTTAATTGTAATTTTTAATTAAAAAAGTATCCAACTATTTGATTAAATTAATATTACTATTTTATATTCAAATATTAGAATTGTAAAATCAGAATTCCTTTATTTTTTAATTCTCATTTTATACATTAATTAAGACTTTCAAATTATTAGATTTAATTAATATATAATATTAATAATAATAAAACTACAATAATAAAACTACAATAAATTATGTTACTTGATTTATTAGTTAATTTTTAAATTTGTACTTAATTAAAGAAATTTAAATATGATGATATCGACTTTATTAAATTTATGATTAAAATATTTTAATAAACTCTCTAAAGCTTTTCACATTTATAAATAAATATAATTATCAAGAAACAAGATAAAACCTTTATTTTTTTCATATTAAAATGATAAGAGATCTCTTTAATTCAATTAGATGAGATTTTATAATATTAGATTTTGAGCATTTTAGGAATAATGATAATCAAGTTTAAGGAAGACAAATAGATATATAGATGATTAATTATAATGGTAATCCATCAGAAAATCTGTGTTATAAGCTAAGTTTTATAAATATCATTTTTATTATATAATTTCATATTATTAGAATAATAGAAATCTAATATTGACTAATTATTGAGATTCATTAATTATGAATAAATCATATCATTTTTATAAAATAAAATGTCTGATAGCGATTATTCTCAAAAATTTGGAATTAACCAATCCATTTTTAATAGTGAGCCATTAAAATAGATTACTCCTATTTTAAAAGTCTCCCGTTCAGCCTCAGATGATACACCAACTTTGAGAAATGTGTGTATTTTAATTAATTTTTTATCTAAACTGTGAAAACAAACTTCCTCTATTTTGAATTTAATAATTAATATATTTATGTATTATTTATATATAAATAATATATTATTATTAAGATTTTTATAAAATCTATCATTAAAAATTTAGTAACTGTATTTTGGTTCGTAAAGATAGTTATGGGAATTTAATTTAACGTGGAAATAAGAAACATAAAATATAGTTCAGAGAATAAAATGAAATATTTTTAGGTATTAAAACTCTATTATAGATAAGTTGAAAATTGGAAATAATATAATACAGACATGGCAAACTAAGAAACTCTCTGCCTTTGTCAAATAATATGAATCTTATTTATTTCATTTTTTTCAAACTCTTACCTATTATTTTATTAGAAATATTTCCATTAAATATAAATTCATTTAATAAATTTTATATTAATTTAATCATAAATTAATATAGAGATTTCATAAAATCTAAAATAGATACTTGTAAATATTTTCGTTTTTGATTAAGAATATCATTTTCAATAAATTTTTGACAACATAAAAATTATGTGGAGATTTTTATTTTAAGATAATTATTAATCAATTTTAATTATTTGAATTTAATATTATTATTAATTAAAATTTGAGTAGATGTCTTAATAAAGAAGACCAAATAGTTAACAGAAAATGTAATAGAACATTGTAAAAAGTTGTAAAATTTTAGACTTAATCAATCAACAATTTGAAGACTTAATTATAATAATAGAGATAAAATAGATGGTCAGAATAAAATATGAATAAAGAACTTTTTGATTTTTTAACATAAATAAATTTGCAGTAATTTTATGGAAAGATAGCGTAGCACTGTGATGGTAGTTTATAATAACTGATTGAGATGAAGTAAATTAATGATTATAATAATCAGATCAACTAAAGATATAAAGGATTTACCATTTGGATATTAGATTAAATTATAGGTATAAAGACTTGATTAAAATTGAGAAAGCGATTGAGAAGATGTCTAAAGAATTACCAAATAAAATATTGAAAATTGAATAGATATTGTAAAATGAACAAAAAGAATGTTGTTGGATTTGCTATTAATTGATCTTTGAAAGTATAGATTGCTATGGAAAGAAGGTATGCTCTGAAAAATGTAAATAAATGTATTTGAAGGAAATATAAGTAATGAAGTCTTTATTAAATTAAGATAAATTGTAAGAGATGTGGAAAAGTGAAAACAAAATATGATTCAATTAATTCATTTGGAGAATGGTATTGTTAGTAGGAATGCGTTTATACTGAAGAGGAATTAATGTTTTTGTTAATGAAATCAAGTTAACTTAAGTAATGAATTAGTATATATTTAATTATTTTTATTTTTGATTATGGCAGATATAAAATTCAAAAATCATCTACAAAAATCATAAGAATTTGATAAGTCTAAATTGATTAGAGAGAAAAAGGAAATAATCTAACGATTTCAATAATAATATATAATAGAATCTGAAGAACCTACTAGATATAAGAAAGGAATTAAAATTAAGAATTATATTGACTTGGGAAAATATGAAGGTGAATTAAACAATGATAAAAGATGTGGCAAAGGCATTTATTATTATAGTAATGGCGATACTTATGTGGGAGAATGGAAGGACGATAGGTAAAACAGAAAGCACAATGTAGGTTTCATGGAAAAGGAGTTTATTTATTCGCAAATGGAGAGAGATATGATGGATATTTGACGGAAAGTATCAAACATGGTCGAGGAATATATTTATATGAGAATGGTAACATATATGAAGGAGAGTGGGCAAATGATAAAAAAAATGGTTAAGGAACTTATACATATTTTGTAAATAATGAAAAATTTGAAGGGTAATGGGTTGATGGTGAAAAACATGGAAAAGGTTTGTACATCTACACTAGTGGTGATTAATATTTTGGAGATTGGAGAGATGGAGCTAAATCAGGAAAGGGAGTATTTGAGTATTTAAATGGGTCAAGATTTGAGGGAGAATTTCTTGATGATAAAGCAAATGGATTTGGAGTAATGGAATACTAAAATTAAGATAAATATGAAGGAGAATGGACAGGAGGTTTAAAAGAAGGATAAGGAATATATTGGTATTCTGATGGAGCAAAGTATCAAGGATAATGGAGGAATGATTAATAATTTGGACATGGAATCTTTTATTATGTTAATGGAGATAGATATGAGGGATCTTTTGTAGATGGAGAACGTTCTGGGAAAGGAATTTATATATATACTAATGGAGATAGGTATGAAGGAGATTATAAGAATGATTTGAGGAGTGGTATTGGAAGATTAAAAATGATTAATAATGATGTTTATTATGGAGAATGGTCAAATGGAAAGATTAATGGTAAAGGAAGATATGAATATGCAAATGGTGATTATTTTGAAGGTGTCTTTTAGGATGGTAAGAGATAAGGAAAAGGAGTGTATTTTTGGAAAAATGGAGATAAACTTATTGGATATTGGAAAAATGATAAAATGGATGGAGAGGGAGAATTCCGATAATAAAATTGAAATTTAATGAATAAATTAAATTTATTATGAAATAACTTATATATTATTAATGAAAATTTTAATAGTTAATGGGTATGGAAAATGTATCAAAGGATTTAGAAGTTTAGAACATTATTAACAAATAATAAAAGAAGTACTAATCTAAATATAATATATAGGTATTGACTGGAAAAAAAGAGATGATAGATACAGAATTGGAATTCTTCTTTGCTGATCGAGATTCAATAGATGACTTTCTTTATGAGATTGACAGTTCTTTTGTTAGAGTTGAATGTGGAAAGATGTTTGATTCAATTGATTTAATCTTTTTTGAAGGAGATGCAAATCTTAGACCTTGGTCTCCTAATGCTTACAAGTACTTGATTTTGTTAAGGATGTGTATGCGAAGTAATAAGATTCTATTTGCCTCATCATTTGCCATGTAAGGCTTAGTCTTTTTGATTGCATCTAATGTTGAATGTGTACAAACTTACCCCTACTTTAGTAATTCTCTGTGATTAATGGACTTAATGGTGGATAATTGGGAGATCTTTCTAAAATGAAGAAACCTCTTAATGAAATAAGAATGTCTGATTTCTTTCTTGATAATGTAACTGGTGATTTGTACAGTTTCAATTATGATACTGAAGAATGGATAAGCAAGGGAAATGCAGGTTTACATAGTAGAAGAGCAGCTGAAGAATTTAAAACAATTGGCAAATATATTGTAAAGGCTCCACAATATAAAGTATCAAGAATGAAAGAAATTGATTAACTTTATTTTTCAAAAGAAACTGAGATCGTTTGTTCTTTAAGAAAGAATTCTATGCATAATTATTTATTTAATGGTTTGCCATTTGAATTTGTGGTTCCATTTAAGAATTCATGGGATGTTCATCCATTTAATTTTGTAAATCCAAAGAAGACATTTCAAACTTTGGCTGATTGTGAAAAAGGTTTAACTACTTAATTTATTAATAGGACCACTAATAATTTAAGTTTCAGACAATATTATAGCAACTTAATTCTCTATACGTTCTAAGTACAAGGAAACAGTTTAAATAATGCGTAATTTTATGGGATATTAATTAAGTATATTATATTAATAGTTTATAATAGCGAAATTATGTTCTGGAAGGGCATAAACAATTCCTATTGAAATTGCTTCAATTAAATAGAATGATAATGCTATGGATATTTATTTGGAACATTTAGGTCGTAGTAAATATCATAATTAAAAAACCATTAAATTTAATGTTATTACAGAATTTCATCATGCAGGATTTGCTGCTAAGAAATCTAATCAATTAGATGTTGTAGTAAATAATGCTATTGGAAAAAGAAAATTTAAATAAACAATTTAAAAATTGAATCCAAAAGAGTTAGACAGATTATTAGAATAAGTAAATATAAAAATTATTAGTAATTAGAATTCTTCGATTTCATATCAACCTTTTTTAGTTGATAAAAATCATTAACCAAGTATTTATAGTATATAGCCATAACATAATGTTGAAGAATAAACATTGATATTCAATAAAACAGGTGCTGAGATTATTTAATTTCTCCATCCATCTATTGATAAAAATATTTTTCCTAATGCAAAACCTCTCTGGGTTCCTGGCTACTTGTCTCAAAGTCGATTGCAAAAAAGTTAATTAAAATAAACCCAAAATACAACTGGGGAAGAGGTTTAATCGACTCCTTTCTTAACAGAGTAAAAGTAGATTATTACTCCCAAGATACCTAGAACTGCTTCATAACCTAATTTTAGAGTGATATAAAAAGATAAATGGATAACAAATAAGAATTTTAAAGTCTGAATATAAATCTATATATTATTTATTTTTCATTTGTTTATAGTAGTCAGTAATTTCTACTCATAACCATTTAAGAAATAAAATATCAATATAATAATATTTTTTTTAAGATAATCTTTTATTTATTTATTCTATTAATATTTGTAATAATATTTTATATTGAATCATTATATTGATTTAAAATTTGTGATTTAGAGTTTAAATCATTTTATTTTATTATTTTATAGAATTCAATTTTCTAAATGAGAAGTGAAATTAGATAGAATCAGACTTTTTAAAGCTTTTTATGGAAATATAAATAATCACTTTAATATAAGTATTTAACAATTAAAAATGATTAATTAATATATATCAAAATAAAATATTGAAAGAGTAAATGTATAAAGAAAAGCAAGTAGAAGAGTATTTCTATCCTACAATGCATAATAAAAAACAAAATGATTACTTAAGATAAAGTCTTTAAGAAGATTGGAATAATTATGGCATTTAGAAAAGTAAGGAGGGGTTTTTGAAGTAAACATTTAAAGCAAGAAGTGAACAATAGTAAGAAGATTTAGAAATAGGTCCTAAAAAGTCAACAAGACCTATGACTGCATTAATATCACCTAGTCATAGTTATTCATCAAGATAGAGGCCAATAACAGCACCAGGATTGAATGTGTAAGTAAAACACATGATGAAGATAGATGAGAATGAAGAGATGATATCAGTGCCATACCATTCAGAAACAAGGTATTATAAGAATACAAAGAAATTAGATAAAAGTAACTTATTTTGTATAAGTTATTAAATAGCAAATTAAAATTACATTCGCAATCACACAACTTTAAAGAAGCTATCTTTAGAAGGAGAAAGTGAGATCTACAATATCGAAGAGGAAGAAGCAAAGAATTAAAATATGATAGAAAAATAGACTATAAAGAGTAGTTTATTCTCTCCAATGTAGAGTGAACAATAATAATTAACAGGAGGACTTCATTAAAATGCAACAATAATTAAAGGAACTTAATCTTAACAAAAGTTATTCAAACATTCTAGTTTATAAATATATGATAATCTGGTTGAAATAATGAAATTAATAAATGGATAAACTTACACAAAAAGTCCTGTGATTGTTAAAACAAAACCATAAGGATTGAGACCTTAAAGTGCAGTAAACAAATAAATAAAAGTGAGTTAACGTTATCGACCTGTAAGTGGAAAAGTATAATCAATTACAGTAAGAGGGTACTAATTGTGATAATATAATTTAATTTCTCAAAATATCCATTTATATTATTATTAGATAAATATCCAAAATAAAATGAGTGATATTATTAGAAGTTCTTAATACAGAGCAATCTAGGTAATTATTGATTTCATTAAAAATAGAATGTTACAACTAATCAATAAGCCAATAATCCTGTTCTTTAAGGACAAGTAGTAAAATAAGTGATCTTAGAAACACGTAAAGATGAATAGACTGAATAATACGAATTGAGAATTGAAAAACTAACTTAAGAGGTTGAGTAATGGAAAAGACAGTGTTTTTTAAGTGAGTAATAACTCAATAAATTTACAACTCAATTATAAGAAGTAATTTTATATCATTTACAAATTTAATAGATGGCTAGTCTTGAAGCTAGATTGGGTGCATTATAGTAGGAATATAAGAGTGTAGAAATTAAATATAGAGAAAAATGTAATGATTTTGAGAAATTGAGGATTGAGTATAGTAAACTTGATTCAGCCCTTATCTCTTATTCATTAACTCATATTGAAACCAAAAAATTTGAGGAAGCTATACAGAGTAAATAGAATATCATATTTGACTTATAAAGGCAACTCTAAGATGCTAATGAGAGATTATTATAAATTCCTAAATTGGAAGATTTGTTGAGAAATGAACAAAGAAAAAATGAATAACTAGTTTAAGAGATTGATTAATGGAAATAAAAGTACACAGCTATTCAATAAGACAAAGATAATTATATTAAATAATTAAAATATGAAAGTGAAGATATTAATTAAAAAAACAAAGAATTTTTAGATGCTGAAATTCATAAAGGAAATAATGATCTTTTGAACAAAGTTAAATTACTTTAAGCCTAAATTGAATAACTTAAGTAAGAGGGTAAAGAATTCTAAAATCTTTTATAATTGGAGTAGTCTGAAAATAATAAATTAAGATCTCAAGTAGATTTATTAAATGCTCGTATTGTAGAACAAAATGAATAATTGAATATTGAGATTGGATTAGTTAAAGAGAGAGATTTTAAATTAAATGATGCTGAAGCTAAAATTAAATAATTAGAAGATGATTTATTAGAAATAAGAAGATTAGATTAAATTATTTAAGATTTGGAAACTAAAAATTAAAATCTTGTTAATGAGATAGATACATTACGTAATGAAGCTAATCAATATAAATTGGTTATTTAATAATTAGAACATGATCTTGGTAAATTGATGGAATTAGAAAATAAAGTTGCTATGTTATCATCTGAAATTGAAAGATTGAAATAAATGATTGCTTCTAAGAATGAATAGATTGATAGATTAAAATAATAAATTGATTAATTAAATAAGGCAATAGATGATTATAAGACTATTGAAGCAGAAAAATAAGTACTTGAAAATAAATGTGCTATGTTAGCAACAGAAATTGAAAGAAAGAAATTTTAGATTGAATAAAGAGATGTTAAAATAAATGAATTAAATAAATAAATTAATGAATAACAATAATTCATTGATGAATTAAAGGAAAGACCAGATTTATCTATACCTTTAGCTGAAGCTGAGAATTTAATTAAATTATGGTAAGAGAAGTATTAAAATTTAGAATAAATTTAAAATAAATACACAATTATTGAATAAGAAAATTATTAATTGAAGAATTAATTATAAGCTTTATTGTAAGAGTTGGATTAAGTTAAGAAAGATTTATAATAACGATCTAATCAATTAAATGAAGCAGAATCTACAATTCATTTAATGGAATAAGATCTTAATAAACTTAATTCACTTTAAGAATAGATTAAAGCTTGGGAATCTAAGTATTAATTACAAACAGAGTAGTTTACTTCAATAAGAGAATAATTAATTTAAAGTTAAGAAACTATTAAGAAAAGTGATAGAGATGATATTTTGAATGAATTAAGAGAATTATAAGGAAGATATCAATCTTTAGAAACATAAAATTAAGATTTAATTGATTAACTTGAATAATTAAGATAATTGTATATTAAGTGTTAAGCAGAATTAGAAGAAGCAATTAAATTAGAATCAAAGGTTTATGATTTAGAAAATAAAGTAGCTATGCTCTCAAGTGAAGTTGAAAGATTGAAATATAGAACAAATTCAAAAGATGAGGAATTAAAGAAATTATAAGCATAAAGTAAAGATTTTGATAGTTTGAAGAATGATTTCTAATAAATGAATGGAGATTTATAAAATACATAACATTCATTAGAAGAATTAACTTAATAATTAGAAGAATAATTGGATAAATTTAAATAATAAACAAAAGAATTGAATGAAGCATAATAAATGAGAGATTAATTAGAAAATAAGATTGCTATGTTATCTACTGAAATTGAAAGATATAAATATAAATTAAATAATAAATAAAATGAGACAGATTAATTAAAGAAATAAATCTTAGATTTATAATAATAAATAAGTCAATTAAGTTAAGTTGAGAATGACAATATTAAATTAAATTAAGAATGTGAAAAATTAGATTAAAAATATAATGATTAAGTTGAAATATTATAATAAACTAAAAATGAGAGAAATGAATTATAATAAATTAAAAGTTAATTAGAATAAGAATTATCATTAATATAATCAGAATTATAATCATCTTAATAAAATTAAGAAATTAAAAATAAATAAATTAAATAATTAGAAAATGTAATTTAAGATAAAGAATAAAATATATTATAACTTAAAAATTAAGAATAAAAGATGTTTGAATATGAAACTAAATTAGCATTTTTAAGTTAAGAAATTGAAAGATAAACTAATTAATATAAAGTTAAATTGGGTGAATTAGCAGAATTGTAATCTTAATTAGTAAATATTAATGAATTGTAAATTATCATATAAACACTTGAAAGTGAAAAAACTAAACTTTCAGGAATAATATAACAAAAAGAACATGAAACACAATTATGGAAAAATAAAGTAGATGAATAATAAAAAGCAATGGAGAAATTTGAAGAGATGAAAGTAATTTTATTAACCTATTTAATTTTAGTATCAAATGGAGAATAAAATTGCTATGTTATCAAGTGAAGTTGAAAGATTGAATTATAAATATAAAGTATTATTGGATGATAAATCAAAATGGAATAAACGAATGAAGTTGCTTTTCGATGAATTAACTAAAGTTAGTATGTAAAATGAAATTTCATCGAATGTAAAAAATTATAATATAAATTTTAGGAAGCATTCAATTGGAAACATAAGATTTTAGAATTAGCAGAACTCTAATCTAAATTAACATAACAAGATGGTTCAATTTAATAATGTCTTTAAGAGACAGAACATATGAGATAACAATTAAAAGAATAAGATTTCTTGGATGCTAGATAAAAAATAAGATCAATATGAAATATAACATAATAAAATTATTATTCATTATTGCTATTGCTTTTATTATTGTTTCAATTACTATTTTTTTTATTAATTTAATTTAGTTATTTGTTCTCTTTTTTCAATCTCTAACTGAACATTTATTATAGGTTCTGAATTTTTTTATCTCATGATATTCACCTCATTCAAAATCAAGGCCTTTAAATCTTTCAATTAGATAGTGCTATCATTTTCAAATTAACAATCTAAGTTGCCTTCAAATGATGGTTCATCATCAGGATCTCTAATAGGTTCCAAGTATGGATGATTAAGAGCCTATGATTATATTTGTATTTATATACTTCAGCACTTGTAATTCTCTTTTTAGGATTAACTTCAAGTAATTTATCTAATAAATCTATCGCCTAAGGATTAGAATATTTAATAACAGAGCCAATAGATACTTTTTATTTTGTTTGTAAGCTACTTACATATTTTTTGGCATTTGCATTAGTAATGAATCCCAAATCTTCCTCACCTGGCTTTCCCAAAGTATCAAATATCAATTTAATCATTTGAATATAATTTGTTCCTTTAAATAAAATTTATCTAGTGATTAATTCAGCAAAGGTACAACCCAAAGACCACATATCAATTGCAGTTGAATATTCATGTGAAGATAACATTACTTCAGGTGCTCTATAATATCCTTTATTAATATATTAATTATTTATACTTGTAACAACATATTCTGTAAGCATATTCTGGCATCGATTATCTTCAGCTTCTAATTCTTCTATTTATCTGGCCAATCCAAAATCACAAAAACATATTTCACAATTCTCTGTTGCTAATATATTACTTGGCTTTATGTCTCTATGTACTATATTGGCTGAATGTAAATATTTTAATGCTTTTATTAATTGATACCTATGTTATCAATACCAAATACATAATGTATTAAAAGTGTTGATCAGTCAAATTCTAACCACTCTTTATTATTTTATATAAATCAACTTCCATATAATTGGTAACCAAATAAATCTCTCCAAATTCTAATTCTTTATTTGAGTCATCATAAATCAAATGTTCTAAGCGAAGAATATTCTCATGCTTCATTGTTCGTAATATTCTTATTTCTCTTAAAACTCTTTTAGCATCTATTTCATCTCTCACCAGGTGTAGTTTCTTAATAGCCACTTTTTAATAATCAGGGTCTGTCTATTTCTTATCTATAGCCAATGCAACATGTCCATAAGCACCAGCTCCTAGTAATTTTTTAACATCATATCTAGGCCCTACATTAAATTGAATCCCAGAAACGATTTGATTCATAAGTATATAATTAATAAATTAATTTACTAATTTTCAATTTTCTTTTAATATTCCTAACTCATTAATTGTTCTATTTTTGATCACTTTCCATTCTAATAATCTTTATATCAATATATCCCTAATCTAATCACTAAATGTAAATAGATTTATTAATCTAATTGTTTATTTTCTATTGCATCAAAATATCTAATACTAAATAATTGAAAAAAAGTCATCGAATATAAATTAAATTCAATCATTTTAAGATTTTTCTTAGTAGAGTATCATCTGAAATACTTTATACAGAATTTTATGAATTAACATATAAAATACTAGCATTTCTTTATGGTCTCAATTTGAAAACAAAATCTTCAATTCTCTTTTTGTATTATAAACGCTCCTCATTGTTCAATAAGTTGCTCATTGATGCACTCTTAACTGACCTTGTCTATCCTTTTAAACCATTATAATGTGTTTCATTGACATTCTACAAAATTGGATTGAATTGCTTTGGTTAAAGAGTTCTCCCCAACTTTATTGGGCTGCTTTCCTCCATTGGAGTTTTTTGATAAAGAGTGGATCTTAAAGATATTCGCTATGGAAATAATTATAATTTCTATTATCTTATAGGAGTTTTTAAAATTTTTGGAGATGCTTGATATTTTATTTGTTATTCCCCTTTTTATTAGGGTTCTATGACTGTTTTTTTTATTGGAGAATTTTGTTTACCACTATTTTCTAATTTTGGTATAGATGCTGTTCTGAATCTCATCCTTGTTTTAGGGGATTCTTAAGTTGCAACAATAGCAGGTTTTTCTAATTATTGTGATACTTTTCGTTAAAAATGTAAAGGATTTTATATCAAATGTTCCAAGTAGTGGTCCTCATTTACTTCCCATCCTTGATTCATTATCTGATTCTTATNATGCTTCATTGTTCGTAATATTCTTATTTCTCTTAAAACTCTTTTAGCATCTATTTCATCTCTCACCAGGTGTAGTTTCTTAATAGCCACTTTTTAATAATCAGGGTCTGTCTATTTCTTATCTATAGCCAATGCAACATGTCCATAAGCACCAGCTCCTAGTAATTTTTTAACATCATATCTAGGCCCTACATTAAATTGAATCCCAGAAACGATTTGATTCATAAGTATATAATTAATAAATTAATTTACTAATTTTCAATTTTCTTTTAATATTCCTAACTCATTAATTGTTCTATTTTTGATCACTTTCCATTCTAATAATCTTTATATCAATATATCCCTAATCTAATCACTAAATGTAAATAGATTTATTAATCTAATTGTTTATTTTCTATTGCATCAAAATATCTAATACTAAATAATTGAAAAAAAGTCATCGAATATAAATTAAATTCAATCATTTTAAGATTTTTCTTAGTAGAGTATCATCTGAAATACTTTATACAGAATTTTATGAATTAACATATAAAATACTAGCATTTCTTTATGGTCTCAATTTGAAAACAAAATCTTCAATTCTCTTTTTGTATTATAAACGCTCCTCATTGTTCAATAAGTTGCTCATTGATGCACTCTTAACTGACCTTGTCTATCCTTTTAAACCATTATAATGTGTTTCATTGACATTCTACAAAATTGGATTGAATTGCTTTGGTTAAAGAGTTCTCCCCAACTTTATTGGGCTGCTTTCCTCCATTGGAGTTTTTTGATAAAGAGTGGATCTTAAAGATATTCGCTATGGAAATAATTATAATTTCTATTATCTTATAGGAGTTTTTAAAATTTTTGGAGATGCTTGATATTTTATTTGTTATTCCCCTTTTTATTAGGGTTCTATGACTGTTTTTTTTATTGGAGAATTTTGTTTACCACTATTTTCTAATTTTGGTATAGATGCTGTTCTGAATCTCATCCTTGTTTTAGGGGATTCTTAAGTTGCAACAATAGCAGGTTTTTCTAATTATTGTGATACTTTTCGTTAAAAATGTAAAGGATTTTATATCAAATGTTCCAAGTAGTGGTCCTCATTTACTTCCCATCCTTGATTCATTATCTGATTCTTATTATCAAAATGTGTATTATATTAAAATAAATATAATTATATATAAATAAATATAATTATATATTACTAGAATAGATTTTGATTGGTTAATTCATATAATTAGCTATTATGAATACCTAAAGAGAATTTGGTTTGAAGATTATTACCATGTTTCTAGATTATAGATTCCCTTTCATTATGATTAGTCAGTAATTTCTAAAATCTCTCTCTATTACAAAATATACTAAAAGTTTTATAAACAATTAGGGAATTTATATAGATTTAAGAAATCTCTTAGTAAAATAGAGGAAATGACTGATTTACTTGTATAAAACATTTATTTAAAATGAATAATGAAAAATTAATTAAAGAGTTTTCCTACAAATTTGGAACAAATAAATAAAAAATTTTCTTACTTTATAATTAAAAGATTACTGATAGAGATGATATAAGATTATTTAAATATAAAAAGTATATATTTTAAATTCTATCATAATCTTCTTGTAATCAAACTCTTAATTCTATATTCAGTTTTAATTCGCTATTGACTTCGAATTGTTGGATTTAAGGGTTATTAGCTTTTATTTTCTTTTGAATTTTTTGTTGGCATGATAACTTGTTTGTGTTTTCTATGGTTTGTTCTAACTCTGAAATAATCCCAAAATCTCATATAATTCAAATCATCATTAATATTATATTTTTAAGTATAATCTTTCAGATTCTCAAGGGGCAAGATCTTTTTATATTTCAAATAATGAAATTTCAATTTATTTATTAATTTCTATGTTTCTAAGGCCAACTATTCTTCTGAAATCTATTCTTTTTTATTTGGATAAGTTTCAAATCGTATTTTGTAGAGCATTTACAATTCATCTGTTGGTGATAAATATGATAACTCTCCTAAATGAACTCCCTTTAATAATATTTCATCATCATCCCAAACATTATGTTCTGATGCATCTGAACTTGAATCTGATTAAGAACTACTACTGTCTTATTTGATCTAAATTGAAGGCTTTTAGAATCTTGACTTTCTAGAGGAAACTTTTTATGTTTGTGGAAAATTCAAAGTATCTGGAGTATTAGGTTCGCTGACTTCTTTTAATGGTTAAAGAGGCTGTTAAATAAATATTGGTTATTTAAATTTAATTTCTGATTTTGTTGAAGTACTATCAGAATCATTAGATGAAGTTGATTGTTTACGACTATTTGATGTTCTAATAATAACTGTTCTATGTAGGTTTTTTATCATTTTTATAATAAAAATTTAATAATAAAAATTTAATTATTATGAATGTTACTTTTGTTTATTATGATTATTATTGTTTAAATTTTATGCAATTTATAGATGAATATGTCATTTATCAAACTAATCCTCCTGAATTTAACTTATTTCTAATAACAGTACTAAATTCAGCAGAATTCACAAACTCTTTGGCATTTCTAGTAGTTTGGAGTTAAATTTGATATTGGGCCTTCAATTCATTATATATTTAGATTTCTTAGGCTTAAGCATCCTTATCCTATTCTATATACATATGGTCAATCATTTTTACATAAAGAATCCTAGTAATTTTGTAAATCTTATTCATTTTATGCCAAAGCTTCTTGAGTGGATTTCAATTTATCTAAATATTAAATTTAAACACTTACTTTAATAAGCTGCTAAGACATATGTAGCTTCTAATACAGAACGTTTAAATTCTTAATATTCTGTATTTAAAGTCTTTTATCTTGCTTCCCAAGTTTCTTAGATTTATTATTCATCAGTATTTTCCTATTATATATATATATATATTTTATACTTAATTAAGACTAGAAACTAATTGATTTCTAGTGTCTTATAATAAATCTTTAATTTTCTTAGCTTGTCCTTAATCTGAAAAATTCTATGTCAATTAAAGTAAAGCTTCAACAAGTGGATGAATTACGCTGGTCTTTTATATTTTAGTATTGACTCTTTTGACTGCTTAATGAATTGTTGCTTTTTCTGAGAAGGAAATATTTCCATTAATTAATGAATTAATCAATTGTAAGGCTTCATCAACAGCACTTATTGCTCCTTGATGTTCACTAACTAAATATTGTTGTAAATAATACCTCTATCTAAATATGCTTAATGTTAATTTTATCTTGCAAGTGTTTCTCTGGATAATGAATCTCTGTTATCATTAATGAAACCATTTAATCTTTCAATTTTAGAATTAGTTTAATCAATGCTTGGTAATAGGATAGCATCAATAAAATCTTTTTAATTGAAAATATTGATTTCTGTTTAACCAATATTAATATCTAAATTTTCTTAAGTCACTTAATGTTAATTAGTTGATCTTGTAAAATCGTCTTCTAATTATTGTAATTCAATAGTCAATTCATTTTCTAAGTCACCAATTGCTGTCACCAAATCATCTAAATTTTTATTACTCACTCATTGATACCAAGAGGTCCTCTCATTTCAGCATGTGTTTAAGCCATTTCTATTATAAATTTTCCTAAATTGTTTTAAGATAACTCATCTATTTTTTCTGTGCTCAATTACACCATACTTGGGTCTATTGAATAGACTATTGATATAGACAAAATCAAAGCTAAGAGTTTTTACATAGGCTATTTAAAATAATAATGTAATCCGTTTTAATAATAATTGTATATAAAAATATATTATATTATTTTAAATCATAATAATAATCTAATTTAACCTATGTTGTAAATAAAATATTCTCACTTATATTATGAGAATGAAATAACTTCTTATTTTGAATAAGACAAATTTATATATATCTAAGTAAATTTATTTTATTTTTTATATTGAATGATTAATTTTATTGTTCATTTAGTATATTTTTTAAATCCATCAGTATACTGAGATTATCCTAGATTAAATTCCATTGGTTCATCTACACCAACATAAATTTTATTCATTGCTTAATTAATTGGAGATGGTGTTATATTAAAATAAACTTAGGGAGGTACTATGAATTGTACACTTGGTTATAAGACTTTACTATTATTTAATGAATCAATCTAAATTAATATAAATAGATTTTACTCTATCTTTGTTGAAAAACTTATTGTATTAATCACTCAGAAAATTATGTGGTTTACTATTATTATTACCATTTAATAAACTATCCATTTTCATTAATTTGATTGGATTTGAAGATGTAAACATAGATAGTTATTATTTATAATCTTATTAATCTTAAGGGGAATTTGATTAATCATCTAATTGATTACCACATTAATATAGATCATCAAAATTTCTAGCTTATTAATGATCAATAATATCATTAAATGCAATTTCATCATTTTTTTTCTTGTTTTTGGCTTATAATTTATTTTTTGATTAATCAAATTCTTCTTATTTAGGTTCAATTTTCACAATTTTTCTTGATTCTTATTAAATTTGTTTATCATTATTCTCTAAAACTTTATTTCTCAATCTCATTTATTATTGACCTTTATGATATTATTGATTTTGCTAAATAAGTTAGGATTACTAAATAAATAAATGTTATTAATTTAAATGTTCTTATGCTCTTGTTCTTTTTTATTCTATACTCAATTCACTTTCTGCTTCAGATTATGATTCATTATCTTTCTTTTTTTGGAATCCAGGATACTAATTGTATAAATATTATAAATACATCCTATTTTGTGAAAATCTTCTTGTGATTTGATGATATTAATTCTAATTCGGTATTCTCATTAGACATAAATTAATAGACAGTACCACCTAAAAAATAGATTCTATTTAATTTTACTTAAATCTGTAAAACACAAAAGCATTTTGATATTGCACAACACTGCTAATTCACAAGCCTTTTTCAACAATCCATTTTTTCTTTTGTTAAAAGTTATCTAAAATATAATTATAAGTTTATAAATTATATAATGGTTCTAAAAATAGTAGAACAAGCATTTAATTAAATAAAATTACATTTCTAATACGATCATCTTTTATATATTGAATGTCAATTTTATTTCTTCCCATTTTATAATTAATTATTTAATATTTAATAAATATTCAATAATATTTTTGGCTAAATACTAATTTTTATCAATCTATTAGATTTGATTAAATATCTAAGAAACAACATAAGAATTAACAATTAATAAAAGAATTATTATATTATCAATATTCGAATTTTATTATTTTTATTTTCACAAACGCTATTATTATCTAATTTTTGATTTCTCTATAACACTTAATATTTAAGCAGCATGTCTCTATGTCTTCTTTGGTCTTTTCACTTTCATTAAAACAACATCCAAATTGAATTAAGCAAAATAATGTTTTGTATTAAAACATTAATCTATATCAAAATCTATTCTTTATCTTGATTAATAAGTTAATTCATCTAATCTACTATTGCTAGCTTCTTAAATCATGGAAAGTGAAAATTATCTTTAATCTGGCCTTGATTAAAATTACTAAGATTTTCTCATTTGTGCCATCTGTTAGTCAATATTTTAATATGATGTAGAATTGCCTTTTTTTAATTGTCTAGATTTTTAAGATAAGCTAGCATGATGAATTTACATCTATTAAGTAGGCTAATTAATTTATTATGACTATAATTAAGATGTATAGGAATTTTAAGATTAAGAATTTTGTTATAATACTTATCCTAAATTAGATAGATCTTAAGATATAGCTGATACAGTACTACCACGATGACTTTGAATCTATGATAATTTAATAAATGTTCTTCTGCTAGCTCTAATATGTTACATTTTGGAAGTCTATTTACTAAAGTCTTTATAATCAGAATCAGGGGATACTTGTAGAAACTAAACTTTCTTTTCTATATTATGACTTTTTGCAGAATTCCTTATAGGTACTTAATTATCCTCTTCATCAGAATCTTTGCTACTTGATTATTATGTATTGTTAGTTTTCATACTTAATAATGTCTTAATCAAACGACTATTTTAATTCTTATTGTTAATATAACCTAAAGTATCTAAATATTGATCAGTTAAATCTTCTAATGGTATGTAATTATTATCTACAATTTATTGAAGTGCTGATTCTTATATAATTTAAAAATTGAATCTTGTTTTTTCATCGAGACATCTTTAATATTTTCTTCTTTTATTATCTTCTGTTATCATAAATCTTCTTCTCAATCTATCAAGGTTTACATGATAGAATACAAAAGGGCATTTCATAAATTGATGAGTCCATCTACATATATAACATACTTCTCCATAATTTTATTTCTCCTCATTAAATTGCATCTCATCTTTTAACATTTAATAATTCTCTTCTTCTATTGGATCTTCTTTTATAATCTTAAAAAAATCTTCATATTAAATATATGCAATTTAACAGAATTTAGTAGTTCTTATAGAATAATCATATCTAGATTATATTATGAATTCCTTTTCTCCTATAAATTTACCTGCATTAATAATTGCTAATTAAGTTTCTCTATTTGCTTAATCACAAATCAAATTAATTTATCCTTTCTATAAAAAGAACAATTTATTAGCCAATTCATTTTGATTCTCAACTATTTCTTCTGGAGCCAATCTCTTTTCCCTTACATAACAACATAATTTCTTCACACTCTTCTCAGATAATGTTTTCTTAATAAGTCTAGAACTCATTAAGATATTATGATATAAATCTATAGCCACTTATTCCTTTAACTTTTTATTTAATGCATTCATCATATTCTCTCCAAACTCTGTATTCTCATCTTACATTTTCAAATAATATTCAAAATACTTTCTTACTGACAATATTAATTACTTACTTAATTACCTCTTTTTTACATAATTATTTAATTACATCATCTTTTACTTATAAATTTACTCTTTCTCTGTTAATTATCTCAATATATTACCAATACTGGAAATTGTGTATCCAAATAATCCACATATAACCATAGCCATCAGTATTACAAATATTCTCTCAAGATCAGTTTAAGGTACTATGTCTCCATATCCCACTGTCAATGTTGTAATAGTACTAAAGTAAAGTGAATGGATATATCTTGAATCCCATTAAGCATCAACAATACCCTTTGAATCTAACCAAGAATATTTTCCTGCATCTAATTACATCTATCCTATTAAATTCCATAAACATGCACAACAATGAGATACAAACAATAATAAAAATACTGATTTAAATAATTCCAATACTGTTTACATTGTTATTGAAGGATTAATTGCTTCCTCTACTTATTCAATCAAAGTCTTTACTTTTGCCATTCTTAGCATTAAAATATATTCTGTATATCTTATTTTAAAGGATGATAAGATAAATGGAATTGCAATTAATAAATCCCACCATAATTCATATCTAGCATAATTTCGAAAGATATCCTTATGACTTTTATGGATCTATCCCTTACTATAATAAGCAGTGAAGAAATTAATGATTATATCTATAATGAATGTCCAAGAAGGCAAGGATTCAAAAAAAAATTAATACAGTATCCCCTCATTTGTAAAGCCAAATCCTAATTTCATTGGGATATAAAAAATATTCAAGATAATTTATATTAATAGAAATATATCCCACATCACCTTAAAATTTGAATCTGGATCTATGATTGGAATGTGACTTAAAACCCATTTTAAATTTTAACTGAGAATTTAAATTTTATTCAAATGTTTTTACAATAATACATCTGAATCACTTGCAGCATCTGAAATTAATTTAAGAATGTTCGCATTTAAAGATTTAAATTTTACTTAGGTTGAATGATTTTTCATTTGTTTTACAAATTTTGTCATAAAGAACATTATCCTGAGACCTTTAGTACCCCATTTCTTATTGTTTAATTTCATAAATTAATCTTGGCTGCTCTCTAAATCTTTATCAAGAGGGATCTTAGTTTCCCTCTTTTACTTAGTTAACTCTACTATACTTAAATCTAATTTCTTATCAGAACTAATATTGGGTTCAAAAGATGCCTCTTCACTATTATTATCACATTATGGTATTGAAAAATCAGATCGATTCTTTGAAGATTTCTTAAGAACAGGGCTAACTTCAATTTCAAATACTATACAAAAGTTAGAAACTGCTAGAATTAGAATTTATGATGTCTGACATCTAATTCTCAAATGGTATTAAAATTATTATTGCTAAACTTAATTATTTATATCCAAATAATATTATGGCTTATTTTACTAATAAAGATGTTGTTTACATTTGAATATGATAATTACATACATCATTAATATATTTATAATTATCAACATTAATAATTATTTATTCCAAAATATTTTCAGATAATCAATGATTATAATATTAGTGACTAAATTAATCAATAATCATTATTTTTTATATAATTCTATTTTAGTTGATTAAATAAAAAATGAAGATTTCATTTATATGTTCATTTTTATAATAATTTACTATTTCAAATTGATTAATAAATGTTTAATTCTAAAGTAATTCATTTCAGTATTTATATTCAATGAACTTTAAAATAACATAAATTTGAAATTATAAATTTGAGCCTTAACAATTGTAATTTAAGTTCCATAGACTTCTTTGTTTTTTTATAAATAATATTTAATTTAATATTATAAAATGATAATTAATTAACTTTATTTAATATTATTAACATGCATACCACTTTAATATTTAGATAATTTCATTTAGAGTAAATATTCTCATTTAAATAATTCTATTATGAGATATAATAACAAATTAAATATATACAACATAGAATAAAATATTCATTCAGATTAGTTATTTTAATGAAAAATAAAACAAAACAAGTGAACCATTTTATAAATTTCTATTTAAATAATATAATTTTTATAGTAAAATATGCAATAGGATTTTATGATCTAGATTTAAAACTTATAATAGAATATCAATATAAAAGAGGCAATAACAACAATTACAGAATTAACCATATTTGGTGATTAAAATAATTAAGACATTTTTGAGTATGAATTTCAAGATTAGATAGTATTTTTATTGAATAGAAAATAATTGATGAATTTCTTAGGATTCTTAAAAAAACAAATGAATCAGATGTTATAATTACTATATTATCATCTGTTTCCATGTTATTGTAACCAAATCAAATTTATATGATGTAGTACTAATATCAATAAAAATATAATTGTTCTCCTATCCTTACCTTAATTGAACGAATTCATCATATTTGATTATAATTTGAAAAAAGAAGAAATCCCAGATTACTACATCAATTTTATTAAAATTATCTCTAATAAACTAAATGCTAACAATATCAATTTATTCTTTAATTCTGTAAGTATATATATAATTAAACACATATAGAAATATTGCTAGTTCCCATTATTGCTTTACTCATAAAACTTTTACAATTCAAAAGATAATTTAACTAGAATATATGCCAGACATTTACTATTACATATTTTGAAAATCACTAAAGAATCTAAATTAAGTCATATTCTAATAAAGTACTTGCAATGTTATCCTTTTTTACAAGTTCTATCAAATCATGTGTAATTCATGAAGGATTTGTTCTTAAATACTAAAGAGAAGAATGATGATTTTGATGAAGAACTTAAACTTATGGATCATTTCTTTAAAGATGTTTCTAAAATAATTCCTGAATTGTAATAAGTAATAGCTTCCATATTTTTAAGATTTTAGATAATTTATTCATGTAGATCTTAATCTTACCATATTATAAGTAACTACCAAATATATAAGAGGATTAAAAGAATTAATGTTTTAATATTATCTTACACTTTTTATAAAATGATATTTATATTAGTGAAAGATTGTCTCTTGCAATATTTACATTGATGTTTTCACATGAAATTCCTTAATTTCAGATATTTGAAATTGAAGTAAATTACTTACCAGTTTAAGATACTGATTTAAAAGATATTTGTTCTAATTTCTTTTCAAATTCATAAGGTATATAAGAATCACGTTTTATGATATTGGAAAAATTAAATTATACTCTATCATTTATTCCATATTTAACAAGTTATTATTCAAAAACTAACCCAAAATAAATATTATTTGATGAATTATTGAAAAATGATATTATTTCTAATTTAACAATGATCTGTAAAATGTATTAGAATAAGTAGTTACAATATAATATATATAATATTTATGCTTAATTGAATTGTTTAAATGAAAGTAATTATTAATAAGTTTTGAATATAATACTTATTTTAATGATGAATAAACATATTTATTAAATGACTTCATCTTAAAAAGTAATGTTCCTTATTAATTTAATTAATATTATGATAAATGAATAAGAGAAAGGATTAAATACAATTGAAAATTGTAAAATAAGTATTCAAATAGTCAAAGAATTAATTTCAAATTATGAGAAGAGATTTATGATTGCCTTATTGAGATGTAAAATATTAAAATAAATGGAAATTCACTTTGTCAATTCAGAAATCATTTATTATAAATACTTTCTTAAAATTTAATAATGTATTGAAGATGAAAACATATAAATATTTAAAAATAAACCAGAAACACATTAAATAATAAGATTTTTGATGGTTTTAAATGTAATATTTGAATAGGGATGGCTAAAAAATCCATTTTAGAAAATTAATTATAATTTAGTTTTTGAACTAAAGTCATATAAAAATGGATAGATTAAATTAATTAATTGTTAAATAATTATAGATGATAATACTTATGATATAGAAGAATTAGAAATAAAGTATGATTAAGTTGAAAATAAAGTGATCATTGTAAATTTATTTGATGATAATGAAAATACAAAAATTGAATTTGAAAATGTAAAAGAATAAAATGATTTTTTAACAGAATTTTAGAGAAGACAATAAATTTAGGAATAACACTTTGTTCCTGAAATATTACAATAATTAAATAAATTATACTTATGAATTTATATAATTTATTATTTTAAATAATAAAATAATTTTTAATTATGATGATTTCAACAATATTAAGCTAATATGATCATTTTATGATTATAGATATTGGAGCTGATCTGATATGGTATATTAAATTAAATAAATGATGAATTTGATTATTTTAATTGCTTATGCAATAAATGATTACAATTTATTGGAGCTGTCTGACGATATTTGAAATAAGCAAACCCATATTTTAATATAAACTATTATAGTAAATTATATAGCATTAAATTTCATAATATTTATATATTGAATAATATAACATTATTTGGTTTCTTGGATTTAAATTATATATATATAATGATGAAACGATGACGAGTATGAAGGAATCGATAGACATCCATCTATTATTCCTGCATCAATGATTATTTGAGGCATTTGTCTGAACAATATAGAATTATGAATTAATGAAGATATATATGCCGCCCCAGTCTTAACGACTCTGATGATACGGCTCATGACAGATTTATTATTATAATTATATTAAAGTGATGTAGAAATATTTGCTACTCTTGAGATAGCATGATGATACAACCACCAAGATCTCTGATTCAGAATAATATTAAATATACATATATATATATATGTGATGATTTTGTAGTCCATGATTTAATCATGATTTCAATCTTTCGCTCCTATCTGATATACATAAATTACAATTATATATAAATATAATGATGACAATTAAGTACTAGAGTCTATGACTTCAATATGAACTACAACCCTTGGCTGTCTGATATAAAATAGCTTTATATATATATATATATATTTATATGATGATAACTGACACCTCTTGATTGAGCCTATTGGCATTGATCGGAATTCACTGTCTGAACTCTTTTTGTTAAAGTTAAAGTGTTTTGAATTTAATTTGACAAATAACTATAAGAATGAATGAAGTAGATAATTATACTAAGTTTTATTGATTGAGGAATGATTATGATTAAGATAGTTGCTATATTATAGGTCTTAAAGATCTGATAAATATTATTAAATTTCATAAATCTTTTTTTTTAATACAGAGCAGAAATCTAGGATGATAAGTATATTGAAATTGCTATGAAATTCATTAATATAAAAAGCAAGTGGAAATAAAAACGACATAGATGAATTAAAATAATTTGATTAAAGTATTCAATCAAAATATAGACATATGATCAGATAGATTAGAGTAATTTGGTTCAGAATGTAGAACAGCAGGTTTTTGCTGATTCTTCAGTTAACTAATTATATCTTTTCCAATTTTCAACAACGTGAATATCTGCTATTGTCTTTCCTTTTTAACATTCATCTCTAAAAACCACTCTGTGCACTTTTGTTTTCTTTAGTATCGGAATATTAAATTTGTCTAATCTAATTTATACTTTATTTGCTGCAGTTGGTTCTGTATTGTAAGTATCATCTGGATTATTTAGTTTAGATTACATTAAAAAATAAAATATGTATATTATAAACAATGTTCAAGAATAAATAATCAATTGTTATAAGAAGTGGTAGGGCATGGCTACTTAGAAACATTCTCTGAAAAACTTGTGTATGAAGGCTAAAGTGGAAATCACTTAAATTGCTAGACAAATAATCTTAACAATTCTAATAGCATAAATTTAATTAGAATCCAATCAAAGTTGTCCAATTTGTTTAAATGAAGATATTATATTTAATGGAATTCAATCAGAATAATGTAAACATACATTTTGCATTCAATGCATCAATATTTATTGGCAACATAATTAAAAAAAATAATTAAAATGTCCATGTTGCAGAGCTAAAATAAGCACATTTGCTAAATCAAAAAAATTATAAAATGAATTTTAATAAGAATGTGATTAATTTATATTAGAATACAGAGTTAGATGCACAGTTTTAAAATATAATCTCATTTATGTAAATTTTATAATACATAATTTAGCCATTTTAGATAATTGTAAATATCTACAAACATTTAGGTTAACTATTTAATCTATGTAAAATTTTACTAAAATTATCTCTTTAATTATAACTTGTTCTATGTTTTATATTGTGTATTTATGTATTGTCACCTATTGACTTATTTCCAGAAGCAATATTTGGAGTTTTAGGATTAGTAGATGATCTCTTGTGCATAATATTTATAATTTGGATACTAATTACTCAAATTATGATTAGAATTTTTTGTTGATTCAAATAAATATTATTATTCATATAAGAATTATAATTTCATCATTTCTCAATTATATAATTAAATCCATCTAGAATTAGAAATCTATTATTAATTACATATAAATCTTGAATATTTAATTATAATTATATCTCATATTAAAATTTAGAAAAAAGATTAAGTAAAAAAAATATAGATATACTAGAATTCAATTATATATCATAATAATCAATTTAATAACCAAAACTATATAATTCAATATATGGATTAAATTACCTTATAAAATTTAAAAAACATCTTAAATATTTTGACTATTATAAAATACTACTAGTTTTGTTAACTATTAAAATTGTAAGATTAATTGTAATATGTCAAATATTTAATAATTTAATTTTTTAATAGATTGATTATCATTTAATTAATAAGTATCCAGAAATTAGGATTATATAAAAATCATTTTTATTATTTCTAATTAATTCTTTACTGTTATATAATTATCAATAATCTAAACATTACTGAATGATCTCAAATAAACAAATTTAAAGCTCAACAAATATCAAAAAAATACAAGCTAGCAAAAAATAAATTGATTGAAGCAAATTAAAAAATAATAGTCCTACTAAAATCACTTTAAATATTATGAATCAAATAATAAAAATTCTATTACAAATAATAATAAGAACATATTTGAAGGGATGAAAACTTATAATAAAAAAGGTTATACAAATTACTGATTAATAAAGAAAATAAATGGAAAGATCAATTTTTAAAGTTTATATCATATGATAGATATTATGTAAGATTCAGATTATTTAGGATATCATTATGAAACTGAATTTTAAATGGATAGAATATTGATAAAAATTAAGAGAAGAGATTAGAAAGTTAAAGAATAGTTTAGATACTCTTGAACATTAATATCATATATTAAAAAAGACATACTTGTTTTGTATTTATATTCTATATCAGTAATCTTCAGAACTCTAATCAGAATTAATTGTCAATGACGTATATAAAAGTAGAAGCATCATATAATATTAATATTAATGGATTCTAGATAATCAAAAGTAATAGAGAAGATTGAAAAAGCTGGCTTACTCGAGAAGCATAACCAGCTAATTACTTAAGGTTACACTAATCCTTGGTTCAATTATAAACTGTTAAAAGAGTATGATGGAAATCTGGATTAAGTGATTGTTGTCTACAATGAACATAGAAAAAGAAAGGATGAATAAAATGCTAAAGCTTTAAAGATATTGGAAACTATGGGTTGGTTAAATAAACATTAAGAACTTGTTGAAAAAGGGTTTGCTTAAGTGAAAAAAAATTTAAAAGCATTACTTAGAACTGAAGGAGATATTGCCAAAAGCATTGAAAGATTAAGTAACAAGAAGGCAATTTAGACTGATTAACCAATAGAACAAATTATAGAGTAACATGGATTCAAAGTTTAATATGAGAAATTAAAAGAAATGGGATATGATAATGAAAAGAGAATTGTTAGATTATTATTGAAATTCAATGGAAATTTAGAACCAATAATTGATAAACTATTGAATGGAAAAGAACGCAAACATTAACATTGTAAGAAAAGAGAAGGAAAATGTGAAAAGAAAGATAAAGCTTCTTAAGAATTTTAAGAATTTAAATAAAAAAAGAAAGAATTCAAAAAGAAACTTTAACAGCTAGAGTAGAGTGGAATTCATCGCCATAAGGCAGTGAAACTTTTGGCCATTTGGAATGGAGACACTGATGCTGTCATCAAATGGGTCAATTAAGTTAAACCACAAGCCAAAGCTGAAACATAAACTTTGTAAGAACAATAAGTTCATACATAAGAATGAGTTTGAAAAAACTCATAAAGTAAGGGAGGGAGGGTCGGATATATGATATATATATATATAAGAACATATAAATATAAATACAATTATAAAATTATTTCTTAAAGCATTAAATAGAAAATGATATTAACTTAATTCAGATGAAATCTTCCATCAAAGCTTTATTTTGATCTACTAATTCACTTTTATCAAATTTAATTTGAGTAGAAGAATTAGAATGAGTTTCAATTTTGTGATATAACTAACTTTCATCTTGTTCTTTGGTTTTATTTTGATTAATTTTTAATAAATCAATTATTATTTATTATTATTTTTGATTCAATTAAGATATAAGTTATTTATGATGATTGTTTAGAGGTTATCTTTTTAAAATGCAATCATCTAATAAATAGAGAATTTATTTTGTTTCATTTTAATGATCCATTCTTTATTAAAATTACGAAAGAAATATATCTTCACTCTTAGAATAAGTTTATCTCTTATCATTTAATCTTATTCTATCCTCTTTACTTAAATACTCTTTTAAAATTGATTGCTTTGTATTTTTGATAATCTAATTAATGAAAAATTCATCATCTAATCCTTTTTATTTGAAATCATTTAAATATAATGATCCAAGTAAAGCAGCAATTTTCTCTAATTCAAAATAATCCCTAAATTTTAAAACATGATCATATATAAATAATAAACATTAAACCTAAATAAATAATAATTAATACATTAACAAAATTAAAGAAAATATTGGATAACATTTTTTCTGCATGTCTCTCCAAATATTTTCTATAATAAAGTAAATCAGTTGGTTCAATTAAATAATTTGTTTTACCAATTTCTTAAAGAAAATCTATTTCAGCATCTTCCATCTTTTCATTTTTATCGAGAAATCTTCCTAATGAAATTTCTTCTCTGAAAAAATTAAGGAAGTAGAATACAAGAGGTTGTGAATGAAAATACAATAGAAAATATACCATCTAAACTAAATTCTAATATTTAATACAAATTTATACTTGAGTACAACGAATATTAGGATTTTAATATAGTAAACATTATAATACAGATGATATAAATATTGATGGCATGTTATCCATTAAATCTTTAGTTAAATAATAGTCGAATTCTTTCATAGAATAGTTATATTAATTGCGAATCTATTTTTATGGCATTAGAAATATACTTAATTTATAATTGCTGGAATAGATTTCATTTCTTCAGTAGCAGAAGCTGGTAAGTTTTTTTTACTCTAACCTAAAATCATGTAGTATTAATCAGTTAGATCTTGTTCTCGAACACTAAATAGAAAGTAATAGATACTTTTAAAGACAATATCTGAGCCATTATTTAGTTATTAGGGAATTCTTATTAAAAGATAACTATTCTTTAACAATAATATCTTAAATATTAAGTTATTCATCTCTACAAATAATACAACATCTATGTTAAGTTTTGAGATCATAGTCAACAATCTTAAAATTTTATTAAAATCATACTATAGCTTTAAATCTTCCACAGTCACAACATACAGCTCGTTAACATCTTTTACATTGATGTTATTATAATAATCTTATATATAAAAATGATACATACAAAGAGAAATTCTTTTGACAGATTTCACATTTTTAATGTTTGGGTCTTGGTAATGTTTTTTTGATAGTGGACATTTTAAAATTTTAATATAATTATATAAATGTATATATATACAAGAAACATAATAATAATGAATTTCATATTCAATATTCATAAAATTGAGGAATAGGATCTTGATCATAAAAAGAATTCTTTCTACTTAAATTAGGTGATTCTGCTATAATAAAATTATCTTCTAATTTATGAAATTAAAAAGGATCATTATATACCATTAATTGATTATCCTACTTTTTATCCTCATTTTCTTTTTTTAAATCTACTTTTTTATTTATTGGATATTCTTCTTCAAAACTAACTTCATCATCTTCATATTTAAAAACATTTTTTTTATCTTATTTTTAATTATTAGCTACTGCATTCATCAAAATTTAAATGATTTATGTTTTTGATAATTATTCTATTTATTATTCAAAATTTTATTTGAGTATTTATTATGGAAGTTAATCAAAAGATGTTTTTTCATTTTCAAATAATTTTTAGTGTTAAAATTCATTTTAAATATCATCATCATTTTCACTTGTTTATTTAATCATTAGAAGATTATTATTTTAGATATTTTTATGTTTCCCAGTTTTATTATTGTTTCCTTGTAATGATTATAAAACCCATTTCATTATTTATTCATCAGAATTTTCATTTTTATGCCTCTTTATCAATGTAATATGTACTTATTCTTCATTAGTTCAGTCCATAAATATTTATTTTCTTTCAAAATTTTCTCATTTTATTTAATAAGAATTTTCATTAATTTTTCAAGTTCTGACTATTTATTTTACATCTTAGACATTTATTAAGATATCTATTAATAAGTAAAATAATAATACTTCTGGAATTTCCTAATTCCCATTTCTAACTATTTCAGTTTTAATGAGAGTTAAAGAATTTTGTTCTTTCTAATCATTTGTCTTTCGTTTAATTTAACTTAATAATTCTCTATGTATATTTAAAATTCTAACTTCTTTCCTCTTTAAAATAACTTATGTTTAAATTCATTTTCATTATTATCGTGTCTTGTCTTGTGAAAGTCATACATGTTTAATTGTCGAACAAATGATGCAAAGTTACTATGCTTAAAAGATCTTGGTAAGATAACATCTGAAAATTCATTAACTTTTTTAACTATGAATGCATTTCCTTCTTCATTCCAACTAATAACATCTTAATTACTAGGATTCTAATATTTGCTTATTATTTTTACATCTATTATCTCATATGTTTTTAATAAAAATGCAGGAATAGAATCCCCATTATCTTTTTAAGACCTAGACCTCTTTTTCTTAACTATTTATTATTACTCCAATAAATCAATTTACATAAACTTAATAATACATATACTAATATAATTTCTATATGTATTAAATTATCATTACAATCCTACATGTCATATTTTCTATCTCATTAAATAAATTATACATTTACATTTAGTTATAATATACTATTAATTTAAGGTAAATAACAATTAATATTTAAATTATGATAAAGTAAAATAAAGATGGGGAACCAATTTTCATACCACCTACTAAAATTTTACAAGAGTTAAAATATTTACACAAAGAATTACCAGCATTTTGTTATTCTTGGGCTTGGGAAGCTAGATGTGTTTGTGCTTTTGAAAAAGGAGAATTTATTGAAGCAATAAAAGAATTGAAAGTAGTTTATTGTTTGATAATCCAAGTAAATTGGTTGCTAAAAGAGATGTGAAGTGTATGCAAAAAAGCCTATTCTTATTGGGAAAAGATTATTTAATGTAAGATTAATTTCTTATGGGGCATCATCTCCAAAAAAAATGTTTTTTGGACCAAACCATTTAGCACATGCATTTGATAAGTTGATGTTTGATTATGTCTATATATTTTTGGAGACACCTTAAAAAACAGCTAAAAAATTATAATTACTTATATAAAAAGCTGAAAGTACATAAAATTATAGGTATTGTTTTTATTTAATTGTAAGATAAATTGCAAGTTTTAAGGAAAGTTATAAATTATTATTGGGAAAGGAATATGAAGAATAGAATATAGAAGAAGAATAGAATGAAGAATAAGATTGATATATTATCATAATAATAATTTGTTTTTGATATAAACTCAAATTTATATAAAATATTTTTAGTATTTATTAATCATATTATCTTTGATTAAAAAATAAATAGTGTAAAAATTAACTAAATAATCATAAATTAAATAATTGATTTATATAAAGGAACAATACATATCATTTATAAGTTGATTTAAAAATTAATGATGATCCAATAATGCTTTTTGGAGTTATTGGGTTAGTCTTAAATTTTCTCTATTTTTAATTTAAATAATAAATATACTTTAATTTATCTTAATTTGATTAATGATTTAAAATTTTGGATAATCACTTTTTTTTCAAATCCATGTCCTCTTTCACTCAAAATATCACAATATTTTTATTATTCTGATGGAATTTTGGTAGTATTAGAAATACTATTTTTTGGATTTATTATTTTTTATCTTTCAGATTCTAAATAATTTTCTTCATTAACATCCTATTAAATTCTTCTTGTACTTCCAATAGTACTAGTAAAGGAATTGCGTTTTGTTGTTTTAGTTTTAAAATTCACTTATACTTAAGCTCTTGATTCAGTATCTGTTCTCAATGATATTTTTTTTTGAGACAATTCAATACTCAATTTGCTTTTATAATTTTACTATAACAAAGGGGAATCATTATAAGTAAATTTAGATCTTTTTGGTATTTATGTTATTGAATATATTAATTCAATCATTGTATGAATTTAATTGGAATAATAATCTGAAGCTTTTAAGTATAATTTAATAAAAGTAGATCCAGCTTATAAATACTAATTCAAGGCATCTTCATTTACATATAATTTTAAAATAATGCTCTATGTAATAATTTAGCAATACATTTTATATTTAATGATATAGATCTGGTTAAGTAGAAGTTAATGGATTATTTATGAATTAATATTAGGATAGTGAATAATGTCCAATATAGGTGTTGGCACAAAAGTTTTTAATTTTGCTATCAATTTAAGAAGACTTCAAATCAATAGCCATTCTTTTTTAATGGATAGCTTAGAAAATATCATTGAATCTAATAAATTATTAATATATGTATACCTTTTGATAGCATTATAAAGATTTCCAAAAACTTTGATAATGAATGATTCTGCTTTATGTAATAGATTCTATTTAAAGTTATTTTAAGATTATTTCATAGTTAAGAATCCCATTAATTTCTAGACATCTTAAAATTATTAATCCTCATCTTAATCTTCATCATAAATATAAAATCTTTCACATAATTCCTTTAATTCTTTTAATTCTTATTATAATTCTTATTTTTCTTCCATCAAACCCAAACCAATAGAAGATTCACTATCAATTTAAACTTAATATTTTCTATATTATTAAATGAGATTCTCAACCAAGAATGAAACTCCAAAGGGATGAGTATGCATGAAATCAGATATTTCTTTATTACAATCTACTTTATTAATATCCTCAGTAATAAATTCTTCATTAATTCCTTCTTCAAATGTTAAATACATTCTTATAATATTATTAGAATTTTATACCTTTCTAATTTTTATAAAACTTACAAATCTATCACTACTTTTCTTTATTCATGCAATTTAAATATGTTAGTCTCATTCTAATCATTCAATTATTGTATAGTTTTTTCTTATTCAACTAATGTTTATTAAGCTTACTTATAAAATTATGTCAAATACTTTTATTTTTTGTAATAAACTATAATAGTTCTATTGAGTCTATTAAGTTTCATTTTTAACTTTCTCCAAATTATCTAATACTTCAACCTTCTTATTTTCTAATTGTTTTATGTATTCATCATAACTTAATTTATATTTAGAATAACTTAAGTAACTTAATTTCTTAGTCTATTGACTCTCTCTATGTTCAATAGGTAAATCTTAATAGAAACTATTTATCAATCTTAATTGCTCTTCCAAATCATTAATGTATTTCTGTCTCAATAACTAATTATATTAAATTACCATACTATTGAATAGAGTATTCTATCTAAATCTATCTCCAAATATTATTTTTATTCAAGACTCTTTTCAATCTCTTCAACATGTAATTGTTATTTTTCTTACTTAATCTAATATTAAATTTCCTCTTTCTTTAATCTTGCAATTTAATCTCTTTTTGCAATATTGTTGAAATGCACTTCATTATATATTTGTTCAATCTTTTTATTTTTATAATGATGATAAAATACATAAGAATGAGAAAATGCTGAACTCTCGATATTATATTAAGTCAAAAATTCATTTTCTAATTCATTCATAATTTTATGAATATTAAATAATAACTCCTCAAATAGTAAATTCAATCTTATTAACATTCAGATGGAACTTGTTTCTGTTCTGTATGTTTATGCAGCAAGTGTTATTGCAAATCAAAGCCTTAACAAACTCATTACATTAATGAACCTAAATCAATCTATAATATTGATTATGATTCAAGAAGAACACCTATTAAACATTCTAGATTGCCTAATTAGAATTACTAAGTTAGACAAAAGGCTTTGTCACTTCACTCTGTTTATAATGATGATTTTGATAAAAAGCAGTTGAACAAATCATTTTTAGATAATTCACAATAACCATAGAATAATTCATTCAATATTCCTTTTTGTGGTTGCAATTCATATGCACTCTAATTTCCAGGTAAAACTTCAATGCCTCCTCAATTACTAAAACCATTAAATTAAATTTAATTACTCCCTGCTAAATTAGACATTAAATCAAGTTATTAAAGAGAACATAAACATTATAAATTGGATTAAGATAAAATCATCAATTTTTCAAAAATTACTAATCAAAGATTACATACTAATTCCAAAGAAAAAAACATCTATTTAAACTCTAGTTATTAAGAGTAATATAAAGGATAAACTGCAAAAAAAGTTTAATAATTGCCAATCCAATCAAGCTATTTACCTTTTGGATTCAGTAACTAAGGAATCAATCCTTATGTTAGTACAAATAAATAAGATTATGAAGAGTAAAAGTTATATTAATGTGAAGCAGATTTTAAATTGCAACAATTAAGCAATTAAATATTATCAGAACAATGAAACAATATATAATCAAAATTATTCAATATCTTTATATTCTTTTATTAATAACTTAAATTTCATTATTGTATTGATAATAAGAATTAGATATTTCAATATAAAGAATAAACATTAAAAATAAGTAAAAATAAATTAGAATTTTTAAGTCTACAAGGCAAGCCTGAAATTCCATCTAAAAATAAATTTGGAATCTTATCATTATTTAGACCCAACTTCTTTTTTTAATTAGTTAATTAATCTATATTCTTATGAAGATATTCCAAATATAATTTGAAAATAAATACATAATTCCCATTATTCAATTTATTCCGTTTGTTTCACTTATTTTAAGTTTAATTAAATTTTAAACTAACTGTTTAATATATTTTATTATATATATATAACAATAAAATCAATTTCTATTACTATAAAATCTAAAATAATTCACATATAGGAGAATATTTATTTTCATCATAAACTTATTAGTTAAATTAGAAAGATCAAAAAGAAATGATAAATATATAAATATAATATTTCTTCTTTTTAATTTTAATCTGTAATAAATTACAATAAAATCATTTTTATAAGTATTTTCAAAGAAATAACTGTCTAGTATAAATGTTATGGCATATCTATATTATAAATTTCTTAATTCTTTCATATATTGATTTATTCAATTCAATATTTTGAACATTATTTATTATTTATATAAAAATACTTCTTTATGGTAATAATTTGAAAACGAATTGATGTTATAATCTGAATTTTATTTATTTTGTTTATTTTAATGGATACACCAAATATGTAAAGATTATCATTTATTAAAGACAAGCAGCAGGAGCTAGAGCCAACAAGCAAACCTTTGATTAAGCACCTTCCACTAGATAAGTGTATTAATATGTAAATTATTTAGAATGCAAAACAAATCAGATATCTTTGGAATCAATGCTCCTGTTCCTGCTCCATAAGCTTCTAGATAAAGTGCAAGACCAAAAACAGATATTTTTAGTAATGAATGTTAAGCACCAAAATAATAAGAAGTATTTGACATATTATTATTATATTAGGTAAGATAAAACAAAACATTTTAATCTCAAATATTTTCATAAGAAGTTGTTCAAAATGCACCACCACCACCTGCTCGTTCAAATCAAACATTTGAGAATTCATAATAAGAAGTAAAAAGATATTAAAAAAAAAATAATGACAATAGATAAGTTGATCATGGAAAAGATTTCTTATTTGGGAAGAGTGGTATTATTTATTATATAAATTCCAGATTTTGATGAATATAAATCATTAAAAAGAGCAGCAACTTTAAGTGAATTCAAACCAAAACTAAATTATGATCCATAAAATAGAAGAAATAAGGAACTTTATGGTAATGAAATAGCTCGTGAACATCTACCTACTAAAGAAGTTAATTTAGAAATATCTAGTCCATAAAAAACAAAGAAATAATCATAATAACAATAAGAATAGAATCCATCTAACAGAAAATTAATGGAAAATTAATCTAATGTTTTTGGAGATTCTCAAACGTATAACATATTATTTTCATTTGCAGTAAGGTTGTGTAAAATCAAAAAGTAGAAAAACTGACTGCATCCACATAAAAATGGAGTACAGTTGGAGGATAGAGCAATAATTAAGTTAAGGAATTTGATCCTGATACATATGCTAAGAATAGAAAGGAAGCTGAATTATAATCAAGTGTATTTGGAGAATAGCCAGTAAAGGTTTAACCAGTTGCAATATTAGAATAATAAGAAGAATCTGAAACATAATAAGGTATAATTTTATATAATATAGCTCAATAATAATAGCAATAAAAAGTATAAAAGCCAAAGGAAAGATTAATTCCTAACAATTAAACATGGTAATAGACTGATTCAGTTAAAAATATGAGAGATTTTGATCCAACATAATCTTAAGTTAAAGAAGATGTAGATGCATCATAAAAGAAAATGGATGCTTTAAAATCAGCTTTGGATACTCATTAATTTGAAGCTTAATAAATTCCAGCAAACTAAAAAATATCAAATAAAAATCTTAAAGTAATAAAATTCATTTATTTAATTAGTAAAAAAAAGATATTATTTAAAGAGAGGATAAATAAACTAAAGATAAAACAACAACAAAAACATAAGCTAAGAAAAAATGATATATTTATATCATATCAATATGATAATTAATTTTAATAAGAGAATATTTTTAGATATATTTTAATTATATTTTGTATATACATCAATGTTTTTTATTTCTTTTTATTTTTCTCATATCATTTACATCATTTGGATTTAATCTACCATAACCAACAGTTATTTTTTATTTTGGATGTTTATAATCAACATCTTCAAAACCAATTCCATTTTCATATGTTTTCATAACCTTCTTGTATCTGTATTCCTCTTATTTTCTCTAATTAATTATAAAAAACATAAAATACTTGTCTAGCTAATTATTACTATATTCCACTTTTCATTAATTGATCTTAACAGAATATAAATGGGGCATCTTTTTTAGTTAAATTCTAAGGTATTGAATACTATTTAATATTAAAATATTAATTTACTTGAGTTCCCCTAAGATTAACTTTAAAATTCTTCTTTCTATATAAAATAATTGTTCCATCAGATTCTAAAGAACATGAAACTTTAAGTAATGAATTATTTCCACAATTAGTACAAAAGAGTCTAGTAGAATCTCTGACTAATGTTTTACATATATGACATTCTAAAATGAATCTTCTTGCACTCTTAATCATATATCCTTCAGTTGATAAGACAGGAACACCCATTTACAATAATACATTCTTATAAATTAAAAATTAATTATACTTGCATAGCAAAGTCAGTAGTTAAAAGAGCAACACCAATTTAATTAGCTTATTATGGATTGATTTGAATTTCATTTAATTTTTCATTAATATTTGTATTATTAATCCATTCTTCATCATTATCATCTTCAGATGATTCCTCTTATTAATCTTCAACTTATTTAGTTTACAATTATGTATTTGATTATTTAGTATAATTATTGTAATGTTTTTTCTTTGGAACAACTTCTTCCCATCCATCAGAATCATCATCATCATTATTATCATCATTCTTTTATGATATTTCTTATTTCTCTGGTTCTTCTGATTTTTATTAAGTTTATTCATCTTATTATATATTTTAAATTTATTCATTCTCTTCTTATTATACTTCTTCTTCTTCTTCTTCTATTTATTATTATTTATTTTTAGATCCATATACATTCTTTATTTTATTAAACTCTAATGGTTTTAATGGTTCCAATTTTAATTTTTCTTTCTAACCATTTTCTTCTATCAATGTACAAGCTAAAGCAATGAGTTCAATATCTATAGGTGACAATGATGCTATGTCTGATGTTTATGTAGCAAATTGTTTAACAATTTTAATCATTTTCTCTGATGGTGTTAAGAAGGTGAGAGGGTAAGTGAAATTTTATAATTTTTATCTGGCTCTTTCATCTCTAACTTCAGTTAGAATAGCCTCATGAGTTATGAATGTATAATGATCTGAAAGGTGTTGAAAATTGATTTCTTTAATAAATGCATTGGCATCCAATATTAATTTATTCATTTATTTTTAATTTAAAAAAATTAAAGATGTCCGAACCATAAGTATATAATAAATTAATTAGGTTATATTTAATGTATGCAAAAATGAATAAGGTCATCCCAGTCAGAATTATAAGAAGATTTTAAAAAAGTATAAGGGTTAATATAAGGTAAGTTATAGATTTTTGAATTAATTAGTTTGGCTTAAACAAAGATGACTTAGTTATAGAGAAAATAAGAAATGCCAATTTACTTATTTTTGGTGGATCCAGAGCTCCCTTTACTGAGAAAGGTATTTTTTATTTTGATTGATAGAAATCAAATGTCTTGAAGAATATCTCATTAATGGAGGCAATTTATTAATCTTATTCTCTGATGGTGGTGAGAGTAAGTCTACTAGTAACTTAAATGCATTCATTGAGAAATTTGGAATCTATGTAAACAACGATTGTGTAGTAAGGACATGCTATTTTAAATACTTTCATCCTAAAGAAGCATATATATAATAAGGAGTTATCAATCAAGAAGTTTGAAAATATTTATTCTATTAAAGATAGTTCGTGTAATTAATGGTGAATAAAGAGAGACTAGAAAAAACAAGGCATCTACACCATATCTCTAAGGAGTCATAGAAATGGAAGATACTGAAATTAATAATCAAAGTGGTCTTGATTTTGTCTATCCTAATGGAGCAACTTTAATTGTTAAAGACAAAGCCTTTCCTATTCTATCCACTGGACCTATGTCTTATCCATGTGAAAAACCAATTATGGCCATTAATCAAGAAAAGGGTAAACTTGTAGTCATAGGTTCAACTGATATTTTTAATGATGAATATTTTGAGAAGGATGATAATCAAAAAATTTTTGATTTTCTTTTAAAGTTCTTTTTTACAAAAGAAGTAGAATTTGATAAGAAAACTCCATTTGTAGAAAATGATTGCAAAAATGCTCCTGATATAGCAGAATTATCTGATAAACTAAAGAGTTGCTTATAAGAAAGTGAAGAACTACCAAAAGATGTAACAACCTTATTTGATTCAACATTATTCAAATTTGATCTTGATTTGATACCAGATGCAGTCAAACTTTATGAAACTTTATGTAATTATCATTCTTATTCTAGAGGTCAAACATGAACCATTGACTCTTATTGTTCCACAATTTGAAACTCCATTATTAGGATTATAACCAGCTGTCTTTCCACCTATTCCTAGAGAATTACCACCTCCTCCTCTTGAATTATTTGATTTAGATGAAGAATTTGCATCTGAAAAGTAATTAGATCTATAATATATTTAATAGAACTCGATTGGCTTAGTTGACTAATAAATGCACAAATGAGGATTTGGAATATTATGTCAAAGAAGCTGGAGATATTATAGGAATTACAGATAAATTAAAGAATAGACAAAAGGCATAATCAGTAATTCATTATGTTCTGGAAAATTTAATCAATTTTAAAAAATTAAATTAAGGTTGAGCTTTATTAATAAATAAATATATAGACACATTAAATTTCATAATCTTTTTTGTAGATTTAATATAAAGATATTGTATATTTATATATAATAATATAAAATTAATTCACAGTTTTCTACATGAAAACTTTTTATTTGTTGAATTTAAATCAACTTTATTTAAAGAAGATGTTCTTATATGCTATTATGAAAAATTTGAATGTTCTAATCGAAATTTCAATTTATTCCACAAATCTTCAATTAAATTATACATTCTTGTATTTTATTTAATTAATTTCATCATCTCATTACTTTTTATAGCTCTATACAATATATTTGATACTAATTATAATGAATCTTAAGTTGATAACAATTCAGGTTCAATTATTTAATCATTTTAAAGTATTTTTATTTACTCCATTAGCTAATTACATTTAATTAAATGATTACTTCTTTTAATTTAATATTGTGATGTTTCTTTAATTATATGATTTCTTCCTTTATATCTTAAATATGTATCCAATCTTAAATTACTTAAAGTCTCTCATTCTTATTAATTTTTGTAGTTTCTTTTAAAACTTAAACAATATTTTCTTATTCAACTTATGAAAATTAAGCAAACAACAATTAAATTGGATTGTTATTTTCATAGTTATTAAGTTGCTATTACTTATTGTATAATTATTATAATTCATTTGTTAATTACTTGATTTACCAATTCTACTATTACATAGTTTATTAATAAAATTATTCTTTTTCATTTTACTCATTAATTAACTCATTTATTTTATTCTTTTATGCATTTATTTCTATTTCATATGATTTATTTTAAGATATTAATATTCCATTCTCTTTTTTTATATTCTTAATCTAATTGAATATCTCTTCTTTTTGTAATTGTAATTGCATTACATTTTCTTATAGAATTTCTAATTTTGGTTTGGGTAGAATTTCAGTTTAAATTTCTTTGTTTTGTTAATTTATTTGTATTTTATTCAAAGATTAGCTAAAAATATCTTTTTTTGGTAATGCAAAGGCAGATACTTCTTCATAATATCCTTAATATTATCTACTATCTGCTGTAGTAATACTATGCATATCTGTTGAACTTTTTGATCTATTTTATCTTGAGAGATCTTAGATTTGTGACAATTCTTATTGAAAATATTCAAGTCTCTTAACCTACTCTCTAATTTTAGGTTTTTAAGTTTGAAAACTGAAAATCATTTGCTTATCCATATTATTCAAATTTTAACAGTAATATATTGATTTAATTTCTTATATTTATATATACTATATATTTTCATTCAACACTATAGAAATATTTTTTTATTTATATTTATCTTATTCATATTCTTAATTTCAAACTCTTTTTCTTAAAAAATGTATTTGACATTCAAAATTTTAAGTATATTAAGAATATTTTATAATAAAATTTTACTTGTAACACTATATTAAACATATAATCAAAGTAGTTTAATTAGATAATGTTATAAAGTATCTCTCCAAAAATATGATATTTAGTTAATATAATTAATTTAAGGATTGTGATTTGATTCATAGTTTGAGAGATATTTATAAATTTGAGTATATAATTTTTTATTCAGAGCTATAATCTTTTTAGTTATAGCTATAATGAATTTACTATATTGTTTAATAGATTATTAGTTTATAGAGAGATCAATGGTCTCATCAATTTTATCAAACATATTAAATTTAATTTAATGTCAGAAACTTCTTTTGGTGTGGTGTCATTTACAATCATATTAATTTTGTTCATTTATGCTATTGCAGGATCATATTTTGAGCACAAACATGTAGGATGAATTAAATAATAGTAGATTCACTTTATACATGAAACAGGATTGGGAATTATTTTAGGAGTTGTAGCTGGAGGGTTGTTTACATTAATTTACAGAGGAACATTGTATTACATCGTAAAGACAATTAATAAAATAGTACGAATTTAATGAATCCTTCTTTTTCTATATTTTGTTACCAATAATCATTTTTGCAGGAGGATACAATTTAAACAAAAGAAGGTATATATCTATTCAAGTTAGATTCTTTCAAAATTTTTTATATATTAATTTATTTGGATTGTTGGGTACATTATTGACTTTCCTATTGATAGTATGCTTCACATTTTTGATTAGTGATGGAGGTTTGAATTAATTTTTGATTCTATATAGATTTGATTAAAATTTGGGGAAGTGATACTTCGATTAAATTGAAGACAGAATAGATTATGATATTTGCAGCTACAATTTGTGCTACTGATTCTGTAGCAGCATTGACAATGATTAAACCTAATAAATATCCAAAACTATTTAGTGTAGTATTTGGAGAAGGAATGGTTAATGATGCTGTGTCTATCATTCTATATATATCTGTAGATTTATTATCTGGCAAACATGATACTATTTTAACAGTCTCTTTAGAGTTTTGTTTCTTATTCATATTGGAATTCTTTTGTAGTCTTGTTGTTGGATTATTCTTTGGAGTATTAGCATCTATTCTTTTCAAATATTTTAGATTTATTACAGAATCTGTTATTTTAGAAATGGCTATCATAATTTATATAGCCTATGGTAGTTTCACAATGTGTGAATTATTAGGGTTGAGTGGAGTATTGTCAGTATTAGCTACTGGAGCTCTTATGGCTTATTATAACATTTATAATTTATCTAGTTTGGGTTAGGTTGCATCAAAGTAAATTTATATAGAATAATTATAGGATTACAGTTTCTACCTTGTCTTTAATATGTGAGGCATTTATATATATTTATTTGGGATTGTCAATGTGGATATTATCTGGATATCAAAATTCAGATGATGCAATTGAAAAGCCAAAATGTAGTTGGACATTTTTAGTATTAGAATTATTGATATGCTTTTTCTCAAGGGGTATATCAATGGTGATACTCTCAGGAATAGCCTATTTAATTAAAGGAAAAGAGAAATTTAAATTATCTATTTAAGAATTGAATATCATATGGTTTGCTGGATTGATTCGAGGATCTGTAGCATATGCTTTAATTACAAAATTATAAATCTCTGATCCTGAAGATCTAAATGAAAGATATCAAGTTGAAGTCATAAAAACTACTGTCTTATTTATGGTTATCATTACTACTATAATATTAGGAGCAATGATGCCTTTTTATATTAAATTAAATCTCAAATAAAAAGTGGAGGATTCTAATAAAAAGTTGTTATAAAATTATGAAATAGAAAGTGGTTATCGTAGATAAATTTAAAATAAATTCAAATATCTTGATGATCATTATTTTAAATATTGGATGATTTTTAATTATTAAAATAGAAAATCAGAAATTCTTAGATAATAATAAGAAAAATAATAAGATGAAGATAGTCATAGTAAAATTGGTCTAGTTTCTTAATTCTAATCTAAGTTTACTGGAAATTAGAACATTATATTCTATGTTGAAGCAAATAAAAATAATCCTTTTCATACAGAATCATTAATTGAAGGAATAGATGATTTAGATGAAAACGATTAATCAGATTAACCAAATTTGATGACTTAAATATCCTAAAATAACAATGATTTATGAATTCATCATATTTTTAAATATTTTTCTAACATTGCATAAGCTCCCAAAGGATTATCAGTAGGAACCATGTGACCTGCTGTATAAATTGTAGCATAAATGAAATTTTCATATTATTTCCAAGTTCCCTAAGTCTCTTAATTCACAGTAATCATTTCTTTTTTGGAATGTTTCCAAAGTCCTATTTTCTCCCAATTTAATTGACTGATCCACATTACTGCACCAGGAGTATTGACTATATAATCCAATTACCCATTAAACAATAGTACTCTGATATTACTTTATAATAATATTTCAATATCAGATTTTCTACTTGTTGGAACATCTAAAGCAAAGGCATCATAAGTAGGTCCATCACATCCTTCAAATTTAGTTTTACTATTAGGAGCCTTAAACTAAGTCTTTAGATAAAAGTTTAAAAATCTTTCATGTGCAGTATCTTCAACATCTTATCCTTGGTATTGTCTGAAATTGTATACATTAATTCCACCAGCCATTTTTATGGTTTCATCATCTGACAATATATCAAATTGTTTGTATGCTAATTACATATCCCCATTTAAAATAGCATTTTATCCTATGGCTATATTATTCTGAATTATTTTGAATTATCTTTCTGTTATTGTACCAATAGTATATAAATAGGAAGCATACTAAGATAATTATTAAAATGGTTATGTCCATCCATCTCCTATTGCAACACCCTTAAAATTCACAATTGTTAATTTTTAAGTTAAGATTTATATAGCTATTGCAGGTATATAATGTCCTGCAAAACTTTCTCCCATTATATATAATTAAGTTCTCTATAGAATTGTATGTTTATTATATAGAACTCGAAGGAAATTAATGAAGTACTTTGCAGCAGTTTCAGTATTTGATACTACAAATCCATCCTTTGCTCCACTCATTCCTACTCTTAATGGTTAATCTACAAATAATTGATGTGTCAACTTATTCCAAGATTATGGCTATCCCATATTCAAAATATAATTACTCGCTCCTCAACCTTAAATTTATCTTAGCTCACTTCCACTATTTTATAAGGACCTATCTCTTAAAAGTTTCCAAATTATGATGAACAACCTGGTCCACCATTTAACCAGATAACTAAAATATCATCTTATTTTATTTAATCTAAACTCATTGTTCCTTGTTTTAGAAACATATGGTAAAACATTTCTCCTACAGCTGTCTTTTCATCCTCCAGGTCCTTTAATGTAACATATCCTGTTTCAATGTATTACTTTGGTTCAGCACCTAACAATTATTTATAAAAATCTAAGTAATTAATTATGACCCATCATTACCTGTCTAAACAGTTGTTTACACATCTCCTTAACAAAGTACTAAACTAAATAATCCGATCAGAATATATATCATTTTTTATATTTAAAATATATATATAATTATTTTTATGCTTTTTTCTCAATCATGGATAACATATATATAATACTTTTTATTTTTATTAATGAGTGAAGAGAATTAGTAAATTACAATTTTATAACAATAGTATTATTGTAATTATTTCTTATAAATAATTAATTATTAAAATCAAATGCCATTTATAGATATTAGAAAGTAAATGCCTTTATTAGACACATAAGAAATCTATTAATAATATTTAATTCCTATAACTTCCTCTTAATATCAAATTTTATCAAATACTATTACCATAGAATTTTTATGGGGTTGGTAAAGATTTATAAAAGTTTACTGCAGGATTGGATTGATATTATTGCTTTTATAACAACATTTTTATTTCTTTCTCTGGATCATTTTTATTCTATCTTATTTATTAATACACATTTCCTTTTGAAAATTACTGTTTTAAAGGAGTAAAATGCTATTAAAATGAATGGACTTATTCTTAAATGAGAAAAGATGTTTTCTTTTCTATGCATAAAAGACATCATCTATTAAGATGGCTAAAAGACTTGTTTTTTCTCTATTGGAGTTATTGATTACATTTTCTGTTAAATTTTTTATCTTAAAATATATTAACAATTTGAAAATTTAATAAATAGTTAATTTAATTACTATTTTAGAATATGTCCACAAATCGATAACAATCTATTTTTAAATCAAATAATAAATGAATAAAAATGGAGTTTTAATTAAGTAACAAAATTTACTGATCAAAATGAAATAGAAGGTATAAAATTAATAAGCAAATTATATTGATATTATTAACTAATAAGTTATTTCATAAGTATCAAGATAAGTTTAAATATTTTAATATAACTATATATTCATAAAATTAAAAAAGCTTATATGTTGAATTTATAATTAATAAAAATCATTGAATTGTAAAATTCTACTAGAGCTATCTTATTTGAATTTGTTCTGATTCATCATTCCAAATTAACAGAAACTCACCATTATCGCTCAAAGTTCCATTTATATATTTATTTTGGAACTCTATAGTTAAGTCCCATCTATAATCTAAAGTATTATTTAACAGAGAAGGTGTGATTCTTAGTATATTAGCAAATTTCAAATTTTTATAACTAAATATTCAAAGATTTTATAAAGACAGATGGAAAAAGATGATAACTAAATTCTCTTTATCCTTTGACAGGGATTTAACATAATTGTTGATATTATTGTTTAGATTGTAATGTATGATAAACTATACCCATAACTAAGCAGTTGAATTTTTTATTTAATTAACCATAATTTATAATTAGATTCTTCAATTATAAAGATTGATTTATTCTAATTAAAAGAAATTATTTAAGTTCCATCTGTGTTGATAATTAACGAAATGATTAGTTAAATATGTTCAGAAATAGTCTATTTACAAAACCATTATATTTTAATTTACAAAAATTTTATTTTATTATCTTTTGAACCTGTGATAATGAGATTCTTAAGTAATGGATGAATGGCCATGACTATAATTTAGTGAGAATGTCCATTTAATTAGCAAATGAATTTAATATTTGAAATGAGATTTTAATTCCAAATTATTAATGAAGAATCAATTTAAGCAGATATTAAAAAGGATCTAATGTTACAATAAGTTAAGAGTGATATATTATAACCTCGTATCTACATTATTTGAATTTATTTCATAAACCCAATAAGGTTACTTATTAATATGATTTAATCAAGTTATGCGTAATTTTAATTTAAAAATGTTTATCTGAATAATTCTTATAATTAGATTTCCAACAAAATGTTAATTCTGATAGCAAAATTTCGAACGAAAAAATTACCAAACTTAGTTTCAAGTATAATAAACCAAATACAAATAAAACAATATTCAAAATATGATTTTTAAAAGTTGACATAAACAAAATATATTTGTTTTTATAATAAATTAAATTTATAAAAATAAAATCACTAATCATTCTACAATTCAGTGATTTCATTACTCTCAGTAAAAGAACATTAAGATTTGTTTAATTAATTGTTCTATCTGAGAAATAGAAACATCTATAAAAATTGCCATAAATTGAGAAAGTTTATTTTTCTATACCTTAATGTATATAAATCTAATTATAACCTTGTAAATCTGAATTTAAAAAAAAGAAATGTGATCAACAGAGTTAAATTATTTATAATATTTTATTAATTAATGGTATCATTTGATAATCCATCTTCAGCAAAAATCAAAAATAAAATCACAAAGCAACAAATACATTTAATTTTAGGTTAGTTTTTTTCGAAATATAAATTATCATCTTTTATATTATTGAATTAATTATTATAAAATAAAATAAAAGTCAAGAATTAAGTTCGATTAAATACATTAAATAATCAAATGATATTTATAAATTCTGAGATATATATTTTCTGAATATCTGATAAAAGCTTATAATTAATTAAATTTTTATTTTAGGAATGAGAATTTTTACATATTATTTACTAGCAATGGCAGTTGTTTAGTATTCAGTATCTTGGGGCATACTAACTTTACCATCAAATAATCCATTTACGATTAAATCAATAAGAAATGAGTTGGATTCCGATATTATTTGTGCTGGGTTTGGAGTTTGGAGTAAATATGTGCCACTAAGTAACGTTGTATAAATTGGAGAGATTGGAATACTTGATAGTAGTTGTTTTCATTTGTTTCGAATTTAGGATTAGATAAATAATTAATTGTATTTTTTATCATATGAATGTCTGGATTTTGAGAAAAAAACAATAAAGAAATATTTTTTGTTTTTAGGTAGTGATGGCAGTGATTTTACAGAGGAAATTTAAATCAATGAAGAATAATATGAATATGTCTGGTATTTTCAAGGATTCATCACAATTCCTTCATAAAAATAAGTCATTCTATATGTTTATCAATAAAGAGCTTAGATTTTTTCAAAATAAATCTAAATTGAATTTCTTAATTAAGGAATAAATTCTAATTTAATAATAGGAGGTGATTACAAAGTATTCTTAAATAAATAAATTAGATTATAAGTCTGAATTCACCACTTTATAGAGGAGAAAATACTTTACTTTCTTACTTTCCAGGAAATTCTTATTATCTTTTTGATTTTTTCTTTACTGAACCTAACTATTTCTTATAGATAATTGAATCAAGTAAAGAGAATAAATGTATGTGTTAAAAAAGTGCTATAACAAATATAGGCGATATAATAATATAAAAATAAGATTAATATTAATTTGTTTCTTAATAAACGAATTGCTAATAGTTTTTATTATCTAGTTGGATAAAAATTAAAGAAATTTATTCACAATAAGATGAATTTGATTTTTAACTGTTTAAATTATCAGGAAACTTTTAAAATCCATATATGATTTAAGAAAATCTATGTGCATTTCAATTATTTTATAAGTTCTCATCCTTAGGAAATTAAATCATTTTTAAAACTTATAGTTATACATTCCCTAATTTAAATATAGATTTTTCAAATAATCCCTTTTTGAAGACTGAAATATTTGATATAGATTGTGATATTTAATTATGGCATTATATCTTAGTGGAAAAAACTGATACTTCAATTTCAATTTCAATAACATTTTACTAAGGTTATGATCAAATGAAATTAAATAAAAATTTAGAGGTTAAACAATTTAATATGGTTTAATTTAAATTACTTTATGGAAATATTTTATAATCTAAATTAAACTATTTAGAAATCGAGATTATAGATTTATAGTTAATAAACTGTCCAGAAAACGATTAATCATAGATAAACTGCCATCCTACTTGTAAGGAGTGCGATGGTCCAACAAAAGAGGATTGTCTATCATGTTTTGAATTATCAAATAGAATATATTTACCATATTTTAAAGAATGTATATGTGAATATGGAACACTTGATTAGAACAATTAATGTATTAATTATTAAACTTTAAATTTTAATTTAATTTTGGAAAAACCATTGAGAAAAGAATGTCAATATGGTTATTTTGAATTGAATGATGATTGCTTTTAATGGTATTAATATATTATATTAAAGCCCTTCAATAATAAAAAATGATGTCATAACCTGTTTGGAATGTGTTTTGAATCCGAAAAAATGGAATCAAACCTTTTTTTGTGAAACAATATTACTCTCAAATAAAAATGGTAAAATTTCAAAATATTTGACAAAATAAAATTTATAATATATTTTAGTAGGAAACGATTTATAATATTGTCCTGATTGCAATTATCAAAATCCAACATTTGATTAAATCGATAAAGTTGAATCGATATTTTAATTTAAAAAATTTTGTTAATCACTAGAGTATGATTGTTATGCATGCCCAGAAGGATGTTTTAATTGCTAACTTTAAGAAATAAATTTATATTGTTCAAATTAACAGCCAATTTTTAACACACCCTAATTTTTTTTTTATGATTACACTTGTAAACCTCCTAATTTTATAGATTTTTATAAAAAATGTTTTACTTGTCAAATACAAAATTGTTTATATTGTTTTAATTATTTGGCAAATGATCCTACAAAAACTACTTTAGGATTTTATAAAGAAAACTCTTTAGCTGATGAGGAGATAAAAGTAGGTTGTGCATAATGTACTGAAGGACTCATTTTTGATTTTACAAAAGGATAATGCATTTAGAAGAAACCAACTTAAGAAAATTGTTTAAGATCCTTTATTAATTTGGATGATAAAGAAATTTGCACATTATCTGCTATCGACGATTTTAGTGTTGCTTTAGAAATGATAAATTGCCAAATTCATATTTTTAATTGTTTACAATGCATATAAACTCTATAATAAACTTTAAAATGTTTAATCTGTGAAGATGGTTATTTAGTATCATCAAGAACAGGAATTTGTATAAATTGTCTTATTGAAACAGCAAAATAATGTTTTGAAGAGAATTCTTTAGAACCTTGGAAATGGGTAGTTCAAGGTTTTATAGTTCAATTCTTACCTAATAGACCTATTTTTAATGGTTATTTATATAGGCCAACAACCTTAGTAACTTAATGCATAGAGGGATATGAAGAATTATTGAATTCATGCTAAAAATATTGTGATGAAACATGTTCTATTTGTGAACCTGATTATTTTTAAAAAGAATTTTATTGTTCAAAATGCAAAATGAATTATTTTAAAGACCCTTAAAGAGTGCAAATCAACGGTAAATGTATTCAGTGTCCTTCTTTATGCCAAGTTTGTTAAGAGAGGCCAGAAGAAGAAATAAATGTATTATATTATAAGTAAAATAGACAATAAATCCAGAGTTTATGATAACTCCTGAAAACTAGATTTACACTTATAGATGCATTTAGAAAATCACTTCTGAGAACGTTCAAATTCAGCCAAACAATAATTTTGCATAATTTTGCTATAACAATAATTGCAACTACAATTTAGAATTAAATTATGTATGGTTAAGATTTAATTTAGGGCTATTTTGAATGCAATTATTTAGATTCTATCCAAATTGATTTAAATAAATTTTATAATTATCAATATTTCAATGAAATAGGGCTTACAAAGATTACATTAATACTTTTGTTATAGGAAGATTGTTATATCTATGATCCTGAATAAGTAATCGCCAATTCTTATAAAGAATAAATTTTTTCAATTCAATTAATAAAATTAAAAATTCAGGGCACATCGAATCCTTTATAATTGAGATCAGAAGAGTTTTAATTGTCTATTAAAAATTTTGATGAAATCATATTATATCATCTTATATTTCTGATACCGAGCAGATTAGTACTAATATTTTCGAATAAGAATTTACCAGTAGATTTATAGATAATTGATACGCAATTTTATTCAATCAAAAATTCTTCAATCTCAATGTTCATTCAAGGTGGGAATTTCCTTAATGTAAATTTATAAAATATTTCAATTTTTAATATTATATTAGAAAATTAAGTAGTTTTTAATACAAACGAGAGTGATTATATAATAATTCATAATTTTAGGCTTAAAAATTGTTTATTTTTAAATTCTACTTTATTTCTATTTCAAAACATTAGAAAAAGTGTATATATAGAACATTTTACTATTGATTCTTGTGAATTTTATAATTCATCAATTGCTCATTTCAATCAAATGAAAAATCAATTAACTAAAATTATTTTTAATAATGTGTTCATAAATAATTCGTTATTTAATAACTCAAATCTTTTAAATAGCATCAGCAAAACTATTCTAAATATAAATAATATTTAAATTATGTCAAATTAGATTATCAACACAAAATTCATAACTTTCAATCATAACTTTTATTGTAATGATATTTTCATAAAGGATAATCAGCTCAAATCAAGTTAATTTATTTCATCATTTTCACTTCTTGAAAGTTTAGAAATTTAAATGAATAATATTATAATTAGAAAAAATATTGTTTAAAATTTTTCTTTATTTGTTACTGAATAAAAATAACCAACATCATAAGTTACATATTTGTTACAAAACCTTTATTTTGAAGATAATCTTTTATCATGTAATTAATAGTAGTTTCTGATAACAATTAATTGCCATAGCATAGTTATTTAAAATATTTTTTTGAGAAATACTACAAATTTTCGATTCATTTAATTAGAAGTTGTTCCATATATAAGAATTCAAAATGTGATGTATGAAAATTTGATTCAGGAATAAAAAGTTCAAATATCTTATAATTGTTTCATTAATTGTTTTTCTCGCTCATAATTACTATAAGTTTCTGGATTCACGAATATCACTCTAAATAAAATTACCATAAAAAATTAGTTTAGTATCGATTAATCAATAATTTCAATATAATCGAATCCTTTGATTATGTAAAATTTAAATGAATATATATAAATTAGAAATGTGGAATTTATGGGAAATATTTTAATAAAATAGCTTTTAGGAATATTTTTTTCTTTAATTGAAGTATATTCTGAAAAACCATAATTTATTAAGACTGATAATGTAAAATTCGAATAAAATATTTTTCATTAATTGAATAAAGATCCCTCTAAGACTTCGGCCAGTCTAGTTTATGTTAATTCTGCTTAAAGTTTCATGATGATGAATAATACGATTTGTGTTAATAATTCTTTGACAAATTCTTCATAGTCGTTTTTTTCTCTATTTTCATTTGAAATCTTAATAGAAAATTTTAAAGTTTAGAATCATAATTACATTGATAAGGAATTTTGGATATAATATTATGAAATTAATTTAGAAGAGGAGTATAGTTAAAATGAAATTACTTCTGTTATTTCGAATTCTTTCAAAATTGAAACTATTGGAGGAGCTTTATCAACAACAGTTACTAAACTTACTATTCTTAATGGAGAATTTAATTATATTACAACTTTAAGCAGCCAACTTTTTTATATTAACACATAAGGTGATGGAATAATAATTATAAAAAATTGTAATATTTCTCATGTTTAAAATTCACTAATTTCTAAAGTTCAAAATGATGGTGCATTTACAATTAATGGCAAAAATAGTTTATTATCAATTAATCTTGAAAATATTACTTTAATAAATGTTTAAAATAAGTTATCATCATCCATTTTTTCAATATATCCTTCATCTACATAAAATAATATTGAATTAAAAAATATAATTTCTGAAAATTGTTACTCACTTGTTCATTAAATAATAAATTTTGAAGCTGATTTTCAGAATGCACAAAAAAATAAAGTAAAAATTTTAAATTTTAGAATAATTTAAAATGAATAAGCTTTTTTGACTTTTCTATAATCTCTTGGAAAAATCAATTTAATTGAAATGTAAAAAGTTATTAGTGATAATGCAATCATGAAATTTTCAGGATGTGAATTAATTATAAGTAATATACTAATAGAAGGTATAGTTTTATCTTCTATAATAAAAGTATCAGATTCAAAATTAATTACGTTAATGAATTGTAGATTTAATAATATATTAACATTTTATCCTTTACATATACTGGATATATAACAAAACAATATTTAGTAATCAAGCATAAATTTAAATAGCATCATTATAGAAAATTTAAATGATTTTACATTTAATAAATAGGATTAAAAATATTTGGAATATTATCATATTGAATTAAAATTTTCATAATGTAATTTTTAAAATAATGATGTAAGTTAAAAGTTTTCCAAATAAGAGTTTGTTTAAACTTTTTTTGATGATATTTATACTAATTCTAATCAAAACGGATCTTTGATCAAATTAAAGACTGAAACAAATCAAACTAGAGTATATTTTTCAAAGATTCTATTATTAAATAATAATTGTAAAAGTTGTTGGAATAGTTTACTTTTTTTTGAATTGACAGATTTTCAATAATTGAGAATTTCAGAATTATCATGCATTAATAATTTTATTAAAGATTATGGTTGTATGTGGGCTAAAGCTGGAATAAAAATTCACAGAAGAATATTGATTGACCATTCAACTTCTATTTCTAACAGTGGAAGATTAGGATCAGGAATTGTTGTGTAAAATTTAAGAGTGATGATATAAAATTCCAAAATAATCAATAATACTGCTTCTTACAGAGGAGGGGGATTCTATTTTGAAGAAGGTACTGATAGATTTACTATTAAATCTACAATAATCATTAATAATTCCGCAGATGAAGCAGGTGGTATCTTTTTATATGGAAATAGTAGTTTAAGTTAAAATAATTTTATATAATCTCTACTGTTATTTAATTTTGCAAAATTATCTTCAAATAATATTAATGAATTACCTACACATTTATCTTTAACAATAAATTAAATAGAAATGTAGTAGCAAGAAAAAATAATTTAAAATCGTTCTTATTAAGTCTTAAAATTAAATCCATTTAATATTATATCTTAGGATCAATAAATTAAGACAAATTTTTTATTTATTCCAAGTGGTTAATAAATTTTGAATTTTTAACTTTACAATCCTAAACTTTTGAAATTTTAATCTTATATAACTGAATTCTCAATAAAATTTAAAAATAGTATGAACGAACAACAAATAAACTTTATAAATTCAGTTTGTGATGTAAAATCAGAAATTTTTGATATTTAATCTGAAAATTTAACTGAATCCATTACAGTATCAACAATAAGTTTTAATCAATAAAATAAAAACTTTAATCTTGGTTCATTATAATTTAATATAGATCCATACAAATAGAAAGATAAAATATAGGAAATTCTAATATATTGTAAAACGGAATATCAAGAGGAAAGTTTAGCTTATAGAATGAGAGTTAAGAGCTTTTTGTGCTAATTAGGTGAATTTTATGTTTTCTCTGGGTGCCAAAAATGTTAATCAGAATAAGGATTTTATTCAGTGACTTACAATACTACAAAATGTTCTCTATTTGATAAAAATAAATTTGAAGCCATAACATCTAATAATATTTAATTAAAGCCTGGATTTTGGAGATCAAGTTATATTAATGATAATGTAGAACTATGCTATAAAAATCCAAGTCATTGTTTAGGAGGATGGGTAGTTGGTGATGACCTTTGTTTTACAGGTCATATAGGAGGATTGTGCGAGGAATGTGATAGATATAATTTAAGAGGAGATGGGTAATTCTTTAAAAACTAGTAATAATTAGATTGTTAATAATGCGATTAGCTTTCAAAAAGATTGATAGCATTCTTCTTAACATCAATTTGGTATATATTATTAATATTTTGTTAGGGCTATTTTTTCTACTCTATTAACTATAAGAAGTATTGAAAAGACAAATTAATTATATGTTTAATTAAAACTTAATTAAAATTAAAAATTTGCTGAAATTTTATTCAAACTCCAACAAGGTATGATAAAATATTTATATATTAGATCATGAAAGTATTTTACTTAAATTATTTCTTAATTATTTTTGGATTTTTTCACTAATCTTTACATTCAATATTAGTTTTTCAATATCTTTAAACATAGTAAAACCATCAAATGATACTTCTTACTTTATGGCTAATTTTTTTGAGTGTTTATTAGCTGAAATTTAAGGAATAGAATTAATTTATAGTAGAATCTTAGTTATGTTTGGACTTATGGTCTCTTAGATATTGATTATTGTTTTTGGATTTTAACTATTAGATGTTCTAAAATTCTATAAATTTTAGATTAGAATCATTTCAATTACTGTTTTATATTTGTATGTCTAAAATTATGCATCTTTAATCAATTAGTAAAGTTTATTATGAATTTTAGATTTTTTTCAATTTTGGCAATTAGAAGAATATCTGATTTAAACTACATATAAGGTGATGTCTCTTTGATTTATGGATCTCAGAGTCATATCTCTTGGATTTATGGATTTGTGATACCTGGATCCGTATTAATTGGATTAATTCTACCCTTATCATTATTTTTACTTTTGTACATAAATAAAGATTAACTTAAGAAAATAAATTTTAGAAGAAATTTAGGATATTTATTTAATGAATATACTCAAAAGAATTATTTTTGGGAGATTATCAAATTATGGAAGAAAACAATCATTATAATTATTCTAATTTATTTTGAAACTGATATATTTTTGAAAGCATCTTTGTTAGGTCTTTGCGTATTGATGTATTCAGTAATTGCTTAAAACTATAAACCTTATATACTTCATAAACTTAATATATTAGATATTAAAAGTGCTCAGTTTTGTTAGATTGCAATATTTTTAGCAAGTGTAAAATACATTTGTGAATAATAAGAGAAATAAAATATTTCATTTATCATTCAAACTGTTATCATTTTAGATAGCATAGTTTTGGGTTATCCATTTATAATTGATATACTAAAAGTTTATTATTAAAAATACAAGTTTCAGATAATGTAATTATTATTAAAAGGATTTTAAACTTTGAGACCTAATTTTGTTGCTACCAAATATCTTAAAAAAAAAATAAGTTTGTTGAGCTAGAGAGAAGAAAAAAGTAAAAGAAATATCAAAAAATTGAAATAAATTCTATTCTCATAAAATTCAAAAAGTTATTAGTAAAATATCTGATTTATTTTTAGACCAAAAAGTAGTTTATAATAATTTGATACAAATAGAAAAAAATTAATATAGATAAAAACTGTTGAAATCTATTAAGAAAAAGTAATCTGATAATTTATTATAAAATTTAATCAAGAAAAAAATATATTTTTTAATTGTTTAGTAATTTTAGATATAACATTTATTTAATCATGAATATTTGTTAAGATTCAAAGATCAATTGTTAATTAACAGATTTAAAAACAGAAAGTATTCTTAATGATTTAGAATAAATTACCTTTAATAATGATTCTACAATTGTAATAACGATTTAAAAATCATATATTTAAGCCTATTTCTAAAAAAATGAAGATTTAAAAAGTATTTCAAGTTTCAATGTTCTCAAGGATAAGTATTATTCTCAACTTTAATATTTAACATTTTCAAATTCATTCATAGCAATACCAAAATCATAAATACTTATATCATCTCTAAATGGCTTGAATGCAAGAAAATTTATACTTAAAATTGACCATGGTTTAGGTTTATGTTACAAATTATTATTGAATAAAAATGAGAACATACTATTTTTAAGCTATTTTAATGAAATTCGCATTTTTTAAAAATAAATAATTGGATGGAAGTGTATTGATACATTACAATCATTAAGCCATAGGGATACAATTCAATAATTATGTTTAAATTTTGAAGAAGATCATTTAGTAATTCATACAAGTAATGGTTATAGTGGATCACCCACTATTCTAGTATATAGAAAAAAATCTATAGAATAATAAATTTAATGGGTAATAAAATAAAGAATAAGTGTAGAAAATGGAATGATTTGCGGATTTATAAATAATAATTAATTTCTATTTTCTGATAATTATAGTTTATAATTTTATACACAAAATAAAGATAATTAAAAGTTTGAAAGCGAAAATTATTATAATTTTATTCTATCTAACTATTAATTTAAATCTTTTGCATTTTAGCATTAAAATTAGGTTTTATTTATTATAACCAAGAATGAATTAAGCGTAATACAATTATAAGAATAGTAAAAATTAAAATAAAGATAATTAATCTAAATTGACTTATCTAAATTGCTAGAAGAAGATGTTTCAACAGTTGCATTCAATTCCATTCTCACTAAAGATGGAAAATATCTATATATCTGGAATAGAAAGAAAACAAAAATTATAAGAATATTGAATAATTGATGCTCAATAAATCATTTATAAATTTGTCAATTTCACTTTTTTTGAACTCTCCTAAGTGAACAATTAAAATTAAATTATTACATACTCTTTTTTTTCCTTTTAATTCAAAATATATATATTATATCTCTAGTATAAAGTCACCAATTAAGAAAAATAACTCATTTCTATTCTATAAGATACTTTATCTCAGATATTATAGGATACCTAATATTCTAAATATTTTAAGAAATCATAAATGCATTAAATTGAAATTAATGAAATTAAGTTCTAGTGTAGATTTTCTAAATCCAAAAATTAAAGTCGATATTTGGTTATTTTATAAAATTAATTAAGCAAATCAAATTGTATTTCGAAATAAAATGAAATTTAATAGTTCAGCAGATAATTGGAAAATAGAATGTTAATCCTATTAAGTATCTAAATTTCCTTAAATTAATATTTTTGGATAGAAGAATTTCTATAAAAAATTCTGCTTGAAATTTAAAAAAAATTAATAGTAAATGTATGAATTGAATTTATATATAGATATAAAAATTTGTTAAATTATTCTTAATAATATTTAGAACATCAATTCTTATAGTAATCAGATATAATATTAATATTTGAAATATGAACTAGGGTAGTAATAATTTTTAGTTTAATGAAATTAGTTATTACATCCATTTTTTTATTCGAAATTTTGGATATTTGATCAAAACATTTTTGATATTTACATAGAACATATTTTAATTGAAATATCCAAGTCAGTAAATATTAGCTATTGTAATATTAAATGTGAAATGATTCTTAGGTTCTTAAAAACACCTCCTCATACTATGGATTTAGTCATTTTAATTATTTTAATAATTTTTTAATGAATCATACAAATCAGATAAGTAATGTTTAAATATTCTTGAAATATTTAATTCTTTTTGCTCTTATAGAGATATAAAATTAGTGTGAATGTTAAAATTACGAAGATGGATTGATTTCTATTAAACACCTAATGGTAATTTATAATCTAGAAAATGGATGCTCAGAAACAACAGTTGGTAAAATATATAGCTTTGGATTTTGGAGTCTTTATATTCCATTATAGGAGTTTCAGAGTTTTCCTTAAGTCACATCACCCTTCAAAAATAATGTTACTGAAGATGGATAATTAATATTTATGTTGAATGAAATATTCAAAACTACATTAGTGGGCTATTTAAGATTTGATTACACACATCTCTAAGTAATTCACACAATATTGGTTTATAATCAAGATTAAGTTTAATAAATATAATTCATATATAATGCTGAAAATTATGAAGGAACTTGGTTATTGTGGGTTATTCTTATAGATACATAAAAAGAACTAATAAAAATTGAAATGACTGGCTAAGATTCAATCTCAACAAATTTCAATTCTGATTAATAGAAATTTCAAATTATTTTGGGAGGTAGAGGACATGTATTATTAACTTATTTATTATGATAGATTTTTGAAACGTTAAACTTAAATATATTTAGAGGAAGGTTGTCAAAATTGATATAAATAGATCCTTGTGTTTTTGATAAAAATACATTTGAATATATATCGTAACATTGCATGATACCTGAAAAAATCATTTAAGAATAGAGTGTTTATCTAATAAATTAACTTTAAATATTTGATGGTGATACATTACTTCAAAGTAGTATTGATCAATTGGGCAAAAAGTATTGTTTATCTGGTTGGATCAAATATGACACTTCAAAGGTAATTGTTAAGAGCATTTATCCTTTCATTAGATTAACAAATTATAAAAACTATAATAAATAAAAGAATATAGGAGATGAATTATTTAAATTTGAGGTTTGGTTGTATAGTTAATTATAATACTTATCTTAAATTGTTGTTCAAGTTGATGCTTATGATATTCCAAAAAGAGGAAAATAGGCAAATTTAGTTGAGATAAATGGATAAAAATTATTATTTGATACTAATAATAACTATTATTTTGAAGGATTACAAAAATGGCATTTTATTAAATATGAACATAGGAGAAAATCTAATAATTAAAAAATGTTGTTAGAAATTTAATTTTATAATGAATTGAATTTGAAATAAATATCTTTTGGAAATAGTCGTTATTAATCATCCTTTTTAAATTCAATAATATATTTTTATATAGGAGGAGATGATTTTAATAATGATTTAGTTTAAGCATCAACTTATAATTTAAAATTTGAACACAATTATCATTTAGATAAGATATTTTTATATGATGGTATGTATATTTTCAAATCCTTTTAGCATGTCATTATCCATGTTATGAATGTGATGGACCTATGGAATATAATTGTTTATCATGCCAAATTAATTCATATAGAATATATTTACCTGAAGAAAAAAGATGCTAATGTCAAATAAATTATTTGAATTAAGAAGGTCAAATATTATGTAAGAGATATGAGGATGAATTTTCATCAATTATTAAATTTTAAAGAGAAGTTCAGGAATAAACGATTTGTTCCTTTGGATATTTTAGAATATATATGAATACAAATGATTACATTTGTGTTTAATGGTATTAATATAATTTATTAATTTAAATAGTCCTTAATAAAATAAATTTGATATATTATGTGTAGATTGTTATTATAATCCACAATAATGGTATTTTGAATCAGTATGTACATTAGATTTATTGGTTATGTAATAAAGTTTTGGTAGCTCATATCAATTAAAAGAAAGAAATAAATAAGATTATGATCTTTATTTGATTGATTTAACTTTTACTTTAGAATTACATGAAGGTTTTTAAGAATATTGTAATCCATTATTAGATGATATAAATTGTCATAAAGTATTATACTTGCATTTAGGAAAACAAGTTTATGTTAAATGTAAACCAAATTATTATTATTTTGATAATGATTATCATAGAGTTAATTCTAATTGTTAAAGTGTAGATAAATTGGGAAATTGCATACTTTGTAAATCTGGTATGTATAATAATACTTTAGAACTAGATCATACTTATAAGATAACCTTTGTATTTAATGCCACTATTTGTTTAAAAAAAATCAAAACAACAGTTATTATGATGAAAAATCCAATGTCAACATCTTCACATAACATTAACTTGGCTTATTCAAAAAACCAAGCTACTTCATTGAAAATGAAGATCTTAATCTAAAGAACAACCATGAATGCTCAACAGCCGAACAGACTGAGTCATCTGAACACTCAGATAATTCTTTTGAACACATTCCTTCTCCAAAATTTCCTTCAAAAGAATTTCCTCCTCCAATTAATAAAAGCATAAAATTTGGAGGAGGAATTTGTTTAATATCTATGTTCTTGGATCTGCTCAGTCAAATTCAAAGGAGACTGATGTTAGTATATCTTTAGAAGGGAAAGGAAGGGAAGAAATATTAAAATAATTGTGTATACTTATTGTATTTAAATAGTTGTTTATTTCTTATTAATATATTATTATTACTTATACTAATGAAAGTTTAAGACGCTTCTGAAAAGCAACCAAAACCAATAGATTCACGATTAATGAATGGACCATTGTAAGATCGTCATTGTACTGATATCATATGCTGTTTATTATTTATAGCATCATTCATATTCATGTGGTAAGTTATTATTAATAATTTAGGTATATTGCTATAACAGGATACTCTTTAGGGAAACCGGAAAGAATTTTGGCAGCTTATGATTCTGATGGTACTGTTCATTTATTAAATTTAGGCAATGCATGTGATTTGGATTTACCCGATTATCCATTATTATACTTTCCTATCATTCATCCTGATTACTATAATAAGACAGTCTGTGTGGAAAGATGTCCAGCAAGTACATCAGACACTGTTAAATGTTAAACAAATAAGAATATTACATCCTGTCCTAGAGATTGTACAAAAGTTTCAGTTGATACATCTACTACTTTTGATTTCACTTCCATAGATTCTATGAAGAATTATGTAGACACAATTACAAGTTCAGTTAGTAAACCTGAAAATTGGATTTGTCTTTATGGAAGTGAACCTATTTTTTCAAGAGCATGTTTTCCAAGTACTGCCTTAGAGATTTTGAATCAAACATCTAATTTTAGTTCTTCAGTTGATTTGAATAGATTAACATCTTGGTTATATGATCNCTTATAAGATAACCTTTGTATTTAATGCCACTATTTGTTTAAAAAAAATCAAAACAACAGTTATTATGATGAAAAATCCAATGTCAACATCTTCACATAACATTAACTTGGCTTATTCAAAAAACCAAGCTACTTCATTGAAAATGAAGATCTTAATCTAAAGAACAACCATGAATGCTCAACAGCCGAACAGACTGAGTCATCTGAACACTCAGATAATTCTTTTGAACACATTCCTTCTCCAAAATTTCCTTCAAAAGAATTTCCTCCTCCAATTAATAAAAGCATAAAATTTGGAGGAGGAATTTGTTTAATATCTATGTTCTTGGATCTGCTCAGTCAAATTCAAAGGAGACTGATGTTAGTATATCTTTAGAAGGGAAAGGAAGGGAAGAAATATTAAAATAATTGTGTATACTTATTGTATTTAAATAGTTGTTTATTTCTTATTAATATATTATTATTACTTATACTAATGAAAGTTTAAGACGCTTCTGAAAAGCAACCAAAACCAATAGATTCACGATTAATGAATGGACCATTGTAAGATCGTCATTGTACTGATATCATATGCTGTTTATTATTTATAGCATCATTCATATTCATGTGGTAAGTTATTATTAATAATTTAGGTATATTGCTATAACAGGATACTCTTTAGGGAAACCGGAAAGAATTTTGGCAGCTTATGATTCTGATGGTACTGTTCATTTATTAAATTTAGGCAATGCATGTGATTTGGATTTACCCGATTATCCATTATTATACTTTCCTATCATTCATCCTGATTACTATAATAAGACAGTCTGTGTGGAAAGATGTCCAGCAAGTACATCAGACACTGTTAAATGTTAAACAAATAAGAATATTACATCCTGTCCTAGAGATTGTACAAAAGTTTCAGTTGATACATCTACTACTTTTGATTTCACTTCCATAGATTCTATGAAGAATTATGTAGACACAATTACAAGTTCAGTTAGTAAACCTGAAAATTGGATTTGTCTTTATGGAAGTGAACCTATTTTTTCAAGAGCATGTTTTCCAAGTACTGCCTTAGAGATTTTGAATCAAACATCTAATTTTAGTTCTTCAGTTGATTTGAATAGATTAACATCTTGGTTATATGATCTTTCTATAGCTAAATATATAATTCTGGCATCTTTTTTTATAGCTTTTGGTTTAGGGTAAAATTAAATACAATAAAAATAGATTAATTTATATGATAATTTTAAGATTTTTGGGAGGATTATTTGTATGGTTAACAATTTTGCTTTACTTTATAGGAATTTCAGTTTTGGCAGGTTATACTTGGGATTAACACTTATATTATTTGAAGTAAATAGATTATATTATATAAATTTAGCGATTCTTAATAATCAGGTTCAGCAGGTTCTACAAATGCAGCTGATAATGCTAAAGCCTTGGAATATATATTTTATATTGAAATAGCTTGGATTGCATTTTCAATTCTTGCTTTTATATGCATTTTTAATAAAATTAGATTGGCAATAGGTGTAGTGAAAACAGCAACTCTATATGTGAGAGATAATTTTTCAGTTATGATAGTACCTCCAGTAATTGGAATATGTTTAGGAGTCTTATGGGTTTGGTGGATAGTATCAGTTGTGTAATAATTATAATTAAATTAAAAGTTACATTGTTGGTCTTGGTAACATCAAAGGAGATGGTAGTACTCCATTTGCCACTGTAACTTTTGATAACACAACTAGAAATATGGTTTATTACTTTATGTTTGGTGGATTATGGAAATAAGCCTTTTTGTTGGCTCTAAATTAATTTATAATTGGTTGTTCAGTTTGCATATGGTATTTTAATTAAGGACCAGGATAATCCTATACTGGAAATTTATTTTAAAGTATTTATTGGGCATTTCGTTATCATCTTGGATCTTTAGCATTTGGTTCTTTCATATTGGCAGTTGTTTAATTTATTAGATTGATGTTGGAATATGCTAAATATTAAGCAAAATAGATGGCAGGAGATAATAAATGTACTAAATGTATATTAGATTGTCTATCTTGTTTGGTGGCTTGTTTTGAAAGATTTATAGAATTTCTTAATAAAAATGCTTATATTCAAATAGCATTGACTAGCAAAAGTTTTTGTCCAGCTGCTAAAGATGCTTTTGAATCAATATGGGCTAATACTATGAGATATAGTTTAGTTTCTGGTATTGGTTCTATTTTTACATTTGTAATATATATATATATTATTTATATAGATTGGTAAATTATTTGTGGGTTTTGCTACAGTTCTATTCTCATATGAAATCTTTATTCATGTAGAACCATATAAAACAGATTTAGCATCTCCAGTTGTACCATCTATTATATGCTTTATTATTGCATATATGGTTGCTATACTATTTATGAGTATCTATTAAATGGCATGTGATGCTGTATTGACTTGTTTCATTTATGATGAAGAATTAAATAAGTAGAATGGTGGAATGTCAGCTTAACATTGTCCAGAAACATTAAGAGAATGGTTTGATAGCACTTAATCATCATGATATCAAATTTTACAAACATAATATAATTAATAGAATTACTAACCATCAAACAATCATAAATTTTCTAATGCTTTATCTATTAATTTTCTCACTTTCTTTTTATATTCATCTGGTTTATCTCTAAATTGAATTCCAGCATCTACATTAGCAGGTGAATTGATATTAGGTTCAGATAACATCGAAACTATTGAAATTAACACATCTTCAGGTGTTAATATAGGTCTCCATCTAAGAATAAAGTAGACTTATCACCTTGTTTCAGGAGGTTCTTAATCATTAAATTCGTCCTATGCATGTAGAATAGAAATGCAAACTCTTCCATCTGAGTAAACTATATATTTTATCAAATAGTCTTTTACTATTTGGATGCCACATTTCAGTCAAAAATTTAAATGTTGGTGGAGAATTAGGATAATCTTCAGGAAATTTCATCATTGCTTAGAAGTATCCACCTTCATATAATGTATCAGATGGACCAGCAAAGCTAATATTCCATTAGTATAAGCTATTTGATTCCAATCCGACTGAAACTCCTTCTATGGTCTTACTTTCCTCTAACTCTAAGTTATTATTATTTGATAGAATACATCTCAGTTGTTTTTTCAGCAAAGTAACTGTATAACTGGCTGATGGTGCATTTATTGGATGAGATAATTATTATGGCAACATTCAATATATATATATATTTATAATTGATTATTTTACTTAAGTTTTTTCTATTATTTTAGATTAATCAAATGAATGCTTAATAATGATATATAATAATGATTGGTCAAACCTAAAGATATATCAGTTATCTAATAAACTCTAGATTGCATATTGTGTAATTGTAAATATATAAATCAATTTTCTTTTATAAATATATTTAATATATATATATATACACAATGTAATTCTTATCATATTCCATATGCTTCCTATTACTTATTGCATAAGTCAAGACAAATTATGGAAATAACACATAATGTGAAGAATATTTTGGAAACATTACCCAAGCCATTTCCATGGGTGAAATGCCAAAGAATTTATCACCATAAACAATTCTAAGTTCAGGAAAAGGACTTTAAGATTTAGGTTCCTATCTGGTTTGTAGAGATTCATCAGATTTACATTACATTCATCTGAGAATGCTAAGTGAAGGTAAACCACTACATATCGGTTTTTGTTTACCATCATTTTGTGACATGGAATACCTCTAGTCTTACAATGAAATAACAAAAGAACTCATCAATAATCTTACTGTACTTCTACATTATTTACTTAGTAATTTCAATACAATAAATCATTTATTGACAGTGTTTCTTACTAAGATCCAGATCTAATGTATCCAGGATGGAGTGTTGGAACTTATTTGACTCTTATTTTGTTGATTGTTGTAGTGGCTCTCAATATTATAGGAAGCATCTTCTCAATTATAGCAGAAAACAAGAAATAAGCATATTAGGATGATTTAAAGACAGAAATGAAAAAGAAAGCAGTTTAGAAAATAAATGAGTCTAAAATTGAAGAATCATCTATAAAAGAATCATATAGAAGATCAGAATTGATTTGTAAATAAAATTTTAATATAATAATTAGAAAATGAAATCATGGAGAATTAAGAATCAGCTTTCATGAGTGGTAAAGGTCAATTTGAAGAAATTAAATATAAGAAATATAAAGAAGCCACTTGGGAAAGATTTGCTTTAAGCTTCTCTTTTATACATAATTATCAGAAACTATTTAAGATTAATGAACCAAAAGGTGAGAATGCAGGTTTTGTCATTTTTAATGGAATAAGATCATTATCAATATTTTGGGTTATCTACGGTCATGATCAACTTATTCGAGGAGCTAATTCCTTCAATTTGATAGACATTCCATACAAGGTTACTGAACCTGGATGGCTAACACTTGCACCTGCAGCATATTTTGCAGTTGATACATTCTTTTTTGTTGGTGGATTCTTAGCTGCTGTATTATTATTGGAAAAGTTAACCAAATTAAGGACTATCAAATTTTCATTGGTGCCAGCTATGTGGTTACATAGATTCTTAAGAATATGGCCAACATATGCATTTTGTATATTAGTCTATTGGCAATTAACTGTTTATTGGTCAGATGGACCTATTTGGAATGAATACTTAGTATTTACTTCAACTTGCAGTACTTAATGGTGGAAGAATCTTCTATTTATTGACAATATGTTTTCACATGATGCTAGTGGATTGAACTATTGTTTTGGTTGGGGTTGGTATCTATCTAATGATTTTCAAATATTTCTAATCACTCCTATTTTATTGATTATTTATGCAAAAAATAAAAAAATTGGATTAGCAATTATCATATCATTATTAATAGGAAGTATATTCTCAGCCTATTATATTGCTTATTCTAATGATTTTCATTTATAAATGGGCACTCCTAATGCTAAACCATAACCAGATTATCAAGATATATTTTATTATAAACCTTGGGTTAGGATTTCTCCATATCTTATTGGAATCTTATTTGGATTCTTCTATCGTAATTACATAAGTGGATAAAATAAAAGAATGGTTGATTTAGCATAGAAAATAAAGGATAGTGTGTTGATTAGAACCTTATTTTATGTTATTGGAATAGGTTTAACTTAGACAATAATTTGGATAATAGTCCCTCTTTAAAAAGATATGAATGCTTGGCCTTAATAAGCCTAATATTTTTACTAAGCCTTTAATAGAGTATTTTTTGTCTTAGGTGTTGGATTATGTATTACTCCTGCATTGTTAGGTTGTAAAAATGATCCATCTAGATTTATGTATAAAATTGATTATATAATTTTAGACTTGGACATCCATTTTGGTAACCTATAGCCAGAATATCATTTTGCATGTATTTAACACATTTTATAGTGATCTTGTTCATGACCTTCAGTTCAACTTAATTAGTTTATTATCAATATTCACACATTCTCTATTTTACCCTCACTGATATTGTATACACTATTATAATAGGAGGTCTCTTAAGTTTAGCCATAGAAGTAAATAATATTTATATATATTCTAGGTACCTTGTATGAATCTTGAGAAGATTCTATTTGCTCCCAAGAGACAAGAAATTTCAAAGTAGAATGGTAATTAAGTAAGAGATGGGAATGATTTATGAAGTATTGTTTTATGTGTTGATATAATTAGTATATCAAATAAATTATATATATCCTTTAGTGAGATTCCCATTATTCATTATCATATAATGTATTACATATGATTCAATACATAAATATTAAATTTTTAAAAATGAAGCTTAAAAGGTTTCTTCTAAGATATTATCCCCCTGGAATAATTTTGGAATACATTCGTAGTAATGGAGAATAAGAAACGAAATCTATTGACTTGCTAAATTTAAGCAATGAGTATAGTTTGAAGTCTAAAATAATAGTACAGATGTAGATCAATTAGTTGAAGAAATAGTAATGGAAGAGCCAATAATTTCAGATAGTCGAAAACCATAATTGGCAGCCTTAATAAGAAGTAAGACAAAATCTAAGGTTTATTAGAATTAATAGATAAAATTGAATCAAAAAAAGAGCAATAATTTGAATTATTCAAAACTCTAAAAGCTCATATGTTACCTTTGACAAATTGTGCATTCAATAAAAATGGAGACAAGTACTTAGTTTGAGTTGATATAAAAATTAGGTTTATAACAGGTAGCTATGACAGAACATGTAAAGTATGGGATACTTTTACAGGAGAGGAAATAGTATCTCTGGAAGGTCATAAAAATGTTGTATATTGTATTGCATTTAACAATCCATTTGGGTAAAGTAGTAAATATATAAGAATAGTGATCGGGTGGTAACAGGATCATTTGATAAGACTGCAAAAATATGGGATGTTAATTCAGGGAAATGTCTATAGACTCTAGTAGGACATAATTATGAAATAGTTTGTACATCTTTTGATCCTCATTCTTTGATTGTGGCTACAGGATCAATGGATAAAACTGCTAGATTATGGGATGTAGAAACAGGAAAGTAAATAGCTAGATTAGATGGACATGAAGGTGAAATTGTGAGTTTGCATTTCAATTCAGATGGAGATAAATTATTAACAGGTTCATTTGATAAAACTGCAATGATTTGGGATGTGAGATCTGGAGAGTGTATTCATATGTTAGATGAACATACAGGTGAAATTTCAAGTACTTAATTTGAATTTACAGGTGATTATTGTGCAACTGGATCTATTGATAAGTAATCAATATATTTTCATTTAGGACTTGTAAAATATGGGATATTAAAACAGGTAAATGCATAGAAACTTTGAGAGGACATAAAGATGAAGTTTAAGATATTTGTTTCAATTCTACAGGTTCATTATTTTATTTATTCTAGGCACTAGATTAGTAACAGTTTCAGCAGATGCCACTGGAAGAGTATACAATGTGCATACTGGAGAATGTATTGCATAATTACTTGGACATAAGGGAGAAATATCCAAAGTTTAATTTAATCCATCTGGAAACAAAATCATTACTGCAAGTGCTGATAATACTGCTAGAATATTGTATGTTTTCATTAATAATAATTTAATAGTTCAGAAACTGGAGAATGTTTATAAGTACTTGAGGGACATACAGATGAAATATTTAGTTGTTCATTTAATTATGAAGGAGATATCATTATTACTGGGTCTAAAGATAATACATGTAAAATATGGAAAGAAGTTAATTTACCAGTCAAAAAAAAATGACAAATTCATTAATAATATATTTATTATTTTCAGCAACTTTTATATAGTTTCAATTACTATATTTATGTGACAATTACTAGATAATAATATTCCTTTCATTATAATATATGATTTTTAATAATCATATTCATTTTACTAATTTCTCCAATTCTCCATTCTCATCTAAATTGACTACATCTGTATATCCACCAACAAACTTTTATTTTATGAATATCATTGGAATTGTACTCCATTTCAATTTAACTACAAATTCATTCACNTAATTCAGGGAAATGTCTATAGACTCTAGTAGGACATAATTATGAAATAGTTTGTACATCTTTTGATCCTCATTCTTTGATTGTGGCTACAGGATCAATGGATAAAACTGCTAGATTATGGGATGTAGAAACAGGAAAGTAAATAGCTAGATTAGATGGACATGAAGGTGAAATTGTGAGTTTGCATTTCAATTCAGATGGAGATAAATTATTAACAGGTTCATTTGATAAAACTGCAATGATTTGGGATGTGAGATCTGGAGAGTGTATTCATATGTTAGATGAACATACAGGTGAAATTTCAAGTACTTAATTTGAATTTACAGGTGATTATTGTGCAACTGGATCTATTGATAAGTAATCAATATATTTTCATTTAGGACTTGTAAAATATGGGATATTAAAACAGGTAAATGCATAGAAACTTTGAGAGGACATAAAGATGAAGTTTAAGATATTTGTTTCAATTCTACAGGTTCATTATTTTATTTATTCTAGGCACTAGATTAGTAACAGTTTCAGCAGATGCCACTGGAAGAGTATACAATGTGCATACTGGAGAATGTATTGCATAATTACTTGGACATAAGGGAGAAATATCCAAAGTTTAATTTAATCCATCTGGAAACAAAATCATTACTGCAAGTGCTGATAATACTGCTAGAATATTGTATGTTTTCATTAATAATAATTTAATAGTTCAGAAACTGGAGAATGTTTATAAGTACTTGAGGGACATACAGATGAAATATTTAGTTGTTCATTTAATTATGAAGGAGATATCATTATTACTGGGTCTAAAGATAATACATGTAAAATATGGAAAGAAGTTAATTTACCAGTCAAAAAAAAATGACAAATTCATTAATAATATATTTATTATTTTCAGCAACTTTTATATAGTTTCAATTACTATATTTATGTGACAATTACTAGATAATAATATTCCTTTCATTATAATATATGATTTTTAATAATCATATTCATTTTACTAATTTCTCCAATTCTCCATTCTCATCTAAATTGACTACATCTGTATATCCACCAACAAACTTTTATTTTATGAATATCATTGGAATTGTACTCCATTTCAATTTAACTACAAATTCATTCACTTATTTTTCATATTCCTTTGTTTTTGTGATATCTCTGTATTCATAAGGTATGTTTTTACTATCTAAAAAGTGCTTTAATTTATGACAATATGGACAATAATCACCTCCATATATTACCACATGTTTATCTGATTTAATTTCTTAATTTTCCATAGATATGGTAACAATTTTATTATAAATAATTATAATTAATTATTTAATTTATACTTATAATCATCAAGATATTATTTCAAATCAACTTTTATTTTAATATAAACAAAAACAAATCTAATTTATTAAACAATATATCACTATTCATATTTCCTTATTTATTTATAAAGTTCAGTTCAAAAAATTCAAATATTTTTTATTATATGTATTTTATAAATATTTCAATATATATATATAAATATATATAATAAAAATAAGATTTTTAAAGTTCTGAAAAATGTTGTTTATTAATACAATACTATCAATATCAAATGAAATCCTTTAATGTACTACGTCCTTCATCATAATTTTGATCCAGACATTTACTAGATTATAATGGAGTTATATATTGTCTTTGTTCCTCTATTCTTCCAAATTATTAAGGAAGAGTCTAAGCTTGCTAAATGGGTATCTGCCATCCTTGCATATTGATCATTTATTGGGCTTACATTTACATTAGATATTAGTTTAAATATTGGCTTCTATAGAATGAAATTAATACTTTTACTGTTAAAGAAGCCTATATGGATTCATGGATAAGCTAAGTTGCATCATTTAAATTTATTAGTTTAACTATAATTATAGAGATTGAAATTATAGGTCTATAGGACTATTCTAAACACATTAGACTGGAGCCAACGATTCCTTTGTTTTAGTGATTTCTTAAGGTTTTTAAGGTTGAGACTCCAATCTAAAAGTACTTCTTCTCTAACGAGTCTTCTTCTTGCCTATTCTTCCTTCTCTTCTGTAAGTTTGCAAAATAGCTTTAGAGGTGCTAAACTTAATTCCAAATTCTTAAGCAGCCTACTTTATTGTTGATTATTTAGATTAAACTCTTTTTATAAAAGCCATTCTCACAGTTGGTGTGATCACAGCGTACTTTTTCCTTGCCTAACTACCATCATTTAATGAATCCATAATTTTAATATTTATAATTGATGAATTTATTTAAAGATAAATACTTAAATTTTACATTAAATCATTATTTATAAGATAATTACATTATTTTATCATGTACTTATTTTATATTAAATTAATCATAAATACTTTCTAATGACTGAAGATATTTTTTTAATTGTCTTTTTCAATATAAAAGGAGTAGGCTAAATGTTTAGAATTACTTTAGCCTTTTAATTACTCCCATTTCAACAATAATTAAATATTACAAATATTATATTTTTCAAACCAAGACCATCAAATTAAATTCTCAATTACATCACTTCTGACATCAAAATTATAAAATCTCATATTAAAAGTCTTAATTTAAAGTTAAAAAGAATGAATTTTTATTTAAGTATTAGAAATTTGTTTGTTAAACTTAATCTTAATTTTCTATAAGTTGTTACCTCTTTCAAATATTATTTATATATTATGTCTCAATTTTTATACTTTTTTAAGTAATTGTCTTCCTTTTCAATAATTGATTCTTAATTCTACCCCATAATTAGTCAAATAAGTATTTAATACAATATTTATGCTTTATATGAAGTATTGTACTGTGCTCTTGCTTTTTATGTCATACTCAATTAATTATATAATAATAATAAGATTTTTAATTTAATTAATTTCATTTATTTTATATGAATAACAATGATTAATTATTAAAGATCTAGAAGGAACATGGATATAGCAATGAATTTAAATTTCTATAGTTTTAACAATACTATAGAAATAATATTTAAATAATTATTCAAATCTTTATTTATACTATCTATAATTTTCATTCTACAAAAATGAATTAAGTAATAATAATAAACTTACTAAAAATGACAATAATTACAATTAAGGTTCTTTTATTATATGGATGTATTTGATTAAAGAGAATTTGATTTGAAAAATTTTACAATAGTAGATTATGTGTTTGAATTGATTATTTAAGTTACTAATATACAGAAAAAAAAAAATTAAACTCAATAAACATGCATTCGAATTCTCATTATTACTTAAAATAATAATATTCTTATGGTTTCATTATTTTATTTAAGATATCTCCAATTTAAGATAAATATTTAAGTTTTTCTTATTGATCACTTCTTAAGACATAGGCATAAGCATGTTTTTAATAAAATTCAATTGACAATTTTTAGAACAAGGCTTTAAATTAATCTGAGTATTATTATCCTTTAGGATCAGAATGACAAAGGATTAGCATATCTTAGATGGCCTTTACTTCTAATTATTATAGCCATGTATTGAAATGTGGTTTTAGATTAGTATTATCTGCAAAGTATGTTTCAATAATTTAAATGGCTTCTTCATTTTAAAAAATAAAATTCATTTAATTTTAGATTAGAGCATTTTATATTTTTTTTTCTTCTATTATAAAAATATAACTATGTTATATATACCATCAATTGGGTAAAATCCTTTTTATTAAATTTGGATCTACTTGATTAATTCATCTACAGCATCATTTCTATTCTCTTCTACTCTGAAAGTGGGATTATTAATTGTTCTCAATTATTTATTAGAATAAGCCTATTGAATTAATTATTGTAGAAAACTCAAAGGGATGGTGACAGTTGGATCTGGACGAGTCTACATTAAGATAGATAATTACGATGGATTCATCAGAGAGTTGGAAGCGTAGATTTAACTAGGGATATTTGCGTCTTTCCTCATTATTTACAATATCGTTGTTGTGAATGATTTTGATGGGAGCATACTTTAAATGTACATGGTTATTGCCATTATGATAGTGGTTGTTTTCACTAGATTCCATGTTGAGTTTAGATGGATGATAGCGTTCAAAGCTCATTGTTATTAGAGACAATATATTATAAATAAATTATTATATAAATTATTATATAATTTATCATTGATTATCAGGAATTAAAGTTAATAATAAATAATATATATTTATATTAAATAAAATTAATATAAGTAATTTCATCATCATTATTATTGTTTAACATTCTTATGAGACTATAAATAATATAATAATAAATTTACCAATAAAGTTGAAGTTTTTTATTAAAGTAAAGTAGTTGAATACTTTTGATGATTTTACTCTTTTGAATCCACTAATTATTTAAGTGTTTTATAGATATTGACAGCTTCTAATATTTTGTAATCTCCAATTTTACTATTATTTTGACTTCTATTAAAAGGATTATCTTTATGTTAATAAAACTATGATTAAATATATTAAATATTACTTATTGAGTTGTATTAGCTTTTGTTGAACTTAAATCATAAGTATGATTAGAAGTTTATTTTAAAATAGTTTTGACTGGTGATGTTTTCTCACTCTCTGAATTTCTTTTTGTATATAACTATTTTAATGGTGGTTTAGGTATTTTACGCTCACTAGAAACTACTTTACTTTATTTAATAACATTGGCTTCAATATTAACTGATTTTGTTTTTGGTTTATTGATTATTTTTTCTGATTGAGTTTTAATTTATAGAAAATCATAAGGTTTTGTAAAATCATTAGTTTTACGTTCTTCACCCTTTCTTTAATTAGATAAATTGCGAATAGATTCTGCAAGTTTTGAATAAGAGTTTTCAGCTACAGAATTTATTTTATTAAATTTTTATCTATTAGTATAATAGCTTTGATTTCTATTTTATATAGATGTCTTCTATTCAGACTTCGATAATTCAGTTTAATTCATTGTTTTTGTCAAAATTTTAGAATGTGAATATTATTTTTCTAAATACAATGGTTTACTTCTATTAGTGTTATGTTCATTAGTCATTTTCTGTATTTCCATATCAATATTACCAATATCCTTCAACAGTGAACTTTTAACTATTTTTTTTAATTGAATTTCTTTAGAAGTCTCCACTAAACATTCATTTGATGGTTTTTATTTTTCATGTTATTTTGATTGATCATGTTTAGATAGGATATTATTTTTTGATTGTGGCTATTATTTTTGGACTTTTGTATATTATTCAATTAAATTTCCAATAAGTTTTTTCTTTCTCTTGATAAAATATGAAGTGGTTACCTTTCCTCAAATATGAGAGCTGCCTCATCCTCATTCATTTTACTCAACTTCATCAGTGTCTATATTTAATATATATATTTATTTTAGTTATAATAATAAATATATATCAATATTGATCACTAAGATTAAATAAACTGACCAGATTTTCTTTCTTGATTAGATTATTAAGTATAATTGATTTGAGGTTCTTCATCTGATCCGAATAAAGACTATTCCATTTCTTCTATACATTCTTTTTTGCTTTTAGGCCACTTTTCTTTTTCATATATCCTCCTAATTAAATCCTTTTTATTTTGTTTCTTTGCATAAGAAATCTAAGAATATGTAGTCATAGCATCATCATCTATTGTTGTTTTATTAAGTTTTTATTGAAAGATTGAAGATATATTCAAATCAGAATCTTAAAACACTCTAAAAATTACACTCTCCTTTTGGGATTCCAAATACACTTTTCCCAATCTATATTAATCAACATTCTTATTGAGTTGATACTTTTTATTTACTATAATTTGAATTTGAAATATTTACATAGACTATCAAGAAATGTGATTTTTGGCTTAAGTTCACTTAAATCTAATTTAGGGAAATGTTTTCTACTTGCTCTCCCTTTGATCTCTGTTGAATGTATTTCTTTACTCATTAATTTAAATATTGTTGTGTTCGATTTCTTGACTTCGAAATATATATATTTTAAATATTCTACGAATTGGAATACCTAAATTTGTTTTAATCCACTTTTATTAATATATATATATATTAATTATGCGATATCAACAACTAATCACTCATGTCATAGACCTCATTAAATCTTATAATCCTATAATACTGACTCCAGATTCACATTGTGAACAATACATCTAGGAAAATTGTAAGAAACTCTTTGATACAGAAATTATGTTTTTGAAGCAAGTATAAATTAATCTTAATTAGGTCTTCTCAGGAGTTCAACGTTATGAAGAGTTCCTTAAAATACTCACTAAAACTATGTTCACCCTCTTGTCAAGCACAACTAATAGAAATGATGCAACACTCTATTAAATATTTTCCTATCTTATTTTATTTAGATTAGATGAATTACCTTACAATGAATTCAAAAAAATGGTCAATGAATAAGATCCTGTTAAAATGAATGTCTTATTGCAATTTCTATTTGACATCGATAAAATTATTACACATATCAAACCCTAATGGATTGAAATATATGATCCTCAATTCATACAAGAAAATGTTATTGGAGGATTAGAATAACACTTTCCCATGATGAAAGATCTATTAAGTTCATTGAGTTCAAGAGCTACTGGTAAACAAAGTGAACTAGTCTAAGAAGATGAGAGACCAGAATCAGCAACTAAAAAATAACCGACGAAAACTATGCCTTTTAAATTAAGTGAAACAAAGAAAAAGGCTGAACCACCTCCTCCTCCTAAACCAGAGTTATACAAAAGTAAACCTGTTCCAAATAATCTCAATAAAAAAACTTTGCAATAGATTGAAGAAGATAATAAACTTAGATATGAGTAATCTAAAAAAAAGGTTTAAGAAACTTATAAGGATGCTAAATAATTTGAATTCAAAACAGATCTTCGACCTACTAATTATGAAACTGTCAAAAAGGAAGTTGAAGATACTCTAAATCAATAATTATAATTTAATATGAAAATTGCTAAACCTGCTCCTGTTGATTTAGAGACTGCTGAAATTAAATTAAATGCTGCAGCTATTTTAAGAGAAGAAATGTTATTAAAGAAAAAATAAGAGATTGAAAGAGAGAGAGTCAAAAATTTAGAAGTTAATCTAAGAGATTCAGGAGAATTTGAAGAATGGAAGAGATAGTAAGAGGAATAAGAATAAATTGCTAGAATGGAACATTAATAATAAAAAAAAATAGAAATGGAATTAGCAAGAGAAGCAGCTATGAGAGCATAAGAGGAGAAATTTAAAGAAAATAGAATATTGGCTGAAAAGATGAAAGTTGAGGCTGAAGAAAGATTAAAAGAACGATAAGAATTATAATAAGAATAAGTAGCGTATAAAAAGTAATTAATAGAACAAATTATGGAAGCTGATAAGAAAGTATATTTGTAAGTAGAGAAAGTATAAGAGAAAAATAAATAAATTGCTGAAGATTAGAAATTAGAAATGGCTAGGATGCTTGAATTGAAAAGATAAGAAGATGAATAAATTAGAATTAAGAGAGAAGAATTGATTAAATAAATAAGGGAATTAGAAAGGTAACCAATCAAAAGAACTAAGGGATATGATCCTACTGAAACTATGGGTTATGGTCTATTAGAAGAAATGTCATTAGCTGAATTAAGAGATAGATTAGAAATTGTAAAGGCTGAAAGAAAGGCTGAAGAAGAAGATAAAAGAAAAGAGATTGTTACTTAAAAAGATGAATACTTATCCTCTATGTAAAGGAAGGTTTAAGAGATTAAAGCACATCGATAAGCTGAATCATAATAGAAAGATATGGAGAGAGAAGCTAAGAGGATGAAAAAATAAAAAGAAGAAGATATGAGAAAAAAAATTAGAGAAGAATAATTACTTTAAGTTTAAAATAAGATTAGTAACAAAAAATAAATAAAGAGTGCTGAGGAATAAAGAATAGCAGCAGAAGTACGAGAGACTAAACTTAGATAATAATATATGAATGCTAATAAAGCTATGGTAGAAATGAAAGCTTGGAAGTCTCAATAAGATGGTATTATAGAAGAATAATAAATTAGGATTGGAAAGAGAAATTAAGAATAGATAGAATGAGAAATTAATAGTTTAGGAAGGAGTTGAATCAGTTAATTTAAGAGAAAGAAAGATCTTGGCTGAATAAGCTAAAAGATTAGTGAAGGCTAAGGTTGATTTCAATCAAGCATATGATCATGATTTAAAGACAGCTTATCAAATGAATGATTAATTGCATTTAGAAGAGGCTGAAAATAGAACTTAAATGCATAATATTCAAAGAGAATGGAAGGAAGAACATACTAAAAATATGATAACTAGAGATGAATATAAATAGAAAATATCAGAAATTTCATTAAAAAATTCAAAAAAAAAATATTAAACTATTAAATAAGATTTTAGTAAATAATTAGAATAATTACCTTCAGCTTAGTATAATTGATATTTCATCATATAATAAAACTTGATATATTTGTTTATATATAATATGTTTGATGATTTATTAGATAAAAATCACATCCCAAGAAATCTTTTTGTTTTATTAATTGTTTCTGCTGCTGTTTTCTTTACCTTATCCATAACAGCTTCACTAGTTTGTCGTTGGAATGTTTATCTATTTTGTTTAAATATGTAAAATACTATGGATCCTATTTCAATAGTTTTTAAGCATTTCTCAATACTAACAATGTCTTTTTGATGGTATCTCTTTCTATTGTAATGTATTCAGGCTATATTTAAATAAATTATTTACTTCAGACATCAATCCCATCACTGACTAACTTTTCATGATTTCATTATATAATTAAAATTGCATTTATTCTTAAGCAGCTCTAACTAAGAAATAACCTATTGCCTTAGGAATAGAATCCCTTAAATTTCTTATGACTATTCTATAATATGCATCTAATCTTCTGCTCAATTCTTAAGCTAAAACTTTTTCAGGATCTGTATCTTTATTGGCTTATTATGCAGACTTATTAGTTGTTGTAGTTGTAGTGGTTGTATTTGCAGTACCTGTTGCATTGTCACCTTATGGAGCAGCAGCTGCACTCTTTTAATCTTCTTTATCTTCTTACTAAAATGATATAGGATATATAGATTATACTGGAATAATGCTAGCATTCATTGTTAAATAATCTTGATCATTTGTGAAAATGTATCCTAATTCAGAATCAATTAAATTTTCAACTACAACTTTAGTTTTATTCTTTTATTCTGTCAGAACTTAAGAACTGATATCTGAAATAGCATCTAAAATTGTTGGGAATCTATAAAACACTTTTTTCAATATGCTATTTGATAATGAATCAACATAGGTAAACACTTCATTTAAAGTATCTATTGCAGGCTCTCTTAATCTCTCTAATTATGGCATGATTAAATATAGAAAGCTATCGAAAGAGGGGAATCCTGGAATTGAATCACCTTAATGTAATCTAATAGCTTCTCTAATTTCTCTATCTGTGTATTCTCTGCTGACTCTATAATTTTTACCAGCTTGACTAAATCTTAATAATAAATAGAATACTCATTATAAAGATCATTTAAATAGAGTTTCACTTAAGCTCCTCCAGAGATTTAAGTATCTTTTTGTAATGCTTATTTGACATCGAATTTTCCTCTTAATTTATTATTTAGATTTTCTGTATATTCAGTCAACATATTCCATATAACTTGCATCTTTTCTTTATTATCTCTTGGTAATCCTGGACCAAGTTAAGCAAGTTTAACTTCACAATCTTATACTTTCAAATCGATTTCTCTGATGATTTGAGGTAAGGATGCTCGAATACTTTGATTATATTGTAGATATATACTGTTTAAACAAGATATTAGTTAATTTCTGAATCAATGCCTTTGTTCCCATAATATCTGGAGGCATCTAAGAGTATAATGGATGTTTTGCAAAGAAATCTGTTTCTCTTTACAATGCAACACCAACTCTAACCTTTTCGTTGATGTCTTTTTAATTTCTGTTTTTCACACCAACATAACCTAATTTCAATGGAATTACTTATCCTAATAATTCCTTTCTGCAATCTGTTCCTTAATCCATGATATCAATCTAGATTCAATATATATAATTACTTTTGTAATAACACCTAGAGTTCTTGATCCTGTAGGATCTAATTTGATTGCTAATTGTAGTCCATCACTTGTTGATAAATCTTGATTGGCTGGACATACAGCTAAGATTATTGTTCTTTCATCTTAACAATAATGAGTGGCCATCTCTAATGTAACTTTTTCAATGTCTTCTCTTTATCCTTTAATTGCTATTCTTGTAATTCCTGGTAAATCAATTACTGTCAAATCTGGACAATCTCTTGAATAGACAGTCATTACTATTGGATCAGGTACAACATCTAGTTTAATATTATCATTACTAAATACCTTTTGAATTTCCTGTTGCTTTATCTGTCAATTCTACAATGTATTCTCTAACCTTCTCAAAATCAAAGAATTTTTGATCTTTACACACTTCAAACACTGCCCATGGTTTTAATGCATCAGGTTTATGAATTAATCTCATTTCCAAAGGTCTTCTTGTTACAATTCCTTCTCCTCTTGGTAAGAAATCCAATCCAACAATGTTTTCCAAAAGACTACTTTTTCCTGCACTCTAACTTCCCAATACAGCTATTCTTGGTAATTTAATGTATTCTTAAACTCCTAAGTCTCTTAATTAATCAATGAGTGAAATCAAAGATCTTAAATTATCAAAAAGCTATCCCTATAATAAACTTTCTTTTTATTCTGACATTATTTAATTTAATTTATTTATATTAAAATCATTATTAATATTGAGATTTAAAGAAAATAAAATATTGTCAAGGCTTAGTATTTTATTGATACAAATCTCATAAATCAAAATAATAATTTTTACAGTGATTTCATCTTTCATATGATATCATTCACTTTTATTATTACATACAAAATAAAACAAATAAACAAAAATAAGATTAGATTACAAAATATATGATCATTTGATATTTCTTTATATCTTTTTTATTTATTAATAAAGATTGGTATATATTTCTAAGTTTTCTTAATGTAATTCATCAATTGAATTAACAATAGCAGCAATACCTTAATTAGGATCTTCATGTCTTAATTAACTAATTAAATAAAATTAAATAAAATACCAGCATAATGTAGGCATAGCAATCCTTGTTAGTCTTCTCTTTTCTATATCAGTTAATTGAAATTTTATTTTAAAAGTATCATCATCACTTGATTTAAAAATGTTATTAACTTTTTTATCATTCACTCTATTTAATCCAGACTCATCACTCTTTTGTTTTTCCTTACCCATTCTTCTTACTAACAAATTATCTCTTGTCATTTCTATTGCATCCATTAATCTATTAACATTACGATCACTCCATAAATCAACTACTCCCATAGACCCATCATTAGCCAATTCTCCAAAAGCATCATGAACCTATTTGATTAGAGGTTATAAATAATAATTGTTCTTTTTTTCATGCATTCTAAATCCAAATTTCAAGAAAGTTAATTTTTTTGTCTTCGATTTATTGTTTACTTTTCCATATGTCTCATCTCTTTTTTATTAAATTTCAGTTTTTGGAATAACATACTAAGGTTTATGAAGCCATTTCCCACGTATATGGCCTAGAGCAAACTAATTCTTCACATTCTCTTACAAGATATCAAAATTAGGAATCAAAGATGGTTCTGTCTTGGTTCTTTTAGATTAAAAATTTCTATGACTTGAGCTCAATTATCCTCTACTCTGTAAATTATCTCTTTAAGTTTACATCAATTTATAATTAATAGTAAGAATTTAATAAATTCAATATTGTCTTCTGTCCATTAAGATATTACTTAAATACGTTTTTGTTTACCTTAATTCTTCAATCTACTACTATTACTATTAATATTAGTATCTAAAGAATTATATTTCATTCCTTAACAACTCACATTCATCTCTCAATTAAACACATTCTTCTTTCAAATTCATTTAATCCTCTATTTAATCATTTTCTTATGCTTATTTAATCTAATCTCTTAAACCTATGCATTCCAATTAAACTTTTAAAAACATATTCTTTTCAATATTCAAAGTCTATTGTAATTCATTAATCTTTCTATTAAATTCTTGTTATTCTGACTTCAAAATCTCATTTTAATTATAGAGTTTTTCAAATTCCACTTCTTTATTTTGAATACAAACTTATAATTTCTCTTTTAAAATAGTCTCACTTTCAAGCTCTTTTCTTATTTCTATAATTTTATCTTAAAGTCTTTTAACCTAAACATTTAATTATTTAACTTCACTTTCATTGTCACATTTAACTTATTTATTACTACTTCTCATATCAATCAATAAAGTTTATTACTCAATCAATTATTATGTTAATTATTTAATTTATTAATCTTTCTCTTCCAATTATGATTCTTAAGCTTTTACTATTACATTTAATTTATCATATTTATTTTCTAAATCTATCAAAACTTAATTCTTATGTTCTATTCTCTTTGTCAATTAATTAAACTATATTCAAAATAATTAAATAAACATACTTCAGATTAATTGCCTTATTGTTAAAATCTAAAATTATTGTAATCTTATTCTAATGATTCATACATTTTTGATATTTTCTTCATCTACAAAGATTATTCATTATATTTTCTATCCATTCTCTCAATATCATTAATTAAATCATTATTCTTTTTCATCAATTAATCAATCAATTTATCTTTTTTATTATTCTCACCTTTAAGATTATCATTTTATTGAGACATATTCTTTATAATTGTCTCTTATTTTATTATGGTATCTTTATACATATCTTCACATTCCTTTAGAGTTTACATAAGATTATTCAATTCATTATTTGATTCTTATAATTAATTTTATAAATTTTATTTCTCTTAATTTAGAATATGTTCATTTTATTTTAATTGTTTATTATGATCACTTATAATTTACATCTTCTGATTTGTTTCATTAATTACTGATTTTAACAAATTTTTATTTTTATTTAATTCTTCTATTCTTTTCTATTATTCAATCATTAATGTATTCAATTCTTCTAATTAAGTAATTAAAATCTTTAGTTTTTATTCACTCTACTAAACATCTTTATTTTATGTATTTAATAAGAATTAATGTTCTTATTCCAAAGCCACATATGCATGAGATAAACGTTCAACCTCAGTAGAAACAAGAACAAAATTTTTCATTATTGTCCATTTCTCAATCAAAGAATCCTATTTAATTAATTCTTATAGATTATTTTCTAATTCAATTAACTTCTTTCTTAATTAAGTATTTTCTTCAAAGAGATTATTTGTCTGATTCTAATTTTACATTTATTGAATTATATTATCTATATTTTTATAAGATTAATAAATAAAATTATATTTAATAATAGTGATCTAAATAATAATTTCTTTACCTAATTAATTTATAATTATGTAATTAAAAACAAAGCTATTGTTGACTTAATTGATCTTATTAAATTTAATTAGTCTAATTTAATCAGGAAGATAGGAATTTAAAGATTTAATGATCATTACTCAAAATTCAATTGGACTTTTATTAAATTTAATCATTTTAAGTTTAGAATATGTAAAAAAAAGAGAAAACATTACTAACATTTTGATTCAAATAAACATTATTGTATAATTAGAAATAGTCTTTTACAATATCTAAAACATCACTAATTACTTCATCCTAATATACTTATTAATTATGTAGAGTGCTTTGAAAAAATAAAATCAATATTATTAATTTATAACTCATACAATATGCTTATATGTTTCAATAAGACTTGCTGCTTAATTCTATGTGTAATTTACAACTGCTTAATTTATTCTCTTTATTCTTTGGCAACCCCTTAACCATTTAATATTATATAAAGAAAAGTCCATAAATGAAATTCGCAAACCAAGTCCTACTTCTCTATCATAAAGATAACCTAATCATAATGCACATTTCAGCTATCTTGAATAAATTTAATAAAATCTTATTGATGATAAAACACCACATCTAGAAAGAAACATAAATGTAGCTCTAGAAGAAGATTTACTCAATTATCTCCCTTATGGATTAGTTTTGATAGATACAAACTTTCAAGTTATAAAACATAATGAAAAATTGATGAGTTACTTGATGATTAGTCAAACAGATTAAATTTTGAATCATTTAGATTAATTATTGTCTAAGTAAGATTTATTAATATATATAAGTGCCTAACTGAACTCAATAAAAACTAGTCCAATTTCTAAACATAAACCTCACATTGTTCCCTTGAGAAAATTGAAACAAAATTCAGCCAGTCAATATTAGTGTAATACTGGATTCAAATCTAATTAGAATTATTGGCTGTCTGATAGGTTAAAGATTAACATGTAAAATAAAGGTTCCTTTTAATCTAGTATATAAGATGCATGTACTTATACTTATATTTAATTTGTTATGAATGAATTTTAAAATAAAAGTTTTATTAAGATCAATCCTTCAGATAATTTATCTATGGCATCTGATTAAACTCATATGTTTAAATTTCATGTAGTGAAAGATCTTAAAGTAAGAAAGAAGCATTTTTAAATAAAAGTTTATGAAGTAAAATTATAAACAAGAACAAAAGATCCTGCTTTTTTATTTATAATTGAAAATATTACAGATAAGGAAGAATTGAAGGAATTAACTAATCGATTCAAATTTTAATAAGCTTTATTAAATTCTTTTAGTCATGAATTACGAACACCATTAAATAGTTCAATACCTTTATTAGAAATTTTAAGTAAAAAAATTGATGAAACTTTAAATGATAATTATTTATCACTAGCTATAATTTCTTGTCGTAGATTACTTTTTTAAATTAATGATATATTAGATTATGCATAAATAGAATGTGAAGATTTTAAGTTAAATCTAAACAATTTTAAGGCAAGTGATATTTTTGATGATCTAAAAGAATTATTTTAATAAGAATGTTTATAAAAATAAATTGAATTAATTTTAAATTATAATACTCATATAGTAATCCATAGTGATAAATTAAGAATAACTTAAATATTGGTAAATTTAATGAATAATTCAATTAAATTCACTAAGCAAGGAGGTAGAATAGTTTTGTCTTTAAAAAAAAGAGACTCTTAATGTATATTTTCAGTTTGGGATAATGGTGAAGGGATTTCTAGTGAATAAATGATTGCACTGTAAAATTAATTTATCTAATAACCATAAGGATCTAATAAAATGGGATTAGGTTTGAGAGTTTCAAAAGAAATAGTAAAATATTTAGGGGGAGATGGTGAATTACAAATAAAAAGTGAGAAAGGATTTTATACAATTGTTAGTTTTTAAATTGAAGAGTCTGCTAGTACAATAATAAAAGATGAGGATTCATCAATAAGAGATATAGAGGAATTAGGATCAGATTCTAAGAATTCAGCATAAAGAGTATATATATCTTCAAGAAAATTTCTGAGTCATTGTGAATGTAATTAAATATTGATTGTTGATGATGTACCTTTTAATCATATCACTTTAATGGCATTACTTTAAAATTATGGATATAAAGCAGATAGTGTATATGATGGAGATTCTGCAATTAAGAAAGTGAAATAAAAATTGTATAATGTTTGTTGTAAAGTGTATAAAATAATATTTATGGATATAGAAATGCCAGGAAAGAATGGATTTATTACAAGTAGTGAGGTATTAAATCATAAATCAATTAGAGATCTCTAAATTATTGTAAAATGAACGTTTAAAATGCATAATTGTGATGTGTTCTGCATATAATGGATAAGAAAATGCAGAATTAGCATATGAAAGTGGAATGAATGAAATAATTTCGAAACCTATTTCATTAGATTCTTTATAAACACTTTTAAGGAAATACTTTTGTTGAAAATTCTTAAACTTTTTTTAATTTATTATGTAATCTTTTTAATATATATATATAATCATATTCCATTGAATTCTATAACCATTGGTTTAATAAGTTTATTAAGATTTGTCTAATGAAATGGATTGTAATTAGAAGCACGATACAATCCATAGATCTTTTCGAAAATTGCCAATAAGTTTAATTTTTCTGTCCCTTACTTAATAAATATGATCATTTTCAATTGTGTTATTGTTATATATGCATGTACATCATAATCATTATTTGGTAAATAGATTGTATATAATACACCTAAATATGGTTCTGTAGATGTCCCTCCATTCAATTTCTTCTATAATATAGGACTTATTAATTGTAAAGCTGTGTAAGTTTGAAATTTGAAATGCACTTGATCTTCATTCTCTATGTAATAATCAATAAAATTGAGTTTATCTTATGAATCTATTATAGCAATACAAGCAATAGACATTTTAATTTAATATTATATGATAATTGAGACAATATATATATGGATAATCTGGTTGATATTAAAAATACCACAATTAGAGATTAAAGAGACTATTGATGCTGAAGTATATGAAGAATTTGCTATCACTAATGCCAAATAAAAATATTCATTATTCAATTCCCTTTTGGATAATTTTGAATCCAAATAATTACCTCAATTTAAAGTCATGCAATCACTGAATTATATGATTGTAGATAATTCAACAATTATTGAATATGATAAAGAATGTATACATTCATAGAGTATGAGATTTTAGAGTATAATATATCAACAATGATAATCATAGTATTTGCCAACATAAGAGAAATCACACTTACATGAAAGAATTATTATTAAGTTTTTAAATCATTAACTTTTCTAATTGTTCCTTTTCAGAGAAACAATAATAATATAGACTTACAAATAATGATATAAAATTGTCATTTACATAATGTAAAGATATGAAAGTGATTGATTAATTCAATTATTTATAAAGAGGATAACTTATTATTATTGTTTGTAGAATAATGACATTAGTAAAAGTACACATACTCTATTAAAAGAATAAAGAAATAGATTTGATTTAACTTTATGATTATTAAATATCCTTGAAAGAATTGTCAAATTTATTAATTCGATATTAAGCACACTCATCAAATAGGTTTATTTTGATTATAAATTCCAAATTAATGTACTTTACATCTGATTAAATTTATTTTTATAAAATAGATCTAATTGATGAAATTTAATTCTCAGAAGATGGTACAAAAGTTTATGCAGTATTATATTACTTTTTATCTTTTAGATGAGAAAAAGTGTTGTTTATTATGTCAAATTGTAAAATCCAAAAGTTTAATTAGTTGAATTGATTGAATAATAAAACAAAGTCAACAATATTAAACTTTTAGCATTTAAATGTTGGAAATAAGGAGTATTACTATTAACAGATAAAGGATAATTAAGATATCTTGAAGTAGATTATAAGGAATAGATACATAAAATTACTATTTATGATGGATTTGGAGTGATTATGATTATGTTAGCATTGTTTTCAATCAAAATAAATTATTTTTGATAAATTTATATTAAATTTGTGAATTCTTTTAATTAAAAATTAATTTTAAGAATAAAGAGTGGTATATTATGAAATAGAAGAATAAGAAACCTATCTCTGAACTTTTAAAGCAAAAAAGAATAGCTGAGTAATAATCATAACTTCCTCAATAACCTTCTTCACCTCCATCTCGATCATCTTCATCCTCTTCATCTAAAACATCTGATCCATATGAAGACAGTAGTGATGCTGAAGACTATGAGGATTATAAAAAAGATGGTTATCATCCTGTAAGTATTGGAGATAAATTTCATAATGGGAGATTTTAAGTTATTCAAAAACTAGGATGGGGACACTTTTCAACTGTTTGGTTAGCACATGATAAATAATCTGAAACACATGTTGCATTGAAAATATAGAAAAGTAAATAAAGTTATTAAGAAAGTGCAATTGATGAATTAGAACTTTTAAAGTATTCAATTCATATTAATATAGGGATTTATAGAAGCATTTAAAAGATGAAAAATGGATTTAGTATTAAGAATAATTGTCTCAGATTCCTAAATTAGATTATAAAACTTTAAAATGGGGTGATCCAAACATTAAAAATACAGAATAAGATATGGATATTAAAGTGAAATTGAATGAAACATATTGTGTAGAAATGGTAGATAATTTTATTCATTATGGAATGCATGGAAAACATTATTGTACAGTTTTTGAAGTCTTAGGACCATCTTTATTAGATTTAATTATACATTTTGATGATTATGATAAAAGAATGGGTATGTGGTTAGTCAAATAAATTACTAGAGAACTTTTAATTGGATTAGTGTATATGCATGAAGTATGTAATATCATTCACACAGATTTAAAACCAGAAAATATTATGCTTTAATTGAAACCATCAAATTTTGGAGAATTTGTAGAATAAATGAAAATGGTTAAAAAGAAACCTATTAGTATGAAATTTTTGGATAAATTAAAAAAATCAATGAAAACAACTAATAAAAAGTAAGAAAAAAGAAAAAAGTAAAAATAAAAGAAACTATAACAATAATAAGAAAAAGATTAATAGGTATAAATTGAATAATAATAATAATAAAAGGATATATAATAATAAGACATATAATAATAATAAAAGGATACATAATAATAATAATAATAATAAGAATAATAATAATAATAATAATAATAAGATATATAAAAATAATTAAGTACAAATAATAATGATATCAAAGAACACATATAAGAAGATTTATCTATAGAATAAAAAAATACTTTAGTAAATGTAGAATAAAATTCAACAAATATTACATCTGTTTAACATACGGTTTAACTTGAACCAATTACAGATGATGAATCTGAATAAATATCAAATGTAGATACTATCTAAAATTAAGTTGAATAATAAACTAATCCTGAAAAAGAAAATTAAGAGTTATTATAAAAAGAAGAAGTTCATCATATCCATAAACATAGAAATTTACAAAAAGAGAAAGAAAAAGCTTTGAAAGATAAAAAGAAAAGTCACAGTGGAGAAGAAGATATCTCATCAGATGAAGAAGATTAAGATTGGAAATCAGATGATTAAAGTGATGAATCAGAATCTAATGAAGTTGATGAAGAAACTTTATACACTTTGAAGTATTTATATCTTTTATTTATAATTAGATGGAAAGAACATATCAAAATAAAGTTAGATAGAGATTTATCTATAAAAATTGTTGATTTTGGAAATGCCTGTTGGACCCATAAACATTTTACTGATAATATACAAACTAGAGAATATAGAGCACCTGAAGCAATTTTGGGAATTGAATATGATACTAGTACAGATATTTGGAGTACTGCTTGTATTGTATTTGAATTAATTACTAATGATTATTTATTCAAACCTAGAAAAGGAAAAGGATTTAAGAAATCAGAAGATCATTTGGCATAAATGATGGAAGTTTTAGGAAAAATGAATAAAAAATGGGCATTAAGTGGTTCAAATAGTAGAGAATTCTTTAACAAAACTGGTTAGTTAATTAATATAAAAGTATGGATTTGAATTATATATAGGATCTACATCCAACATCTATTAGTAAAATATTAATGAGTGATTATGGTTTTTCATATTCAGATGCAAATTAAATAGAAGATTTTCTTGTTCCAATGTTAGCATTTGAACCAAAGAAGAGAATTACAGCTAGATAGGCACTTTAGCATCCTTGGTTATGGTCTAAATGATCAATTAAATGTAATATATTATGAGAAATTAAACTAAATAAATATTGAATAATATATTTGATTTTTATTATGATGAGAAAAGAATTAAAAATTTAAATCTTTTTTATCCTTTTTTTAATTATTATGTCAACAAATACACTATTATACTTCTATATATCATTTAAACCTCAAATTCATTATAATAATTACGTTAAAATTATTTTGAGAGTATTCTAATAAAATAAAGATGAAAGATGTCAAAATTGCATTTTTTAATCGTAAATGACTTTGATGTAAAAAATTGAAAATAATTTTATAAACGAAAAAAGAATGTTAATCTAATAGATTTAAACAAAAAATAAATGATTGTCAAGGAACTTACTTGTATTGATATTGATCCCATTTATTATTAATATTTTCTGAATACTAAAATTTATTTGGATAGTACAAGTTCTGAATCTATTTAATTGTCAAAGGCTTATGAAACAGAATGGACAGTATAATTATTTAAAATCATGCTGTTTGTATATTGTTGACATCTTGAATCACTAATTTAAAATAATTAAATCTACTTGAAAATTCTTATGACTTCAATTTGATAACCTAATTCTGATTCCTCGGTAAGTTATGGTTCATCAATTATACAAGGGTGCTCTTGTAATTTCCAAACTTTATTATCTAATGGAAATTGCTTTGAAGGTTTATTCTCAAATCTAAATTTTTGCATTAATTAAAATTATATATAAAAACTATGAATTCTAAAATCAAGTAGCCAATTCATCTACCAAAGATTTTATGTGTTTATCATCTTTCTTTTCAACTTTAGTGTTCTCCTCCTGCTTTTTAATTGGAGCTGTTATAACCAATAAACAACCAGAGAAACAGGATATTGATGGTACAAGAACAGTCAACCAAAGAATTAAATTTTAATCATCTAGTATATTTCCATAAGAACAAAAAAACAATACAATCCCAGATGAAATTTTATCTATACAACTATATGCACCAAAAACAAAAGCACCACTTTATCCCTTTAAACCAATAACATCACTTATGAGTGCAATTCCTGTATTCAAAGTAATAGCTTATGCTATTCCAATGAATGGGGATATTGCATACATAAAGTAAGCATTATCTTCATTTAAGAATATTAGAGCAAAAGAAGTCAGCAAACATAAAATTGTCCCAACCCTTCTCAAATAAATAATTATTACATTAATGTAATTTTTTTGCCTAATAATTTATATAACTTTGATAGAGATATACTCGTTATAACACTCATAATATATAGAGATAGAGGTATTAATGCCACTTAAATAGGGATTTGAACATTTTCAACATCTGAATTTTTAAACTTCAAAACACTCTCAATATAAAATGAGATCATTGTTGAAGAAACGTTGGAATACAATCTAAAAAACATATACACCATTCCAAATCTATAAAATGATAATTAACCAAACCATTCTCTATAAAATTTAAATAATAATTACTTCCAATCATGCAATTCTTCAAAAATTGTATTAGCTGTTTTATTATGTAAACATAAACCTTCATCATCATTTAATTCAATATCTGCCAATTTAACATTTTATTATCCATCTATTTATGGTTCAGATGTAGATTTCTGTATATCCTCACTAGAACTATTGTTTTTTGATTCATCCTGAACTTAATTATTTATGATCTCTTAGTCTTATGGTATATATGTTGTTGCGATATAACAATTTTGTCTCTAATATAATTATAATTAATATTTCATACTTCCTTCAAAATTTTTAACAAAATTCTTGCATATTTAGTACAATCAGAAGTTAGTTTAGGTTCATTTATTTGTATAATAAAAAATACTGATGTTGCTGTTCCAATGGCTACACATATTAATGATAAATATTGAAAAGCTTATTCTGAGTCTGTACCATTTTTACTGTTTACCAATTAAAAAAATATTAGCTATATCTATTTTTAAATGTTACTGCTGTCACATACACTATTAATACAGCTATGAATTAAAATGTATTTCTTATAGAATTTAATTTATCTCTTTTATAGCGACTACATGTTAAACTTGGAACCAAACACATATGACTTATTTGTAATGAAGCCCAACCAAAATTAAAGATTGCTGAAAAAACCGTATAGTATATTGTCTTTCTTTAATTTTAATAGCTTACTTATACTAAGTTGTTGTTTCTTAGGCTCATCCAATCAAAAATTAAATTTCCATTCCAAACAGGCAAAAATGAAAAGATTATTACAACATATCCCCTTGAAATATAAACATTTAAAATACCCAATATACCATGGAATTCTCTTTCCTATTGATGTATTTGTTCTATCACTATAATATCCTACTAATGGAGTGGCTAAAGCATCAGCTATTTAACCTGACAACATTGCATATGAACCAAAATCAACATGCATAATTCTCTTCAAATAAAACAATAGATAGCTAAAATGTTAAAGTATTCAATACTTAAACCAACAAGCAGCTGATAAATCATTAAGCATATGACCCATGCAATATGCCCAAAATTAGGATGCTGTTAAACTATCAAATTTATATTTCTAAAAGCTAATATCCTTTTCATTGATTTTAATAACCTTGTTCCAATCCATTAATGAATTAGTTTGACTATTATCTGTTTGGATATATTCATCTTAAGACATTTACAATATATATAATTATTTCCAATTTCTGTTTTTTAAATTAGAATAATCAGATATTATAATTCAATTAAGCTTAATTGAAATAATCATAAATTATGTGTTTATTAATTTTCATTTTTTTAAATATTATTGAATAATTGTTTTGAATTTTATTTTCTTTAGACTAAANTAATTAATATTTCATACTTCCTTCAAAATTTTTAACAAAATTCTTGCATATTTAGTACAATCAGAAGTTAGTTTAGGTTCATTTATTTGTATAATAAAAAATACTGATGTTGCTGTTCCAATGGCTACACATATTAATGATAAATATTGAAAAGCTTATTCTGAGTCTGTACCATTTTTACTGTTTACCAATTAAAAAAATATTAGCTATATCTATTTTTAAATGTTACTGCTGTCACATACACTATTAATACAGCTATGAATTAAAATGTATTTCTTATAGAATTTAATTTATCTCTTTTATAGCGACTACATGTTAAACTTGGAACCAAACACATATGACTTATTTGTAATGAAGCCCAACCAAAATTAAAGATTGCTGAAAAAACCGTATAGTATATTGTCTTTCTTTAATTTTAATAGCTTACTTATACTAAGTTGTTGTTTCTTAGGCTCATCCAATCAAAAATTAAATTTCCATTCCAAACAGGCAAAAATGAAAAGATTATTACAACATATCCCCTTGAAATATAAACATTTAAAATACCCAATATACCATGGAATTCTCTTTCCTATTGATGTATTTGTTCTATCACTATAATATCCTACTAATGGAGTGGCTAAAGCATCAGCTATTTAACCTGACAACATTGCATATGAACCAAAATCAACATGCATAATTCTCTTCAAATAAAACAATAGATAGCTAAAATGTTAAAGTATTCAATACTTAAACCAACAAGCAGCTGATAAATCATTAAGCATATGACCCATGCAATATGCCCAAAATTAGGATGCTGTTAAACTATCAAATTTATATTTCTAAAAGCTAATATCCTTTTCATTGATTTTAATAACCTTGTTCCAATCCATTAATGAATTAGTTTGACTATTATCTGTTTGGATATATTCATCTTAAGACATTTACAATATATATAATTATTTCCAATTTCTGTTTTTTAAATTAGAATAATCAGATATTATAATTCAATTAAGCTTAATTGAAATAATCATAAATTATGTGTTTATTAATTTTCATTTTTTTAAATATTATTGAATAATTGTTTTGAATTTTATTTTCTTTAGACTAAAGAAAGAAGAGATTAAATAACAATATTAATTATTTTAATAACGTAAAATATATTTCATAAAAATATTAAATATATCATTTATTATAATTCTTGTTTTTTTAATTTACTGGATTGATTGATTGAAATAACCTTTTGCGTTTTTGTCTCATAAGCTCTATAATGAAGGCTATGACGGGTCCATAACAAAAAATTAAATAAGTTGCCTTTCCAATATGTATAATATTAAATTAACTATATATACTTAATTCTCGATTATTGTATTTAACTTTATAACTTAATAACAATTTAGGCATGATATTAACAATTTATATTAAATACTCTTATTTTTTAAACATTTAGTTAATGATGCACTAATTGTTTAATTTTCATAATTTTGATTAAATGGTTGTGGATACAATTTTAATGATTTTTTCACCAATTCACTAACTTTAGTAAAAGATCATTTCCATTAATATTTAAACTGATCTTAAAAGAGTAATTATATGGGTTTTGAATACTTCAAGACATAACTTGAGAATTATAATTAAATAAAATCTAAAAATTGAGGTTAATTAAAGAATATCTAAAATAATTAAATGGTTGTTATTAAATAGAATTTCAATTAAGCTGATAATTTGATGAATATTTATTTGTTTTACAATCTAATATTGCAATCAATCATTATATAAAATATAAAAAATATATATATAGATAAAAAGTCATTTGATTGAGTTAAGATAATTTGTAAAATTCTTGTAATATCTGAATGAACGATTGGCATAATTGTCATCAGATTATAAAAAGAGTTTCATTTTATTTTAACGATTGGCGCATGATTAAAATGAGTATATTTGTGAAATTTAGGATAGTAGTTTTTACTATTAAGAACTGAATGGACGAATAGTTGTTTTCTTTTTAGGTTTTTCAAGGGATACATGTTGTATCTAATTATATTTTTATAATAGATGATTACTGATTATTCAATGTCTAGGATTTCAGATTTAGCCTTTTCTGAGACTGAAAAATTCATTGGTCTCTCAATGATATGCCATTTTTATCTTAATTCTCTCACATCCTTTAAGTGATTACGATATTTAATAATGTGTTCATCATTCCAATTCTCTTATTCATGAAGGCTTAGTTACTTTTTAGTTTTGGCCAATCTATTTTCGAATTTGGATTTGTTCTAAGGATTCGTTAAGGGTAAGGCCTATACTTTCTAATTACGCCAACAGTATGAAGTTTTCATTTTTATTATAAATTATATTGTCTTAAGCATAAATCATTTTTTATTGACTTTTTAATAGTATCCCGTTGAAGATCTTCCCATTTATTATTGAACTATATTGTTAGCTGATTTATTGATTCCATTATATTTTGTAGTCTACTAATTGTTATTTGGTTATTAAAATGGATAATAATAACCTTGTTTATATTAATTTGAATTCATAACTATCGAGTTTGATTTATGATGTGTTTATTAGGTATTTTAAATCTATTAGATTGAATTTTCTTAAGAAATAGTTCTGGCAACATCTTGACTATGTTATCTCATTTAATTTCCAGATTATGATTAAGGTCTCTAATTCTTTTTTTATTATAGAACTTATTGTTGCATTTGCTAATAATAAATTAATTGCATATCATCCACCTTATTTAAATCTATCATATCATCTTATCGTTTAGGACTGGGTTCTTTATTTTTGAGTCTATTAAAATTATATAACAATAAAGATTACTTTTTATCATTTTCCTCATCTAAATTTACACCTAATTAAGCTAAATATTTGAGTTGCCATTTCTTTCTTTGATCCTTCTTCCTTTTAGAAATATCTGCATATAAAGACTCACGATATTCCTTTATTGTGAATTTCTTATTATCATTCATCGAAATTTTGAATGGCTGCAAACTCACAATTTCTTCATCTGGTTACGAGAATTCTATAACATATCTATGCTTTAAAGCTTATTCTGCTGTCAATCTTGTTTTTGGGTTATAGCAAAGTAATCTCCTTATTAAATCAAGAGCTTCTTCTGTAGCCCCAGTAAAGAATTAAGCAAAGGATTTCTTTTTCGAGATATTGATTGAAGCTAGAATATTAGCAGCCAATTGACTATCTAAAGATTCTAATTCATCTGCTTTTGGTTTTCCAAGCAGTTCTATTATGCGTTCAATTTAATTCAAAGATGATGTTCCTGGAAAAATGGCTCTTCCAAGTATCAATTCTCCTACAATACAACCAACAGACCACATGTCTACTGCTTTACTATACTTTGTAGAACCAAGTAAGATTTCTGGAGCACGATACCAACGAGTAGCCACATATTCAGTGAGGAGAACCATCCCTATATAAATATATGATATTATTAAAACCATCATCTTCATTCTACATTAAACTTCTAGCTAATCCAAAATCTGCAACCTTTACTAGACATTCAGAATTCAAAAGAACATTTGATGGTTTCAGATCTCTATGAATCAATTCACCTGAATGTATAAACTTTAGAGCCTTCAAGATTTAATAAACAATATATTTTTTATGTATTTCTTCCAAAATATTGGCACGCTAATCTTCAAATAGAACTTCTTACTATTACTGCATGTAGATCAGTTTCCATATAATCGAATACTAAATATAAGTCTTTATTATTTTCAGCTTTCATTATATTAAGCAAACGAACGACATTCTCATGTCCATTTAATTCCTAAAGAAACATGACTTCTCTAAAGGTTCTCTAAGCATCAGTGGCATTATGAAAGGCATCAAAAACTTTCTTCAAAGCAACTACCTATTTGAAATTTCAATTGCAAAGATACTTGCTTCAATTTCTTATCAATAGCTTTCCACACAATTCCATAGGCTCCTTTTCCTAATTTCTAGATTATCTCAAATTTCTTAGCGATATAGGGTTCAATCTCTTCACTCATTTTTTAAAATTATAATAAATTAATATATAATATGACAATCCTTATAATATATTTATTTTATAACAACCCTCAATTTATTTATGATGCCTACTCTTATTAGACATCCTTTAAAAACTTAGTTTGACTTGTATTTTTCAAGAAATCCTTATTTGTCAAATAAGTACAAATATGGAAATTAACAATTAATATGAGAATAAAAAACATTTCTAAAGAACTATTTGATACTTTCTTAATTTCTTCATATCTATTCTTTATTTGGATTACTTGAATATGTTATCTATAAGTGATATATCTTCCATTCAATAAAATCAAATTAAATTCTATAGATGATAGCAAAAAGTTAGTCCCTTAGGAATGATTACAGAAATTCTTTCACTTGTTATTTAACAATATATAGAGTTCTTATTAATGAATCTATATATGAATATTCAAGATAATGAGATCACAATCAAATCCTGAAAATGTTTGGGTCTATTTATATTGAATCTAATTTAAACAAAAAGATGAAGCTTATTTACATACTGATTTTAAATTTATCATTTCCTACACTCCTACCATCAGCAGTATCTCATTAATATTCAAGCATCTCATCAATCATAAATTTTCCTTCTATTCTATTCTGTCTAAAAACTTAGTAAAGATCTTTAATTTTGAATTTAAAATTCTAATTTTTAATCTTTATTTTTTTTAACTTATTAGAATAGTTAATTGCTTAACATAAATATTTAGTATTAGCCACTTACATATACTAATTTATTAAGTCTCCCTTTTTGAAAAGAAAAAAAGTAGGATCTACATCTTTTTATAAACATATTTATAAAAAAATAGAATGTTATTGAATTTTAAATGAATCATATATATATTAATATAGTTTTATTGGTTCAGTAAAATCAAGGTGCTTCATTATCTCCACTTAAATACTAGTTATTATCCACATTGACTAATACATCATCTTCCACACAATCCTAAATTAATTAAATTTTCATCTCCTTACTTATGGTTGCTATAGTGTTTCCTTTTCGATTACTTTGTAGAAACTAGGTAATTCATAATGTTTTTAATTCTTTTTTAAATAATCAAAAATAAACACAGAATTTGCAACTTAAATGATTGATTTACTGTCTAATTTTAATTGATCAATTTATAAAAGTGTTCCAAATTTACTACCTAAATCTTCTAAATAGATTGATTCATCTTCTCTATTAAATGTTATGAGTGCATGATTTCTAGATACACTAATATCTTGCAATTTAATATCATTCTCTTATACTCTACCAATCTTAATATTGCTTCTTCCATTTAAATTGATCACATATAATCCTTTCTCTTTATTTTTATCAATATGACTAATCCAAAATATAAAATATGCTTCTTTTGGTCTAGGAATATCAATTAAATGATATTTTCTATTTTTAAACTTATATTCCACTAATGTATGTATTAATATAATGATTTACATTTATATTATTCTTTACATATCTCACAAATTAGATTGGACCAAAAATAAAGTACAATATTATTGAGTTCTCTAATTTTGAATTTATTGTGTATCCACTATTAAAGACATTTAATGTGTATGTATTTGACAGATCCAGAACCTGCAATATATTTAGGTTATACTCGTTACATAGGCACGGATTTATCAATGGATTTTAAATAGTTCCTACTTTACTCATACATATTCGACATGAATTTTCGGCATTGCTGTTCTCACTATCATCTAATCCATTAGCATCTTCATCCTTATCTTTTTCACTTTCCTCTGTTGCCATAGCCTAATTAAAACAAGCTTCCCATAATATGATTTTAACTCTTCCTAGTCTTATGGTTTATCCAGGAAATAGTTAAACTCTCTTTCATACAAATTTATATATACATTCGTCACAGGAACTCCATTTACTTAATCATTCCTAATTATTGACCATATCTCTGTAATGGGTCTCAAGACTTTTTCTTTAATTACAAACAACTCTTATGCTCCTTCTATTGTTTACTATGATTAAATTAATGTTAGATACATTGGGTTGAACAGCTAATATATTTTCTCCATATTTGCATAATTTAGTGTCTTAAATCAACTATAATTACTAATAATGGGATTCATGACTTGAGTAATCATAGAGATGGTATTTCTTTTCCTTCTCTTTCCATATGTAAACATCAACATGTAATCTAATCTTTACAATAATACTTACAGTAATTATTCATTTCTCTTATTTCCTGAACAAACAACACCCATTTATATAATAATTTTATTTAATAAATAGAAATATCAACATTATCCAAATAGATTTATAATTAATATCGGATAAAAGAATGAATTTAGATGTAATTAATCATCATTACTTAATTTTTTAATGATCTTTCTATATTTCATACTTAAAATCAAGTTAAATAGAATCATAACAATCTTATAATAATAATTTAAGCTTTGAGAAATAAAAGTTGATACCTATTTGATTAGGATTTCTAAATGAAAATTTCAAATATTTAATTAAGTTTAAAAATATTCTAATACTCCTATAATATTTTGTAATTTCTAAATAACAAAATTAATAAATTTTATTCATTTAGTGTAGTTAGTTATTTATCATCATGATTAATAATTAAAATATAAAATTGAGAGATAGATTTAAGTACTTGATACTAAGAAAAGAATGATTTATTGAGTTTTTGTTGTTATTTAATTTAAATAAGATATAAATTATTTTATTATGGCAGAAGTCGAATAATTATCAGAAGAACTTACTACCTTAAAAAGAGTTGTATAAACATCATTACATAGAGGATAATTGGCTAAGGGAGTCCATGAAGTTTGTAAGGCAATTGAAAGCAAATAAGTATTGTTGTAATAGAAGGAATTTAGGCCAAATTCGTAGTGTTAGCTGATGATTGTACAGAAGACACATATAAGAAATTGGTTGTTGCTTTAGCAAAATAATTCCAAATTCCTGTTTGGAAAGTTGAGAAAGGTGCTTTACTTGGTGAATGGATTGGCATTTCAAAGTTCCTTACAAAGACAAAGAAGATCAAATCAAGAAAATGTTCATCTGTAGCAGTAAAGGACTTTGCTATAGAAGTCAGCGAGAATGAAAAATAATTTGTCGAAGATAAAATAAAGGCATTGTGAAGTTATCTAGTACATATATATATACATTAAAATTATTAAATGGATAAATTCAGCATGGATGAGAAAGCTCTTGATCTTCATATCTTCACTCCTGAAGAACCTAAATTGGGTCCATATACATATCTAAACATCAATTATCTTCCACATCTTGCTTCTCATATTATGCATAAGATATCACATAAAGAATTTTGTTCATTAATTGAGTTTGAATTGCAAACATATTTATTAGAGTTAGCAATCTAACCATAGAGAAGCAAGACAATAAAGGAATTGACAAGTTATATTATAAGAGAAATGAGACTTAGTTCAAAGTTTTGGATACATGGAAGTGAAGCTTGGAATGAAGTATAATTACGTTTAAAGTTATTACACACTCTGGAACCAAATTGTAGTTAGGAATTAATGAAAAAGAGTGGAGGAAAGAAATCTTTATCAGAAATACTTTAAGATGCTCATGCCTTAAGAAAATATTTGGCTTCTTTAGACTTTTCAAAAGTGGATTACAAAAGTGAATTCTTGAAGATTCCTGAAGTGATAGCTTTAATATCAGAATATGATTAAGCAAAGTAACAAATATCATTTTAATATTTAGTTCTTAAAATAAACAATTATAGGCAATAGACTCATACAATGAAGTTATTTAATCTCTTGTAGAATGTAAATAAAGGAAATATTAATTGAAATTATAATAACAAATAGATCAAGTGAAGAATTAACCTGTTGATTTAATGAGCAGAGTTACTTATATATAAAATAAAGAGACTAGATCTGCTAAAACTGATTAAGTTTCTTATAGAGATAGGAGAGTAATGATTAAAGAATAATAAAGAATGGATGTTGATGAAAGAAGAACCATATTTGTACCAAATCAAGTTTATTGTTATTATAAATTTGATTTGGTGATTATACCTTATATATATAGATTTATTTTTGGAGAGAATTGTGAATTCACAAGATAACATTTAAGAATTCAGAATTTAGTGTTGTATTTGTGTTTAAGTGATCAAGAAAATTATAAATAAAATAAATAGAAGAAGAATATAATATTAGATGATAATGCTGAATCTAAAACATCTATGAAATTATTTTAAAAGTATTTAGAATAATCAAAGGATAAATTGATGACTGATTTTGAATAATATTGTAGAAATCAAAATATAAGTTTAATGAATTATTTCTCTAGTACTCCTGCTAGTTATAGAAAAGAATTATTATTAATTAGAAATATTCTAATTTTATCATTAAGATTTGCTTAATAAATTTTAGGAATTGATTACAAATTTGAGGATCAAAAAATCAATTAATTGGATTATGAGGAAGAAGAAAAGAATGATAAATCACTTAGTTCTTATTAAAAATGGAATAAAACTGATATGTAGAATGATTATTACTATTTTAATGTACTTGCACAATTAGAATTGTATTATGATATACCTTTTGATTAATATGATGATTTATTGAGAGTCTATAAGAGTTATATTGAAATTGTATACACATCTAAAAAGGATCATTTCAAAGAATATTTTGGAGTTCTCAAATCCAATAAAGATGGTATTTTAGGATTGAAATCATCTTTGGAATAAGTCAATTCAGCTATAGATGAATATCTAAATTATATTAATGCACCTAAAACTTAATAAAAAAGGTATATCTTATTATTCTCTATATAGATCATATATATATCATAGTGATAATAGAGAAGAATGGAAAGAAGAATAATATAAATAATTCTTGGAGGGATTGTACAAATATTTTGAAATTGTAGTAAATAATAAGAAGATAGCCAAATTTATGGGTGATGTTAATCCAAATCATGTTAGATTTATTAAAGGATAATATTTAAGAGGATTAAAAAAGAGAGCAAAGGAAAAGAATATAAATAGAAAGGAATTATTAAAATAAGATATTGAAAACTTTGATATTTCAATTTTTGAGAAGAAATGATTGTTAGAATATATTTAATTATCAACAAAGCTCTCCATCTGTTTATCCAACTATCTTATCACAAATAGGGCAATAATGTGTTTTCGAAGAACATTTCTACATACAAAATGGTACTAAACCCAAAATGATTGTGCAAAAACATAATATACAACACCATATAAATGTTGCTTTGCTGTATGAATATTCTATTCTTGATATTCTAGGTTAATTACAAGTAAAACAATAGAATTCACATGGTTCTGATCTTATAATATATTCTCATAATTTTATACATTCCATTTAATTTTGTTTTGTATTTGAAATTTATTTATGATTACACAACATTCTCATCCATTAAGTGTGAATGCTCTGACATTTTGTATTAAATAAATAAATTTATAATATAGTATTTAAAAATGAACTCAGATCAACCTAAATCATAGTGATTACAAATTATAAGTTTGAGAATGAATTAATCATAAAAATATACTTATATGTCTGATATGAAATTGATTAAAGATTAAAAAAAGTACTTTTAAAAGATAGGATGGATAAGAAAAAAAAAGGAAATAAGTAAATATATGGATTAAGTTGCTAAAGAGGATTTATATTAAAGTTTAAAAAAAACAGATGTAATTCTAATAGGCATAAGGACATACTTACCAATCTAACATTTGGAAAGTTAAAATAAACAAATATTCAAGGAAATTGGATAAATTTTTTATTATGAGATGAGATTATTAGTTACTAAAGAGTTCAAGTTTAACTTATTCAAAAAGGGTTGTAATAGAGAAAAATGTTTATTTTTTTTATGTAACTCTTTATTCTAATAATATAAGGTTTAGAAATCTTGAGATAAACATTGTCAATTCAATTGGTACTACTTTAAATTTTTTTGAGTTTTAGAAAAGACTTAGAGAATTGAATCAAATTAGGTGAATCTGTTTTAATACAATTCAAATAGTGAAAGTTGAATTATTATTATTTCATGTTAAAGAAAAGATTTCTCTTTATTTTTGATTTTGACAATACTATTGTTGATGATAACACAGATACTTACATTTGGAAATTGCTCCCAGAAGGTCATAAAAGCTTGCCTCCCTAATTTGAGAAAGAGAAGCATTGGAATAAGTTTATGAGAAAAGTCTTACAATTTTATTATCATAACGACATTAGTGTTTAATAGATTAAAACTTGTTTATAAGGTATGGAATTAACTTAAGGTTTCGATGAATTGTTAAATTTCATTAGGTATATATGTATTAATATTTTCATTAGAAAAAATAAAGAATAAATTGAATGTATAATTGCTAGTGATTCAAATACATTTTTTATTGATTCTATTTTAGAAAAACAAGATATTAAAGATGTCTTTGATAAAATTTATACAAATCCAGTATAAATTATTGATGAAATGGAAATATCAATTTTCCCATATCATAAAAATGAATGTGAATCAACTTGTCCTAGAAATATGTGCAAAAGAACTATTATTTTAGATAATTATTAATTAAATAATTATGAGAAAGTGTGTTATTTTGGAGATGGCAAGAATGATTATTGTCCAGGAACTATATTAAGAAAAGAGGATATAATATTTGTTAGGAAAGGATATGGTTTAGAAAAATTGATCAATTAAAAGGACTTAGAATGTGAGAAAGTTTATTTTGAATCAGGAATAGATTGTATCAACAGATTGAAGAATCTATTATTATGATTTCATTAAAAATATATTTAAATGATAAATTATATAGATCATCTTAAAGTGGTTGTATTCTTTAACAAATTTGATCAAAATGAAATAAAATATTATAACGTGTGATTAATTGATAGATTAATTACAATATTATAACACTTTTAAATAATGGATTAATAAAAAATTATAGATGAATCAATTATTTTAGATGTTCAATCACCAAAATTAAATAAATTATACATGGTGTGTTCAATTAATAGTAAGGAACCATTTACAGATCCTGAAACTATTTAAATAGATTTTATAAGTAAATATTTATTCATCTATTATTGAAAGCACAAAAATCAGGCACATTAATGGCCTTAAAGATTCCAAAAATGTTTGCTTATATTGGACTTACAGGCACTAAAGCTGTTTAGAATAAATAGCATGAAGAATTACCAAATCAATATTTAGTGTGTTTCAGATTATTAGATGTAGATAACATTATTGGTGGTTATGCAGATGGCAGAATAATTTAAAAATAAATATCTACATAGAAAATAATAAAAGAATTCAATCGGCAGAATTAAGAAATTATAATCAAGAAGAGGCCTTTAAAGATTCATATTTTTTAGAAATATTTTGTTATTCTCTTTTTAGAGGGGGTTGTTTGTATTTATCATCAAGATAATTTAATGTTTAAATTTTAGAATGAATATGAAAAAGTCATGCAAATGTCTTTTTAATATCATAAATCAATAGGTAATTATAATATTCCTATATAAGTAAGTTAGAAGACATTAAAACAATTTGAAATAACACCTAATTTTCATTATCACTTTTTAAATTATGGAGAATTTTCCAATTTTTAGTTTTGTTAACAAAAGATGAATCCTTTATTTTTATTTAGATTTGAATCAATGTCAATTAATGATATTGAGATATTACCTTTTAGTCCTTTGGAACATTTGAACAAGCCTGAATAAAGAATGGAGAAAGGCTTGTGTTTAGCTATGAGTGGATTAGATGGATATTTTAGATTATTAGATGCTATGATTAATAAACCATTATTTTCATTTAAAACTGAATATTGTGGAATTTGTTCATTTTCATTTAATCCTAATTTCAGCAGTGTAAGTAGAGCTAGTTAAATAGGTTTGTTTAGGAGGCTAGGATGATTCTGCTTATGTGATAAATTTTAATTCTAAAATTTCATGGATACGTTTAGTGGGACATAATTCATTTATTTCTAGAGGAGTATTTAGTTCAATAAGTGCAACAGAGTTTAGAATAATATGTAGTTGTTATGATGGTACAATATCAATAACAGATGTTGATTTAAATTAATTAAATCCTGAAAATAGTTTATTTATTAAAGCATAAGAGAAAGAGAAAGTGTTATAAGTTAAGAATATTCAAAGTGTATCATAAGATGGAGTAGCAAATTTAGCAGAATTTTAGAATTATGTTGTTTGCATGAATTTTGATGGAATAATTAAAATTTTTCTATTGTTATGATATATGGATAAATGATTATATCAAAACAAGACTCCTTTCTCTTGATAGTTAAGTGGTCTAGGTGAATTAGGATTTGTATATCTTCTAATAAAATCTTATAAGATTAATTCTGAATCTTTAAAATCTGTGGATGCATGATCATTTGCTTATCTATGAACTCTACACAATGTTTCTTTATAATCTTCATACCACCATACAAATCTTTTGATATCTTTCATTAATATGAATAGATTGAACCTTCATGTTCCAATAAATATTCATTTTCTTTAACCAATTCTTATGCTCTCAATTAAACATATTCATCAAATAAATTTACTTTTGTAAGTTCTGATTTATATTCGAAATAGATTTTGCCAAATATTACACACTATACTACTGGAAAGAGATATCTAAATGTTCTGAATCTAATATTTTGAGTTATAACATTATAATTGTAAGCATAAAGGAACTTTTCATAAATATTCAATTTATATACCAAATTAATTCCAAATGCCACTGCTTAGTATCCAAATTTATTATATTCAATTACTGGATAAGTCATATCATCTTCCCATTCAGCTAATCAAAATTATATTAAATTAAATACGATCTTATGAACTTAAACAGAAAGCATTGAATGGTATTTTTGGTTAGGTCCATCCTGCTGTTTCAATCAATTCCACCATTTTCTTAATTGATTTATAACGTTTCAAACGAGCTTCTCTATATTATTATCTATTAATATTTACCTAAATGGTGGTAAATTTTGATTTCTTAAACCAAGCAAACTGATTATTGTGAAATAATTATCCATTTTTATTTTTTATTTATGAATAAACATCCATAACCTAAAAAACCTATTAATTGGTTAGATGAAATCAAATAAGCATAAGACCCAGTAACATTATCCAATCTATATATTAAAAACTTAAAGGAAGGTATTCATCTAAATTATTCTTAATGAACTAAGAATACTGGAAGCACAAAATAAATCATTAAAAACTACTTTAGGAGTATATGATTTCGAAGCCAAAAAAAGACCCTAATCAGGTATTGAAAAGATAGCTAATTCACAAATCAAAAAAATTGAATTAGGATAAAAACCATCAGATTTTGCAAAATATCCGTAAATACTATATACAAATAATTATTAGAACCAATTCAAAATTGAGCAATTTATTTGTTGATGAGAGTGCCTTTGGTAGTTCTGCTGTTAGAATTGAATACATAAGAGAACTAGAATTTTTAGTTGATGCATTAAAAAAATAGAATGCTGAACTCTAAACACAAATCTAAATCAAAAAGCCTAATCTATAACATAGTTCTATTGTTATACCCAAAAAATATGAAGGACATGATTGTGTAAATGATTAAATACTAGTCTAAAAATCAACACTAATCAATGTAAGTAAAATTACTATAGCTAATGAGTTAACTTCAAAAAATAAACTAAAACCAGATAATTCTCTTAAAGATAGGTAATCCACATTAAATACTATTTTTAGATAAATTCAAAATTTAATAGAGGAAAAGAAACTCTTAGAATAAGAAGTTGCTATGTATAAAGAAACATCAAAAACAAGATAAGCAAAAAGAGAAGGATTTGATGCTGATAAAATGGTTAAGAAATTTGATAAAAATTCAATTATTTATGGAGCCAAATAGAAGTATCTAACATAAAGCAAACATGATGAAGAAATTAAGGAAAAATATTTATAGGCTTTAATGCAAGAGACATTTTTATTATAATAATAATTATAAAGAATATAAGAAGAAAGTAAATACTTTGATCCCCATAAAAAATCTGAATATTGATAATATTATTTTCAAAATAATGAATTTTTAATTTTATTCCTCTATACTTATGAAAAAATAGATTTGTTGTTTATTACAATTTTCTGATCCATTTTAATTGAAAATCTTCTAAAATTAATTGATGAATATGTTACAAATAGAGTTTAAGGGCTTAAAAATGAGAAAACATAATCCAACATTTATATATTTAGGTAGAATATTTAAATAAATCAACAATATATAAAAACTATAAATATAGAAATGTTAGATAACTTGGCTTTCAAAAGTTCCAATTTAATTTACAATCACAATCAAAGTTCTTTGGTGGTTGTATGCCTACTACATTCATTTTATTACATTACTTTATAGACTATAATTTTAGTAATTAACTAAAAGAATTAATATTTCCTTATTTATGATGATGCTTCATCATTTTAAAAATATCTCCTTAGTAATAAATCATTATTAAATGAAAAAGTTTATATTATAAATAAATATAAGGAGAAGGAGTCATTAATTGCAGAAATGCATTTTAATAAGGGGAAATGCAAATTAAAAAAAATGTCATCTGAACTTCAAAACTGAATTCTTGTTTGGTGTTACAGTTGTTAATATTTTCTAAATATTCTGTAATTTGAATTACCTAATTGGAACTTGATTTTTAGAGTTCTTAAAAGGGACTCCTTCCTGAAGATGATGAGTTACCTCCATTCCGTTTTATATTCTTCATCGGAGTTGTGTATGCAGTAAGCATTCCTTAAAAGAATATACTAAATCAAATTACTTGTTTGACTTTCCGTTAGATTCTCGCTAAAAATATGAGTAGGTTTCTCATCTTCAGCATCCTCTTCACGCACAACTTCCAAGTACTTATAACTTTGTACAGGTAATTAAGAACTTTATGGACTCTAGTACTAGTTGTTAGGCATCATATTAATTAAAATTTGAATTATATTAATGGATTATATAGAACTATAAGATTTAGATTTTTTGAACTCTTTTAAGAAACTTTTACAATATAAGTTACTTATTATGAATACAATCATCTATAATTTTAATTATAATGTAAATATTATGAAGATTATTGAGAAGACTTATTTATAATTATCATTTATAATAATCTTAATAGATATAAACAATAGTATAATACTATAAAATAATAAATGCCTATTGAATTTTAAATCCAAATATTTAGACTTCAATTTTAGTATATTGCAATTAGAAATTCATTTATATCTAAAGATCAGAAAATATATAACATTAAATTATCATATTTATTGAACTTATGATATCAAATTAAGATACTTATGAAATGTATATTTATTAAATAATAATAGTTTTGAATCTCAAGAAAGAGAAATGATTATATATTTATTTTACTTAAATAGAATTAAAGCATCTTAAAGAATATAAAATAATCATGCTCAGACTTCAATTTTATTTATGATGTATTTATCAATCCTTTCAAAAACAATAAAATTGTGTAGAAATACACTAAAATAAATTTGTACAAAAAAGGAATAAAAAAATGATAAAAAATATAGAAATATTATCTAATATTTAATTTATATAAATCAATCTCCTTTCCTTTATTAATGAGCATTTTGGTGAAAGATTTGTAAAAGAAAAAATTATTTATAAATCAAAATTGCTCAAATTAATTTCTTTTTATGCTTCTACTTCCCTTATAAATCAACTCTCTTACCTTATTTCCATATTCCCCTCTCATGTGTATCATTAGGATATATAATAATACCTTACCCATTCATTAATCCTTCTTTCCACATCCCCTTATAAATCTTACCATCCTTATATTAATATTCTCCATAACCATCTCTGAGGTTATTTACATAATTTCCAACATACTTTTTACCTCCTGGCCATATAAATACTCCTTAACCATTCATCATATTATTCTACCAGCCTCCTTCAAATCTTTTCCCATCTTACCAAATTAAAGTTCCTTTATCTTATGTAATACCTTCAATCCATTATCCTTCAAAAACATATTAATCTCTTATATTAAATAATTTCCCATAACCATGTCTTTCATTATCCTTAAATTATCCTATAAAAATAGTTCCATCAGGCATTGATTCCTTACCCATTCCATTTTTCAAACCTTGCAACCACTCTCCTTCATATATTTTATTACCTTAATCAATATTTTTAATATATAATCCTTCCCCATTATATAATCCATATTTGAATTAACCTATATATACATTTCTATTTCCATAGATTATTTTACCATTGCCATGATATTTATCATCATACCAATAACCTTCATAGATATACTCATCATTTATTAATAAACCAAATCCCTGTTTCTTTTTTTTAAACCAATCTCCAATATAGATTGATTTGTCAAAAAGCTAAAATGGTTATTTATTTTTTAGAATGCCTTCATAGGGACTAAGATATCTCCATATACCTGCTATTCTTAAATTATTAATCTATATATATTTATCTTAATAGGGAATAGCTTCTTGTTCTGTGGGATGATGTTGATTCAATTCAATTTTTAAATCATCCTAAATTTATAAAACAATAGGATTTTATTCATCTTAAATAATAAGTGGTATTATTCTAAGTTTATTTTTGGATTCATGAACATCTATTAGTTTATCTATAATTTTATCATCTTAACTTTGTATTTATCCATCATTTAATGATCCCAATCCATAATCAGCTGGTTATAAATTAAATGTTGATTAATTTAAATTTCCACATTCTTAATTTTCAGCATTGCAATTTAAAAATTAAAGATCATTCTCTTAAAAAATATCATTTTCTATATATAATTTTTTAAGTTCATACATTATTAAGGTAATTATGATTAGATTTTATATTAATAAACAATAGGAAGTGATTTCTATTCAGATCTTTTTGATTTTACTCTTTAATTAAATGAAATTTAATCTACTATTTTTTCTATTTTTTGATCATTAATACTGATTTCTGGCTTTTCTATTCCGTAAAATTAATTGGCTTACTTGTTTCTTTAGTATTTTTGGTTCCCATTAATCAATTAATAATAATAAATTTATTTATAAAAATAAGATTACTAATTCATAATAAATTTATATTTATATTAGGAAAGAAATTCGAATAATTTTATATATTAATTATTATATTTCTAAATTTTGTATCAGTTTTAATTTAAATAGTGTTTAATAATTCTAATATATTTTACTTATTGGTAATCAAAATAAGCATTTAAATCATCTTAGATCCATTCCAATAATAAAAATAATTATTTTGATTTTAATTTAAAATAATTAAGCATATTATTGTTAAAATTAATTTAGTGTTAAATCATATATTTATTATATTACACGTATTGACATTTCAAAATTTCAATACTTTATTATATAAAAGTAGTAAATTAAAGATATAATAATCTAAAATGATTAAACTAGCACTTTAAGATAAAAATATTGATTTGTATACAATAAATATTACTATGCACTATTAAATTCAGATAAATATATCAAACTTAAATTATCTTAAAATCATAAAATGAATTGTAAAATTACATTTGAAGAACAATCAACTAAAGTATCCTTCTCTGATTGGGATATTTTAGAAACAGACTTAATAACTCATTCCTCATCACCGAAATAAGATGGATTCATCAATCAGATTCAAAGACATAAATTTGTCATTGGAATTTCTAAACCATAATAATAAAGAATTGGACTTTCTTCAGTCAATATAAACAAAATTACAATCAAAGGAATCTTAGGGATATCTAATCTTCATATCTGATTCACTATATATGTATTTATTTTAGTATTCAAAATTAACATATTTTAGATTCATATGTCTATATTATTTTGAGATAGTTTTAGATAGACTTTATTAGTAATATCTATTCTAATCCTCATTTTCACATTTTTCTCATCTGATATGATAAAATAATAAAAAACCAAAATCAGCTAAAATGGAATTTATCCAATGACTATAAGGAAGTTATTTTCCAGAAATTTATTCTTATTAATACTTGTAATTATATCAATCATGGCTTATTAAACCCTTCTATTTCATTTATATTATGATTCAAGCTAAATTAATTAAATTCGTTCGAAACACTCCAAGTGATTATAAGAAAATAAACAATATTTATTTATTAATAGTAAACATCAAATACTGTTATCCTAATGTGTAATATTATCAACATTAATAAAATAGTCAAGTCCTTTATTTAAAATATCAATAAATTGTATATAGATTATTAATATCACATTTATTTGATAATCAAAGTAAAAAAAAAAATAATTAACTTTCTTAATTCTAGAGACAATAAATTCAGTTTTATTGAACATCATCACCCTAGATATATATAATTTTCAATAAATTCATAAAGAATTTTACAATTTTGAGAATAGATTATATATGTATTTCTAGCAAATTATATACGTTTTTCAAATTCTAATCAATAGACAGTAAAAAAGAGCAAGATTTGACAAAGGAATATACCATCTAATAAATTAATACAACATGCGATAATGAATAATTTTATATATATATATTTTTTATCATTACAAAAATGTTCAAGAAACAACTTAAAAAGCGTAAAATTACATATATAATTTTTAAGATGATTAATATTCTTATAAATTTTTCTGACTAATATTTGAATGGAAAGAGTTCTAAAAATGACAATACTCATACTAATAATGAAAATTAATTATCCAAAAGTTGTTACACTTTGTTAATATATTAATTCATGAGCTTCATTATAGAAAGATTTATTATAAAATATAAAAAATTTATTCTGAAATCATAATTACTAATTCTAAAAAGTATAATATTGTCTAGATTATTTAACATTCAAAAGAATCAAATACCATAATTTATGAATAGAAAAGTGTTAGAATGAAATTTTTTATTTTTTAATTATCCTTGAACCTGTTTATAATTTTTATCTAATTCTTAACTTAGAATATCAATCATTTAATATTTATTAAAAATTCATCATAATTATACTAAATTGAAGTGATTCATAATATTTTTAATAAGATAAGCTTGTATTCACTAATGGCCTATTTGAATAATTAAATCAAATCATATCATTAATTACAAAATTTATAAGACATTTTATATATTCCTAAAACTAGACTGGATTGGATTGTTAAATTTAGATAGGGATGGATTAGATCTTGTTGATTATATTGAATATTAAAAGTTAATCTTAATTTTTATCAGTTATTTTTCCATTTTAATTGAAAAATAAATATAAAAAATGAGGATTCATAAGTGGATCAAAGTAAATAAATTAAATAATATTATCATTTCTTAATGGCTATCTTATCATTTGAAATAGTTTTGACTTTAACAGCCTTCTTATTGTATTATCTGTACTACAAAAAGTTCAAATTCTTCACAATTGTTGAAAAATTGGACGAGAAGAATGTTAGGAACAAATTACCAAGAGGAAAATGTCCACCATCTTATCCTAATGGTTGGTATCGTCTTTGCAGATCAGGAGAATTGTAACCAGGGTAAAATGTATTTTATATATTAAACAGAGAAGTAAAAGAAATTAAATTGTGTGGAAGACATATTGCATATTACAGAGGAACTGATAAATAAGTATATGCTGTAGCTGCCTATTGTCCTCACATGGGTGCCAATTTAGGTATTGGTGGTTAAGTGAAGTTTCGATCATGCATTGAGTAATGATATTAAGATAATCTTAAAAAGATGTCCATTCCATGGATGGACTTTTGATGGGAAAAGTGGTTTGTGTGTCAATTCAGAACAACTAGAACCAAAGATAGTCACAACTTATTGTTATCCTGATATAGAAAGAGTGACTAAGAATTAAAAGGGAGAATATATATAAAAGATTGCAGAGGGTGAAGTTAAAATAAAAACATACTTAGTTAAGGAAATAAAAGGAATAGTGTATATCTGGTTACATTCAAAGGAAGCAAAGCCGTAAAACTTTTAATGCTATGTTTTAGATGGTATGATATTGTAAGTGAGAAGAGTGAACATTTAACTTTAAGAGCAGAGAGTGTCAATTATGTTAATTGTCACATTCAAGAAATACCAGAAAATGGAGCTGACTTGAGACATTTTGATTATATTCATAAATCTGCTATGGATATTATACCTTCTTGGTTGGTGAGTTTGAAATGGGAAATGAGAACAAAGAATGCTAATGATTCAGATTTCTTAAAAGATATGACACATCCTGTTAATAAATGCAGATAATATCAAAAATACCTTTTTGATTAATATTTTACAAACAAAGAATTGATTCCATATATGAATGTACTCATTTTAGATGGATATGTAATTCTATTCAATAAATTTAAATTTCATGCTATATGGGCTACTGGATTCTAAATGGGTCCTGCAACTGTTGCCTTATATGTAAAGAGTGCAATATTTGAAGTATTATTTAAATAATCAATTTAACCTGTTGAAAAATTCACTTAAAAAGTGTATCATACAGTGTTTACTAATGGTTATTTGCCATATTGGTTTTCTGCTTATTTGCTTCATGCAGAATTGAGATAAGTTCTATTTGATGTCAAATTATGGAATGCCAAAATATTCTCAGAAACACTAAAATACAATTTAAAAACCTATTCTGATCAAGCATTATTATATTGGAGATAATGGTATTCATAATTCTATGATGGTGCTGCTGAATTTGAGAAAGGTTTAGATAAATTAGAATGGTGAAATTATTCTTAAAATGCAATATAAAAATAATATATTAAAATTAATTGTGATTTATTTATCAATTATCTAATAATAAAGTTCTTTAATAATTTATTATCATAATAAATTAATCAATATCTCTAAAGTAATATATCATATAAAAATTAATCAATAAATCTTGAGAGTTAATATATTTGTTATTTTTCTAATTTTATACTTAGCATAGATATAAAAATAATGATATATTATATATATTCTTATTAATTATCATAATTTTAAATTAATTATTTCAGTGAAATCATTATTTTATTTTAATATCCTTTTAATGTTTAAACTATTTAATTCTACAATTATATTTGATATCATATTAATAGTTAGTTTAATTTATAAAAGAAGACACTTTTAAGTAGTTGCTGGTAAATATAGTGATCAATAATTTCTTTGGATAAACGATCTTAATACAAAATCATCATGTTACACAAGTAAAATACGAAAAAATGAAATGTGATTGGAAAAATAATATAAGACATCATTTTTAATTAATGAGAACCTTCTTATTATAATAATCTAAGCAATGAAATTTATAAAAAAGAGGTTTTTGTTTAAAAGACATAGGAAGATCTCTTATAAATTTTGAATACTATAATAAATTAATGAAAACTCTTAATTTTGGGATCATAAATTTATCAGGTCAACTTGGAATATATTTATTACGAATAACTAAGAAATAATAAAAATATTATATTCTTAAGTCATAAAGGATGGAACAATTTATAAATAAGTGTGATTTTTTCAAAAATTACAAGTAAAATGATTATTTCTTCCAATTTATTGATTCAAATAATAATATTTTGATATTTATATTTATTATATATTTTATTTCAAAATTACTCAAAACTCTCAATCTAAAATAATAAGTTGTCAGTAGCATCATGAGCCACAGACAACTATTTCAAATAATTCTCTGCATACATTTTAATTACACTAATAGGATTAAATTACAATAATGTGAAACAGATCTTTGATAATTGAGTCAAGATATTTATTTTTTATCTTTATTCAAATCAAATATATACCTTCTAATTCTCTCTTCTAAAGTTGTAACCTCCTTAATCTCTTCAACTAATGCATCATAAACAGCTTGAACAATTGATGCTTCTATAAAATCTGCTGTTTATAAGACCTTGTTTTCTTTAATGTTATACATTAAAAAATGTTTTTTATTCTAAACTGAAACATGAATCATTGAACTAACAGTAATTAGCTTTCTCAATGGAGAAGCATCCCAAAACTCTAAACACTCTACATATGATATTTAAAGTACTAAATTAATCATCTTTTAACTCCATTTAATAAGTTATTCATATGAATCATTTGATGGAACCTTATAGTTACTTTTATTTGCTTATATTTCTAAAGCCTAACACCAAAGTAATCTATTTAAAGTACTCTATCTAAGTAAACCTACAATAGTCTCATTATTTTATATTTCATTTGCATTCCATACACAATTAATATGAATTTACATAATCTTATATATAGCTTATACACTATTACGATTAATTAAATGAGTCAATTCTTACTCTTCTATAGTTTATAAGTTCTATCCAAATTATTATAATACTTCATACATTTGTTTTCACACAGTCGTCATAAATATTGTAAAATGTGTCATTATGTGCTTTGATGATGTCCTTTAATTTTTGGTACTCTTGGCTCCTCATACTCTCTATAGTTTTTGTTAAAAAGGAAGAATAAGGTTTGAATTCAAGTTGTCTAGGTGCTTCTTAAGGTCTTTGATATTTCATAATAAAATTCTCTATAACATCTTAAAGATTAGTTTTTCTTATCTAATCATTCAATTTTTCGGTGTCTTGCAATGATTACTTTGAAATTGAAGATTCAAATAGAAAGAGCTTCATTAGGGTGTCCTTTTGTACAAGCAACTTTTATTACTCTTACTCTTCCATTTAAGATAAATAATTTTCCATCTTTGTTTTATAAACATCAATGAACTCATTATAAGAAAGTACAATAATTTCGAATTCTCTTTCCAATTTAATGCATTCTGATTAAATTTATTAGGTCCTTTTTGTTAAATATAAATATGAATAAATACTTGGAAACTTGTTTTATAGCTTTGTCTTCTGAAATATCAAGACTATATTAATAAATCATATCTGAAATTCCTGATTATTCTAAATCTCTTGCCTATAACTTATAGTCCAATTTTCCTCCCATTAAATCGTCTTATTTATCTTACAAATCCCATTCAAGTCCTTTCATCTCATCAATTATCCTTCTAGAAACTTGATTTTAATCCTATAATATTTCTTTAACTTATTCAACTATTTCCGATCTAATCAAATCTACAAAATTCTCCAATCTTTCTATTTTTTATCTTAACTAATTCACCAATTATTCCCTTAAATATGTTATACTATAAAATGTTCATAATAAATTAATATACCTAGATCTATCAATTTATTAGGAGAGTTTATGTAATGCTTTCGCATATTAATCTTCAATATTTGCTCTTTCTTATAAAATAGCCAAGTATTCTTCCAAACCTCTTTTACTCTCTATATTTTATTAGATTATTCTCTCTGATTGACCCTATTCTATAAAAATAAAAAGAAATACAAGTAAATTTGGATAATATGCTAATTTCTATGTTTGATTCATAATTATATAAATGAAATATGTAGAGATAAAAATTTTAATAATTAACAAAAATGTTAGAGAATTCAAGATTCCCTCTTTGGTTCATAATATTCTTTTTAAGGTCTTTATTAATATTTTTTATATCCTGTAAACTCTTTCAAATCATTTTCCAATCTATCTATCATATTTAAGAATTTTATATTACTGTAATGTTATTATGTTTTCCTATTATTGGAATTATCATAGTATTTATTTGAATAATAATGCGATTCATTATTTGGTCTTCTCTTTTGCTATATTTTAATAAATCTATAATACTTGATATCTATTTTGATAATAAGGTTTCTAATAATTTTCAATTCTTCCTTGATATTTCTCTACAGAATTTTCTTTATTTGATTCTGTCTCTCTTGCTTATTTTTAATCTGTTTATTATATTGATTATTCTATATTTGGTTACTCTTGTGGTTGTTCAACTTAAATTGATTCTTCTTTTTATGGTTCTTGTTATAGTAATTATTATGAAATTGAAGAGAGTTCTTATTATTAAATATCTTGTTGGGTATAGAATATAGGAGCAAATGAAAATTAAAATTATTGTTCTTGTAATGGAGCAAAATTTAATTCAACTTTATCTTTTGTTCTTATTTAATTTAATCTTTGGCTAACAATATCTGATGATGTATAATCATATAATTATTATTCTTATTAATATTATTGATTTTGTTATTATTATTATTATTATTATTATTATTATTATTATTATTATTATTAAGGTTATTATTATTATTATTAAGAATAATTTTAATATTAATTCTAAGTTTCATCATAATTTCTATCTTCATAATTTCTCATATTATTTATTCTTTATTCTTAAAATTATTGTTACTTTGTTTAAACAATACTCAAAAATTTAGTAAAATAATCAACTTCTTCCATTTTAGCATTTTGTATTTAATACTATTTTTAAATATAAATAGAATTCTTACAATTGATTTAGACTATTAAATTTTGCTAAACCCTAATTGAGCATCCTCTTAAGTTTCAAAGACAATATATAATTTAGTCATATCTTTATTTGGTATATATTCAGCCTCTATTGGTTCCCATTCTTATTTAACTTCTAATTCTTATAAAAACTTCTTAAATTCTTCCAAATGATTTTTCTTAATCAAAATTTAAATTTATTTCCTCTCTTTTGAAAAGATTGGCATTACTGCATTGAAAGTTTAATCATAAAACCAATTAGTGTAGTTAAATTGAATTAATATCTATAGAATAATTATGGACTAATTTACATTCATTAAATTCTGCATTCCATTAGGATATTCTAACAATTATCTAAAGCTATTCTCTTTTGCTAAACAAGAAAGACGAATAAACCCTGTAGTTGAATCAAATTTTTTCAATAGAAAATGGTTTCTACTTAAGACTGGAAAACTAAAAATGCGTCTCAACTTTGTATAAGGGTTTAGATATACCTGTTAAAGAAGACAATCATCAATACTTTGCGGTTACATGCTACTATATTTTGAATTCAAAATAATTAATTTAATGAATACACTAAAGTCCTATCAATAATTATATATCATGAACTAAATATATATATACAGACATAAGAACAGATTAATCAAAAAGAACTTTTAAATTCCTTTAATTTGGAATCTCCGTCTTTACATCCATTACAAAATTTTCTAATATCATCTTTCTTGATATCAGTCTAACTGTCAATTTTGAATTCCTATTAATAAATTTATTCTTCTTATTAAAACAATTTCTCAATCGTAGTTTCACCCTAATCATTTAAAATCTAATTCATATAGGTTTTATAAATTTTGAAAGTTGGAGCTTCACATGATGAAATTCTTATTTCCACTAAAGAGGTCTTATTAGAATTGTCTCTCAAGAAACTCTTTATAGCAAATAACATCACTGAAGCTAATTTACTTCTTGCTATTTGTATAATTTATTAATCCATAACAGAAAAGGCTATTGATTTAACACCCAATTCTGTTGCTTTCTCTAAACAATTTATTATAGCTTCATAAACTATTTAAATTTCTCTAGATTCTGTAGAATCTAGTTTCTTTTTCTCAGCATATGCTGCAAATGAATTTACTCTGAAGTTCTCTTCAATTGAAGATACTAACTCTTATTCTAATGATTCATTCAACACTATAATTGAAGCTTCAGTAGCATTAGGTAATACTGCAAAGAATATATAATCATATGGCATCTAAAATCTTTATACAATATATAACTTCGCCAGCATGAGTATGAACAACTGATCCCAATTATACTTTTCCTCCTTCACTCAATAGAATTTGGTGCAATTCATTTAATATTTAATTACTACCGAATTTTCTATTTATTTTATCGCAATGATAATATACTTAATGTGCTCTGATGCTTAATTATTCAATTTCAATTTCTGAGTTGTTGGTAGTACAATTATATCTACTTGTTCATTAAATAATTTTCCCAAACTCAAAACAACTCTACACCCATTCACATCTGTTTATTAAATAATCTATGCTTGGGGTCTACCATCTAATTTGCATATCTATGATTGGAGTTCAGATTAAGCGGAACAACAAAGAGACTTATTGCCCATAATTATTATATAATATATTTAATTATGTATCATTTTAACACATCCTTGAATTTATTTTTAATAGCTTATGCCATTTTACTGACATCTTTTTCACCTCCATTATCTTTCAAATCTATATTTGTAACTACTGTCTTCCATCCCTCTTCCTTCTATACCTTTTCTCTGACAATTGCCCTATTTTATGTTTTTCTTTAATTTGCTAATTCTGTGAATTCACTATAATCATATTAATTAGTTTACCTCATAAATTTTTTTAAATATTCTTAAGCTTATTTTCTTTTCTGTTCTTTTTGTTTTCTTTCAGCATCCTATATTAAATTTAAACAATTCATTTACATCCTTAATCATTTGTTAATTCAGATTTTCATTTTTTTATTTGTTAAATTGATTATCTACAACTAATTCATCAAATACATTAAAAGTAGTCTGACTTTACATATTGACCTAAGGTTCTGTACTTTTAACACTTTCCTCATCAAATATAAATTCTTCATAATTGCCTTAATTCAAATCCACTTCACCTTTATTCTAATTAGTTACTTTGAGTTAAGTCTCCTAATAAGATTGATTCTCATCAGCTAATTATTATTAGTTCTTAATATTCTCCTTTCCCATCAAAAAATCTAATTCCAAACCACTTGCTTTTTAATCAGCACTTCCCAAAATGATTTTCTTAGTACATGTACCACCATATGTAGTAGGAATTGGAACAGGACATTATCCAGGTTCTTCAAGGCCTTCAAATGTTTTACTCACTAAATGAAATTATGATGGGTGTAAAAGAGTCCAATTACTAACTTCAGTATTTGGAGTGAAATCAAAAACTTCACTCCATTTATTATTTGCAGGATCTAACTTGGCTTTCCCAAAATCTTCAGTAATCCCAGGATAAGCAAAATTATATGGAGCAAAAGTGATGGCAGTTGATTTTTCTAATGCTGGATCACTTGAAGTGTAGACAAAACATTAGATACTTGATAATATATATTAATGATTAAGTACTTATTTGAATTTGAGACTCTAAATTAACTAGATGCTGCACTTATTTCAATATTTTCACATTTTCTAACAAAGATAGAACCTTCAACTGGTCCAATATAGATTTTACAATTCTTGCTCAAATCCACAAAAATTTATGCGGCATGATCACAAATATAGATGGTGCACTCTTCACAATTAGAAATCACAAAGTCTAATCCATTTAATTATCCAGGATATTTAATCAATTCTTAACCTGTTTTCTTTCGAAATTAATAATCCTCCCTATTCAATTTAGCTTTCATTTCAAAAACAATTTCTGAAAATAAATATAAATCAAATCATATTTTCTATTAAATGATTAACTCTATCTCTTCTCTATATCCATATTAAGAGATGTCAGTTAATTCTTCATTTTGAGGAAGTACAATTTAAGAGGTCTTATTAATAAATACTAAAATAGTAAAATAGAATATACACTAATATTTTTTATTAATAATTATGATTAGATTATTAATATGATACAAACTAATTATATTATTGTAAATCATATATTCTTTTTTATATTTTTTAATACATACTTTGCTTTATTTATCTACAAATTCTTTTATGTATATATTAATATATTTCTATCAGATTCTTTTATTATACATTGTCTCTATTCATTAAGAGTTTAAACTTGTAGGTAATGTCTATTAATACATATTTTCTTCTAAAATAAAAATATAATATGCTTATGTTATATTATCCATCAACGATTTAATTTAAATAAATTCAAAATGAACGAAAGTTTAATGAACCCAGAAGACTATTATCGTTTAGAATGTGTAATTGGAGAAGGATCATATGGTCAAGTGTATAAGGCTACTTAATTGGAGAGTGGAAAGGTTGTTGCAATAAAAATAGTTCCAACAACAGGTGAAATAGAATCATTGAAAAGAGAAATTCAAATACTGCGAGATTGTAGAAGTGATAATATAGTTAAATACTTTGGATCATATCATTCAAATGGATAATTGTGGTTAGTTATGGAATATTGTGCAGGAGGAAGTGTAATCGATTTAGTTAAAGCAATGAATTTTAATGGTTCTTCTTTACCTGAAGAGTTAATAGCAACTATTCTATATCAAACATTAAAAGGTACAATAATATATAATGTAAATAATAGGAATTGATTACATGCATAATCATAAGAAAATTCATAGAGATATAAAATGTGGAAACATTCTGATAGATCATATTGGGAATATAAAATTGGCTGATTTTGGAGTATCAACTTAATTAGTACACACTATGGCTGATACAGATACAGTTATTGGTAGTCCTTTTTGGATGTCTCCAGAGATTCTCTTAAAGTCTCGTTATAATAAGAAAACTGATATATGGTCATTAGGTATTACAGCAATAGAAATGGCTGAAGGTGAACCACCTTATGCTCATATTCATCCAATTAGGGCTATGTTTGCAATAAAGAACAATCCACCAAACTCATTGACTGATTAAAGTAAATGGTCAAAAGAATTCAATACTTTTGTTAAGAAGTGTCTTATCTTAGATCCCAAAGAGAGACCATCTACTAAGGAATTGCTACAAGATCCATTCTTTCAAAGATTCTGCAAAAGTAGAGAGTATGTATAATAGTTTATGATAAAAAATACAAGAGTGATAGAAAACTATAAAAGATAAAAATAGAATAAACAAAATGAATAATAATTTGAATAATCTTAAGAATAAGGTATAGTTTAATTGGATACTCTTGTTGAATGTGAAGAAGAGGAGGATTTGGGAACTATGATTGTTAATGATATAGATGCAATACCTATGAATGAAACTGGAACTATGTTAGAACATTAATATTAAGATGCTGAAGTTTATGAGAAAGCTATGAATAGAGTGGTATAACTACAAACTTATTTTATAGTCTGAATATGGTTTATAAAGTTTAAATTAAATGAGATCACCTGTTACTGAATCTCCTCTAAGAAAATAAAAGTAAATAGAAGATAAAATTTAATAATTAACTGATGAAATGAATAATGAAATCAAAAAAATTAAACAAAAATATGGTGATCAAATATAATCCTTACAAAAACTCTTATAATAAGTTTAAGTATAAAAACATGAATCACATAAATCAGTTCATGAATAAAAGTTGATACCACAATCAACCAATTATTATAAATAACTAGATTTAAAACATAAAACTTCTGCACCTTCTACTCCTGTTTAAATGTAAACAAAGTAGAAGTCTCAATAAGAAAATATCAATTTGGAAAATCAATTGAAACCTACTAAATTTTAATAAACTAATTTACAGTATAGTTTTTGTATATATTTACTAGAAAACTGCAATTATAAATATAGAATAGACTACATGATGCTCCTAAACCAGACAATAATTCCAAAATACTTAAACAATTAATTAACAGAAAGAATTGAATTCATTTATCAAGCTTTCCTATTTCAAATTGAAATCTCAAAAATATTCTTCAATCTCTTCCAAAAACTCTTACTCCTCTTCACTACTTTCTACTTCTTTCTCATCTGATTCTGATGTTATACATTCAAATCCTTCTTGGCCTTTCACTTCAAAAAAGTTCTCTTTCACCATTAATCTGATAGCCTATAAAATATATTGTCTTTCTCTAAAGATTTCCCCAATCAACATATTTGTATAGAGAGTGTTACTTTTATATCTAAAGTTTGCAGGATTTACTCTATAATTTAATGATTCATCTAATAAATTCTCTCTATTTTTATAAATACAAAATAATACATCTTCTCTTTTTATTCTTCTAAATTATCAATCATTTCTTTAGTATGATCTTCTAAAGTCTAAGTATTCTCTTATCTTTTAACATGTTAATATTCCTAAACTTGTTCAGTTTCTGGATTTAATTATTTCAACTATATTTTGAGATCCTTAATTTTCTTTTTTATTATTTATTTTTCCATCTTTGATAATTATTATGATTATTCTCCTCCTTCTTTTATTTATTTATAATATTCTTTAGGTCTATTATCATTTAACTTTTTTTATAATTTTGTTATTTCTTTTGATATTGCATCTTTATCATCTAATTTTTTATCTTCTCCTTAATGATCACTCTCTTCTGAATCTGAACTTTATTATGGTTCAATAATATTCATTTTCTTTTTAATCCTTTTAGATTCAGTAAGAACTTTACATAGTTCCTTCATTTATTTTGCTTTAATTTATGTTCTCCTACTGCTTCCACTTAAAATTGAAATTTTCTTTCTCAATTTTTATTCCAAAATTGAAAGTTCTTATGCATTTTCATCTATTATTGGCTTTTCCTTATTAGGGTATCTTTTTCTTCTTTATTCTAACCATTTTTTAATTTCATCTGGTGCATCTAAAACAGGATCTTTTTTTATAGGTGGAGGTCTATGTTTAGGTATTTATTTTTCAGGAGATGACAAATCAATATTAAGATTTGGTATGAAGTCTGGTAACTTGTAAATTATTTATGTATTAAAAGCAAACATGTTCTTATTTGTTCACAAATTAAAAACCAATAATTTATTTAATTTTAAGAGATTGATAAAAAAATATTGAGATTGAGATTAAAATGATTAAAGCGGTATATTATTTCTGCTTTATAGTATAATAAATCAAACAAAGAATCTTGTATTATAATTGAATCCACCTTCATTATAATCATAATAGAGCACTTCTCCTGTCCTTATTTCTCTACAAGCATACAAGATTACTCTTGATTCACCTTCTACATTAAATCTTTAAGATTTCACATTTTATTATTATTTCTTACTATTTTTTTTTGTATTATTAATTCCCGATAAATATTTAGCAAGATTACCATATTTTTGTGGAATGATAACTAAAGATGTGGCAGCAAAATTAGTTTCAAGTAAACTCATCATCGAATCAGATGTACTATAGACTTAATCAGCAAATCGAAACACTTCACCTGCATATTCACATATCAATGTATTATTGGCTATTGGTTAAACTGCTTTTACATAAAATCCCTAATCCATATTGTATTCCACTATCACAGGTGCATAATAACCATGTTTAGTTACTTATTTATACTTTTTAAATGTTTCAAGATCTTTTCCTGTTAATGGTTCCAATTTTTCAAGTGCCACATTATTCTCTTATTTCTATACTGATTCATACACTAAATCATCATTAAAACTAATATTTTGACAATAAAGTGCATATTAAATAGAATTAAAACATTTTTCACGTAGAGTGTCATCATAAATGCAACAAGGTAAAATGAAAGAGTTCTAATTTTTTAATGAGATTTTGAGCGGTAGGAATTATACCAAATTTTTATTTTATTTTTGGCGGTTTTTATTACTCACAGAATATACATATAGGCGCTACTTTTTTTGAGCCATAACACTTTATATGAAATACTTTTGAACATTTAGAACAAAATTCCTCATCATCACTCTATACATGCTTTTAACATCTTCCACATAAAGTATCTATTTCTAATTCATTTGTATCTGGAAATGTATTCTTTAACTCAAGACAACGTGTACATGTCCATTTTTTAGGTTTCCGTGTCAATTTAGGTCTCTAAACTATGCAACAAAATATTACCATACAAGACAGATGATATACATCTTCACATATTCCACATCCTATTGATTTTTATCTTATTATCCAAGATTTACATTCAGCACATACTTTATTTTTTTTGAACTTTTATGGTTCTAACTTCTTTTCTTCTTATGGATCAAATATTGAAATTGGTTACGTGTTACTTTATTCTTTGATGCTCTAAGTACTCATTATAAATATTATTAATTATTAAGCACATAAATTTTGCGCTATTTCAACATAAAATGATACATCTTTTATGGGCGCAAAGAGAAACACCATAAAAATTAATATAATTTATATTTTGCCTACAATTATTTGGCAACCATATATATAATAAATTCAATTACTCATTAATTCACATCATAACAATCATACCATTAATTACTAATATATTCATCTAACTTTATTGAAATATCTATTTCCTAAATTATTTCATCCATTATTCCCAAATTACACCAACATATATCAAATATGTTTATTCCCTAACATTTTATATTAATTTTGTTATCTTTCATTACATTTTCTTCAAATTCTCATAAAATACTAAATCAAATGAAAAACCTATACTCAATCTTAAAATTAAATATCAATTATTTTAACGTTAAAATATATATTCTTATTTTATATATATAAAACTTATATATATATAAATATACATTAGTTATGATCAATACAAAAAATACCCTATATTTCATATCAATAATTTTTATATGTAATTATTATATTAATAAATGTTTATTTACATATTCAACATGATTTAGTCTATACATTGCTTAGAATAAAATTCACTATTTTAAAGTTGTACTTGAAATACTCAAAAATAGAATAAGAGTTAACCAAGGCTTTCTAGTATATCGGTAGTATGCATGCTTAGGGTGCATGTGAGCCGGGTTCAATTCCCGGGAGAGCCCTGCTTTTTTTTTAATTAAATTTTTTATAATTAATAAATAATTTTATTTTTTTTATTGTCTTCATTATTTTTTAATCGAGATATATTTAATGCATTCTAAATTTACTTTGAAACTTTAATGAAAATTAAGTTTTTAAATATAGGGTTAATTAAATTGTTCAAATAATTTATGTTTGATTATCTACTATTGAAAAATACATTTTTTCATACAAATTTAATAGAAATTGAATTAAATGAATGTATAAGTATAATAAGAAAATATATCTAAATTTTTAATATAATAAAATGGAAAATTATTATTTTTGTTTTGGATGTGGGAATAATAAAGATATTGTTAAATTTAGTATAAAATAAGTGGAAAAGAATGGAGTTTATATTTTAGATTGTTTGGATTGCAAATTCTAAACAGCATGTGTATAATGTAAAAGTTGCTAAGAATTAAAGTAATATATTTTGAAAATTTATTAGATATTGTAAATATGGAGACATAAACACAATAATATAATGTGTATGTGGATCAAAGTAAAGAATATATGAATGTACATTTTGTAAATGTCCTTAAATAATCAATTGTGAAAATCTAAAATAAAATTCAAAACTTATTTGCTTTTCTTGCAGGAATGCTTTTTATATCATTAATTGTCCTGGATGCCAAAATATGAAAATATTAAATACAATAAATAATATTAATTATTGTGAAAATTGCAATTTAAATTTTTAGATTGATGAATGTAAATTTTGTTAAGAAGATGCTTTTTCAAAAGATAAATTTGAACCTTTTATCTTTAAATGTTCAAATAATCATCAATACTAAAAATTAATATGTTTATAATGCAAAACACCAAATAAATTAAATGTTTCTAACAATAAAAATTATATATGTTAAAAATGTAATACTAAAATGAAACACATCTAATGTTTATGTGGTTAAAATCAAATAATTAGAAGAAGTGAAAATGATTAATTAGGAAAATTTAAATGTTAAGGATGTTAATTAGATTTTTAAATTAGAAAATGCAATACATTAAATTGTCTTGGAGTTCTTCTTAAATTAGATAAGCCTACTATTAAGCCTTCTGAATTTGGACCATTCATTGAAATTGTAAATACTATCTGTTTCTCGTGTAAATAATAAAAATATCTCTCTTAATGTTTAAGATGTTATGCACAATAGGAACCATACAATATAAATAAAGATAAACCTAATAAATGTTTAGGATGTTAATAAGAATTTACTGACTCTAAATACCGTGAATGTGTTATTTGTTTTAATCATATTGCTGATTCAATTATCTTGCCTTGTAAACATGTTTGTCTTTGTCATTTATGCCTTCAGAATTTTAAGGAAACCTGTCCTTTATGTAGAAGGATAATACAAGACAAATTTAGAATTTTTTTAAATTGATATAAATAATTCATAAGTTAAAATCACAACTCCATTTCTTGCATTTCGATTTAATTTATTTTTCTTAAAAAGTCTCCATCAATATCAGCTTTACATAATTTATAGAGCAATGGTAATAATGTAATCAACAAAAAGGAAAAATAAAATTCTAAGAATAATTAACCTATTATTAAATAAGTTATATTGATTTCTAAATTATTGCTCATCACTACTTTTCTAATGAAAATATGAATGGCCACTTATGAAATAAGTAAACCAACAAGTATCAATACTCTAACTAAACCTTTTAAAGTAAAAGTTTAATGGTTGTATAAATCTGGTTTATATTGTCCATGTGTAAAATAACAACAAAAGTAAAGATAAAAGGGCAAAAAGATAATGCAAATTCCTATTATTTCCTATTTTTCAAATGACATATTGAAACCTTACACTTTATTTTCACATTTTGGATGACTTAAAAAGAAGACACCCCATTCCTCCTATTACTAAATTAACTCTATATCATTTATTCTAATTATATAAAGTATAATTGAAATTAATATTGGAAATGCTATTAAAAGAGCCAATTTTCCAACATGACGAAGTTTGTTATGAAGTTAATCAGACTGATTATAGATTGCTTATATAAATAGTCTTTCTAATTATTTTTCAAAATCACAAAAATAATAGATGTATAGTATATATCCACCAATAATCCATCCCATTATTACCTAACTTAGATAATTTAAGCCAAAATAAGAATTGGATATACCAGTAATAAATAAAAAAGTAGCCAACATCAATTTATATTGATTATAACTAAGCATTGTATTTGGATAGAGTTATGTGTAAAGATCATCACTACAATATAAGATAGATATACTTTGATAATTATTTATATTGATATTAAAGTTTTTTATCTTAATTAATTGAACTAAGAACACCTAAATCACTTACCTAAACCTTATATTTTTTAAATAATAAAGTTTCTGATAAAATTACATAAAATACAACAGACCTTAAAGCATTATCACTTGGATCTCCATAACCTTTTTAACAAAAATCTAGTCGAACATCTGTTTCTTCGTAAAATGGTCTTGGCTAAACTAAGATCATTTTAGTAAAATGTCCAAGAAATGCTGTAATCGAATACATTGTAATTAATTTTAAAATCTACTCCTTCAATCCTGATTTCAACCAAAGAATAATGAATAACATTCCCATAAATTATCTTCCCCCCAATACCTAAAAGATTAACAGAAAACTTTCTAATTATAATTCATCTATTCTATTATACCTATTAATCCATTTTCATTCCCATAATCAAATTATTATTACAAATACTCTGTTATTGAATTGCTCAACTCAAATGTCATTTTCCCATAAATATTATCCAAAAGTATTAAACTAAACAACAATAAACTTGAAAGTATTATTTTCTACATTATCTATTTTAATTTAAAAATATATATTATATAGCCAATCAATTTATAAGATTTTAGGGCAATTCCAATATTGAATACTGTCTAATAAGAAAAATAATTGTTTTGGATAACAAATTCTAAAATCATATAACAAATTAGTCACTGAAATATATTTCAATAATCTAACACAACTATAAAAATAAAAATTTACTATCTATTATTTTTTTGAATTCCAAATTCATTTAATCAATTACACCTGAAAACTATTTATATCTCAATTGATTATATATAAAAAAGATAGTGATATTAAGAGTTGTTTAATATGGCAACCAAAATAATATCTAATTATTTTTTCTTTGTTTCTGCCAAGATCAAGGTTTTGATGAGCATGGGAATATGTTTTATCAATATCATAATAATTTCTAATAACATAATATTGTCAATAAAAAGAATAAAGAAAGAAAATCATAAAAAAACCTTGTAATTTGTGTGCTAAGTTAAGTAAGTATATCATTTTCTAATTATGTTTAATATTTGAATTTAATAAGATTCTCTAAAAAAATTACAGAATTTTTGATTTACAAATTTGTTAAATAAAATTAATGTTTATATTATATTATTATTTTGATTACTAAAAAATAAAGTAAATGCTTACTTTGAATATATATTTTATTATACTGAATAAGTTTTAAAATCTAAATTATGGATTATAAGTAACAAATTTTATTAAAAATATAAATTTATTATCCTAAGTTAAAAAATTAAATCTATACTTTTTGATCAATGTATTTATTATATTTAATATATATAAATTTTTAGTTATCAAAATGATGATATTATAAGGATATTCATTTATGATTAAATCTTAATATGTGATATATTCTTATAATATTTAACATCATTTTTACATTAAAATAAAAGGAAAACCTGAATAGTTTAAAAAGAAATTGATATTTGTCTTAAAAACAAAAAAAGAATAATTTATATCATATTTTATATTGAAGAATAACAATGTAAATAAATAATGATATTTATGACATTATAAATATTTTGTTAATTAAAATTAATAATTCTTAAGAATTTAAGAAATTTAATGAAATCTTGAGATATGAATTTACTATAAAATAATATATTGAATAATAGTTCAAATCCATGTTAGTTCTTTATAGCCACAAGGATTTTTGTTTTTATATAAAGGGGTTTGCTTATATTTCATCGATTATAAGAAAGCCTCATATTCTTTTTAAGTATTTTTCTTATTAAAGTAATCAATTTGATTCTAATATATGCGTTAAGGATTCATGAGAAAGGATTTGAGAGGTTCATCGACTTTAAATAACCAAAATTCGATGAAGACTATTTGATTTGGGTTGACTTATGTTCTTTTAAACATTTGCCTCTATTCAATAGTGCATTTGTATTGAGCACCTTCATAAGTGTTAATGTAAGTCTCGAATGATTGAAATTATTAAATTGAATTGGAGGATAAGTCACACCATAATTTAAGGGAAGGCCCAAGATCAAATATAGATGGGAAAGTTTTGGTCTCATGGAGATGATTTAACATCATCTCTCTACTTACTCCCATGAGATTATAGAATTATTCATTAACTATTCTTTAGGATAACGAACTTGAATCCTTATTCACCTTTTAGATCGTACATTAATAAGGATATTCCTAAGCAATTTTTTCCACTTCTAGTAGATCTTCATTTGAAATATATGGTTATAAAGTATATTCTTAAAGAATTTTGTGTCGCTCTTATACTAATTCAGCTGCCTTAATAGCATGAGAATCTTGTTTATGAGAAAGGAGATGTATGATTTAATCGATGGAATAGTTTGGTTGGTCTAGTAATTCAAGAGTATAAAAGTAGACGTCATCAAGTTGGTCAGTGCGTGAGACTCTATAATTATAAGTACAGGGTGTTTCTTTTAAAGCTCCAAGACAATTATCAGGGTTAAAAGAAAGAGCTAATTTGAGTTCTACATTTGATTTGATATAGACATGTTCTTTAAAAGATTTAGGTACTGAAACTAAACATATGAGTTTTTTCTTTTGATGACATTTACTTGATGATTATTCTAAAGTTAAAAACTTCCTTACTTTTTTTAAAAATATTCTTTGATTGTAATGAGTGCGTAAGTGATTCATCATGCATTCCTACTCTTTGGCGTACTATTAGGCTCATTATTGAAATTAAATTAAATATTATAATAATTTAGAAATCCTTTATAGGTTGATTTGCAAATAAGAAAATTCTGAGATGAAGATAGATTTTATAATAAAAATAAATTGATAAAAATTTAACTTATTTTTAGATAAATATGATTATATGAAAATCTAATTGAGAAGTATAAAACTATTGTAAGCTTAGCTGCCATCCATTATCTTGATTTTTCTTTAAAAAGTGATTTTAACAAATAGATTTAAATATCTAAATCTCTTGATTAGTATATAATTCTAAATTATGACTAGTATTTAATTATCTAAATGAGATTTTATATATGTTTTAATAATATTGGAATAATTTAACATATAACAATACTCATATTTGAAGTGATAATAGTTGATTAACTATTAAATTGAATTTTATTTTATCACAAAATGAAAATAGTTCATGTTTTTATATTGGATTGAACGTATATATAATTATTTGAAATTTTGAAATATTGATGATTGAAGAAGAGGGACTGTAAATAAAGAGTTAATTAGAATAATAATTAATAGAAGCTATTCTAGATTCATTATAGAATCACATGAACTAGAATGCCATATTTTTGGGTAATTAGTGTTGAGTTCAAATTTCAATAGCTGAGAGATTAGTGTATGAACGTGATACAGAGGAGCATAGATCACTTTTGGCAGAATGCTATTTACATGAGAATCAGCCTTATAAAGCTTGTCATATATTAAAGGAATGCAAGTCTGAGTTTAATCGGTATATGACAATTTGTAATAGGAACATAGTTATTAATTGGCAGTTGCTTATTTTAGAAACAAAATGTATAAGGAAGGTGAAATTGCATTAATAGGTCCTTCATTTAGTAATTAATTTGCATTGTAGTCATCAAATATACCTAATGGAGGTTTTGGTCATTTCTTGTTGGGATAGATTTATGAATAAACACATAGATTAGATGATGCTAAAATTTAATATTATAAATCTTTGGATCTGAATCCAACACTTTGGATGGCCTTTGAAAGATTGTCCAAGATTGGTGAACCAGTTACTATAAATAAAGTGTTTATAGATTAAAAACAGAAACAATATGAAATAAGTAGATAATAGAGTTGTAACATATATAAAATAATTGGAAACTCACTTAAAAATAAATCAAATCTTACAAAATCTGGTTAAAAAGAAGTTGATGATGTAAAAGAGGAATCTCTAATAATAGATAATGTAATTTAATATTAATTAATTTATAAAGATTAATAAGAGATAGACATAAGGAGTGAAACCATTTTCAACAACTGGAGTATAGACTTAAATAATTCATTTAGATGACTCATCAAATAGTTAAATGAAGTTTTCGTGTAAATATTATATAATATTAAGAACCATAATAAAAGAAGATTGGTGCTAAAATGATCCCAACTCCAGGTATTGGATTATAGAATTATCAATCTCTATTAAGTCAACCATTTCAGTTATCATAAAATCCAAATAAAAATTAAAATACAAAAAAGAGTGAAATTTAGAAAGTGAATTGTGTAGCTCTTTAATCATCATCTAGTTTAATAAAGTATTGAAATTATTCTACTGGAAGCTTACCTCAACTATTAAAATAATTTGCCCATCCATATTAATTATGGACTAATTATTCTGTAGAGGCAATAGCCAATTTTTAGAAACTGCCTCCTCACCATTATAGATCAGGATGGGTTTTAGAGAAAGTTGCTAGAAGTTTTATGGATTAAGTCAAATATACAGATGCAGAAAAAATTTGGAAAGAGATGAGATAAATTGAACCTACTCGTTTAGAAGGGATGGATTATTATTCATCTTGTTTATGGCATTTAAAGAAATAATCAGAATTAACATATTTAGCACATTCTTGTTTATAAATATCTATGTAAGCACCTGAAACATGGATTGCAATAGGAAATTGTTTTAGTTTGATGAAAGAAATTGATAATTCAATTAAATTCTTTGGAAGAGCAATTCAATTGAGAAAAGATTACTCTTATGCTTATACTTTATCTGGACATGAGTTTTCACAGAATGAGAATTTTCAATAAGCCAAAAAATCATATGATACTGCAACCTCATTAGATTAAAGATAATATAATGCTTGGTGGGGTTAAGGTAATATGTATTATAAGACTGATAAATATGATGATGCCAAAAAGTGTTTCATATAAGCCATCAAAATAAATCCTAATAATCCTGTTCTACCAACATTTTTAGCTATGAGTTATGCAGCTCAAGGTAATCATAATGAAGCTTTGAAATATTTTGAATAAAGTGAGAAATTAGATCCTATGAATGGACTTAATAAATATTAGAAAGTATTATGGATTTTATAATTAGGCAAATTCATTAATTAAATTGGATAAATATGAATAAGCTTTAAATGAATTATAAAGTTTGAGTTAATTTATTCCCAAAGAAACTGCCATCTATATACTTATGGGTCGTATACTAAAAAAGTTGAATAAGATCAAAGAAGCATAAAAGTAACATATATATGTTATTTTTTTTAGTTGTTTCAATATGGCCATGTCACTTGATATGAAAGATTAGGCTAAGATTAAAGGATTAATGGAAAGTCTGAGCAATCCCAATAGTGAATTCAACGATGATTTTGATTTATGACATGATAATCAATATATGTGCTCGTCTACGGCTATTTAGACAAATTCCTTCTTGTAATCCCCTACTGATTCAGCTCCAGTTGCAAGTTAATTGATTCGAGCAGTATGAACCAAAAACTCAGACAATTCCTCTTTTTCACATAAGGTTTCCAATGAAAGACGACGAATCCAATCAAATCCAGAGAATGCAATTCCTGTATATAACATATACTTTGGATATTAATGACATTCTATATTATAATTTAATAGAGTATTTACTATATAAAAGTGGTTGACGTATTACTCGACTTACTGTCATTCTAATACCCATTCCAAAAAGACATCCAAAAATAAAAGCACTTTCCATTATATTAATATTTATAATTATTCTCATGACTGATATTATTTTAAATTTCAAATTATTTATTATGAATCGACTCAGTTCTTAGCCAAAAACTACCATCCAAACAAAAATGACACCTATTGAATACATGCTACACAAAAATATTCCAATTCCTAATCAAGCAAAACATCCTCATTCTGATTTAGAACCAAATTTACATAAATCAGATCCTATACAATAATCTATTAATACTAATACACTTTCTTCATCCCATTAATTTGAACTTAATAATTTAAAAAAACTATTAGATGAGAAGACAAAAGAAAATTAATATCTAAGATAAACTGAAAATCAATACAAAATACTATCAATTTAGTATTAAGACACCAATTAAAATCATTAAATTGAATTAAAATAACTATTAGAATAATTAGATACTTATAAATAAAGAACAAATCAATTAAAAATTCAATTAGAAGAATATATTCATTAAATTAATTTGGGTAATCAAAAATATTAAGAATGTTACTCTTAAAAAGAAGAATTATAAAAAAATCTTAAAGATTAATAATAATAATATGAAAATTTACAAATTTATGTTTAAAATAAATAAAAAGAATTCATATAATTATAAGATAGAATTAATAATTTAGAAAATATTAATGAATTAACTTATAATTCATTATCTAATGATAATTAAAAGAGATCATAAAATGATACTCAAATTAAAGAAATTAATTTATTAAATTAAATCAAAAAGTTAGAAAATAGAAATTCTGAATTAGAAAATAAATTATCTTCTTAAGAAATTGAAAGAATGCATTATAATTAAAATGATAATGATATTAAATATATTAAAATTGAAAATGAATAATTGAAATAAAATTAATAATAAATGATGTTATAGATACAATAATACAAAAATATATAGAATTAATCAAAAATTAAGGAAGATAGTAACATTAAAGATAAAATGAGAATTATAGTATTGAATACTGAAATTGAAAGATTATGGTCAGTAATAGAAGATTGTGAACATAGAAATTAAACATAAATTCAATAGATAGAACATCTTAAACAATAAATCGATTTATTTGAATAACGAAATTTATAATTTGAATAAGAGTAAATGAGAAAATTATAATATGAATAAGATATATTGTTATTATAATAGCAATAAGATTATTGGACATAAAATCAAAAAGAACTCTAAAATAAATATACTTTATTATCTACAGAACTTGAAAGATTAAATATAATTTTAAGAGAAAAAGATATAATGTAAAGTAAGTATTAATATGAAATTGAATCATTAAGTAAATAATTAGAATAAAAATAGAAAGAAGTATAAAAGTAATAGAATACAATTATAGAAATGGAAATTGAGATAAATAATTATTAATAAGAATCAATGCTTCTTAATAGTGATAATGATAATTTAAATATGAGAATTACTAATATGGAAGAGGATATGAATGCTTAAATTATAGAATTAACACAAAATTTTAAAAGAGAAACATAAATTAAAGAATAATAACTTAAATAATTATAATTTTAGAATAATGAATTTGAAAAATTAATACAAATTTTAAAATAAGAATAAAATATCATAGATTTTTAAAAAGATGATGAAAATAGAAAATTATAAGTTATTGAAAATGAAAGAATTATTTTACTTTAAGAAATTAAAGATTATTAATAATAATTGTAATTTAATTAAAAAGAAAATAATAAACTAAAAGAAGATTTAATTAAAGAAAGAATGAAAATAGTAATTTTTGCAAGTGAAATAGATCGATTATGGTAAGTAATTGAAGATTTCACAAATAATTTAAAAGCTTATGAAGAATAATCAAATTTATAAAATGAAAAAATACATTCCTTAACAAAATCAATATAATAATATTAAAATGTTATATCTAAACAAGATTAAGATAGGAAATAATAAAGTATAATCATTAATTAATCTTTGGAATCTAAAATAACACTTTTATCGAGTGAATTAGAGAGAGTTCGAGATCTTTTAAATGAGGAGTAAGTTAAAGGATATGAATATGAAATTAAATAAAAGACATACCTTTAAGAAATTGAAGAACTTTATACATAAATTGATATATTTTAGTAAGAAATATCAAATTTATAAAAAAATGGATTAGAATCTAATGATTTGGAAATGAAATTTTAAGCTGAAAGAATGTCTTGGGAAACTTAGAAATATTAATTGAATAATTAGATATAAGATAATGAATAGAGAATAATAATGTAATCTTAAGAAATTAAGAGATTGAATATTGTTGCAGAAGAACGAATTAACGAAATAGAAAGTTTAAGATTACAATTAAGAAATTAATAATAGTTTAATGATTATGATTAATTAAAATAGGAATATACTCTATTAGAATAGTAAATTATGGAATATGAATAAAGTAATTTAAAATTAAAGGCTAACTTACTTACTTTGGAAAAATAAAATTAATTATTGGATTTATAATTGTAAGGAAAAATAAAAGAGATGGATGAAGCTTATAATTTGTTGAATAAATAAAGGAAATAAAGTGAATAAGTTAACAAAGAGGCTGAAAATCATCGTAAAACTTTTACTTTATTATAATAATAAAATAGTAATTTAGAGAATTAAATACAATGTTTTTAAGAATAAATTCATAAGATTTATAGTGAAAATGAAAATTTGTAATTATTATTTTTATTAAGATAGATTATCATAAATGTAATATTTACAAAATTGTTTATTAGATAGAGATTTAATAGTACAAAGTAAGAATTAAGAATTGAGTGAGAAAATAAAAGAAATTGATCAGATGAAAATTAAATATGAATAGAAAATTAATGTTTCTACTTTGTAATCATCAGTTGTTCGTGTATTTTATTTATAAATTTAAAATAGAGTTCTTCTTTAACAAGATAAATAGCAAAATCTGAATAGGAAAACATTTTTTCAGAATCTTTTTCAAAGTCCAAATATATTTCGACATCAATTATATCAAGACCTCCTAGATAAGCTATGGCTAAAATTGATACAGAAAATAATAATTAATATTAATGATTTTGTTGATAAATTTCATTTTATTTTTATAATTATCATTATATATATAAAATATAGTTATCTATTAGTGTTCTAAGAGATTTTCAAATAATTGTATTAATTCAAAACTTATTAATTACAAAGAAATGAAATCTTCTATAAATATATTTAGATTAAATTTTTAAGATTAAACATGAAAATTTAAGTTAGTTTCTAGAATCATTTATTTATTATATTTATCCAAATCAAAGTATATTAATAATAATTTTTAAAATTCCTTATTCAATTAGAACAATTTTTATCNGAATATTGTTGCAGAAGAACGAATTAACGAAATAGAAAGTTTAAGATTACAATTAAGAAATTAATAATAGTTTAATGATTATGATTAATTAAAATAGGAATATACTCTATTAGAATAGTAAATTATGGAATATGAATAAAGTAATTTAAAATTAAAGGCTAACTTACTTACTTTGGAAAAATAAAATTAATTATTGGATTTATAATTGTAAGGAAAAATAAAAGAGATGGATGAAGCTTATAATTTGTTGAATAAATAAAGGAAATAAAGTGAATAAGTTAACAAAGAGGCTGAAAATCATCGTAAAACTTTTACTTTATTATAATAATAAAATAGTAATTTAGAGAATTAAATACAATGTTTTTAAGAATAAATTCATAAGATTTATAGTGAAAATGAAAATTTGTAATTATTATTTTTATTAAGATAGATTATCATAAATGTAATATTTACAAAATTGTTTATTAGATAGAGATTTAATAGTACAAAGTAAGAATTAAGAATTGAGTGAGAAAATAAAAGAAATTGATCAGATGAAAATTAAATATGAATAGAAAATTAATGTTTCTACTTTGTAATCATCAGTTGTTCGTGTATTTTATTTATAAATTTAAAATAGAGTTCTTCTTTAACAAGATAAATAGCAAAATCTGAATAGGAAAACATTTTTTCAGAATCTTTTTCAAAGTCCAAATATATTTCGACATCAATTATATCAAGACCTCCTAGATAAGCTATGGCTAAAATTGATACAGAAAATAATAATTAATATTAATGATTTTGTTGATAAATTTCATTTTATTTTTATAATTATCATTATATATATAAAATATAGTTATCTATTAGTGTTCTAAGAGATTTTCAAATAATTGTATTAATTCAAAACTTATTAATTACAAAGAAATGAAATCTTCTATAAATATATTTAGATTAAATTTTTAAGATTAAACATGAAAATTTAAGTTAGTTTCTAGAATCATTTATTTATTATATTTATCCAAATCAAAGTATATTAATAATAATTTTTAAAATTCCTTATTCAATTAGAACAATTTTTATCTTATTGAATTATAAATTATCTAATAAATAAGAATTTAAAAGTTTATTTTTTAACTGTTTTCTTTAATAAAAATAATTGTATCTATTCAACCTTTTTTTTATTTTTATATCTAAATTTCATTTTCAATTATAAATATTCTAAACATATATACAATTCTAATATTGTTTCTTATTGAATCAGAATATAAAATAAAGATTAAATTTGATTTGGTTAATTCATAAAACTTATTGATTAATAAAGCAATTTAATCCACAATTATGAATATAACTGACATTTTATTTATATAATGATAGAATGTTCAAATCAAAATGATTTTGACTTTTACTTATACTAGTCTTTAAATTTTATGAATTCCAATGAATTGATAAATTATGAGAAAATTCGAAATCTAATTGAAATGTTGATAAATAAAGAATATATGATAGTAATTAAATGAGACAAAGTAGTATAGTATCAAAAGAATATATATATATAGTTGTATAAAATGAATTGATATCTAATTCATAATTTTCACTGAATGAGTAATTGAAATTAGCTTTAGAAAATAAGAATGTGACCCTGTGGATTATTGCATTTAGAAGTTCATGATTACAACATGAATATGTGTATCATGAAAACACAAGGAAATAAAATTGTTCAAATGCATAATTGAATTTATGTTCCAATCTCTTTGTCATTTCCATTATATTATTTATATAATCATAGTTTTGCATATTTCATCAATTTATCCTTGTAAAAGTAGTATTGTTATTAACTAACATATAGCTCATAATCGAGCAAAGTTAACAGTTCTAATTCTAATTTGTTTAACTCGTTGATTGTGATTCCTCCGACTTTGGCATAGTAGTCATTCTTATAGTAATCATCATCATTATATTTAATGCTTAGAATGATGCATGTTAACATAAATCTAATATATAAGTCTTTTATACCTATGGACACAAAAACTATTGATAACAACATCTTGGTTCTTTTATTAAATCCTGTCAATGTAAATCAATGCCAAAATGAAACAATCATTACTACAATAAGAATACATTTGGATGCGCTCTAAATATTTTGCCAGACTTATTGCAGGTTTTTTAATTGTATGAAATGCAGTTTGTTAGGGACTCTCAATTATGTCTGTCTCTCTAACAATTTCATCTAAAACTCTGGCAATTGAATAAATGATATTATCTTCTAGGAATTCCTACTTTACCCCAACACATTCTACATCCATTTTCCCTAAAAGATATATATGTAATAATTATATATATATTATATAAATTATGATATGATATTAAAATATTGAACAATCGAACAATAAAAACTTATTAATTACTATAATAAACATTAACATCTCAATTTTAGAATCTATTTTGTTGAAATCTTTGTTATTTCATTTATTCATTTTCATAAGAAATAATGATTAAATACAGAATTCAAAACATATAATTATCCTCTCAACATTAGAATACGAAAAGAAATTTAATTTAAAATCTCCTGTTCAATTACTAATAACTTAAAATGATTATGTATTGTTTATTAAATTAGATAATTTTTATCTTTTACCTAAACTCAATTAGACTTAAGTATAAAGATGAATTAATTAAAAAAAAAATATTCATTATTTATTTTGAAAAATCCTTAACATTCAATTAGATATTAAGTGAATAAGTATTATTATCATATAATATCATGTAGTTAACAAAGGTCTTTTGATTATATATTAAGAAAATTAGTTACTCTCAAATTTATCTATGTATATAATAAACTTTATGATTTAATTAAATAACGAAAATCTTAAGACCAATTCCAATTATGTTATTCAATTATGATATAACATTTTTTAATATTATTATTCGATTGAGGAGTATATTTTATTTAGGTTATTGGTAAAAATTAAGGAAATTGAGAAATACAAATAATCAAAACTACTCACACTTCTTCTTCATCAATTTATTCCAAAGGTTATTGATATCTAGCTGATAGAGTTTTACTCTTTGTCAGAATCGCCTTTCCTGAATGATTCCCATGCTTGCCCTGTTACATTTAGATGATTTTTGTCCATTCATCTAGATCGTCCTGTCGTTATTCTTATATAGGAATTGTAGAAAATTTAAAATCTTTCTTTTGTTTCTGATTAACACATCCCATCTATTATAAGTTTTGAAAACTTAATATTTTATATTTTTAAGAGTTGTACTAAATATTTTTAATTAAATATCACACATTATCTTAAAACATCTCAGACAATATTCTAAACCAATATAACATAACCATAGATATAGGTTTGATTTCTAATTTATTTTTGCAAATAAACCTTATTTCACAAAGTTAGATCATAAATTAAATCATCCCAGTAAATAATTGGACTGATATTATCAATGTAAAATAAAATATTATAATAAATAAAAAAGTGAATATGGGTTGTATTAACTTAAAAAGCAAATATGAAAATTAAAATTAGATAAGAGATTTTGCACCAAGTTTCATAAGAAAAGCACAATTATAAAGTCCAAATACTGTCACTCCAGGAATTAATTAGTTATAGTATAAATATAAATCTAATAATCCTACTTATTTGGAAATTAAACCTAATAGAAGCCTTTCCATTTGATAGATAATTAAACTTATTGAATTATGATTCGTATGATTTAACATTGATAATATTTTATCAATTAATAAGTACTTATCAATTCAATTGGTTTATCAATATACTTGCTATTCATTTTTGCTGATCAATTATATACTACAAGTATAAGATGTGATTTATCGATATAAATAAAAAATCAATCCTCTAGGATCATAATCAGTTATCTTAAGTAAATGATATGTCCTAATAATTAAGATTCAAAAATTAATATACTAATCAAATAAAGAACATAAACTTCTATATTAATATACCTTAATAAAAACTATAAAATTAAGTATCTAAAATCTCTTATATTTGTTAATAAATATTTGAATTTTCTTCATTAATCAACTGTTGATTTAGAAGTATTCTTAGAATTTTCTATAGTTCATAATTCTTAATTCATTATTCTTAATTCTATAATTAGTAATGTTAAATTTTTCAATACTTTTATTTTTTTGAAGATTTATACATTCTCAAAATATGTTGATATTTTGGTTAAAATCCTAACTTAATCAAATGTATTTGTTTTGCATTCAACATTTATTCAAATATTTAAGATTTCTTATCTCTACATATAGCATTTTTAACAATTTCTAATTCATTAATTATATCACCGAAATAAAATCCTAATTTTTTGTATTTATAATTTAAAGTCATCATATTCTCAACATTGAATTAATTAAAGATCATTGAAATCTAAAACATTTATATATGAATTATTATTGATATCTATATATGATTAAAGAGTTATTTAATGAATAATCTATTTATTCTAAATAATTTTAATGATAATAAATTTAAATATCAATTGTTTTATTTTATTTTGCATTATAATTAATTTAAATGAATTACTAAATTAAGTAATATTATTTATAATGTTTATTATATTTTTATTTTGCATTACAACAACTCTTAGTTCCTTCATTAATTGTCCAGAATAAACTTAATAATATTGTGATGATAATTATCATCCTGTTTGTGCTTATGTCTAAGATGAAAAAGTATTTATCATTTAATAATTAAATATAGATTGCTAAACAATATTAAAATGCTTGTGAGGCTTGTAAGATATCTACTACATAATATTATTATGAAGGGGAATGTAAATAGTTAAAAAATCATACCTAAATTTATCGTTTAACTACTGAATCAAATGAATAATCAGATTTAATAAAGGACTGTGATGAAAACATAAGATATTTGACTGATTGTAGTAATAAAGAAAGTTTAGTATGTGGTGTATTTACTTCTACTGAAAATTGTACAACTTGTTAAAATGAATATTATAATTTTTGTGTGGCATGTGCAGATTAAAAAGTTGATTATTATTATGATGGATATTGTAAAAATGAATAAACGTAATTAATCCTTATAATTCAATAGAAAATCAGAAATTATTTATTGTCCTGCAGATAGACCATCCAACTGTGATGAAAACGGTTAATCAGTTTGCTCATAAACTACATATCCATGCTCTACTTAAGATTGTGTATTGGAAAGTAAATCATGGTGTGCAGCATGTTCTAATTCATAAGTTATCACATATTATTAAGGTAGTTGTCAAAAATATTTGGAGTATAAATAATTTAATTAATCTAAGATATGCTAAAAATGTTAATATAATGGAAGAAGTGGCTTAAAAATGTAATTCTTTATAACCTGAAACTTGTACAGAAACTGTCTAGGAAGTATGTGCAACTGAAACTTGTAATGATGATGGATTAATTTGTTAAAAGACTTATAGTAATTCATGTTTAGCATGCAAGAATACAAAGGTAATTAGTTACTTACCATTTTCATGTTTCTCATATTAATAATTTATTATTTGGAGTATGATTATTTATTTTTTGTAATGAATATTATAATATATATTTATTTCTTTTTGATATTATATATACTTCAAAATCAACTGTATAAATTTGATAGTCCATTTAATACGAACTGTAATGTTTCTTCATCAAAACTTGTGAATCCTCTAAATAGAAATTCATCACAAGGTGTCATAATCAATTCTAAATAAAATTCTAATTGATTAGATAAGACAGCTTTAAATGCATATTTACTTTCAGTTATTAAATCTTCATTCTCCTATTCCCATTAATTTAATAATTGTCCTTATTCACTTAATTATTTTAATTCTGTCTTACAAGTAATTGGTAACAATGGAGTTGCATAAATCTTACCTTAAAATTATTTCTTCATTGTTTTGAAAGAACTAACATCAATTGGATAATATTGTATACAATTTTTTAAGAAACTTGGTAGATAAAGGATAAAATTCTCAAAACTAATTTATTATTTTAATAATACCTAACAGATACTTTAATTAATGTCAATTCATGAAGTTTAACATTTGCTTCTCGTATAAATTCATATAAAATAGTTTATTATGATTATAATACAGTACTTTTAGTTTCTTTATTAACCCAAATATTTTTATTACTATTAATAATTTAAAGTTAAATAGATTTTAATTCCTTATTTTTAATACTAATAGTTGTAGATATGAATTCTTATTTATTTAATCCATAAATTAATTATTATCTTGATTTTATTTCAATTTTATTAGATTAATATAATGTGGCTAATTAATTTAAGCTTGCTTTTTTATAATTAAGTAGATTTGTTTAATTCAATTATAATTACAATGTAGATCTATTAATCAGATTCCCTTTAAATTACTTTTTTCCATTCTATCTATAATATTCAGCTGCAGTTTTATGAGGATAAATTAATTCTGAAACATCTTTCATTCTAGAATTCAATATTGATTAATTTAAGTTTGTATTAGATGTAACTTACCATAAATCAGATTCTTTGAAATTATTGAAAACAACATTTGTATTCTCATCTTTATAATCTTATTCTTTAGCAAAACTTTCACTTATTCTACTTTAATTTACTGATTAATTTCCATATTCTATATTTGTTTATTTTAATTTATGGTTTTCTTATTTTAATAAAAAGTATTTGCTATCTAATTAATCATATTTCTTTTTTAAATTAATGTAATCATATTCATTAAAAGTGGAAATACCTTATTATTAATGATGTTTTTATTATTCCAATAAAAGATTTTTTTCAACTTTAAGATTTTCTAATTCTTCTTATAAATTTTAAATTTGTTAATTTTATTATAATAATTATTATTATATTTCTGTTTATTATTCTTATTATTATATTTCTGTTTATTATTAATTTTGAACCTATTATTATAATTATTATTCTTAATTTTATTATTTTAAAGATGATTCATATAATTTCTTATAATGATCAATTTATTATTAAAATTCTTTCAAAAGAATTTAATTTTATGTATCTTATTAATTTTATTGATTATTTATTTAAACTTTATAATGTTATAATTCATGTTGTAATTCTTATATCTTTTTATCATTTTATTAAATAGTAGAACTAAGTTATTGTATTTCAAATTATGCTTTTTTTAATTAATTCTTTAGAGATTCTATTTCATTTTATTGATCATTTTTTAATATATAACTTTAATCATGATAAACTTATTATTATTATTATTATGGTTTCATGATTTTAGATGCTTATATTGATTATGACATATTTGATTCATCTAAAATAGTTTATGAACCCTTTTTCAATTATGAATTTGTTAAAAATTTCATTCTAAATTCTTAATAAGACATTTTTCCAATTTAAAATTCAGGATATGTTAAGACAAATTCATCTAAAAATGTATCTTATACTTCCTAACAAACTAAATCTTCAATTTAAACATTTATTTTCTCCAATTCATCTTTAAGGAATGAATTTACTTCAGTATGAGATTACAAATAATTTATTAATTATTAATTCAATTATCTAATTTTATTTTGAATTTAACTATTATCTTCATGAGGTGTTGATGATATTTATTACTTATTTAAATGTTCATCAATTAATTCTTATTTGAAATAATTTATTTTTGGTAAATATCCTTATTCCTTTTCTAATCTCTATCCATATACTTTGAAATCAGGAAACCAAAGTGCCCATACTCTAATACAATCTAATGCTAATCGTATATAACTTGCTCCATATTATTCTATCTATTTCTCATGCTCTGGATTTTTGAAATATGTTGTCCCTCTTGAATCATCCATATCCTTAATTCTGTATGTGGCTACTTCATAAATTAGTTCTATCAATTCATTTTTGACTCTATTCTTAAAATCATTATTGAACTTTTCAATACAATCCTTTACTATTTTCAAACCATAAACACATTCTTTTGGAGGATGCTTTTCTTTCATGATTTTCTTCATGGCTTCAATAAATTCAGTTACATCTTAACTATAATAGATATATTATTGTTACTTATTTTCAACTGCTTTAGCTATTTCTAATCCTTTTTATTTATCACTTAACAAAGCAATAAACTGATCCATAAATGGAAATTAAAATTTAATTTTATTTTTATTGAAATATATATTAATAAGATATATTTTTTCAATTTTAAACATTTACGAATGAGTCTAAATAAATCAAATATCTATATCTAAATAATATATATTTAATACATTTCTATCATATTCTAATTTAAAACTAATAAAATAATAATAAATATTATATTTATATTAAAATTATAAAATAATTATAAGAAATCACCATTCTATTTTAAGGATTTTAAGTAATTAATTTACATTATTCAAGAATTTCTATAGATGTCTTATCTTATTATTATTTTCTTCTTATTTACTAATTAATTAATTATTATCATTTTGTGTTAATTAAATTTTATCAATTTATCTTTAACTATCTTTCATTGACATTTCAAAACAATCAAATACTTATGATCTATATAATAAATCAAATTAACTTACTTGTTGAATACACAAACAGCTTAAGTACATTTATACATCAAATTCAATAAAAATTATGAAGCTCTATATCTAAGTTCAGCACCTAAAGTTGTCTCTGATATAGTATTCATTACTAAACAAGAAAGTTATTGATTATTTATAATCATTTTCTTTAATTTTCCATTAAGTGAACAATTACTATAAATTAGAAGAATGTCTTGACATATTGGTTATTGAATATCATTTTCAATTAAAATTTCTTACAATATATTAACAAATTAATTATTTGCTAGAATTCTTAATTATGTTTCTTTGTAAAATGAGAGACTTAACATAAATTGTACTATCAAGACATTAAATTATGTATTAGTTTACCATTTCCTCTTATCACTCCAAACTAATTAAATTATAATAAATAATATACCTTTATTTAATTTTTCTTAAATTTCTTCTATGATTTTCATTCTAATATAAACTTGTCTAACATCTGTATTTTAACCTAAGATTCCTAAGGCTTTAAGTAAAATTTCATTTTAAAATAAAGTCAATTAATCTTTACAAATATGTTTTTTGAGTTCTACCAATAATAACCATTTCTATTCACTCAATTATTAACTTAAATGTGATTGCCATAATTAATTGCTACCTAAATTGATTAAGATATCATTCATCAATTCAAAATAGATTTAACTATTAGTAGTAAATCCTAAGAATAATAATTTCAAAATGGCATCAATACATAATCCAATAACTTCAATTAATTAAGTATTTGAATTTAATGAATAATTTTCTTGTTCTTCTGAGAATTTTAATAGTAATTTCAAGAATACAACATGAACTTTAAATATAGATGATTGTTATAGTTAATTCTATTGTGCAAAAGAAACATTAGAAGTATTTAAATTTTTAACTTAAGATTATTACATTTTTTAAGGTTTTTATTATGTTTTATTGATTACTTTTTCTAATTCTTTAACAACATAGAGTGCTATAGATTTGGCGACTCCTGTTTTACATAGAATAAGTTTAGCACTATTACTTACAGAAACTATGGCACTTAATATTTATATTATAGTTTGATATTATATTTCTGATTAATCTTCTTCATTATTTTAATCAGTTAATGAAAGTGGTCTATAAATAGATGTTAATGAATAGATTAAATCATCATTTATACTTTTAGTAAATTCTATTTAATAAATACATTATAGTATTTTTGCAATTCCAATCTTATTTTCAATAGTAAAATTATCATTTTAAAGTGCTTAACTAATAACATATACAATATTCCATTTAGGTTTTGTTTGTTTAGTTTTATTATACTCAAATTCAACATAATCTTTATGATAATGTGTAGCAAATTATAACAATAAACTAAGTTATAATAAGATACCTGCAATTAGATTAGGTTAATTAGAATTCAAATATTTTCTTAATTTATGAATTGAATGAATAGCAGTTTCTACTAAATTATAAGATTATAAAATAGAGAGTGCTTTAGATACTGATTATCTCATTAAAACATTTAAGATTTCAGCAGCATGAAGTGTTAAAAATAATTAATCTATATTTTTGAATTTGATTAAGAATTAAGCACATTAATGATCTATTTAGAGATTATAAATTTATTAGATAGCCTCATCTTTATTATGTTATAAACATAAATAAACAAGTCTTAATAATCCAGCTTTACAAATAGATGCAATATCAGATTTTAATCTATTGTCAGTATATGAAATTACTCTTGTAAGTTTTTTTAATGGTTTGAGTTTGAGAATAATTGTTATTGATTAAGAATATATATATTAAGATTCATTACTTTGATATAAATCATCTATCATTTAATCTTCTATTCTATTAATTTGATCTGTATTCAATTATTTTAAATTTAATGATAAAATATTAAGTGATAAAAAGCGAATAATTTATAAATGAGATTTAGTTAATTAAATTAATCTTGAAAATAGTATTTATTAATCAAGCGGTTCTAATGATTAAAATAAATTAAATTATCTAGATAATTTCAATAATTTAATTAAACAATTTGAATTCTCAAAATTTAAATGATTGTAATATTAAAAGATATTTGATTATAAATATTTGATTAAATCTGGTTAAAGATCTAATAAATTATTCTTCAATAATTTCAATATATAATAAGATAATTTAATATTAAATGGATATTTGCTTTAATATTTAACAATATATTTTCCAACTTCAGAATGTTATTTTACAACACTTAACAATTAAATATAAAGATTTAAATATTCAACTTACTCTTCTCCAACATTTTCTAAAAAACATTAATGTACATAACTTAATAAAGGTAACCAAAATGATTTAGTTTCATTAAATGTTGATATCAAATTAAGTACATATGTTTTACCTGAAGAGAGAAATAGAGTACTTGACATTAATTATTTTAATTCATCCAAAATGCAATTATCATATGATATATCAACATCATTTGCTTTTAATGCTAACAATAGATCTAAATTTTATATAAAATCTCCTGTATTCTTTATATAAAGTTATTACTATTTATAATTTTGATAATTCAAACCTTCCAAAACTAATTATAAAAAACATTATAAAAAATGTGTAACTCTATTTTATAAAGGAATATTATTATCCCAAAATTAATCTGATTTACCTTTATAATCAAATATTAATTTAGATAATGAATAAAAATGATCTTTACTAGACAATTCTTCTTATAAAACAGTAACAATAAGATATCTAAATGATGATAATTAGGATTGCTTATCTTTTGTTTATTGTAATAAATATATTGCAATATCAAATTAATTCTACATTAAGATCTATAAACTAACTGCAGATAAATCAAGAAACTATTATATTATTTTTATATTATACTTTGCACAATAATTATAATAATTCTCCTTTTATTTTATAATTTTGTTCAATCTTAAAGTTTTCAAATTTTTCTTTTGAATATTTCTATATATTTGTTAATAAATCAGTCATATATGATTTAAATAGACTTTCCTTTACTTGAACTTAACTTAAAAACTCCTTCTATTATTTAGAATAATAAATTAAAATTGCAATTAATTAATCTAAATAAACCAATTTCTAAGGAATACTCTATTTTTATGAAATAATATTAGTCTCCAAAATTGACAATTCCTCAATTGATACTTATTATTTTGGTACTCTAAATGTTTCTAAAATTAATATATAAATATACTTTAATTAGTAGTAAATGAGAGATTAAGAATATAATGGGAATCTTCTAATTATTTAATATATCCTTCACATGCCACTTTATTTAAATGTTATGTAGTATAATGATTAGAAAAGAGTAATTCTAATGTTTATAATGCTATTTATTAATGTTATTTCCCTTAAACTAAATTAGGACATAAGACATTAGTTTTAGTAAATAAATATTCCATCTATTAAATATTAAATAAATTAGCATATTATGCTTCTAATAAATATGAACAAAATCTTGGAATATTTTACATCTTATAATCATCAGATAATAATGTTAATAGATCATATGATATGTAATATAGAGGTATTAATTATTATTAATGTAATGATTCATCATTTGTATCAAATATTTGTGTTATTTCATTTATTAATATTATAATTGAATCTTATGCTGCATCCTAATTTATTTATATTACTTTCTTTAATAATTTTACTATTAAATATAATATATTTATTCTTCTACCCATAAATTTTGTTAAATTACGTAATATTTATTTACTTATCATATCAATTTAACCTTTTAATGTTTTTTAATTTATTTCCATTTTTTGTTATCCTGCTTAAGGATCTAAAGTTGGATATGAATATACTATATGATCTCTATTATCTTTAATATAAACTTCTTAATTCTTATTATAATTCTATTCTGATTAATTTTTATTAAATCTAGTAGTTAAATTTGTAATGAATTTTTGAAGGGCAATTAATGAATAATATATTATATTCTCATCTTTCTATGAATTACATAGAATCAAGACTTCTTCAATTATTTCTTATCTTGAACGAAAGACTTCAATAGGAAAATCTTTTAATGCTCTCCATAATTATTCTTTAATTGTAAATAATATTGTTTAATTATTTCCAAATTTTAATTAGACACTAATATCAAAAAGGAACTTTTCATCTTGTTCAGTTAATTTAACAAATGGAAAATATTCATATTCAATTGTTTTATGATCTGGTTTAACAAGTATTTTTATTTATTCATCATATGAATTCTTTATAATTTGATTCATTTTATCAGGATTTTGAATTGGTTAAATTGATTCTCCTTCCATTATATTTTGAATCAATTGATCCAAACTATTGTTATGCAAATTATATTATAACATTTTATTCCTAAATTCACAAATTTATTGTATATCTGATTTCAAATTTTATTTAACTAAATGATGCTATTATTATTTAACAATTAATATATACCTTAGAAAGATCTTTGATCAAATCAATTACTTGATTAATCAATTATAATTAAGTGTTAATACATTGATTAACAATCCATTTAAAAAGTATACAACCTATTGTTGGATTCTTGTCACATAGTTCATTCAATCCAACTAAACCACATTATATTTTTGATATCAAATTTCTAATTGCACTCTATTGAACATCTAAACTACAACTTTGTAATTTCTCTATAATTTTATTGATCTAATGGAAACTCATACTTTCACTTTTTTGAATTTAAAATTATAAAAATAAACAAATATATTTAATTAAGAATAATGATATCATATACAACAAATTAGATATCATAATATAAATTAAAATAGTAGATTCTAAAGAAACCAGTCCTTAATAAAATGATATTATAACATTACTAAATATTTGAACAATTATTTAAATTTAAATCAATAGAAATATTAAGAAGTATATATAATCCTAAGAATTGTTTAATTTAAATAAAATTATAAACTATTTCTAATTTGTATATCTCTTATAGATTAAAATATAAAAATTATGATATATTTTTACATTTATTCCCCATTCCTTATCTAATTAACAATTTTATAAATATAAATTACAATATTAATAATATATATGAATAATCAAATTCTAAATATTTATCAACCCAAAGATTATTTTTATGAACTTGTTGATTCATCTAACTCATTTCCAAATACTAATTTTCTAATAATTTAATTTTAAGATTATTTCAAAATTTCAAATATCTTAAATTCATGTAAAACTTTCTGTATTTATATCATATTGTTATCTACTTAATTATTAGTTGACTATTCTTCTTTAATTTTTAGACTTTATTTTAATACTTTCTAATAATATATATTATTGTTTTGAATACTTTCCTTTGCATAAAATTCTTCTTTGATTACTTAATGATGTTTTGTTAATTATTTAATAAGAATTTAATTATTAATCTCATTTATTTGAGGAAGTAATTAAAGTCTATTATTTAATTTCTAAAATGAATATGATATTGAATAATCAGAAAATGTCATCATTCCAAAAGATTAATTGATTTTAAAAAGATGTTATATTAATTATTTTGATTATTCTTAAATTGTCTTTAAATGTTATCCTTAATAAAATTATTGAAATTATGTAATCTTTTGTTTTAATTCTTCTTTACATTAATTTTCAAATCTCTATTGAAATTTCTCATCCATAAATTCTCTTTAACAAACTTATACCAATGATTTAATTAATTCTTTTACATTAACTTATTTATCATAAATATATTTTTGAGACTCTTTCTTAAATTCTTATTAAATTATAGTAGATATGTGAAGATATTATTATGTAAATATAATTAATTACATTTATTCAATTAGATTTTGAATAAACATTTATTCATCTACAATTGTAATTGTCAACATCAGAATTTTAGATAATAAGAGAAGACATTCAAATTTTCTTAAAAAGAGAATAGTTGATACTTCAAAAGTTAAGAATTATTCTGTCATATTTTAATACATCTCAGCCTTTTATTACTAAGTCAATTCTTTATTTTATTTCAATTAAGTTCCAATCATTGTGATTTAATCTAATTTTAAGATTCCACATATAGTATCCAAAAATCCCTTATTCTCATAGTAATCATTAACAATCATTTATATTTAATCCAATTTTGTATTTATTCTCTATCCTTTTTCCATTTATAATTCCATTTATTTTGTTAATTTACTTTACATTTTTTATAAGAAAGCATTAAATAAATGTGATCTAAATTTGTATGTAATTCCACCCAAAAGAAAAATTAAGAATAATAAAGTCTTTTTAGGATGATTTCTATAAATTGTGAGCAACATTCTTTTTAAATTAAATTATTCAATAAATATTAAAATACTTATGATATAATAATATTCATTGCTTAATTTAATTGATAAAATAAATGAATTATTAAAAAATAAATGTTTTATGCAGATTCTATTCAAGAAGATAAAATTAAATCCTACCTTAACTACATTGAATAAGAATAAGAAAGGAAGGATAGAATAAAAAAACTAGCTGAATCATTAATGAATAAGACAAAATTAAAATTGAAGTATTCAATCATAACAACATTAGATTAACCAATAAGGAATCAAAGAGAGAAGAATAGTTTAATAAAAAATTAGAAGAGATGAAACAACTTAGTACCTTTGTAGATGCAAGACCTTCTATTAATCGATTAAATTTACTAAATGATAGAAATCTATTATTAAAACTCTAAGTAATATAGAAGACTTAAAAATACTAAGAAACTAATAAACATAATGCAAATAAAACTGAATTCTAAAATTAAGAATTTCAATCTCTAAATTCTCAACCACTTATTTTGGATGAAGAATTCAAATTATAATTTTTGGCTACTTAGAATTATGAGCCAATCTAAAGAAAATAGCTATAAATGCCAAGGAGATCTTAACCAGAATCTCCAAAAGACATTGAACCTGTGATAAAAGAAGAAGAATTATAATTAAACTTTGATGCATCTCCTAAAAATGATTCAAATTTATTTTATCGTTCAGTATTTAGAACAAGTCCTTCTCCATAAAGAAAATAGCAAATACAACAATTTGAGGAAGAAACAAAAAAGGCTAGATAATTTCTTCAATAACAAGGACTGATTGAGAAATAAGGTTAAAAAAATTAAAAGAGAACTCCATTGAGAAAAATACCAATTTAACAATACTATTAGAATTTTCAGAAGTAATGTCAATCATTAGTAAAGGATGTAGCTTTGGAATCAAGGAGAAGAAGTGTCATGAGTCAAATGAATGAGAGTGAAGGATGTTCTTCAAAAAAAGAGATTATTAAAGATGTAATCATTAATAAAAATCAAAATACAATTACTATGTGCAAATCACAAATTAAGTTAAATAAATCATAAACAAATTCCTCTTCGTCTCCAAGATAGAAAGTGATGAATTTTAATTAAAAGGGCAAATTGGGATCATAAACTTAAAGAGTTTTAAGAAAAACTAAAAGTATCTTTGATTCTGAATAAAACAGTCCAATCAAATCAAGATTGCAAACTTAATTTGAATCTTTTACTTAAGCTGTTAATAAAACTTAGAAGGCATTTAATAGAATAAATAAGGGAAATGAGAAGATTATTAGAAGAATGTCAACTGCTGTTAGTAGTATACATAAAAAGTATAGTAATGAGGTTGAATAAGTTTGATGAATAATTATATTTATAAACTCTCATTTAATATGATATTAATTTAATTTAAGAAATGGGATGTGGTGCTTCTAAATCATAATTAGAAAGAATGAAGAGTTATGTAAATTGTATCAATAAATTTAGAAATAAAAATTAGAAGAATTAGAATAAATAAATGGTTAATTAGCTAAATAAATAGCAGATTTGAGAGATGTTAAAAATAAGAGAAAACCAATATATATCATAAAAGATTAGGAGGTATAAGGAATCTTAATGATTTTGAGAGGTGGAAGAATTAACAAGTTATAAGGAAGAACTTGAACGTAAGTTTTAGGTGATTGAAAAAGAAATTTTAAAGGTCAATAAACAATTACAAATATAAGCAAAGGCAGAACCAAAGAAAAAAAGGAAAACTACTAAACCTATTGATATAGATGATATAGCAGACGAAGAGGAATGGAAAAAAGTTTGTTAATTTATATCTAAAATAGAATATGATGAATGATGATGATATCACTATAAAACCTTTTGATGATGCTCAACTTGAAATAGAATCAGATAATATTGGAAAGAAAGATATTAATAAGAGCTCTTAAAGTAAACTTACAAATTTAAGTAGGTAACATTTTGATTATGGATTCTTAACAAAATATTAAAAAATAAATAGCAAATGCTGATGAAATTAATAATTAAGAATAATAATTTCAATTTGACAGTAAAAAAATTATTATATAAAATGATTAAAATAATAATGATGAATAATCAAAGCACTAATAATAAGATTTATATAAAATCAAAGTTAGTATCTAAGAAGCATTAGGAGAAGACTTATAAGCATATAATGATGAAATCAAAAACAAATTATTTTCTTAAGACTTAAGTAGTCAACCCTAATAATAAACATTAAAAAACAGTGAAATTGAAATATGTTTTAATGAGTAATCCTTAGAGTAAATTGCTTAAAGTCCTGAAAAAAACATTACTACGGTACCTAAAAAGAGTAAATCAAGTTAAGCACAAACTTAGATTTAGGTTTAAAATTAATAATAGTAGAAAGCAGAAAAATAATTATACTTCTCCAAATAACGTCCTTCTGGTAATAATTAACAAAGAAATACAAAATAAAAATACCAAATATGATTTTTAATGTTTTAATATTTATCATAATTATTATAAAATAATCCAATTAATAAATGTATTTTGTAAATGAACTCTCAATGTATAATTTTCTAATATATTTTAAATTCGTATTAAATAACAATCTTACAAGTGACATTAATAATTTAAATCATATTTTAATCTAATTATATAAACATTTTCTTTTATTTTCATTTTAAATTGATAATTTTACAACCTTTCTCATTCTACTTATTTGTATTTAATTTCTATCCTTAATTGGAAAGGGATTGTTTCATCAATTTAAATAGACAACAACTAATTCAAGCACCATTATCATTCAAGAATCACCTGTACTATAAATAGATTTCTTATAAGAGGTCTTAGTAAATCATCCATATATATTAAAAGGCGAATATGTATTTGTGAAATATAAGCAATTTCTTTTTCTTTAGTACCTAGTCATCAACTAAAAGAGAAAAAAGTCTTAAAATTAATAAACTTTCGATGAATTCAAAAGTTTAATTACAAGCCTTCAAAGGAGACTCATTGATAGTTTCCGAGAGACAGAGATAGCAACTAATGCACTACAAGAAAAGTCATACATGAAATGAATAAAATGCAATTAAATGAATTGTAGTATGTTTTTTAGTAATGTTTTAGATTCTTTTTTCGTTAGTAGATATTTAGAATGCCATCTAAATAGGATATTATTCAAATTCACTCTCCAGAATGTTATCTGTAAAAAACATCAACTTTTAAAATTTGTAATCCGAACTAAACAATAATTTATACTATGTTTTCATTTACAGAGTTTTTATTTGTATATACAATGAATATTATTAGGACATTTGACAAATTAGAAAAAATCTTTACCTAAATAAATAATACATAGTGTCTAATTAAGATAAAAATAGAACATTGTTAATACATACATACAATCAATTAATATGATTTATATTATCTTATTGAACTTTGAACAATAATTTATAAACCAATTAATCTAAACAGATCTTGATTATATTTAATTTATGATTTAATAAACACAAGCTCATCTTCCAAAAGAGTGGATTGATTTCTTAGAAAAGATTTAAAACCTCGACCCAATTGATGTGGAAACAGTAACATAATATGTAAAAGTACGTGTCAACCACTTTCCAACTGATTAATAAATGACAGAGTACTACGAAGAAGTTTTTTCTAAGTAATATATTAATATTACTATATTTAGATCTACAAGTGATGTAAATAGAAAAAAGTGGCATCAATAAGATAAAAATCTACTTATTTGGTGTATGACCAAGCATATGATGTCATAAAATCGTTAGGAACTCATTCCTGTAATTGTTATATATAATATTTAAGAATGATGAGGATTGGGAGTATGTATCAAGGATTCTATGTGTAGATAAAAAATTAGTGGAATTAAAGTGGATATCTCTTTTACATTCCAATTTAAAGATCTCTCCTTGGTCAAAGGAAGAAGATTAAATTCTAATTAACATAGCAAAGTATCCTTTTTAATTTATAATAAGTGACCATTATTATAAAAATAATTGGACTGAATTAACCATTAAATTTAATTCTATATCTTCAACATAGAGATATCCTAAATAAATAAGAGAACGCTGGAACAATGTGCTAAATCCCAATATCTCTAGATCTACATGGAGCAAAGAAGAAAAAATTTAATTACTCTAATTGATTTTGAGTTATGGCAAAAAATGGTCCAAAATCTAAGGTGAGTTAAATGGGAGAAGTGAAAATTAAATTAAAAATTAATATAATGGAATTATTAGAAATTTAAAAAGATTTAATGTAATCATTGTATCTAATCAGTAGGTCTAAGAAAGTGAAGAAAGATTGTTGATCAAAGCAATAATTGAAAATCCTGATTAAAAGTTAAGTTTGACTGTTACTTAGTTCATGTCAGACTTCTTGGCTAAAAAAGAGGCATCAAAAAGTGTAGAATCCCCATAACTTCATTAGCTTACTGAATCATAAATTCAAAAGAAAATCTGTATTGACCCAGTTCCTCAAGAAATTGGAATTACTGCAACAAGTACTTTTAGTTATTATAAAAGATATTTTATTTTAAGAGAAATTGAATTAATGTAAAGAAGTGCAGTAGTAGATGAAGTAGACATCCATTTAATAAAATACATATTTCTCCTCTTCTCAACCACAAAACTATTCGTAAATGCCAATGCCTACTAATCAGTATTATTATAATAATAATTATAATAATTATTATCATAATTACCATCAATAAAATTAACAATACTTGACCTACCCTAATTATAATTAAGTATAATCGTAAATGCCATATCAATAATATCACTATGGATATTATTGATAACAAAAAGTTGAAAATAATATTGATAAATATTCATTTATATCTTATTATTATTATATTTTTAAAGAATTTACTTGCAACTTGCGGTCAGTAATGTATATTATTTAAAAATTTCAAGGTAAGTTTAAAATATTCATTAATTTTTCATCTAAAATTATTCAATTAATTTCTTAATCTTTTTGTAAATTGAAAATTTATTGAAGAACCATTCCTTTAAAAAGTAAAATTACTTTCTTAAGAAAATTACCATAAACAACTTAGAATAGATTTGCTGTTAATAATTAGACATATATAAAGGATAAATACAAGGTAAAAATATGAATAATATATAATAATATTTTTTTCAAACAATATTTATTGACAAAGAATTTCTGTTAAAAATTTTAAATAATTTATTAATTGGTGAAAATTATAAATTATTAAAAAAATTTTAATTTAATTAAATTTTATAAACGATTGATATTAAAACGATATTCATGAAGCACCTAATTTTATGTTAATATCAAATAAAATTATGAATTAGCAAATGAATAACTAAAAATAATTCAAAATTTTTTATCAATTTAATAAAGTAATACACATAAGAATATCAAATAAAAGTCATTACAAATTATTATGAAAGTAGTTGAATAGATCTTGTATAATTTTAAAAGCAAATGGTTTGATTCTGTTTAAGTTAATTTACAACTATTCTACTTTAATATTTGCTATTTGAGCAATTATTTTTGCGTTTATACCACCTTATTTCAAATATATAATATCAGTGGCAATTTTTACTGAAATGGCATTTTGAAGTTGTTAAGGTAATTTGTTGATGAGGGGTTACATCTATTCGTAAAGAATGTGACAAACTTTAGTTGCTTTAGAATTTAATTTAAGTTTTTAGCACAAAGTAGAAATCAAGGAGGAGTATTAATTTTAAACACATTTTGAAAGGTATTCTACTTTAGCATCAGCTTTAGGTAATGGGTAATTTAGCTCCCTCATAGCACAATGAACTATTGCCTAAGCATGTAATGAAGTGTTTGGTAGAGTTAAGTTATTTAGAATTGCGATTGCTTTTTTTTCAATTGCATCATCCAAATTCATTTTGAACACCAAATGAGAGACTTCCTCTAATAAGTCAGAAGATCTCTTTGGAGTAGAGCATCCATCACTAAATTTTGGTACAGGAGGTCTATTTATCATTATTATTTAATTTATTGATATAAATCAACTCTTCATTCAGCAGTTTAATATGAATGAGAACATGAAAAAACTCATTAAGTTAAATTATTTTCTGTATAAAAAATTATATGGAAAATAAACCAAAACACATTCCCTTTTTTTAATAATAAGAAATTATCACTTTTCTTAAAGCAAATTGACAAACTGATTGTAAATTTATATAACTTCCATAAAATTGATCTAAATTTTCATGATCTTGAAATTTAAATTTCATGTACTTTAAATGCTAATAATTTTTATGATATACAAAAGTGAATATCAACAAAGTAACGAAGATGGTTAGACACAAATTCAGCTTACAAAATTTCTTATTAATTTATTCCAAATGATTTCATAAATCTATAAATGACTAGAACTTTTATTTCAATATATAAACTAAGAATCTCAATTTGATGATTGATGTAATTTTATTGGTAGCGAATTTACTTTTACGTTTAAAGAGTAGCACTCTTGTATTCCTAATTATTAATAATATTTATATTTTATATATATAATATTCAATCTTCTTCTTAGTTTGTTATTATTAATTAGTGTCTATCCATCAAAAATTACTCATTAATTATTTATGATTATGAGAAAATTGAAAACTTACTTTTATTATTAAAACATTTATCCATTTAAAAAAAAAATCACTATCGCAATTTTTCTAGTATTATTATTTCTTACACTCTAAATCTCTTTGACTAATTGTATATAAACAATAATAGACTTAAAACTTGTTTAATCATAAAATTATGTTTTATAATCTCTAAACTTATTATTATCAACCACCATATTTTTTTTTTCACTGTGGTTTCGTTAAGAAGAATTATATTTCGCGTAATACCCTGATTATTATTTTTATCCAAAAAAATCATAATGTAATTAAGATTTTGATTGTAAAATAAATCAAGGGACACTCAAATAAATATTCGCTGTTCATAAAAGTTTTCTTATTAAAGTACGATCAAAATTAGAAATAGATAAATAAAAGTTTTGGGCTTTTTATGAATAAATAATTGAACTGAAGATTAAAACTAAATAACTCTTATTTTTCTTGGTATGTGTTCGATAAATAAAAAAATGAATAAGTCTATTTGGTTGATAATATTTCAATTGCAATCTTATCATTTTTATTTGCTTATTAAACAGTATTATAATGCTTTTAGGGAATTAGTCCAAAACTATTTATTATATTAAACAATAATAAAATATATAAATATAATTAAATGAACGAATTTTAAGCTTTTATTATTAGTTTGGGAGATAGATCAAATACTCCCATACCAGATGAGTATAGAAAATAATTTAAGATAAGAGGGGAGTTCATTTATCCATCTAATAAAAAGTTTGATCAAATCTGTAAAAGGTTTAGAATATAACTTATTTGTAGCTTTTTAGAAGATGAAAAATTGAGATGCAAAAGAAAGTGGGACAACTCTTTTAAATTGTTTATGGTTTGGTTTCTGGTTAAATACTTTGAGAAATAAAACCTACTTATTATTCATCCGGTATCTTGAGAAAATACATCATAGGATGAGAATGACTGGGTAAATTTTGAAAACATCCTTAAAATTGACAAGCATTCATTGAAGTAACGATGGATAACACTCATAAATCCACAAATGAAATCAATTAATTGGCTTTAAGAGGAAGATGATTTCATTACAACTCAAATGAAGTACCTTATTAATGCATTTAAATTAGTTAAAAGCATAAACATATATGGACTTAGATAGCAGTTTCATTATATGAAAGAAATCTTTAAGGAAATATTCGTACTCCTAAATAAATAAGAGAAAGATGGATGAATTATCTTAATCCAGAATTGAATAAGTAGAATTCTCATTTTATTTTCTTAGAGATCAATGGATGCTCAAAGAGGATTTGATTATACTCAATAATGTTGTAAAAAATGGAAAGAAATGGTCCTAAATTTCACAATAGTTAAATGGAAGAACAGAAAATTAAGTAAAAAATCGGTATTTCATATTCTTATATCAAAGTTATAAATCTTTAATTCACAAAATTTGTAAAGATGATGAATGTGATGAAATTGATATGGTTAAGCAATATATAAGGAAAAAGTATTTTTTTAATTTCTAAATTTAGTTAAGCTCATGTGGATTCCAATAAATAAGGAATAATAGGAAAAAGAGGTAGACATAAAAAAAGCATCAGAAATAAGGAATAAAGTGTTGAATAAAGAAAATAAAGAAATCTTCCAAAGTTAATAAAACAGGAAGAACTGTAAATATCACCTTAATCATTTAATTAATAAAATTAACCAATTATTTAATTGACATAATAATAATCTTAACAATAGTAACAATAATAATAATAACAATTATAATAATAATAATTATAATAATAATTATAATTTCATCAATAAATGTAATTGTAATAATTGCAATAATAAATGAATTTTAATAACGAAGAAATGAAGATAGCTTTAAATTTACAATCAAATTTTCTTTAAGAAGATATGAAAAATGCCACTCCTTTGATGATGCTATAATGTTTAACTTCTCCTGGATATCAATTTCTTGAGAATCAATTCTTAAAATAATTATCCCCTGGTATAATTGAGGAAGGAGAATGCCATTAAAATTCTTCCTTACAATTACCTAAATTAAATAATATGTATAAAATGAATTCTACATCACCATTTTTGTTACCTTCAATGTTACAATCTCCATTTTGGAATAACGAATAATGTGTTTAGTAGAATGATGAATAAATGCCTCCTCCTTAACAATCATAGACATTTACCCAGCAGATATCTACTACACCTTTTTTGAATTTAGGGTATTTAAGACAAACTCAATTCAATGGTTTTACAAACAAGAAAGAGTTAGATTTATTATAAGAAAATCCAATTTAATAATTTAACAAAAGAAGAAATTTTAATTAGTAGTGATATGAAAATAATATTAAAAATAGTTTATTCATATTTCTACATTTATTGTAACTTTTTGAAGCATCAATTAGATTTAAATGATAAATTGTTATTATTATAATACTTTTTGTTTAATTTATATAATGTTCTCTAAATGATCAGTTTAAATATTTTAATTTAGATTGAGAATTTGAAATATCTCCTCTTAAAATAAGCTTATCTTTCGAGTATATTTTATAAAAGTATTAGCAATTTTTTCTCGCAAATTATTTAAATAAAATAATTTTGGATTTATATTTGAAATTCAAATTAATATGCTAATTAATGAACTATTTATCAGAATAATAGGATAAAATATTTAATTTGAATAGAGCAAGATAAAAAACTCATAATGATTGAATAAATGAATTAAAAAAAAACATAATTTATTAGAATAATAAAATAAAAATTACAATATCTTAATTTACTTAATAATTTCTTTTTAAGAATATGAAAAAATTATTGAAAAAAGATTTCTTAAAATTTCTATTCTGGCTAGAAATTGTTTAGAAAAATCTTAATCAATTAATAAATCAGTAAAATACAATTTAATCTCTAGGATTAAAAAAAAATTTTTAGTTCTTCATAATTGGAAATTTTCAAAAATCAATAATAGTATTATAGATTCATATTACAATTTTTTTCTAGTACATTAAAAAATATTTCTTGTATTTTGACAACAAAATCTTAAATTATCATCTTAATCATTTTTAAGGTAAAGCGTAGAATATTATCTAGAAAAGATTTAAAAAAAATCACTATATTCCCTTATGAAAATCATTAATTTTATTATTATCAAATTAATCAATTATATTCAGATTCACCTTGATTAAACAATTTATTTAATAATAAAAATAACATATTATAATCAATTTTTCAACTATATTGAAAAAAAGCAATTTATTACAGTACAAAGATGGAATTTGAAATCAGATGATAATATGGAAAAGATTGATGCGATATTTAAATAATTTAAAATTTTTTTTGGAGAAATGTTCATATTTAGATGAATTCATAATAATTTTATGAAGGACTAATTAGATTTAGAATTAGTATAATAATTAGTTTAATTTGAAGATAAATTTCCAAAAGAATATATTAATAATAGGAGTACTATCTATATAAATGATTGATAGTCATATATATAGATTAATTTTTGAGCTCTACATAATTTTATATGAGAAAGTTAATTATTAATTATTTTATAATTAATTTATTGTATGGCCAGGAGAAAAACTGTCAAACGTGCATAAAAATCTCATAAGCATCTATTTTCAAGAAATAAAAAGATAACTAAGACATAAAAGGAGTAAAATAAAATTCCAGGATGGAACAGAAATATTTCATTTACTCAAAACTTAAATAACTTGGGAATGAATACAGGTTTTTAGATTAATCAAAAAATAACTAATGAATTAAAAAAAAAGGAATCTGCTCCATAATAATATATCGAAGCAGAAGAAATTTCTATAGATTAAATAAAAGAATTGTAAAGATAAGCTACATCAAAATTACCAACAGAAGAAGTAGAAAAAAAAAAAAATAAAGTAAGAATGAATATTGATGATGAATGGGCAATTGAAGGGCTTGTCAAAAAATACAAATAAGATTGGGAAGCAATGAAAAGAGATCATAAATTAAATACATTTTAATGGACAGCAATTTAATGTTAAAAAAAATACAATGATTACATTAAAAGATATGGTAAATGTCCTAAACCATAATAATGATTGTAGAATATGTATATTTTAATATATAGATAATATCTTTGTAAAAAATAAATACAGAATATTCTTAATATTATTTCAACTCATCTTGTAATTCTTAAAGGGAATTTAAAATTCTTTCTTGGGTGTGGATTCTTTTCGCTTAATCATTCTTGACTGGTACAATTTAGTACTTTTCTCAAAAAGTAATTTTATTATTATATTCAACCTTCTTACTATTAATTTCTTTTTTTAACATTTATCCCAAATCCAATTCATATACTCTCATTAGAATTTATTGTGATCCTTTCTTCATCACACGAATACTATTTTACAAAACCTCATGATGATGATGGGTTGTTACATCTATGGTTATGGCTGATAGGTTGAGGAATCTTTATGAATGTTACCAAAAGTACTAAAACATAAGATGCCCTACTTAAGGCTTTTACTGAGAGTAGAGAATTAGGAATGGGAGTTAGATATACCTGTAATAACAACAAAACTAAAAAGAAGCTTAATGTTCAGTATATGAAACATCAAGAAAACCTGTTGACTATCTACAACAGAAAACTCCAAATCTTTTTATTTCTAAATATATAACAGTATTATCGTCCATACTGTTTGATCAAAAGAGGAGTGGCTATGTTATGATAAACTGTTGATTAATTAAATATTTTATAATGCTGGAGATTATTATATATTTAAATTGCTCATTTTTATCATATATACATTTTATTTGATTTGTGTTTTAATATTCTCGACTCAAAAGAGACTTTTTTTTAGGTTGTCGCTTACTTTAGCTTCTTAACTGAATTGTTGTATTTCGAATTAGATTTCGATTTTGATTTAGATTTAGATTAATCTGATTTTAATATACCCTTTAATGTTTAAGTATCTGAACCTCTGTAGTTAGTTCTCAAAGTTACAGAAGATTTTTCTTGTAGCTCTACTTAAAATTGAATTTAAGTTACAATCTCATTTAATCTTTTAATAGCCTAATTCACAGCTATATGTTATCTGACTTACTCTTTTTGAACTGTTACATCATCAGTTAATATTTTATCTTCAGTAAACTTTTTATTTTCTTCAAGATCTTTAAGAATGCCTTCTAATTCTGTTACTTCATAGACATCCTCAATTAATTCAGAATGAGTGAATGGCTTCTCCAAAGCATTTTATCTATTAGGAGAGATTTTTAATATTTTTTTGATTAATGGGTATTGAAGCTCTACTTTATGTATAGATGATCGATTTATACAGACAGATCCCATCTGAATGAAGCTTTATTAAATTGTTATATCAAACAAACAAATAAATAAGTCATTCTTATTCAATTTAATTAGGAGGAACAGTAAAATATTTAATCTTCCCTTAGTTCCAATCCTATAAAACAATTCTAGCTGCACATTCCAAATCTGGAATGCCACCTTTCTACAACTTTCCTCTAGCCAAAGCTACTTAACATAAGAATTCGTTCACATTATTGAATGTTTGAATTTTGTACAGTAATAGTAACTCATTTTTAGAAACTTTTTTTAAAATTTCTTCAATTGGTTATCTTGGATCTTCAATTTATTCAATCTATGAATTATACATGTAGATTATACTTTAATGATATTTCTTAATAAAGTGCTCTCCTTATTTTCAGAATCGAACACAACTCCTGGACAATCAATAATCTTAACTTAACTGTCAATAACAACTTCTTAAAGACCCTTTGTGAATCCTGGAGTAGATGAAACAGCGCAAGCCTTACTTCTCTTAAGACTGTTAATGACTGAACTCTTTCCAACATTTGGATAACCAATAACACCAACAGTAACACTACTTTTAACTCCTTCATTTTTTGAGTAATTTTTTATTAATTCTAATAACTTATCAGCTCCTATAGCTTTAGAAGATGAAGTCAAATCATCAGCCAAATCTTGTCTTTAAGATAAAGTTTTCTTATAGATGGAGGCAGATGATAAATTGGATTATTATTATTAAGTATTAGCTTTAAAAAGAACAGTAGCAAATTCTCTTCTTAAATGAGCCAACCATGCATCTGCATTACCTGGAGGTACTAAGTCGATTTTGTTCAAAACCAAAATAATCTTTTTTTCTCCCGGCATGCCTAGAATTTCTCTCTCCATATGTTTACATCGACATGCCAAAGGATCTCTGGCATCCAAGATTATTAATATTATATCAGCAGCCTTAATTTAAAATGATTAAATTACTTCCACTACTTTTTTTACTTAGGAAATATATTTCTTATGCTCTTTAGTTAATTAATTCAAATTCTCTTGTTAAATTTATTCTTCTTCAACAACTTGAGCTTTGGTCTCATATAAATTTGATTTGACTTCTGCCAAATTAAGATCAATTTCCTCTTTTTATTATAATTTTTTTATTTTTTTCTCTTATTCCTCTTAATCTTTCTTTCTTTTTAATGTTTCAATAACATTTTTCTTAAATGGATACATGTTAGGGATTCCTATTTCTTTCGATGAAGCTAAAATTTTATTAACATTTGAAATTACTTTTTTTTATTTATCCTAAGGCACTCATCTTTCTGGCTTCCTTTTTGAGCTTTTTGTGATGCTATTTAACCTTCTTCTCTATTTTGTATTTCTTATTCAATGCTAATCTCTTGCTTGTACGACCCTTAGGTTTATTTGTAAACTTAGCCATTTATTAAAAATATTTTTATTTTATAATTTCTCAAACATCTGTTGCATACATTTTGGCAATATCAAGTAATTCATTTTGTACTTAAAATTTGTTGGCTATAAACTAGGCTAATTTTCCAACACTCTATTTTATTACAATACAGTGATTGTGAAATGAAATGTGCTTCATATATTTACTTAATTATGAAGTATCGAATAAATAATAAAAAATTAATAGAAACGACCTGGAAGATATCTACAGTTATCTCAATTAATTTGCTTTAATATTAAACAAATCTATGATCTCTAGGATTCTTTTAACAACCTTTATGTCTTATTATTAAGCACCTAAAGATCTATTCTCAGAATTAAGAATAGATTTATCTTTGTATATTAATTAAATTAATCAGCCTTTTTCTATTTATAAGTTTTTAAACTAATTGGAATTATCTATAAAAATTCAAAGACAGTAAATTAAAAACCTTCAGGATGTGATGCTAGCAAATCTTTAATATAAGAATGATTTGACATCAAAAGTAATCAGGATTTTTATATTCGAGTCCTGGAATATAGTTACTTTATTTGTATTAATCATTTGCTCAAAATATATATATATATAATCAAATAATAGAAAAATATATATCATTTATTGCCTCCTTGGCAGTAATTCGTTTAGTACTATCAATTTAAAGCATTTTTAACAACAAATTTTTAGCCTCCTAAGAAATATTGTAATTGGATAAGTGTTTTTCTGCCTCTGATTTAAACTATGGAAATTTAGCAGAATAATATGGCATAGATTTAAAGCCCTCCCAATCCAAAGGAGTACCCATAAATTAAAAGATTCTAATTAGCTAATCAATTTCACTATTTCCTTTAAACAATGCTTCTCCAATCAACATTTCATAGAAGATGCATCCTAATGAAAAAATATCCAATGCTGGAGAATACTTAAAGTGACCTAAAAGCAATTCTGGAGCTCTGTACCATAGTGTTTGTACTTCCTTGGTATGAGTTCTATTTATTGGATAACCTATTGGCTTGGCTAGCCCAAAATCTCCCAATTTAGCCACTCCATTTTGAACTAAAATATTAGCAGGTTTTAGATCTCTATGAAATATAAGTTAACTATGTAAAGCATAAAGACCTCTTAAAATATGAAGGAGTAGCTTTTTCGCCATGTGTTCCGTTATTTTCTTTTGATCAATCATTTTTCGGAGATCTGTATCGATATACTCCATTATCAGATATTGCTTATAATCAGTATCATCTAAAATAACTTGTTTCAATCTTGTTTATTAATAAGTTTTACTCAACAATATGGGGATGCTTCCTAAATTATAGTAAAACCGACATTTCTCTTAAGGTAGTTGATTATATTCCCTCCTTTTTTTCTTCTTCAGAATGAATTATTTCTTTGATTGCAACAACTTCATGAGTTAGTTTATTTATTCCCTTATAAACCTTTCCATAAGTTCCTTATCCAAGGTTTTCACACTTTTCATATTACTAAATTGAGTTCATTAATTTAAATTCTTAAATATTTAGACTACAATTGGTTATATTTAAATATGTATTTAAATTTCTTAAATTTATAAGAATCAAATATCATATAATTGAAAAAAATGATTTATTTTCAAACTCAGATAATTGTATCATGATTGATTTCCAGCAATATAATGATGAAGACATGTTTTTTTTCTTAGATGCTTATTTTTAAAGAAGATCCCAAAATTTTTCATTTTTTCTTTTGAGAGAAGGCAATTTATAAATTTTTAATTTGTTTGGTTAACAATACTTTTTCATTAGTTGTTGTTCTCTTGATGCATTTTTTGCTACAATTTTTCTTAGCACTTTTTTTATCCTAATGTTTATATTTACTTTTACTCAACATAACATGTGCATTCTTTAACTCTTTGATGATGTTAGAGCAAATTAGAAGGATTTATAAATTCTGCAATCAATAATAAACAGTTTTACAATCAAATCTTGAATTCAACTCAAATGATTATTTAAGAGATGGTTGAAAAAAGTTTTCAGATTAAGCAAAAGCGTTTATTAAATAGTTTTTCATCTTATAATTGTTACATATTATGTTTCATTTTTGGAGCCAATTTTAGGTTTTGAAATTAATCCATACTAAATATGACTATTTATGATAACCTTATTGCTTTGTAAAAATCTATTAAAAGTGTAAGTATTTGAATTTAATGATCAGATTAGTTCTAAATTTTTCGAAAGTTCAAAAGCCATATTAAATTAAAAATTCTTAAATTTTTCTAAAAACTCCTTTAATTTTCTTAATATTCAGATACTTGAATCCTAATTCTCTTTAAAAATTTCTCAAAAATATTTTATCTTATTATAGAATACTAATTTTCTAAAATTCCTCTTGTTCTAAAATAACTCAGCTAATCCTTTTTTCGATATAAATATTTTGCACTTGTTTTTCTCAATTTACCTAACATTCCCATCTTTTATTTTTGATTGTAATGTTATAAATATTATTCTTAATAATCTTCTCATATTATAATTGAATTACCTTACTGTCTCAAATTCCCTTTAGTGCCTTGAATTCCTATTGAGCTTTCTGTATCAATCATTTTTGTATTTTTTCAAAACCATTCTAAAGTAATTCAAAAAATATATTGCTAATTATTGATACTGTTGTAATTATTGGCTCATTGATTCAAATCTTTTAGAAATATTAAAGTTTTTATGAAGCTAGAATGAAAAAATTTTGTAGCTGCTGTTATTATATTATAGATATACAATTATTGAATAAAGATGAAGTCATCTTCCATTTTCTATTTTATCATCAAAATTGTTAAACAGTTTTGGCTTTTTAACTGTCGATTGAAATTTTTCAATGTCTCTCTTTAATTTACTTTTGATGTTTGTGTGAATTATGTATAGGAACATTTAATCTAAACCATGTCTTTTCAATTTTAATAATAAGATTCAAAAACTCGAAACTGGATTAACCATGAAGCTATAATTTCAAAACAATCATTTTAATCTAAAAAGCTTATCAACAAACCTTACTCTTTTGAATAAGCTTATATACATTTACCTTTAAATCAGACATTTGTTCTTATTAAAAACTTCCTGTATTTGTTGCTTTATTGATTACTCCTAACATTAATCAAGAATTCTTACTTAATATCTACCTCATAATTGATTTGTTTAGTGAATTTAACTAACACAAATTTCATCTACTCAAATCCAAAAGTTAAAAAGAGAGCTCAAACTAGCTAAAAATTTAGCTATGACTAAGGCTGGGTATCTGAGAGTATCTCAAAAATTGCTCTCGAGGCTGCAAGGTTAGAAGTAAATGGATCTTGAATTATAACTTTAATTTCATTTTTAGTCCATATACTCCTATATTTTTCTAAGATTCCTAATTGGTAGAGGCAAGGGGCAATTTCTTAAAATAGTCACACGTACAAATTATTTATTAATTGGTTTTCTTGATTAGAAGTGTGTAATAAGAAATAATGAATAATGCCTAAGATAATATCTTTGATCCAGTTTAACAAAAAATATTACTATACGAAAATTATTCCAAAAATAATTTGAATTTAGGAAATCATACAACAACAATGCCTATTTGTAATATTAATAGGAAACTTGAGAGAAGAAAGCTACTTTTCTTATTTGATTTTTTTTACTGATATTTTAGTATTCGAAAAAATCTTCTGACATTTCCATTTTGCCTTGAGTCACATTTAGAGACTTGATCTTCCTAATGTTTATTTTTCAATTTTACAGTAATTTATTTCTAGGTGAATTTCTTCATTTCAAATTTTTATAAGTTATATTTCTTTAATAAATCAGAATTAGGTTTTAGGGATTTAAAAACTTTGACTGCCCATAATTTATCAGGCTAATGCTTTTCATCTATGCCCCAACTTTGATTTTAGTTTAAAAAACTTTCATTAATTAAAATATAACATCTTATTTTTTAGTAGCCTCAAAAGCACACCAATTTAACATTTTCCTTTTTTTGTACTTAAATTTCAACAAATAAAACTTTCAATACACAGTTTGATGCTATAATTGATGAAGTAATTTAGGCAAATATTAACCTTAGATTAAGAGGCATATGCTTATTTGCATCTATCTTGAGAGGTACTTCCTCAACTATATTTTAATTCATAATTGATTTGAAGAACAAATATTTTGGTAAATAAATTATAATTTGTCACTTTTCATATTTATATAATAAACTTTGTAAAAAATTTGGCTTTTAGAAGTTACTTTCTAATTTTTAAAAGTTCATAGTTCTTGCCTGTAATTGTATCGTTTCTCTTGTTATCTTAATCTCTCTGACCACAACTTTTTTCAATGATTGGGATTAAATCAAGATTCGTTGCTAGAAACACTTCTATTTATTAATTTTTCTCCTTCCATTAATTAGAAATTCTTCCTTTAAATATAGAATTTTATATTATTGAATTAAATTGAGTCTTCTCAATTGCAATATATACTTTTTTAGAGTATATTTATTATATTTGTTAGTTAAAAAAATTCAATAGGATAATTATCTTCTAGAATCAAAAATACTTACTAATAATATAATAAAACAAGTGAGAAATTAAAATTCAAGAGTTATCTATTTGAAACCTTCTAATAATAAGATAAAGTTGATCTTATTTTAATTTAATATAATTGTTGAATTTTAACATTAACATTCTTTATATCAAAAAATCAGTGGCAAATTTTCTTGATGTACAATAATTTCAAAAGATAACTCTTGAGTTTTAATTTAGAGAAATAAATCATTAATATTTAATGAATAAATTAAATCAATGAGACAGGAATAACTGCCAAATTTTGAAATTGAAAAAAAAATATTTTTATATTCTTTATTTTTGAGCAATCTAAATTATAATTGTTCGAAATAAATCATAAAAATATCACAATTTTAACATAATAATATATTGGTTAAAGCACCCTTTTATTTTTTTCCAAAAATTCTTCTACTCTTAATTTCAAGATTAATTAAAAGTGATCCTTTTCTGTTATCGTACTAATTTCCATCGATTTTATCAAATTTTTGGAAATAATCATGAATTCCCAAAATGAAGGACAGCAAAAGAAATTTTTAATAAAAAACCTTTTGCCATATTTTGAACTCTTCATGAATAGTTATTAATTTGCTTACACACAATTAATATCTTATTTGTTAATATCCTAATAATATTTTATATCATCTTTGGTCTTTGTTCAAGAACTTACTGAGCAATCCCAATTTATTAACTGAACATTGCTTACCATTTTTCAGAATTATTTTATCTTTAAGAAACAAAAATTGTAGAACTGAAATGGATTTCATTTTTATAAACTTCCTTCTATATAACATTCTTTAAATCAACTATTTTAGATTTCTCATGTATGTTTTAATTTTATTGAAGATTTAAATTTCCTCAATTTTCTATTTAATGCAACTTTTTTAATGATGTATTTATTCTCAAGTTGATTTTTCTCTGACTTTCTGAACAATAAATTAAATATATATCATGATTATAGAGATAAATGATTGCAGAGAAGCTAAATTATTATGACTAATAATACAATTTTGAAGTTTAAGAGGCTTTAAGATGTTTAGAAAAATATTTAGAGATTAGGGTTTAGGTAGAATGTCAATAATGAATTATTGCTGAATTTATATTTATTTTCTCTTTGTGCTTTGTAAATATTACTCATAAAGAAGTTGAATTTAATAATTATGGTAATAAATCCAAATAATTCTCTTGGCTTTATTTAAAAATATAGAAAAGCATTAGTTTCACAAATCCAAAAAAAGTATTATATCTACTTTAAAAATTTTATTCCTTCACAAGATATTATTTTTCTCAAGAGTCTTAAATCATTAGATAATTGTATTAGATTAATTTTTTAATGAAACTATTGCTTTTGTTTTTCTTATTAGAGTACTTAGATTTTGCTCCATTACCAGCTGCTGATGCTAATGCAAAATTTTCTTAAAATGACCTTTATATTTTAAGAGAAGCATCTATTATTAGGGGAAATTACAAAGATGTAGCTTCGTAATTTAATGGAGCACTTCTATCTTCAGCAAGAAAAACTATTTTTTGGACACTAGGTATTGAAAATAGCCCTTTAAGAAATTTACTGTATTACTACCCTCCAGATCCAAATCTTCATTAAGGACATGTAGTTGCCAGACTCGGTGAATCAATAATAGTGGAATTTTTATAAGCATACGAAATTAATACTGTAAGGTTTTGGATGTGGGATAATGNACAATTAATATCTTATTTGTTAATATCCTAATAATATTTTATATCATCTTTGGTCTTTGTTCAAGAACTTACTGAGCAATCCCAATTTATTAACTGAACATTGCTTACCATTTTTCAGAATTATTTTATCTTTAAGAAACAAAAATTGTAGAACTGAAATGGATTTCATTTTTATAAACTTCCTTCTATATAACATTCTTTAAATCAACTATTTTAGATTTCTCATGTATGTTTTAATTTTATTGAAGATTTAAATTTCCTCAATTTTCTATTTAATGCAACTTTTTTAATGATGTATTTATTCTCAAGTTGATTTTTCTCTGACTTTCTGAACAATAAATTAAATATATATCATGATTATAGAGATAAATGATTGCAGAGAAGCTAAATTATTATGACTAATAATACAATTTTGAAGTTTAAGAGGCTTTAAGATGTTTAGAAAAATATTTAGAGATTAGGGTTTAGGTAGAATGTCAATAATGAATTATTGCTGAATTTATATTTATTTTCTCTTTGTGCTTTGTAAATATTACTCATAAAGAAGTTGAATTTAATAATTATGGTAATAAATCCAAATAATTCTCTTGGCTTTATTTAAAAATATAGAAAAGCATTAGTTTCACAAATCCAAAAAAAGTATTATATCTACTTTAAAAATTTTATTCCTTCACAAGATATTATTTTTCTCAAGAGTCTTAAATCATTAGATAATTGTATTAGATTAATTTTTTAATGAAACTATTGCTTTTGTTTTTCTTATTAGAGTACTTAGATTTTGCTCCATTACCAGCTGCTGATGCTAATGCAAAATTTTCTTAAAATGACCTTTATATTTTAAGAGAAGCATCTATTATTAGGGGAAATTACAAAGATGTAGCTTCGTAATTTAATGGAGCACTTCTATCTTCAGCAAGAAAAACTATTTTTTGGACACTAGGTATTGAAAATAGCCCTTTAAGAAATTTACTGTATTACTACCCTCCAGATCCAAATCTTCATTAAGGACATGTAGTTGCCAGACTCGGTGAATCAATAATAGTGGAATTTTTATAAGCATACGAAATTAATACTGTAAGGTTTTGGATGTGGGATAATGATGATAGATAAACAGACATACAAGTATTAACAATAGCAGCTGACAGGAGGACTGAAAAATTCATTTATGATGGTAATGCCCAAGCTAAAATATTACCAATTTAAAAATCTTCTAGTGTTTTTATTTTAATAATTAAAAAAATAAATTGCATACATTTAGTGAAACTTGAATTTATTAATTTTAAAATGACTTTACATGTTGTAAAATTATCTGATTAATTGGTTTCTGGATTGAAATTTTATAACAGAGGAGGGAATAGTTTAGACCATTAGTATATGTCGATCATCAAAATATAAGCCTTTTATGCTTTTTGATTATCTATATTCATTTATGTAACAATAATTTTCTGTCTAAGGAGAACTAATATTAGTAAAAAATTTTCTTTTTAGCACGTATGAATATTTAATTATTTTCAATAAATAATATTTTATTAAAATCAACTTTGAGAATTAAATATTAACAATTGAAATTCTTTATTATAAACAAAAACAAAAGATTTTATTTACAAGAGTGAATAAGTAAAATTAACTGATTGTATTTCTTAAATTTTGTGGCAAATCGTCAGCATATTTTTTTAAGAGTAAATAAAGAGAATTATGTCTAGTCAGTCTGTTTCTCTCCTGATGGAAATACATTAGCTTCTGGTAGTTATGATTAGTCTATCCGTCTATGGGATGTCAAAACAGGATAATAAAAAGCCAAATTAGAGGGTCATACTAGTGTTGTCTACATCAGATTATAGATTTAAAGAAATTTAGGTTAAAAATACAAGATATCCTTTTTTAACACCCCTTTGCAGTAAAAGAATATTATTTAAAATTTAGATACATCTAATATTATGGTTTACCCAGACTTCAATTTTTCAAGGTTTAAGAGAATTTTTAAAAAAAAACCGTTTCCTTTTAGGAGAATTATTGGAGTAACACTTGATTAATTTAAAAACTAACCTATATTAGCCCTTAATTTAAATTTATTTTAATATACTTCTGGTGTCCAATATTTGTTGATAGAGTTCTATTTTTTAGTTTTTTCTTATTTAACAATCTTGAAGCATTACTAAAATGTAAATTAAATAGAACTTTTAGTTGCATGAATGCAATAATATCTTAATTCTTTGTATACTGTTTTTTTGGTATTATTCTTATCATAACCAAGCATTTTCTATCAATTTATATTTCGAATGTGAATTGTATAAGATTTATAAAGTATATTCTACAACTAAATCTTTCAGCATTTATCATTTCTAAGTTTTTTAATCTTCTTATTTCTTGAGAGTCATTATATTCTAATATTCATAAAATAATATTTTTCTCAACTCATATTTAATTAACAGTAATACTATTATTTTTTATTAAATTGATTTTATAACTTTTTAATTTTAACAATATTATTGAAAAACTTTTATTAGTAAAATACTTATTTTGGAAATTTAAGAGAAAATACCCATTCATTTAAGTGTGACTAATATTAATGCTTTTTTATATATTTAAATAATTAATCGTTCAATTTATCTTAAGTGGCTGTTATAGAGAAGATAAATTTTATTAAGATTGTTCATTGTGTTTAACAAATACCAATAAATATTTCCTTTTTAATTCTACAATTTAGGTGCAATTTCTGAATTTAATTGTAAAATATAACCATTTAATGAGTTTTTAAAGACTTAAGGGATATTATTTTTGAATAGATATTGTTGGAGAAGATATCATTATTTCCTTAAATCTTAGTAATTACAAAATTATAATATTTTTTAATATGTTTTCAAAGTTTTATAATATCTTATCAATTAACAGGTGATTGATAAATTATCTTGAATTGAGAGTAAAGTTAAAATTAATCAATATCATATTGTTTTAACTTTGTTATATAGTTTAGATTATATTCTAAGATTAACTTTATTTTTTTAATTCTTGTCATATCTTTTTTATTATTATCTTTTTTATTAAATATATCTTTTACTATTTATAAATTAATTTTACAAAATTCTTAATTATATCTATTAAGACTTAT